CCGAGCAAGTCTTGTGCCGAGTGAACGAGATGCGAGTTGTGGAATGCGAGCTGCTTGGTAAGGAATAGATGCCGGCCACTCCCCATACAACACATCATCACCGCCTGTGCCTCGTACATACATTTACCTGAAACCAGTCGAGTTGGGTATCTCCGTCTCAGTCAGGATCGGCAAAGACGGCTTCTTTTTCTGCTGGGATTCCCATTCCTCGTCTCAACATGACGTCGGCGATATCGGAATTCGTTATCCATGGGCCATCACCATAAAACCACCCGTCATCCTTCATCGCACTGTCTAACGTACATATTGGTGATAATGGCCACCAAGGCACTAAACACAGACTACCCATGGCTAATATACACGCGCGCGACCATGCCATGTCGCCGACCGAGACTATGACTTCAGACCTCTCTCGTCAAACTACAAACTCTGACTATGGCGACCTCGACCCTGACGAGGAAAAGTCGCAGGAGGGCCGGGCGGCTGCGTCTATCGCGACAGGTCGGTCGGTCAGTCTCAACAGAACCATGTCTCGAAGAGAGACCATATTGTCGCGGATCAGGTCAAGGCCGCCCATTGGCACCTTCACCCATCCGCTGGAGCATCAGAAGACGACAGTTGAAGACCTGGTCGATTTTGAGGGCGCTGATGACCCGTACAGGCCTGTCAACTGGACTATGAAGAAGAAAGTCATCACGACTGCCCTGTACGGCTTTACCACCATGACCGCCACTTGGGCGAGCAGTAGCTACAGTTCAGGCACACAGCAGGTCGCCCGTGATTTTCATGTTGGGACCCAGGTCTCGACGCTGGGAACAACGCTTTTCTTGCTTGGATTCGGTATTGGTCCTCTGCTTTGGGCACCACTCTCAGAAGTCTATGGCCGCAAGAATGCTGTCCTTCCGCCCATGTTCGTTTCTGCCTGTTTTTCGTTCGGGACTGCCGCGGCCAAAGACATTCAGACCATCATGATCACGAGATTCTTTGCGGGCTTCTTTTCTTCGGCGCCTGTCACTAACACTGGAGGCGTACTAAGTGATTTGTTCCCGGCGTCCCAGAGAGGTATTGCCATCGCATCCTACGCAATGGCCGTGGTAATTGGCCCGGTTTTTGGACCCATCGTGGGCGCCGCTCTTGTAGTCCAGCCCAGCCTCGGGTGGCGATGGACCGAGTATATTACAGGAATCATCCAGTTGGCTATCTTGGTGTTCGATGTCATCTTCCTGGACGAGTCGTATCCTCCTCGACTTCTGGTCTACAAGGCACGGAGGCTGCGACACCAAAGTGGGAATTGGGCTCTTCACGCCAAGTTTGAGGAGTGGGATGTGTCTGTGGTGGAGTTGGCGAACAAGGTGAGCAATTGCTTTTTGGGCGATGACCACTCGCAGTGTGCTGACCAGCTGTAGTTCTTGATCCGGCCGTTCCAGTTGTTGATGACCCCCATTTGCGCCCTCGTGGCTCTCTATGCAAGCTTTTGCTATGGGATTTTGTACATGCAACTTGGTAAGCATCTTGTCTTTTTGACTCCTCGAGTGAAGACTGACCATAGGGTTAGGGGCCATCCCGATCATCTTTGGCGAGCACCGTCGCTGGAAACTACTCCCCTCGGAACTACCGTTCCTGGCGATTCTCGTGGGAGCCATCACCGGGGCGGTCATCAATATCTTCAACCAGCTGGTATATAACCGCAAGTCCGGAGGCAAAGTGGCGCCCGAGTTACGTCTACCCCCCATGATGTTTGGCTCTTTTCTGTTCTCGTCGGGCCTCTTCATCACCGGGTGGACATCCGACCCAAAGTTCCCATGGATCGCCCCGGTGATCGGGCTGTACATGACCGGTCTCGGGTTCTTCACGATCTTCCAAGCGGCGCTGAACTACCTTGTCGACACATTCCAGAGATATGCTGCCAGCGCTGTGGCGGCCAACACCTTTCTGCGATCATGCTTTGCTGCAGCGTACGTGTTTCCCATTGTCATGATGTGAGATGATGAATTCGGCACTGACATGATGGCAGGTTTCCGCTCGTCGTGACTCCTTTGTACCATAATGTCGGAGTTCCATGGGGCACGAGCATATTTGGGTTCTTTGCCATCGCCCTGATACCCGTCCCGTTTGTGTTTTTTGTGTTTGGTAAGCGAATTAGAGCGAAGAGTAAATGGAGTCGGTTCTAGATCTGGCGACTTTTTACGTTTGAGATATTAGTCTTGCGGTATATGTTTACATCTAAGGATGAGCTGATACGAGAATGAACCGTACGAGCCTCAGTTTGCCAATCGGAGGCTATTGAGGTTGTACATGGTAATGAATGTCCATTTAAGCAGACACAATAAGAGCAAGATGCTATATTCCTTGTCCGTTATTCCGCTGGACACCAAAAAGCTTGACTTGACTGGGTGCCCCATCAGGCCATAACGCTTTCTTAGCCCCTCGTTCTGATATATACCATATGGACGTTTATCCCAGCCCCAGCTCTAAATCCTCCGTCCTTTTGTCTGCATCACTCAAGTATCTCGGCCCAATCAATGAATACTGTACTTGAATTGAGGCAACTCGGAGAGGGTCTACCTGTTCGCTTATCTCCCTGTTAATGGATGGGTGGATGGTCTACTGCTTAGCGACCTCCTTAGGTGGGTGTTTCTTACCTGCCCATTGTGGTTGAATCCTCTTTTATCTCCCTCGCCCTTCTCACTTCTCCCTTCTTCTCCGTCAAACAAGAATACTCCAATCATACAATGGCGGATGTGAGTTGAGTATTGGTTCTAGATTTCGTCAGAATTCTCCGACTCGTCCATATACCCGCCAGCCTGTGGGGAGTTGGTTGATGGAACCACAACTTGACCGGTGCATGCATGCCAGGCTGCAGCGTTTTGCTTCAAACTGAGAAATATATACCCCGGGGCCCCTCCTTCAATGATCCTCATCAGGCATCTTCAATTTCTTCCTCGAAACCTGGGCCCGCTTCTTGCAGCGAGGCATCCTCCATTGATACGATTGCTGGTTGTGTTGTCGCCCTCTTGAGCATCATGTCGACTGGCGGCCATGTTCAATGCGGGAACAGCCGTGAGGAAGACCACATTGAATCCGCGCCATTGCTGGGCAGTTCGCTCGACAGTAGCGGCGATGATGGGAACTCAAGGAATCAATCCAGACTCCTCGCAAAGGTCTACGCCGTCGTGTTCTGCGCCAATCTCGCATTCCAGGTCCTGGCTCCTGCTCAGACCGAGATCTACGAGTCCATCTACTGCTCGCAATGGTACCGCCGGCATCCCAGCAATGCGTTCCCACCATCTGGCAAGATCCCAGAGTCATACTGCAAGATAGGCCCCGTCCAGACACAGATATCTACACTCAAGGGGTGGTACGAATTCTTCGCCGCGGCCCCGGGTCTCCTCTTGAGCATCCCCATGGGAATCCTCACCGACACCATCGGTCGACGACGCCTGCTGATCCTCAACGTTACCGTCCTGTGCCTGACACAGGTGTGGACTACTTTTGTCACCTGGTTCAACGGCCAAATACCCCTTCGCGCCATCTGGCTGGGCGCAGGCCTCAATCTTGTGAGTGGTGGAGTCATGGTGACAGAGTTGCTTTTTGTGGTAAGCTCTGCTCGCGCAGAATGGATTACATAGGCACACAACTGATGGGTCCACAGTGTATCCTGACCGACGTCAGTTCGAGTGACCGAGTGTATGTTGTCGAGCTTTGAGGGCTATGTTGATCCTGAGTGGACGTTTTGTAGCTAACCTGTGTTTGGGGCAGAGTCGAGACATTTTTCCGCTCAACCGCATTCAGCTACTTCAGCAAGGTCATCGGACCGGTCCTCGCAGCGACTCTTATGCGGCGTGATCCGTGGCTCGCCATATACCTCGGACTTGCGCTACTAGTCATCACCGTTATCGTGGTCACTACCGTCCCAGAAACCCTCCACTGGCAAGTTGCTGCTGCACGGGACGGACGATCCAGGATACATGGTGACGAGGCCGCTACAAGGTCGATAGATCCCAAATGTGATGGCAGCTGGCGACGCTCAAAGGTGCACTTGTCCCGCTTGGCCAAGGTCTGGAGCGACTGGCGCCTCGTCTTCGTCGCCCTGGCCCACCCGTTCCGCCTGATCTGCGACGCCCTGAGCGACCTCCTCCAGCGGTACGTGTCGGACCGGTACGGCTGGACACTCGCGGACGCCACGCTCGTCTACTCCCTGCAGGCTGTGGCGGCGGGCCTGGTGCTGTTCACGGTGCTGCCGCGCCTCTCGGCGAGGATCGACGCGCGGTACGCGCTCAGTGCCGTGCAGAAGAACGTGGTCCTGTCGCGGGCGTCGCTGCTGGTGCTGGCCGCGGCGTTTGCCGTCATCGGTCTCGCGCCGCACCCGGTCATCATGGTCGCAGGCCTCCTGCTCCAGACGCTGTCGACGGGCTTCCCCGCGACGCTGCGCGCCCTGGCCGCCGCGCTCATCGACGCCCACGATCAGGGCCGCGTCTTCTCCGTGCTCGCCATCGCAGAGACCCTCAGCGTCATGCTCGCCTACCCGATCACGGCCGCCCTGTTCAACGCTGGCCTCGAGCGTGGTGCCGGCCCCTGGCTCGGCTTGCCCTACGACGTCGTTGCAGTGGCCGCTGCCCTGGCTTGCGCCGTCATGTGTCTCCTCCGCTTCGAGCGCCCGCGCCCCCAGCGCCACCCGCGTACTCGCGCGCGGGTTGTGTGAGTGCTAGAATGTACAAACAAATGACCATAGACAGACAAACAGGAAGAAAAACGGGAAGAGGCTGTCATAGACATTATAGATTCCCCCTTTACCGTGCTTTCATTCAATGCACACCCCCAAGCCAGATCATTGGAGATGCGAGGATATAGCAACAAATGCTTTCAGGAGCACGCCATGACCCGACGAATAGCTAGGATTTTCTGTGACGCTCGAGAAAGACAGGCCGGCAGTGTGTCGGTGGTTTAGCAAGGTCGAGACTGGTTCACGACGTCGCGTGCATTCAGACCTATCCATATCTTCATAGTTTGGCCCTGGTCTGCTGTTCGCGCCACCTCTGCAAGGCCTCTTCCTCCCTCTTCCTTGCGTGGTTCTGCATTGTCTTCATGGCGTCCGTCACCTCGTCGTCGCTGATTTTGCTCAGCTGATCCGGACCTAGCTCTCGAATGTTTGACGGTTTCGAGAACGCCTTGACCCAGACGAATCTACTCGTCTTTGGCCCGCTGCCGTCGACGACGGCGGTGCAAAAGTTTGCGGCGCGCTCGAAACAATCCCTGGCTTTCGGGGTCTTGGGGAACAACATGGCAAAGCAGTGAGGCATCCCCTCGTAGCCCACGAAATCCACCACTCCACCGGCCTGGTGCATTCTGCGTGCTAGTATGGTGATCTCGTCCTCTAGGCCTTCGTTTCCCAAGCACAGCCATGCTGGTGGCATACCTTTCCAGAGATCTGAACCAGCAGCGAGAGGTGACGCGAGAGGATGAGCCATAATTGACGCGTCGCAGAGGATATTGGCTCGAGGAGGGCTCGCCGGCCACAAATCGTCCGGAAGAGGGTCAGCCTTTGACACTCCTTCCGCATTTGGTGGATCCAGATAATCCAGATGAGCATTTTTGTTTATAGAAGGCATTGAATGAGATATATCGGCCCACGCACTGTTGAGGCAAAGGCCCGCGGGCAGTTCAATGGGGACATCGACTCCATGGAATCTGATGCTGCTCACGCCCGTCCTCTGCAGTGTCAGGAGGAGCTGTAATAAGACCACAGCGAGGTTGCCTCCAGCAGAGTCTCCGGCAAACACGATATGTTTTGCAGGTACAGGGTCATGCGGCAGACCTTTGGGAGGTGCCAGAAGCGATAAATACGCCACCAATCCGTCGAGCAATTGGGCAGGGAAAGGGTTTTGAGGGGCTAAACGGTATCTCACAGAATAGCCGCGACCTTCCGTCAACCGTGCAAGGCGCGACACAGGCTCTCTATGCGATGCCGGATCCATCAGAAAATAGGCTCCACCATGGAAATATAAAATCGTGGTGTTGGTCGAAACGGTGGCCATCAGAATTCTATAATGGTCGTCTTCAGATACATCTGGTCTAGGTTCGTGCGCAGACGCGCCTTTCTTGTAGCCAGTCCATTCGGCTTCCACGCCCACAATGTCGGGCAAAGTGTATGTTTCGCTGCCATTTCCAAGCTCTTTGATGGCTTTCACAACAGCTTCTCTAGGGCCGGACTCGTCAAGTGGGGGTGGGATGGTCACTTTGGCGATGCATATGGGTCCTTTGATTCCAGGATCCTTCGTGGAGATGTGTTGTAGATATCTCATAGGCTTCCTAACCCTCGTAATAGACCGCAGTATAACCACAACCACCTCTGTTGTCAGATCTTGCTTTGCTGAATTAGGCGACAAATTGAGTGTATTGAGGACGATCGTCTTGAGCAGCAAAGGCAGACGGGGCAGGAGGAGCCTGACGAGGGCTCGCGTCGAAATGTCCATCGCAGCGTGGTACAAGGATCATCCAATGAGCTCTACCGCAATGCTATGACTCGAAGGGGCGGAAAAGCACACTCTAGACCGACGAAACTCGACAGAAAACAAAAGTTAGTGGCAAGAAGTGGACTGCGACAGATGCGAGAACAGGCACCACTTGGCCGGTGCCGCCATGACTTGAAGCGCAGTTTTGCAGTGACAAGCGAAAGGCATCAAGCGGCCACTTTTTAGCTGGCGCAGGCACTGAACCATTAGCGACGTCATAGACTGCGAGGCAACAGCTTCTTCTGCACTCGGACCTTACTCTTCTCTTCATCCTGTCTACATTTATATTGTCTTCACCTTCTTCACCTTCATCTTCTCAGCAGAAAACTCCTCCTTCACCATCGTATATGGAATCAGCCCAGAAAGAACAAAAGGTTCGACCCACCATTCTCTGGGTGATCGCTGACTGTGCAACGTCAACTAACTACATCCAGGTCCCTGACCTCGGCTAGTCCTCTGCCTCTGTCTCGTCCTTTCCCTCCCACATTCCATCATGGTCAAACATGAGCGGTTTACCAAGAAACCCATCGGTCTTGACGTCTTGACGGTGGTATCCCAAGAAGATTCCCGGGAAGAAACGGCGAGATATTGTACCGAAATCTCTCAATCACTCACTTGGTTGTTACCTCGTGACTCTGCTGATGACCCCTCCCTACACAAAAAGACTCGCGATGTCGTGCGCCGATCATCTTGTCGGAAGACTCATCCACCAGCTGCCTCCCTGGAAATACTCGTGCCACGGGTGGATCCTTCTCCTATGCCTTCCGCTTCTGCCTGGCTTCGTCCCAGATGATATATGATTGTCGATGGCATTAACCTCTTTCTGGTAGGGCTGTCAATACGACAGAACAAACAAGACGTTAGCTATTTTTGGCTCCCGATACCCCGGGTTCACCTCCTATCGCCAAAATGGATAACGCTTTCGCCCTTGTCCTACCCCAATACCAGGGCCAGCAACACCCAAGCGCAGTCCCCCTACTTTCCTTTTTTCCCTCATACAATTATTATTGCGGGTACTCTACCCTCCACTACTCTCTGGCACAGTCACAGCCCCCAATCGACATGTGTTGCAGTCGGGAAGGGCGTGCTCTAGAACGCTGCGAACTTCTGGGAATTTTCCCATTGGATTGACCAGACGCTTTTGCGTCACATTCTCGTGTTTCTAGGGCTTGGACTTTTCTGGCTCCAGGCTGAAACGTTTCGTTGCATGCTGATCCCCTGTTGAGTACCAGGGCCAGGGAATCAACTATTCGACGATTTGTTCATGTTGTCTGCAGTCACTTCACACCAAAACAAAGCATGCCCCTAGTTAGTACTTTGAGAAAGCCCGTGTCTGCCTCGTTGCTTGGCCGACTATACCCGAAGCTGTCTCGGGGCTCCATTCTTACACTCGTTACCGACTTCTCAATATGACCCAATTTTTAACATCGCTCCCTATGCCCAAAAACACTCCAGCAACCCCCAAAATGTCCTGAAACTACCTGCTAACCATATCCACGATCATGACTTTGGATAGCAGTATCTCGACCGACGCTTCCACAGATATCACGTCGATAGCCTCATGGGATCTCTCTCCAGAAGCCACCACTCCGGCGAGTAATGGTTCGCGACGCAACACCCACCAAAAGACTCGTACACTGGCTCCCAATCTGACGCGGCGATCGCACAAGAAGTCCCGCGGAGGCTGCTTTAGTTGTAAGCAAAGGAAGATCAAATGTTCCGAAACAAAACCCGCGTGCGGGAGTTGTTTGATGAAAGGACTCAGTTGCGTCTATCCAACAGAGCCGGCAGTACGCAAGTCTAGCAATTTGCCGCTGATAAGGCGGAATCCCACAACTTCCCCATCTTTTCCAGCTGCCACCTTTTCGATCCTGGACATGCGATTCTTCCATCACTTTCTCACCATCGCGTATCCACACCTGCCAGTTGACAACGACCATGTCTGGGTCAACGACATTCCCCAATTTGCGGAACAGCACGAATACCTGATGCATGCGTTGCTTTCGCTTGGGGCCTCCCACCTCAGTCGCCTCACGTGCGTTGACTATCGACGAGAATCTCTGATTCATCGCGGTCAGGCTATTGCTGGCCTCAATCACGCACTGAGCCAGACGGCGCGTTCTTACGGAGAAGCAGACGCCATGCTCGCCTCTTGCTACGCCCTTACCTTTCAAGCTTCTTACATGAGTGATGGTCTTTCCGATTTCATCACCATGGTCCGAGGATGCGCCCTTACAACCGAGAAAATCAAACAAGAGCACTCGCCTACAGCATTTAACCTGCAACCAGACTGGCACTTCAAATACATGGCGCCACGACTGCAGAACTTGCCACCTGTTGACCCGATCTTGCTACAAGATGCCTACACAGCCCTTGAGGGAATTCGACCCTTTTTGACCGGTGGCACTGAGATAGATTTTCACGAGGCGCTTGTCGATGTAATCACCTCGCTCCAAGCATCGCCGGCATCGGGTTACATACAATTCATCGGCGTGTACGGTGTATGGTATGAATTATGCCACGACGCTTTCAAGACCTTCCTGGACCCAAACAATCTTGTCGCTCAACTTCTTCTTGCCTATTTCGTGGGCGTCCAGTTGTTGATGGTTCCTCTCGCCACACAAGAATGGCCACATCGCGCAGATGTAAGTCGCGTACGCGTGCTGCAGGGCACAGTCGAGTGGGCTCAAGGGATTTTCCAGAAACTTGAAGACTCTGAGTGGGATTCGCACCTTGATTGGCCAAGAAATGTCATTGCCACTGTTGTTGCAGAGATCAATGGTGAAGTGCTCCAATTGCCACCTGTCCTGCAGCTTCATCTGGCCACGCGGGATATCACCCCACAGTCGACGATTCTGACACCCACCTGACGTGGTTCGCGGGAATAGGATGATAGCAGTCATTATGGAGACGAGCAGGTCTGAAAAGCGGGAGAAAGTCAGAATGACAATGACCGCTATAACAAACGTACAGGTCAGTATTCCTTCGGACAGATTATTGTTCAGGCACGAAGCAGTTTACTTACCGTTTGTTTCCGGACAATCCAGGAGGAAGCCTTTTTAGGAAGGATGGGAAATACCCTCTCCAAAGTAATCTCTCCTACTCAAGTACTGTATGCTGCAGGAGGAGGATTTTGTCCAAATGCGAAATCCAGCACCCTCACACCGGAGTCGATTCAGACCCGAACATTCCACGTATAAGTGATTGAAGGTATTCTTTTCCGAGGCGAGAAATTGATATCCTCTTTTCCCTGACTAGCTTTATCCATAAATGTGTAACTTCCACGTGTGTCAAGCGTCTCGAACCAGAGACTGTGGTCAAGTGTCAAGTCGTCCCAATGTTTTGTATGTGTCCGTACTCTTGAATTCCTAGGCCCACACCTCTTTGTAGAATCGATGCCATTCCGTCCATGTGTTTGGTTATTGCTCCATGTTCCCGATCCCCAATTTGTGGACAATACCGATCTTTTCTCCCAGTTTCCAGCTCGAGCAAATCGACAAGCGGGCAAAAGATCGATTGCGACTGAGAGTCTGTCGTATTATCCCCCACTGCCGTGCCCAATCATCCTGTCTATCTCTTGCACACTCCCCATGCTCTTTGCAGAGCATCCGACCTGCCCCCGGACTTTCCTCACACTACACTGCGCTGTTTGTGTTTGCGAATCCGGGCTTCGTCTTGTCCAACCCGACGCGGTGAGTTCCTTTCGATCGTTTCGCGCGACCCCTCCTCCCATGTGTGTTTTCATGCAGGGCATATTCCGTCGTCGTCGTCGTCGTCTGCGGCATGTACTTGACAGGGTGGTAGAGAGCCAGGACCGTGAGGGCGATGAACATGGGCAGCGCCTCGAGGACGTACAGGCACCACTCGTGGGTGAAGGGGTATCCGTCGATGCCCATGCCGAACTCGACGACTCGATAGATGGAGCGGATCTGTGGGATTGAGGGTGTTAGCAGACGCAAGAGCATCGGGGCGACAGCGACAGGTCAGTGAGGGATGGATTTGGCAAAGCGGAAAAGAAAGAAAGAGGACCATGGATAAAATGAGAATGAGAATGAAAAATGGGGAATACTTCTGCTCACCTGGATCCAGAATCCCGCGATCCACACCGCCCACACGACCTTTCTCACACGCGGATCCCATCCTGCTGCGGCTCCTCCGCGGTCCTTGGCTCCTCTGAGACTCACGCGCCTGACAAACCTGCCCAGGACGACGAGGAAGACGGTGAACGTGGCGAGCTGCAGGCTCAGGCCGACGAGCAGCACGTTGGTGCCCACGGTCTTGAGGTCGCCTTCCCAGTTGCCGGAGCTGGCGATGCCGGAGCCGGAGCACTGCGTGAGGAAGCTGACGATGTCCGAGGTGATGAAGAGGCGACCGAGCCAGCCGGGCCGGATGCGGAAGAAGACCTGCTGGTGCTGGCCGTCTTCGGCGGGCAGGCTCGTCCGGATCAGGCGCGTGAGCAGCAGGTACAGCGTGGCGCAGACGAAGATGGGCGAGATGACAATGTACGACGCGCTCACGGCGTACAGCGGGATCGAGTCGAGGTCGTGGATCGACGCGTTCCGCACCGACCAGCCCGCCGTCGAGATGACGCACGCCACGAAGAGCGGGATCGTGTACTTGTGCTTGTACGTGGTGTGGCGCGTCGCCACGAAGTTGATGTACCCGTGCCACAGGGTCAGGAGGAAGTACAGCACCGAGAAGATGACGGCCGCCGCGGTCGAGGGCGAGTAGAAGTACAGGTTCAGGTCGGACGAGTCGTTGTCGTTCTTGGTGTCCGACATCTTTGTCAACGCTGCTTTTTTGGAGAGCGATTGAACAGAGAGGTGTCTTGGTGGGACTGTTGTTTGTGAACAGACGAAGATATCTGGAGGTTCTGTAAGACTCTGTCGCTGTCGCCGGGGTTGTTAAAACAAAGGCCTATACACAAATGTGTGATGAGAGAAACAATGGCTCCAAGTCGAACCGAACTGATGAACAAGAAGAAGTAGCTCGAGCACTCGACGAGGAGGGAACGAGACATCTCGATATATATATACGCCTTTTTTTCGTCCCATCTCATCCCCTCTTCCCTCTCACAGCTCCCAAGAAAACAGACTGAGGAAGGGACAAGAAAATGAGACGAGTGGAGTAACCCGCGCAACACTTCATACACATGGGTATATAGAAGATCTTTGCTTGCGTCGCTTTCTGCACTGAAAGGGGAGCGAAGATGGAGCACACGCCGGACGTATTCGTATCACCGTCAAATCAGCACCGGCGGGACAGGGTTCCTCGGGCCACGGTTCCAGGTCGCAGAGGACACTTGATTGGTGGGGGGAGACGACGATTTCGGTTTGGTCGTTGTGTTTCGAAGACAGGACGGCAATCTGAATACGTTGGACTGGCTGGGACGTGGCCTTCGCTTGGCGGGACAGGTTCCATCCTCGTCGTTGTGGAAATATTCGTGTTTTACTCTGCGATGTATCAAATGAGGCAAGATTCGAATTCGGGACGTCGGATTCTCGAGGACATGGGGTGCGACAAGATGTGACATGAGACTGCTTGCGGGGGTTCCCCACGACGTCGAGAGAGAGTTTTGGCGAGGGAAAGGTTGCTGCCTTGTTGGGCATATCCCCTGAGCGGCAAACCGGGGGCGGCAGAGAAGACCAGGCAGAAACATATCTTTCATCGTTTCCGTCTAGGATGGGATGATTCGTATCTGGGACGAATCAGTTGGTCCCCACCGAGGCGGGCAGGAGACATGGAGGGAGATCACGACAGACGTTCTGTAACTGGGGTCGACCAAGAAAAAGGTGGCACTGCCTGAGCCAAAAGCTTCACGCCCACTACTGTACCTTTTCTTTCGCATTCATGGGAAGAAGGTCCCGAGAGTTTGGGTGGCCGTACTCGGGTTTTCAAGGCCCACTGAAGACCGCAAGCAGCGTGCCTGGCCTGATCGCGGCCCCTTGCATGAGTTTGGCTCGTCATAGGCTTTCCCAAAAGAGCAACTCTCGTATTCTGACAATCTCCACGTTGATGGATCAACGAAAGGTGGCTTTTCCCTGGCTCAGAGAACGCTAACGTCAGAGAACGCTACAACTCAGCCACAAGCGGCACAGCCCGCGGTGGGATGACATTGATGGTAGATGAGGGCAAGCGAGAAGATCAAAAGGACATGCGCGAGAGGGGAGAGAGAGAGAGACAATCCAGGCACCAGGATATTCCCAAGTCGTTCGTTAGGTGAAGCAAAGCGCGTGATCGAAATAACCAATCAACATACAGGACGGTCGCAAGGCTGTTCGTATTCGGATATCACGAGGCTTGGCCCCACTAGCCGGGGCTAGAGCGAGGCTGAAGCGCCTGGAGGGGGTTTACTCTCCACAGCCAGGCCCAGAGCAATGTCATACGCATGTACCCGGTACTTCGAAATGAGCTCATGTACCTCGTACGGAGTGAGAAGAGGAACTAGTTTCCCCCGAACAGGGAAATCGGGGAAGGAAATCCGTGGAAACAACACAGCCCCATACCACTCAGAGAGGACTGACGGCCTGTTCACCGTGAGCATCCATCTAGATTGTGCGGGATGCAGTCAATTGGATCATTGCTCGGGCAGTACGGAGTACATATCACTCTATACTGGATTGTGATTGCAAAATCTTGTCGAACCTAAATGAGCTAATATTGCACAATGAAGATCCTTAAGCCCCAGCTATGCACAGGCAGCAGATCGAATTAAGCGGCAGATCGCTTGGATACGATTCTTCATTTCAAAACATTCCATTCATGTCAACCTTTATTATACATTGGGTCTGGATGTAAAACTGCTATATGCTGAAAGATCCATGGTGCCGCCCTATCGGGGCCATCTAACCGTAAACCAACGCGCGAACCTCAATGCTCTCCCGACCCTTGGCTCTCACGGGGGTTCTCGGGTCCACAAAAGCCGTGTGGGGGACTCTCTGACCAACGCCTTCTTTGTTGTCATAGCACTTCAAGAAAAGCCGCTCGTCATTGTCCATGCCTGACCAGTAGTAGAATTTCTGGTTCGGGTTGTACCTCACCGCCGCCGTCTCGCCCGTCCGATGAGGGTATCTATGCTCGACAGGGATGAGATCGTCATCATCGACAGAATCAGCAGAGGCAAAGCCAAGCGGGTGCGCCTGAACGACGCCGTTGATGGGTCGCCACACGTTGATGATGCGGTATCGACCCTTTAGAAGCTCCTCTGCTTCGTCGGGATTGTGCAACTTCACCCGCCACTCAGTCGATCGCGCCGTCTGATCGACGTGTACTCTTGTAACAGGGGCACGTGGCGCCTCAGGATTCGATCGACGGATGGTGTGGTCAAAGATGGTGACCTTGTGTGCGCCGGGGACATTGTCCAGCAGTAATTTTTCAACCTCGGGATAGTAGACCTGTTTGATGTGTTCATCGTCGAGGAATTCCGTCTCTTCTGATGGGACACCCTTGATAGCTTGAAATGCGTCCTTGTCAAGATTGAATTCGTTTTCTCGGCCGCGGATATCATTCATCTGTACCTCAACCACCGTCTCGCCAAAGTTGCGCTGAGGCTTGCCGTCGGGTTGTTTCTCCACATAGTTATGTGGCTTTGACCCGTCCTCGGGCTCTCGGAAAAAGTTCAGTGTCGTGTTTACTGGACCCCGCGGGACATATGAAGAATCTTGGGCTCCCGAGAGGGTGGTAGACACGGATGTCTGAGTTGTAGTGGCAGACATGTTCTTCAGGCTTTTCAGGACAAGTTCGAGGTGGAAGGTGTGTTGGATGCAGTCAAGGCAAAGGCGACTTTAGCACAGATGGTATTTCCTGCAGATTCAACTGTCACTAGCCGCCATGGGCTGACAGGGTATATATGGACGGCGAGCCGAGCACGCAATGTAGTATATTAGAAATCCGTTGGAGTCACGTCATGGCTGAGCCGAGGGTTCGCCGCTTACCCCATGAACATCTGCCAGACTCACATCCCCGCATTGATCTTCCCAACCAATTAGAGCCTGCCAACCTGCTAAGATCAAAAAGTAATCTAAGTGGCGAGAATGGAGCGAGGAACTGGAATTCTAATCAATGTCGCCCATCATGCGTGTACGCATCGGTATTACCAACAGTAGGACAAAATCAGCAGTCCAGCCGCCGTGTTTGAGCTCTTTTCAACCCTGCAGCTCGGTAGATTCTACAGCTCGCCCTCTTCGCTGCCATAATCGACCTTTTCGGCGTCGTCTAGATCATTGACACCGTTCGAGGACGGTTCTGGTTGTGGTGGCTGTGGAGGCCCCTCATCTGTAGGGTAAATCTGAGGCACCCGAGAAGGAGCCCTTGCGTGCTCGCTACTCTCGGGTTGAGTATACATGCCATTGTCTCGACTTTCTGGTTGGTGTTGTGCCGGAGCTTGTTCTGCATGGCCATTACTGTAGGCTGAAGGTGGCCCGTTTCGATTTGTACCTGCCGATGAATATCTCCTGGAATGGCCTTGGTGTGAAGACTGCCCAGGTGGGACACGGTGTTGGTGAGACGGTGGTGCTCTGCTGGACGAAGCGTTTACAATCTCGTCAATTCTCCTCTGCACATCGTCGCCAGTGCCTCTGGAATCATTGGGTAGATCATCCGCCGCGGTTGCAGAATGACGGTGTGGTATCCTTTGAGGCATGCCTACATTGTCATTTCGCGAATCTCGACGGACTCTCTTGGGAGAAGGTGCTGGTTGATCGTCACCGGCAGGTCTCTGTGATGGCATACTCGATCCCCATTCACCAGAATTTTGGTCTTCGGCGGCATCTCTGTCACGTTTCGCACCTTGACTTCCGCTTTTTGCGCTACCAACGGGGGACAGTTCAGGCTGAGGTGTAGCAGGTTGTCGGGTTCGATCAAACAAGCTGAGATCGTCGTCTTTTGTGTATGCATCTTTTTGACCTTGGCGCGGCAGTGTCGGGTTCTCGTAGACCTCTGCCATCAGATTACAACCCTTTTGAATGTCGTGGAGATTGAGGCCTAGTTGCTCCCACCACGGCCTACCTCTCTCATCGTCGGGGAGACTGATGCCTGCGAACTTGACTCCCATGTATAAGGCACTGCCTGCAATTGCCGAAGGCGTCAATTGGAGGCACATGGTGGTGACAAGGGAGTCATTCAAGAAAGCCCACGATGTGTTTCGTAGTTGTTTGTTTGCCTGAATGTCGTAATACCTGAGGAAGCCCAGCAGGATACGGTAGGGCTGTTCAAGCTGCAGGTCAAAGCACAAGGCCTCCAGTAACAGGTCCTCATTGTGAAGAATGGTGTCTCGCCACTTCCAATACTCTTTGCTTTGTTCGTCCACCACTAGATTCGGCTGCTTTTGCGCAACCCGACAACATGCGACCACCAGTTCCTTCATCTTGCGATAGTTTTCTTCTACCTTCGTGGCCAAGAATATAGCAGTCGCGGCGACTGAGTAGTGATGGAAACCGGGCCTGTTGTTCTGAACCATGGCATGGCGCATGAAGAAACGATGCAGGTAGACCGAGGCCGTCGCCAGTGTCATTTGGGGTAATTTCAACATGATCCCGACCTGCGTGATGAAATTGACGCCTTTCTGTCTGTTTGCCAACTCTTGAGTTACAGACATACCATCCAGTATACTTGGGGTGAGAAGGAGGTCTTCGGCAGTGAACATCCATTGCGACTGGCTCCTCTCTAGGACGAGGTTTCGGGAGAAGGGAGGAGAGTCGTCATGGCGCATTGTATCTTGGAAGGAGGGCATCGTGGGTATTTCGAGGACAGTCGATGAGGTAAGATCGGAGCGCAAGCCTGGTCGACGGAGCCGAAGTCCAGGCAACGGAGCAGCGTCCTGGCTAACGTGGATGGTTCGGATGTGGTTGCAACATCGGGCATGCGGCCAGGGCACAGCTGGATGGTGTTGAGTTGAAGATTGGCAATATGGTATTAAAGTTTTGCGCAAACAGGGGTACGTCCGTACTTGAAATGCTGCTGCTGCTCGGGACTGGCCGATTGAAAAAAGAGAGAAGATGATGGCAAAGCGAGGTAATGAGGTTTGATTTCTTGAGTTTGCTGCCCGTTGGTGTTTACTGCGGGCCATGACAAGGGGCCCTTTGACACGTGAGGGGAGCCGATAAGGCTGGTACAAGATGCAGGCGATGGGTGGCAATTAATGGGGGTGCTTAGCTAACCGACTTCCGCCTAGCACGACTGGGTGACCACCACCCAACCACCAGTACCTGTCTGTAGAAGCGATGGCAGGTAGACCGAGCCGACTATGGCCGAATCTGACGTCATGACTATCCTCTGCGTTGGTGCCACCGTCCCACCCTTTCGTACGCTTGCCTCGACCCACCTCCAATATCTCTCAACGTCCATGGTTTGTGCTGAGCTTGGAAGGACACTATACAAACTCCATTTTGGGAGTAATGTCGCCGACACCTAGCCCAGCTCCTCCAAACACAGGGCACTAACTACGTCCCGAACAAACTCCTACAAGGCTCAAGTTTCCTATCATACTAGGGGTCTCTCTCTTCTCAATTTCCAATAACGAGGGAGTCTTCCAATAATATATCTCAACTAACCGTTCTGTAGGAAATTTTCCCTTCATTGAGCAAGGGGCGTTCCGAAGTTGGACAGAATCGGTGCTCTGCCTCCCACCCAACAAATCACATCCTCGGCCCCGAGGTCTCGTCTGAAGAACACTGCTGGAGTTCGGTGAATTTCGATCCCGGACTGAAGAGTAGAAGCATTGCCTCTCGGAAGCTTGGAATACTCCGCACACGAGGAAGATAGCGACCACGTCTAGGAGGGTCATGGAAAAGTATACCCGGATATGCTAAGGTGTAGCACAGTATGGCCGAGGCCAAGCGACATGAGTTGCAATCGACTGTGAATGGGCCGGTCGACTCGATCTACAGACCCTCCATTTGCGAGAATATGTGCTGCTAACGCCTTCCCGAAGTGGAGTGGGATATTTACCGAATCTCAGCACGCATAATTCCCGACAAGTAGCCAGGAGTGTCGCATGAAGAGAAGATGCGGCTCGGTCACTTAGTCATAGCGATGTCACCAGTGTAGGAGGTAAGAGGATGAGGATTTTGCGGAGGTAATATTGGGTACACCCTCGTTCCATCTCGTATACTCGGTTCAGTCCATGGCTATTGGTGGACAGCACCAGAAAGTAGCGGGCGGCTTCAGTAAGCAGTCTGCACAAACTTGTTTTGGCTAAGCAACACAAGGGCGTGGTTAACATCGGATCCAAGCCGCCCCAGCTAGTTACGCAGATGCGCCGGCACTGCACCCCAGTAGGTAGGTCGGTACATAACAGTGGTAGCAGCGCTTTCTGGGTGCATCGATCGCATGTAGTTCGGCAATTTGGATAGCCGTCAAATGCTTGTTTATGCTTTAGCTAGTGGTCAACAGCAGCATTTAGTGATCAAACCGGGATGGGATAGTGCACATACAGACCGACTCTCACTGTCACAAAGTGAACAAGTCTTTCTATCAGCTTCTCATGAGTTGCGTCCTGTAAAACACTCTTGGTGGCACGAAGATTATCGGTTTGCCTTGCCTTTCCTCCGACTCGCACGACGGAGCATCGCTCTAACTGTTGTCCGAGAGCGGAGCAAGCAGATACTCGTAGATATGCAGGGATGTCGTCCGTATGCCTGCCGTACGGACGACAGGTACAAAGATCGACCCGACCGAAGGGCTAGTGAACTTTTAGTGAACCCACCAGCCCTGCCAAGGGGTTCGCAGGCATCCCCCGAGGGCACCTACATAGGGAGCTACAGGGACCTTTGACTAAGCCTGGTGGCCCCCCGTTTAGTTAAGCGAGTCAATTAGTTAATGACTCGTTAGAAGAGTTTAGTCCGCTTGCAGCAATAATCTCGACGCAGCTGACATTTCTCACTCTTCTAGCCGTTCCACGCTTCCCTTCACCCTTGTTTTCTAGGTGTCTAGTTGATTCCCAGGCTCAAAGGGCCTAGACTATGCCTTGCTGGGTTGAACCAGATTCTAGCGCTTCCATCAATCCCCTGGAGCCATTACGCCATTGACAAACACATCCATCACCGATTTTCTCTCCTTCATCCGTACACTGACAACTCACTCGCACTCCATACCACTCGTACCATCACGAACTCAACCGCCTGCTTTCCGTATCCTGCGCTATCTTCGATTGCTCCTCTCTGTGCCTTGATACCATTACCTCATCGCACCTCGCACTGTTCTAGAGATGCTGGCTCTTCTACTGGTGCCTCAGCCGATCGGGATGGATGTTCGCAATGCGCCATATCCTCTACTTCCGGTCATTGCCCTTCACGCCTTAACGTCTCGCTTGCAACCGCTCTGCCCTGCTATACGGCCCCGGGCTATGTCTGCTCAGGTGAATACCGGGGCCAGGTGAGCCCACTTGCGACTGGTTCGGTCGGCACGAGGCAAGGCCGTGGATGAGATTTAGGTTCTAAGTCCTCCAGAAAGAATCATCATGCAAGTTCAAATACTCTCTGCAGGTGGCAATTCGCCATCTCGAGCGCCTCCTACCTGAAGGACCATTGTGCCTTGTGGGTTTCTCGCGACCAGAGCTCTCTTTTACCCGCCCTTTATCCCCTGTGAAACTAACGTGATATACAAACACCTTGCCCTCCCCCGAAGGCAAACCCAGACTTGCCCTCGCCGTGCATTAACCCTGCATATTGAAGATCCCGTGTACGAAGGGAAGACAGCAGCAGAACACAGTCGGTCGTCACTCGGATGCCTTTTGGCACATCCCATACCCTAAGGCAAGTACCTGCATCAAACCCGGCACACTTATAAGGAACCAAGAATCTTGAGTCAAAGGACACAAAGGCTGCATCACGTCTCCAATAAACTAAAACAGCTTCCTCCACGCGAGTCCCTTGCCGAAGCGCCGCGGCGTCCTCCATTCCTCTGGGGGTCCCCCATACCAATAACGTCTACTGCCGATGTATCAGCAGCGACCTAAACTCAATCAGGAGAAAGCCACGAGTACCCTGCCCCAAACCCAGCTCCGGCGGTTTCTGGGACACAAACATATGCATTGTTCCCTGAACTGACGCCATAGCCCTGTGGCGGTCGTCAACTCTGATTGCGCGCTCGCTTTTTGTCGAGTCTTTGCGTACGGGGATCGGCCCCGTCAGCAAGGTCTGTGAGATCAGCCTCGCCTTTTACCTAATCTGAAGACGACCTCACTGTCAACACTACAAATCTGCTGCCCTACTCGGAAATTAAGTTGGCCAGCAACGTGTCATGCCACCAAAAGCAAAACGATCGAAATCTCCCGGCTCTCAGTTTCTGTTCGTCAATGAGGATGCCTCGACCGTGACCCGGACCACCAAAGACGCTGAATTGGATAGAACAAAGCAAAGCCATGTACAGCGTCAAAATTTCGCTCGCAAACGCCGTCTGCGAGAACAATCAGAAGCTGCCCCGCAAACAGCCAGCAGCCAGAGTTCACTGTCCTCCAGTCCTGCGGTGGCTGGTCCGTCGTCGTCTACAACCCAGGATGCGCCTTCTCAAGGGGCAAGCTACTTCGACATTATACAGAACATCGACCTTGAAGACCCTTTGTTCCAATCGACGAGCCCTCAAGCCATAGCACATACACCCCTCGACCCTCAACTTTCCGCACTGTTCTCAGACCCTTTCACTTCCACGCCTGCGTCGCCTCCTATTCCTTCACAACATACCAATGTTTTTGGCTCCTCTCACCCTTATCGTCCTGGTCAATACTTTGATACTTCCTCCTCGAGCTACAATCTCCCGCCACCGACCAGAAGCGTTGCCGGTGTTGTCAGTCCATCGATCCCGCTAGGAGGAGTTGCTAGCCCACCCACAAACGCTCATCGCGCCTTGGAACAATGGGCGCCGCCTTTAATCAAGCATTACAACACGATTATACTACCAGAGAAGTTCTGGAAAGACACCCAAAAGGTATCTATGGGTCAATTCCGCCATGCGCCCTCGATCCACGCAGACATGCAGGCTTGCATGACAGAACCCGCACATATGTATGCATTTCTTGCCTCTGCTGCAGCTCAGATGGTTGCTCGAGAAGGTAGACTGCTGTTACCGAACGTCTCTGAAGAAGATAATCAACGCATTCCCGTGTTTTTCAAGACCAGAGCGGTACACGCCCTACAGACCAAACTTGCCACTGGACAATTGGATCATCACACGGCGGTGGACCTCCATCGGCTCTACGCTGCAGGGATACACTCGGACAACTACGAGGCAGCCGAACCGCATTTCCAAGCCCTACTCTCCATGGTTGATGCTCTTGGAGGCCTGAGCACCTTTGATGATTATCAGCTGGAGAGGATATTCATGCTGGACTGCATTGCAGCGCTGAAGCGGCTCGGTGTTCCACGTCTTGTTGTCACTCTGGATCCTGGCCCTTTACCGGAGGAGTTGTTGCTACGTATCGAATCTCAAAGCCAGCTGCCCTTTCAACCAGGGTCACTGCTCGAGATCCTGGTGGATACCTTCAGTGAATGTCAGATCTTGGCCGACAGTTTTGCTGACCTGATTCAAGTCTTGAAAATGTCGGCCTTCTTGGCTGCTTCACCTCACTATGTCCACGAGTACTACAAGTGGTTCAATTGGCGGACTCTGATCATTGTGCACAGACTTCTATCGATGCCCCTCCATTGCGACCTGGACGACAAGGCTGACAGCGTGAGGATTGCCACAGCCTACTGTGCTGTTCTTCTGCGCTCCCCAACCATGGGCCGGCGAGCGGCATGTACTTCGGTCAACTCCCTGCGTGCTAAGCTAGAAAGCACCGATCTTGGGCTGCTGTGGCAGCCCCGCACTGATTGTCTCCTCTGGGTAGCCGTGTTCGGAGGCGTCTGTTGCACCGGTGGAGAAGACTTGGAGTGGTTCGTGCACCTCGCAAGGACTGCGGCGACCGAAATAGGAGTTGGCAATGTGAGGGAGTTGGAAGACTTGCTGGTGGCATACCTCTATGATCCCTATTCCCAGCGGGAATTGGTGCTCCGATTCGCCGGTCGGATTTGGCCCAGACGAGATCCATAAACTGCGTTGATAGCGCATGACCTCGAAATATCAGCAATCATCCTCTTACCCGCCAGTGATGCCCATGATCAAGACGAAGACAGCAGCCTCCTAGCGCCGAATACCCGTCAAGACTCGCCGAGACAGTACTCAAGTATAGAATCAAAGTGGAATTGTCCCACTTGTTGTTTAGGGGCTGTCTTTTCCCTCTTCATCCACGACTTCGTTCTTGGACCGGACAGAGTCCGAGGGGCAGAACCCCTTGGATTAAGACTCCAGGCTAGCCTTGCGCCTAAGGTTCAATGCAGGCGAGGCTTGATGAGATTACGTTTCTGTTCGGGAGATGCCGCGACTTTCAATGAGCTTGCTTACATGATTTATGAATTGTTGTGGACTAGCACAGAATCTGGAGGGCACAGGTCAGCATCTCTGGGGAAAGAGCAGGGGACTGGTCTCGCCAATCAGTGTTCGTGCTGATTAGCGTGAAGATCACCCCTTGACGGCGCACAGAGCTCGAGACATGATACCGACCAAGAACCGTGCGAAGTGGTGGGACATGCCCCCTGGAATGCGACAACGGGCTGACACTATGCAGCAAGTTGCTCTGGAGAACACCAATTGCAAAGAATTGGGCATTGATAGGACTTTACAGCTGACAACCGAGATCAATGGTCTAGGCTCCATTTTGTTTTGTGCTTTTTGCGCCTTGCAATGCGGGTGCTGAGGGGCTGAAGGCCGGGGAAACTTGTAAAGCTCAAGGTGATGTGAGCCGCATGAATTACGCGTCAACGAAAAGGATACCTGGGTACCTACTGGGTAGTATTCGTAGGACTGTATTAGTATAACGAGGGCCCATACAAGGCTCGGTACAGGGAACATAGTAAATAAGAGTCGATGCTCGTTTCGAGTGGTATTTGGCTGCAGCAAAGTATGCCCCGTCTTCGCACCCGTTTAAGAAGGACCCCCACCTGGTGAGCCGCCGACCAGCCGCTTTACTTAGGTGCTTACCTACTCGTGAGTAACTCGTAGCGCATACTCGGTACAATAGGTACTCCGTACCTTGGTATCCACGCACCCGCCTAGCACCCCGGTAAGATGATAATTAAGCTTATACGAAGTCGGCTTAGCTCCAGCCTGAGATCAATGCTTAGCCCAAAGCCTAATAATATGGCTGTTTTCGCCCCCCGCGCGGCCATCCCACTCACCCACCCCTCCATCTCTGCCTGCCTCCTGGGCCATACAAGAACATACCGGCCAAGTTGGAGATGTCCGTGCAGCACCGCCCCGGCATCTCGTTCGGTAGGCTACCTTTTCTCAAGACTGTCCTCACTGTCTTCCTCCCTGAACACCTTAGCTTCACCTTCACCATGTCCAACAATGTGGGCCTTGTCGAGCTGGACAGCGGTATGCCTGGCGTTTATGGTCAGCAAAGAGAGATCTCGAATATGAGTCCTGTGTTTCTATCTTACTTGGTCAGGTGATGGTCGACACTGGGAATGAAGAAAGTGCAGATCAATGCCGCCCCTGTTGTTGGGTTAGCGTTCCCGACTCGGTGTCCTGGGGAGAAATCATTACCTGTGAACACGATCGTGATCAAGTACACGAGAGAGAAAGCGTCGGCATAGACCGCTTGAGAGGCATGGGTGGCAGCCTCTATCACTTCAGGGGTCGCTCCTACGACGGCATCAAGCGCGGCCGGTTTGCCGGAGACGAAGGCAGCTGTAATCATCGTTAGTCTTGTCATCTGAATTGTACGCGCGGGAGGACAGCACTGACCGATGAAGCCTGCCGCCGAGTCTGCAGGCAGCCCCGCATCCACCACAGCGGCGACCAAAGCTGGCGTCAGTGACTCTCTGACTTTGTTTCCAACCACTGATGTGCAAATCGCGAGACCAATGGAACCCCCCGCGCTTATAAGCGTGCCACGTATTCTGCATGGCGGATTAGCGAATGGTTCGATCCAACAGGAGCGGGGACAACGTCTTACCCGGTCGCGGCACCAAGGCGGGTATCGCCAGCCCCGAACTGCACGAACAGCGTTGCGATTGTGCTACTGCCGGCTATGGCAAATTTCGCAATGAGGCAGAGAACAATAGCTCTCGCCAGCGAATCCCTGGTGATCGATGCCATTGCAGCAGTAAAGGCGCATTGGAAAGCCGCGTAGACGATCAATTGATATTTGGTGTATTTGATGATGCCAAAGAGCGAGCCGGACACGATGATTCCCGCTGTGATCATATCAGCACCGGGGAGCGAGGAGTTTGTTCGGCTCGGAAAAGAAGACATACTAGTTCCACCGCCATTCATGCAGAAACTTAACCAGCCAGCCCGGCCCGGTTCGGTTGTGAACAAGCGTTGAACCTCTGCTCGCCTGTTAGCCGGCACACAAGTTTGTGGTATGGTATATGAAGTACTCACGCTGAGGCCAGAAGACTTGAAAGCTCACCAGCTATTATGAGACCTTGTTAGTCGACTTTGAGCAACACCTCGCTTGGGCTTGTTTCGGGAGACACCGCCGACTTACCACAACCCCGTTACAGAATAAACAAACAAGGGGCAAAACGACCGTTCTGAACCTGGTCATCAGCTCAGGGGGGAAGAGTTTGTCGATCTTGGGGTTGCTGTATCTTTCCCAGGGTGGCACAGCCACAATAAGCGTCACGCCTAGAATTTCGCGTCAGATATATATCAACAACATCTGGAGAAAGTGAAGACTATACCGCCGATCAATAGTGGTGCAAGGACCTTTGCGCTGATCCATAGAGTGGGATTGCCACCCCAACGAACTCCCAGGAGAAAAGCGATCAAACCTCCACCAAAGATGACCACACAGACATAGTCAAGTTCTCGGATTTGTTGCTTTCGAGATTTGCCGTCCGGGTGAAGACCAACCCAGCCAGGAGGCCAGTAGAAGCAGACGAGGGTGAGAAAGGAAAGACCATTTGCCAGGCAGCCGAAGTAGAAGGTGTACCGCCAGGTCAAGGTCTTGACAATATTGAAACCTGATCAACGACTTAGCGAAAAAAGGGTGTCCTTCCTCTTTCTCGTAGAAAGGAATCAACGAACCGATGACTGCGCCGAACATGGAGCCTGGCAAGGCCGCAAGGTTCATGGCCGCAAGAACCGTGCCGCGATGTTTTCTTGGGACAATGTCAAAGGCCGCTGCATAGGCAATCTGCTGAGTCGAAGCGCCAACACCCTGTATCATGTCACTGCGTGTTAGCTGAGTACGTCGAAAGAAACAGCTTCCCCCTCAGGGTCACAATCGGAGGTGAGAACTGTACCATCAGTGTTGTACCAGCAATGACAGTGCTGATTGTGTTTGCACTGTATAATCTTGTCAGAAATTCCTTCTTTTCCATGCTGCGTAGTTTCTTATCCCGTGCGACAGGGGGAAAAAAAAGGGACTGGGCTACGTACCGTCCCGCAACCAAGGTTCCTAGCATTTGGTCTTAGCATTTTTCCCCCAACTACATAAAGGAAAGGATCCAGATGGAGAGGAAGGGAAAGGTTTGTATAAACGTACCAACAAAGCCAAGTACACTGCCGGCGATGAGAAAGTACTGGCGTCCAAAGATGTCCGTGAACCTCCCGGCAATGGATTGTAGGATGGCGTTTGACAGGGACCATGTTGTACTAATCCAGGTGAAATCGGGCGAGGGGCCAATATCGTTGTTGATGGTCAGGAGAACTGCCGATGGGACAACGAATGAGAAGAGGGCCGCTTCGTAGGTGAGCGCGAGAGCCTACCATAGATGATAGCCCGCCAGTCAGCAGGGATCCTGGTTGAGTTGGGGGTGGAGCAGTTCATACCAGCAGTGCCAGGTAGACACGGGGACCTATCTTCACGTTGGCCTCGTCAGGCGCCGCCAACTCGCGGTCGGCATGGCCATCACTCAAATCAGCCTTTGTTTCATCGTGGACGACGTCCGTTGTTGGAGTTTTCGCCTGGTCTTCAACAGCCATTGTGATGGTGGTGAAGTATTACAGAGGTGGACTGGGTATTCCATTGTGGGCAAAGCGAAAAAGAGGTGATGCCCTTTATATCTTTCATCCATCGACCTAGCCTGCCGCGCCCGGTGAGACTATCCAGAGGCTACTAGAGTATCTAACAAAGCCATCTCGTCTGCTGAATGGTCCCCCCCTTCACCCCCGGAAATATTTGCCAAGCCCCCGCCAAGTCGCCGCCAAGGTTTTCCGCTGGCGCGGTTCCCCGTGGGGCAGACGAAACCCAGGTGTCCAATACCGGAAGTCAGAGCTTCCTCGGCCAATACGAACTATTGCATTAACGACTCGAACCCAGAATCCTCGGGACTCGGAAGATCATCCATGCGGTCATGAGCAGTGTTTCGAGATCTGCGTTTGTTGCCCACGAGGCTTTCTTAGATTGTTCTTTTTTTTGGGGGGGTTCTCAGCCCATGGATCCCCGAGAGCGAAAGCAAGTCATCCCTAACCACCCCATGTCTCGCCAAATCTCGAGAGAGTAGGGCACCAATTCCCGAATCCTTGTCCCTCGCCAAAACTGCGAGAGGCAAACCAGCATCATCACGATTCGAGCCTAGGAGGCCCGAATAAACATGGATGAGTAGGATGGGAAGTACCACGGGTCATGTGGACCCCCCTTTCCTCCCCTCCTTGCCCCTCCTTCGAACGAAAATACGACGGGACACGGAGAATTGCTTTGACTTGGTCCTTTGGTTTTTCTGGCTTCTTCTCGCGAGTCTGTCGAAATCTGGCTGACCCTGGGGCCTGGGGCCATGTTCTCATCAAGGGCTTTGACCGCCCATGATCGAGCCAGGTCGACCGGAAGGGTGAAAAGGTTGGGGGAGGCGTTCTTTCTCGTACTTCTTGCAACGTGATCTTGGACGGAACCTGCACTGATCCCGAGATTAGACGAGTTCCTTCCCCCCAGAAGGCGCTAGGACTTGCCTCCAGGTCGAACGGGACAGATACTCGAGCTCGCTTGACCCAATTCCATTGTAACAACCAACCCACACAATCTATCGATATACATATGTATCTGCGCTCGAGATGATACCCGATTCTCCTGAAGCTCACGAGATCTTGCAGCACTACGATCTCGAGCATACTGAAGCCTGGTAGTTACCTACGGCAGGCACATCAAGGTCAAGTCACCTGGGTGGTTTGTTCCAGGCCAAGCACTCATTCCACGTACATAGCCCAAAGTGCTTGAAGCAAGGCTCGGTTATCCTCCAGGTATTTGAGACTCGACTTGCGGGGGGAATACGAGGTGGGCGTTCCAATGGGACAACGAGATTCTAACCGAGCTGGAGCGCCAAACCCGTTAGCGCAGCGTCGCCGTCGACAAGCGGACGACGACAAAACAACAGCAGCCAAAACGGCGATGTCTCGTTTTTACTGGGTTTCCCGAAGAAAACGCAAAAAAACTCAATCCAAGGGGAAAAAAAAAAAGTATACCCTACAGTAGTTATTTTGTCCGGGTAGAGGGCGAAGTTACACTCCCAAGGCTATGATTGATTGTTCGATTGAGCCCCGGCATAATATACTTCACTGCAACGGGTTGCCCACGACCTCGGGATCGGGGCGTCAACCGCAAGCAAGAGAGGGGAATGGATGGATGACTTTGTTCTCCTACTGATGCTGTGGTGTTTGATGTTCTGGATCTGTTCCCTCGACCAGCCGCCGTGGTGGGCAGAGCGTAGAACCCGTCAAAGGAGCAGGCAAATACAATGACACCGGGAATCAAATTGCCTCTCTGTCGATAGTATGATAGTATTTACGTGGAAGGCTACAACCTGCAAGAGGCTCTCGTGTTGTACGAGTGATATCTCTCGAAACCGGCCCTCCCCCTCCTCCGCCCTCCCCGCCTTTGCGACGAGCCCACCGAACTACTCGGTTGCAGCGCTTGTCGGCAAAAGTCCCTCGGGACTATTTCTTACCACTGACTCTTGGGGCGTGTCTTGTTCTCGACGCCCTTCAGATCAAAGACTTCAACAGGGACACTGCGTTGTTGTTACGTGATGCCAAAGGGGTAGGGTTGTGCTTGGTCAAGTTCTCTAGCAAGTGCATCCATTCCGAAGCAGACTTGTTCCCAAAAAGTGGTTTGTATGTCGACTAAGTATTTGGCTGTACAATGGCCTCGGGGTTTTTGGTAGGTATGTATCAAGTACAGGTTCTATGAGCCTGGCGAATCTCTCCCTTGGGTCTTTCTGTACAAGAACCACAAAGTCGCGCCCCCAGCCTGGCTATCCCTAGACATTTTCATGGGCGAGACGCACACCGTTTTAGATTGCCATGCACCGTGGCGGACTTGAAACTAGTGCAGGGGACCACGAGGCCACGATACGATACGATACGAAACGGAGAATGCTTGGATACGATGTTTCGAACGACGTTGGTAGTATTGCCTGGTCTGGTCTGGCCTGGCCGGGTCATTAGTCATGAGTCACGAGACTAGGCTGGCTGGCAATGACTACCCTTTGTGTGCCTGTCTTCTCTTCTCTACTCCATCCCCGACCAACCCCGTCTTTCGGGGAAAGGGGCGAACCCTCGAAGAAACGGTCCCATCCGACAGCCGGTCCTGGGACGGAATTCAAGGGCTGCATGACTAGCTTGCGACGGAGATGCTGAGGAGGAGCTGAAGTCGTTCTCCCGGCGTCTTTGGAGATATCTCCCTCGAGGGGGGGGAGGGGGGGTGGCACCGCTATCAAGGATCTTCTATCTACACTTCGTTCCGAGATTTCAAGCGTGCCATTGATATTGACTCGTGCGGCAGCTGAGAGGCTGGTGAGCATCCAGGATTTATTCAACAGGAATCTCGAAGCTCTGGGTCGGGCGTGGAGCGTGGAGCATGGAGCGTGGTGATCATAAGATATATTCTAGATATATCTAGCCCATGTACGCACTGTATCTTCTGTATGTACCCCGAGGTGTGCCGCTCTTCTCTTTTCTTTGTGTGTTACTCTTCCCCTTTTCGTTCTTTGTGATGTATCCTCTGCTGCGCCGGTGCCATGCCAAACCAAACCATATACCCAACGCAACGCAATGCAATGCAAGACGACGCGGTGCAAATTGCCACCATGTTCCCCGACAACTTTTTGAAATCCTCAAATCACCTCTTCGTCAAACAAGACAAAAACTCTCGTGGGGACTCTCAATTCGCGCGCGAGTATTCCCTCCTCAGAACAATCGCCTCCTTCATAAAAGGGCTCCGCTGCCTCAGTCGCCGGCCCGCGAACAATATACACACGGGCGCAAAGGAGAGGAGTAGAGCCAGGAAGCCCAACAGGCTGCTGGCCCAACGAAAGCCGAGATCGGTGTACATGCTCTGCGCGGCGAGGGGTAAAAAGGCTGAGAACAGGTTCTCGCCCAGCACGACGGCTGCACACGCACTACCAGCGTACTTGGCGTATGCGTCCACCACATAGTCGGCGATTGCTACCACCACCACGTTCACCCCGTACCCGACCATGGCGAGGCCAATTGCCGGTGCGATCCAGGGTGCGGAAGGGTAGGAGGTCCATCTGCGAGGGTGGGAAGAGACATTAGTTCTCGGTTCTGATTATACAAGGGGCAGAAGAGACGATGGGGTTTCTGTTGGTCTGGACAGCCACCTTCATTGTCCATTGTCCAATGTCCGGTGGGTTCAGATGGCAAGGAGCAAGGAAACTTACCCATACACAAACATACCACCGGCCACGCCGACGAAACTTCCGAAAACACTCACATACAGTCGAGCTTCGGGTATGGGTGTCCCTGGCACTTCCGTATTGCGGGACACTGAGGCGAAGTAAAGCTTTGCATTGATGAGAACTCCAGTCCAGCCGACGAACTCGCCTACAACGACTGCGGCTTGGACATAGCCAGCCTGTGAGGCTGACCAGCCGTACAACCCAGCGAAGACCTGCTCGACGGACTGGGTGAAGAGATAAACGGTACCGACCATGAAAGCTGACCAGAGTGTGAAGACAAAGAGGACCGGTTCGGTGAGGAGCATCCGCAACGGCCGCTTCGTGCTCCGAATCAACTTGCGTGGCAGACTCAGATGGCCTCCGTCGTGTGGGCCCAGTATTGCGACGCCCGCCTTCTGTAGCTTCAAAGCACGCTTTTGAAGGATGATGGAACCCCTGCTCTCCTGGAAAAAGAAGATGTAGATGGGAAAGAGAGCGCCATACCAGATCAGCTGGATGTACGAGATCCATCGCCACGACAGGTTTTCGAATATGACACCCGCAATAACAGGTCCCGTGCTACTCCCTGCAAGGTAGAGAGTGACGAAGAGGCTCATAGGGATGGTGCGAGCGCGGTCGCCTTCCCAGATGTTGCCGATCAAGGCTGCAGCGGTGTTGGCGAGGACAGACACGCAACCACCGGAGAAGAACCGCGAGACGATCAGCGTGGCGAAATTTTGCGCCACTGCCTGTGGGATGATGAAGCAGATGAAGACGATGTATGTGAGAAGGAATGCGGGCCGCACACCAAAATCCTCCATCAGAGGCAGAACGACCAGGCCACACAAGCCGCCCCCCAAGGCCCAACTAGTGACGGGCCAGTACGAGTTTGGAAATTTGGAGTCACTGACGCCGAACTCATTGTTGATAGCCTCGTGGGCGACGGTGATCATGGTTCCGTTCAGGATCGTCGTGAACGTCGCCAGGATCCCTACCGCGGTGATTGTCCACTTCTTGCGCAGGGGCCAGTTGTATGGGTTCTCCGGGTCGTCGGGCCCATACCAATCGATGACTCCCAGGGCGACCCCGTCACTGGGAACACCTGTAGTATGCCCATTTTGGATTTGGGTGGCTACCTTCGACTCCTCATCGAATTCTGTCATCGGCAAATCGGAGATATCTCGTACTTTCGAGAGAGTAAATGAGGTTGGAAATGAAAGTCACAAGAGGAAAAGCAACTCAAGACAGCCGTTGCAACGAGCGGAAGGGAATGGCAGCAATGCACACAAGACAGCGTAGAGAGAAAGACAGTGTCCCATGAAGCAGGAAGTGCAAATAAAAAATCTGACTATGTATATATTTCCTTCGCCGAGTCAACAAGTGGCGGGGCAATGGCCCAGTGTGAGGAGCCGTTAGATCTCTCCTCATCTTTCTTCGGGCCATTACCAATATCAGGCTGGAGATGCCGGACATGAGCGGACTTGTCAGAGAGTGAGCAGCTTTTTGCGGGTTTCGGATGACGACAAAAACGTTTTTGAACCTCGAGGGCAAATTTTCTCCGAACTGTTACCTAATGAATTGCCTGGAATGTCTCTAGACGTCCCTGCTCACCGGGAGACTCTAAGGGTCGGCTTCTGTTCAGATGTATGACTCGTGGCATAAGGATGCCACGTGTGAAGAAAGCCATTGACATTTCGAGGGCGAAGCGTCGTGGAAAAAGTCGATATTGCCTGATGTAATGCGTACATGAGATTGTGTGTTTGATCAGAAGCGCACAGCCTCGTTGGGACAAGGATGCACGTGCACGCCAAGGCCGACCGATCTCCTCAGCCTATAGAATGAATCTTCTGTCTGACTAAATACTATCACGTGAGTTGGCTGTTTGGTTCAGCCTCCAACCGTCATTTTCTACATTTTGTCGTCGGGCCATCTTGCACGAGAATACGCGCTGAACCATATTGCCATGGAAGTCCACTCTTGGCCTCCTTGGCTCATAAATGCGGTACCCCCAAACTTGCCAGTACCAAGTTCAAAATACTAACCACGCCTTCTCCCAAAATTAAGCCGCTTGCCAGCACAATGACCCTCGTCTCCCCTCTGCCTTTCCATCGTACCCACCAGAGAGAGATCACGCCGCCCACAGTCCTCGCCAGTGTGAAGCTGGGAGTGTTGTACATGCCCACTGCCACTGCAATACCTCCTGGGATCCACGGGTGCAAAGCCTTACACCAGGGCTTGGAATCCCTATATGCGAGTAGGTATATCCGCACAGTGGTTGTGAGGACAAATACCATGCCAAAGAGGAGGGCGAACTGCCAGGCCATGGGAGGAAGACCCTTGCCCGTCACCAATCGTGCAGTGAAGATCCAAACATAGGCTGTGGGTATCTCAAACAAGTCCCCTGGGATGGGGTAGACGGAGACGTACAACTTGTAGACTGCAGCAGAGACAAAAGCACCCACGACACTCCCTATAAGCTGACCATAGAATTGTGCTTTGGGTGACGCCCCAATTAAATGTCCGGCTTTGAGATCTTGGAGGATGTCGCCAGCTTGAAGTGCTCCCGCTTCGCTTACAGCTCCTGCGAGCAGATTGATGATTATGCTGTGGTTTGCATGTGGACCAGTTGGTGTGATCAAGGCAAACACCAATTGGGTGAGCTTCGAGATTCCGGAAACGGGGTTCAAATCGGTTTCCCCAAGTGCGCGGACCCCCATGATGGACAGGACCAAGGCGAGAAGGATGGCAAGAATGTTGAGTCCGATAGGGATGTAATCGCCAAAGGTTATGTGGATGCATACAACGCAAAGGATCAGCGTGATGGGAAGGAAGATGGCGACGGTTCGCGTGGTCACGAGGTGGTGAGGCGGTGCATCGTCAGGAGGATCGTCAGGTGTCGTCTTTGTCGGGTTGGCGGTAGCAGAAGACGGAGGCGCGTGTGCGGATGACTCGAGGGAGATATAACCGGCAAGTTGTTTACCGAGTAAGAAGTCGGACCAGGAAGGGCTATCCCTGTAGTGCCCGTGGAGAGACTTGATCCAACCCGGACCATAGTGAATGGTTGGGCGAAGGAACAGCCAACCCAGATTGACGACTGCATCGGCCAACATGATTGCCAGGCTGACCCAGACGATCCAGCCCTTGCTCCCTGTCTCCCAGTCGTCCACAGGTCCTGGCGCCCACCCGTTGTGCTTGGCTATAGGACTCAATATGGCCCATCCTAAAATAGCACCAAGAAGCATATGGAATGTGGTGGCAGGTCCCATGATAATACCTTGACCAACATATGCGGGCGAAGGATTGAGTGTCCATTCCCACTTGTTCGCCAGGTGGGTGCCAAAGACGGGCAGTTTGTGGAAAATAGGAAGAAAGTATTGAACCAGGGTGTATGCGCCGGAGCCAAGGAAGGCAACCACGAGAAGTCGAATTTGCCTTTTCCAGTCTCCTCGCATATCACGTCCTTCCGCCTGTTCTGGTTGGTTGTCTCGGTCGCTTTCCCTCAACAGTTCCTCGCGTTCTTCGGTCCCTTGGGTTTCGATTTCTCGATCCTTGGCCTCTTCGCTCTTGGAACCACCATGCAGAACACTTATCATGAGGGCTGTCGCAGTCCCACTGGGAAACTTGAGGCGCTCGCGGATAATGACCTGTTTTCGTAAGGGGACTCCGAACACGACGCCAAACAAGCAGAGCCCAATGCCCCAGACAAACAGCCTCCAGAGACTCAGGTCAACCGGGGCACCCTCACTCTCTTTAAGCAGAAACTGTATGCTGGGCATAACGCCAACGAACCCCAGTCCCAGTGGCATAGTGCCAACCGCCCCAGCAACCGTCTGGACTAGGACATTCTCCACGGGCGTAAAAGGGAGGACCAAAAAGCGAGATAGCGACTTGAAGACGGCGAATCCGATCAGAGAGGCTGGCATTGCCATCCCAGACACCCATCCGGTTTGCAGGCCAAAGTATGTATTGGAAAAGGCGATGAGAACTCCAATGCCTGTGCCTACGGCAACACCTCGAAATGTAAAATTTGTCCCATCCAAAGCCGAGTCATACGCGCCAGGGACGGCATAGCGGGCATGGTCAGATTGTACGCGGGAGATATCTTGCTGTTGACCGGCCTGCGGAAGCAATTCATGATCTTCAATATCGGACGTGGAGGGGGAGTGGGTGTGAGAGGCTGCGCCTCTGTCGGGAGCCATGTCGGGCGAATCTCAGGGTCCTGAATCTCGATATAGGAGATCCATGGGGGAGGGAGGACAGGGAAGGTGGTGGCGGGCACCAAGGTGACTTGGCTCGAGCTAATGCGGATGGAATGGCGGGCGAGTGTAGATGCGGAAAAGTGAGGCTCAAGATTCTTGTTACAATCATGATAGCAACTTGAGAGGTTCTGGCGTCATCGCTCCGTTGATTTTCCGGTATCACGTGTAGAGTTGTGCTTGGCTGCTTGGCTATCTAGCTAGGCCTTGCTAGGTTACCTCTCTAGGTACCCTGTTGGGCCTGGAGCGTGGTAGCGAGTACCTATTCGGGTACAATGGGCACCCGTAACTTTGCCTGTGGTGGGCTGATAGTGGGGTTCGTGCTCCGAGATGCACCCCGAAGTCAAGTCACGCATTGCTCCTCGCTGTGACGCAAAGCCGCGTCCAGAGCTGCATCACAACGTGCCTCTGCGATCCTGCACTGACCCATGGTCCCATCGAACGGTCTGGATTCGACCATGTCTCCCAAAGGAATGCACCCAGAGCAGCGGGCCAACGCCATGCATTTCATTCCTCGCATTGTTTCTGCCGTGCGCCACGAGGTTCCCACTTTTCGAGGCCATGGCTCCATCCGTCCAATCTCGTGTGTTTTCTCGCAGGTCAATGACGCTCTCATGCCTGCGGTTGGTGGTACACACGGGCAGGACAGGCAGGTCTGGCAATGCCACCCATTTCTCGAGTCTAAACTCATAGCGATCATCGCACCCTGCCGATCTCTCATGGCTGCCCATCGTGGCCTATCTCTCAAAGGGTTCCTGTGACTCTCGGTTGTTCCGTCATTCCCTCGACCCTCCTGTTACGAACTCGAACTTGGGTCACCCAACACCAGTACCCTCTCGAGTACGCTAATATGTCTCGACCTTGTCCTATAGCAATCTTGCCATGCCGCTTCACATTTTGTCACAGCTGAGCATGAGTAGATACTGGCCTACCTTTTGGTACAAATATTGCAATATCAAAGCGCAGGAAACTGGGGTTTGGAAGTTAAACTGGAAGGGCAGACAAGCCTCTGTCTCTCACCATGGCTCCAGAAGCAGCGCGAGAGCGCGAAATGCACAGGTACTGCTCTTCCTGACCCTGTCCATAACCTAACCTGCTCATTCGGTCTCCAGGTACTATCAACCGTGGCTCGAAACCTTCTTATCGACCGACTTCGAACCTGCCTCGGACTTTCCTCCTTCTGCTACACAGGCTGATGCCCATCGGCCTCGTTCCTCGCGAGACAAGGCGTTGACTGCATTTGCGCAACTGGGCTGCCTCCGCCTGAACGCCAAAAGATGTATAGTCACTTTGCTGGGTACTACGAGGCAATATATCATAGCCGAAGCTACGAAATCTCTATCGCTGTTAAGCGATGACCACCACGATGAAGGAGACGAACTGTGGTTCGGAAATTCTTTCATTGAACGAGACGGTGGCATCTCGGCCGACGCTATGTATTGTGACAAGTATACCGCCTATGATCCGGATGGCTCTTCATTCACCACCGAAGCGTTAGTGGTCAGCGATATCGCCACACATGAGAAATACAAAACTCGGGGGTACGCTGGTCGGGGCGTTTCTTTTTATTGTGGCGTGCCAATCACCACTCAATTGGGCCATGTCATCGGGGTTTACAACGTCAGCGACGACAAGCCCCGCAAGGGTCTCACGGCAACTGAACTTCATTTCCTGCTGGACATGTCCGCTATCGTCATCCAACATTTGGAAAATGTACGGAACGATCGTGCCAGGAAGCGAGGAGAGCGCCTCATTTATGGGATTGGGACGTTCATCGAGGGCGACAAGGCTGAAGGGAGTGAAGACGATTCCAGTTCCCAACGCGACAAGTCCAGTAGCTCCAAATCGAGCCAGAATTCCACTCCCGAGGCAACCAACACTGCTGAATTCATGGGTCTGGTGATTGGAGACGCAAATGCACCTGCGGAAGACTCCAAACTCGGGGCCCTTACCCGCGACCGCGCAAATGGCAGAATGACACCAAAGTCTTCAGGCTTCAGTCAGAAAGGCATCCTCAACCATGTAGCCAGACACACGCAATCGGCGCATTCTGCTAAATCAGCCAAAGACAAGATAATGCAAGAGTCTCACCAAGTGTTTGATCGTGCCGCCGCTGTTCTCCAATATTGCCTCGACGCCGATGGGGTTGCGTTTCTGAATGCAAGTTCCGCGAACCTGAGCTCAGGTTCGAGCATGAAAACATCTGGAGCTGCTCTATCAAAATTCCATCATGATAAATCCCATGGAAGACATCACTCAGACCATCATAACGGAATGGACGGCGCCGAATCACAGCAAGGGCTTGCGAGGGACGATTCTCTTTCCTCCAGCGACGATACTGCGAGTACGCGGAGCAATAGCGACTCGTCTGCTTCCCAAAACAGGAGACAAAAGTGTGAAATTCTGGGTATCTGCACAAGCGATCCTAACCAGTCGATCAGCATCGCTGACCAGACCATGCGGCGTCTGGTTCGGCGTCATCCGAGGGGAAAGTCCTTTACATTCGACCAGTTTGGCAAGCCAGCCTCCAGTGACGAGAGCTCTGAGTCTGCGTCCGCTGTGGATATCTCCCTTGTGGATGCTGACCAAGGATTGAAAGCAGGGAAGCATATTCCCACCACCAATTCTCTGTTGAAAGCACTACCCGGAGCAAGGAAGATTGTCTTTCTGCCGTTGTGGGATTTTGCGAAGGAGCGGTGGCATGCTGGGCTGATAGTCTGGTCGAATGATGCAGGCAGGCTGACTAACGTTGAGGACGATTTGGTTTACCTGAAAGCTTTCAGCAACGCGATTGTGAATGAGCTCAATCGCATTGATCTAGCACTTTCCGATACTGCCAAGTCAACATTTCTGGCCAATATCTCTCACGAGCTACGCTCGCCTCTTCACGGGATTCTGGGGAGCATTGAATTCCTGCACGATACGGCCATGGATGACTTTCAATCCTCTATGGTCATCAGCGTTGAAACATGTGGCAAGACGTTGCTTGACACAGTCAATCATGTGCTTGATTACGCGAAGATCCACAGTCTATCCAAATCTCAGCGACAAGATCCCGCTTCTAGTCCGGGCCGTGCGCAACGGAGCAAACCTGAAACCAATCTGACGGAGGATTTTGATATGGCGGTTGTGGTGGAAGAAGCTGTTGAAGCTGTGTACGCCGGCCAAGTCTTCCGAACCGCCAACGCAGATGCATTGGAAGGGAAATCGCCTGTTCAGACGGCCGCGAGTCGAGCCATGCAACAACGCCTGGAGCGACGGGCCAATATCAGCAAAGGCTCGGCCAGAGCAGCATCCGCTGTCCGCCTTACCTTGAACATCGACGATCATACCAACTGGTGGGTCAGATCTCAACCCGGGGCTGTTAGGCGGATTGTCATGAACATTCTTGGGAATGCCTTGAAATATACTAGCAAAGGGAGTATCAATGTTGCGCTCGAGGTTGATCGCTCGCGTAACAAGGCGAGCTCGAATCTACACATGCTGCTGAAAATTGCCGACACCGGCCGCGGCATGTCGGATGATTTCATGAAGAATCACGCATTTACTGCATTCTCCCAGGAAGACACTTTGGCTACAGGTACAGGCCTTGGGCTCAGCATTGTCCGACAAATTGTCGACTCTCTTGGAGGCAAGATCGATCTGTCAAGCGAGAAGGACGTGGGCACCGAAGTACGAATCTGGCTCAGACTACCAAAGAGTCAGATGGATATCAATTCGTTGCCCGAAGCAAACATTATTCCAGACATGCGCCAGCGCACCACGGGACGAGAGATGTGTATGCTCTTGCCCTATGATGAGAAGAGCAGCGAAACAGACGTCCGCCATCTTGTCCCGATGCCGACGATAGAGAGCTCAATGCGGAACCTGGTGTCTCAGTGGTTCCGAATGAAGATCACCACGACCAAGACCATGGATGGTCTCTCGCCGGACTTCTTTATCTATCCTGAGCCACCTCCTATTGACTACCTAATTGACTACCACGGCAAGCCAGAAACGGAAAGAGAAGTCCCCGTTATCATATTGTGTACGAATGCATTCGAAGCAGCATCCTTGAGGTCAAACGGCATCCACTACCTTACCGATATCGGCAGAGTCATCGAGGTGATCGCACAACCGTGTGGGCCGCAGAAGCTGGCTAAGGTACTTCATCGGTGTATGCAACGGCTGGAGATGCTGCAAAAGGACCATGCAAAAAAGCCCTCGAAGACAGCAGCGTTATCCTTCGGGCGAGACCGAATCGTGGATAACGAGAGCAGCCAAGCAAGCGAGGATACTTCCAGGCCAGATGAAGAAGCAGTCCAGGACGTTGACCATGCCTCTACGCCTGAAGGTGACGGTATAGCCAAGCGCCAGTCGGTCGATGATTCGCGCAAGGTTCCCACCGAGAACCAGTCCAACTCGAGAAAACCATCATTAATAAAGATGGGGACTTCGGAAGAAGTAGTCACACTAAACCAATCAGATGTCACGCAAAGCGCTGCCCTGCCTCGAGAACCCGACACGAACAATTCCCGCGTCTTGGTGGTCGACGACAATCACATCAATTTGCACCTCCTCGTTACATTCGTTCGCAAAGCAGGCCACCCCTTCGAGTCGGCCACTGATGGACTGAAGGCTCTAGAAGCATACAAAAAGAGCGTCCGAGAGGGTGCTGGTCAAAATCCCTTCAAACATATCTTTATGGACATTTCCATGCCTGTGATGAATGGAATAGCTTCCGCTAAGGAGATTCGACGGTTCGAGAAGGACAACAAGGTTAACCCACCCGCTAAGATCATCGCTCTGACGGGTATGGGCAGTGATGTTGCCCACAACGAGGCGATCGACGCCGGGTTTGATGAGTTCTTGAGTAAGCCGATTGTAAGTCAACCTCCACCCCGAGTCTGTTGTCAGTTGGAGAAAAACAGCAAAGAATCCATTTAGACTCTGTACTGATGTGTCTGTTACAGAAGTTCAAGGATCTGCAGAAATTACTGGTCTGAATGAACGCCACCCTATGGGACCTGTGTCCACGCCGTGGGATGCGGGATGTTCTATCACCTTGATGCATTGTCTCTAGCATTTACAGAGGATTCGCATTTGGCTGCGTGGTGGACCTCCCAAGCGAAGGGCGGCATGAACAGAAGGCATCGAGATAGAAGGAGATCCACGAGGCCTCCGAGAAGAAGCGACCTACGCTCGTGACATGATGGAATGAACATATATGTGGTGTTTGCTGCGACGGTGAGGCTTTCAGGGCATGCATGGACGGCGCAATGAATAAAAAAAAGACCATGGGGGCTTTAACGACGTGATTGATACATGATGGATGAGACTAAAAAGAGCTGGACGGGACGTTGCATTCATTATTACTTGTCTGTTGTTTGGGCGCGAGCGACACGTTGAATCCTGTAACGTTAGTAACTACATGTGCCTATCTAGGTGCGTAGGTAACCTAGAGACCCCGTTGCCCGGGTGAGTATCCAAGGTATCTTGGACTCTTCTTTCACGTGCTCTTCTTGTTCTTGTTCTTGTTCCCGTCTCATTTCCTTATCCTCTGTCCTCTGTTCTCTGTCCTCGTCGATCGTCGAGAGTATGCACATGTACCGAAGATAGTACCACAGAGTAGGTATATCGGTAGGTAGGTAGGTATGTGAAGGAACGCATCCACCTACCCCGTTTCCTTGTGTGACGAGGACGACGGCGGTGAGAATGAGGATGAAGATGCTCGTGTTATTTGGTTTTTCTTTTTGCATTTCGCTTTTGCTTTTTGCTATCGCTATCGCTGGGACCTAAACAACCCTGTCTGCTGGAACCTGTCGACACCAATTGCAGTGCATTGCTTTCACCCATTTCCGGGAAAGCCTGCCTGGGTACGAAAACTCCATGTGCCCACAAACACAGGTACAGATACATATACATACATGTGCTTCCCCTTGGGGAAAGGATTGCATTGCTGAAACTTACGAACCACGCCGCATATCCGTGTATTTGTGTGTGTGCTGCACATTTCCCCTGTGTTGTGCAAGGCAAACACTTGAAATGACTGTCTCCCTTTCCCGCCTCCCCCCTGTGTGTCTGTGCCATGTCGAACCGGAACTGTTGCCCTGTGGAAAACAAAAAGGAAAAAAAAGCTCAAGAGTAATGAACAAGATGGGGTATAGTAAAGTCCAAGAATTGCTTCAAATGAATGCAAATTGTTGTACAAGGGTTCGTCCAGTGGTGGAGATCGAGAATGCCACTTGATGGCACGTATGTTAGGAAGTGTGCGTGGAATTTGTGAACATGGAGGTGTGTTCTGAATATTGAGCCCTGGTCGAGGGCAAGGCAAGACGTGATCGAGCATCGTATGAAGAACGGCTAAGCGAGGAAGGACCGGTCGAGACGGCTTTGGCAACCTGTCCCACAATTGGATGGTTGAAGCATTTCTGGAATCCTGACAGTCGAGGGTTGATGTACAGCCAGGTGTCGACAACCCAAATATCGCTCCTCATAACCCGTATAGTCCACAGTTTCCTTCTAAGAAGGAATTGTGACTTTCCAACCTAGTCCAAGTGGTTCCAATATGGTCAAGTTCGTTTTTTGCCAAAGTCGGACTCAGATATCAAAACAGTCCGCCAAACACGTTGATTCCCGACGTCTTGGATCTGAGATGAACTCAACTAGTCACTCTTTTGATCCACAACCCAGTGGGTTGCTCGTAAAAGTCGTCTTTATCCCTGCGCTTCTGTGCACGATGCAGCTTCAGTTGAACGTCGTGCTCCTCATTCTTGACTTCCTGAATTTCGAGATTCAGATTGGTTATCATCTTGTCGACCTCCTTGCGCTTTCTCGAGTCGTAGACAATCGCGTTCTTCTTCAGTGATTCCTGAAGTTCCAGGATGATTTTGTTCAGATTCCGTTTGCGCCGAGCGAGGTCCTCCAGTCGGGCACTGAGAGACGTGATTTTGTCCGCAGCTTGGAGTTCGCCAGGTGTTGGAGGAAGCGATTTAGTCGCTGACGTACCGGACATCAAAGACACGGCCCGAGGTTTACCATTGCGGTCATTGGCGTTTGAGTCGTTACCAACGGCTTTTCGAAGGATATTGGACGATTTCCGGCCGGTGATGGCTGAGAATGGGGAGATGCTGCTGTAGTTGTCGTAGCTGCGATGGCCACTATTGTTCGCTGCTACTCGTTTGCGGAGCACAATCGGTTCTGGAACTGCCGCAGGCGGGAGCTGTACTATGGGCACAGGACTGCTCGTGAGCTCCTCTCGTGCGATGGGACTCGGAGGAACATGACTGCTATCGTCCGTCGCGTCGGTCGCATAAGTGTTCCAACTCGACGTGGAATCTAGTTCACGCTGCAGGGGATTTCGGTGCGCCGTAATATCGGAATCTTCGCTGGACCTCCTGTCAGGTCCGATGATGGAGGGCGTGTTCGAACCCAGCGTAGGGCTATCAGCTCCATACTCTTGAACGGTACTGGGGGCAGGGCTTTGAGCTGGCTCGACCATGGTTGGACGTGAGCCAGGACTTTGGAATGGGCTGTCTAGTAGCCGCGTATACTCCAACTGCTTGGGTGACAGTGCTTGCGGCGACAGCGCTTGCGGCATCTTCTTGGTTTTCAGTGGGGCAACGGGCTTCAGGCTCTCCTCCGAGTCCACGGTTTTGAGGTTCGGGAGTTGTGAGGCGGCAACAGAAAGTGAGTCGATAGGGGACAAAGCATTCGGTTCGAGAGGTGCCGTTTCCTCCGGTGTCTCGCTTCTTGTCTCGGTCTCGGGTATCTTACGCCGCTCTACCAGCATCAGCGGTCGGGTTCGCGCTTCTGGGGTGTTCTTTACAGGCTCGACTATGGCATGTCTACCACTTGCCCCTCTCCACGGCGGTCGTTGGATCGGGTTGTCCAAGGGGTCACCCGGGTTGGGAGGCGGAGATTTTGTCCAGGCCGACTTTTTGACTGTTTCTCTGTCCTTCAGACCAGCCAAGATCTGCCGCGTTCTCTCCTTGAGCTGGGGGTATGGCTGATCATTCGAAGACGGCACTACTCCAGGACGGACCGAAGATGGCTTCCCTGCCTGGCTGGGTTCACCCGAGTATTCATCCCACCGAGTCTCTTCATTTCCCTCCTTCCGTAGATTCCACCGCTTTTTGACCCCTTCCTCAGGGGTATTTTGTGAGGCGGGGACAGGCAACTTCCGCGGAATCTGACTTTTGAACGACTTTTCTGACTGCGTGGGCGTCGGGAATGAGGGTTCGATGGGAGAGACCAGAGAGGCATCAGAGCCATTTGGGTGGAAGGAGGTCTGGCTGCTTAGGGGTGAGACACTGGCTAGACTGGCGTCATGTTGATGTCTCGGCTGCGTCGATGGCTGGTGAGGATTGTAATCGGAGATATTGGGGGAGGCCGAATCCTGATCAATCGAGTAGACCGACGTTCGCTCCTCCATGGGAGGGACAGGCCGACTGTGACAAAAAGGTGGTCAGTGTGTTTGAGGCAGAGAAGAGACAGCAAAGACATACAATGGGAGTTCTGGGAGAGCAGTGGCCGCAACACTACTGCGGCGACTGTACAAAGACTCGACCTCGGGGATTGTCTCGAGGTACCTCTCGTCCATTGTTGGCTCGGGATAGGGATAAGCTTGGTAGCCCATCTGATAGTCTGGAATGTTGTTCTGTCTCCACATGCTTGCAGTCTATCTCGGGAATGCTGCTTCGGCACTGGAGAAGGTTTGCGACGCTCCGACAGAAGAAGGGGTCGTCATACCGCGGGCGGCCTCTACGAGATCAGCGTGATGGAGCAGAAGTGAGCGGGAAGCGTCGGTGACTGATGTGAGTTGCCCGCGGAGGGAAGATTCCTGAGTCGTTTGTCGTCGAGGTACCGAGTACAGCAGGTGAATGGCTTCCGCAGGCTGTGCTGATCAAGTTCATCGAAATCCAAATTCGTCTGTGTGATTGAAGCGAATATTACGGGGGAGCCAGGGGGTGAGATGCGTTGTCTTAATTTGTTTGTTCAGGACTCAGAATGGCAGTTTGACGAGTTGCCGATTGGCTGAGGCCGACTTAATCAGTACCCGGAACTGAATGTGGCAGAAATAAAGGTGAAACAAGGAACGACGGCCGCCGTTGATTACTTTGTTACTTCAGGGTCATCACTTTCGAGACACGGCCGCAGCCCGAGCCAACTTCTGCATCCTTTGGGCTCCTTGTCTGACATACAAGTACGAGGGTACAGGTATGATCCATGGAGTTGACTTGTCCTCCACACACGTGGTACCTGCCAGCTCTTTACGCGTTATCATAAACTTTTGTTGTCATTGCCTGACCTGGTACTTGGTGGTGTGGAGATGGACCACCCCCGACCAGTCGATTAGGGGGCAACGAACCTGGGATACCCTGAATCAGGGACCTGCAGTACTACTACTAATGGCTCGCTGGGCTGCACGCGAGCACTTACGAGTTGACTTGTACAAGTACCAGGTAGTGCACCCAGATACACGAGTGCCTAGGTGAGCTTCATCACATCAGCCTCATCCATGGTCACTTCCTAGCGACAGAAGCACCCCTATTGCCCCTCCTGCCGCTTAACCGAGAGCCGTACTAACCATGTTCTCTTAGGTGACTTCGGCATGCCCCCAAACTTCACGAGGCTCTACTTCGGGGAATTCTCAGCCTTCGGAAATGACATCCGTCCTCCTCTACTACTCCTTCTTTACCCCCTGGTGTTCCCGTGCCCCTGTTTTCGCGAGAACCGCTACTTGTGCTGGCGATTCGTCTCACAGTGACGGCATCATCCGGCAAACTCCTGCGCACCCGACGAGAACTACCAAAGGCAAATTCGATTAGTTGAAGCCGAACGAAATTCTCGCGTTTTTTGTTTATCTCTGTGCTGTATACCCATCTCCAATTTAATCCTGATGTCCACGATTGCCATGTCTTTTTCGCCCTCCTTGGCGCCCAATGGTTAAGAAGGGGACTAGAAATACAGCCAACACCGAACCCGCCAGGGATACCCAAAATGTCGCCTGATACGGCCGATATCTCAGGGCTCCGACTCCTTGTGCCGCCCCTCCAGCGGTATTGTAAATGCTTGTTTGGATGCCCAGCCCGACCGTCGCAACAAGCCGGGTCACCGTGTTGAACAGGCCTCCAGCCACTGACTGCTGTTCACTGGGAAGAGACGACATGACGTACATGTTGGTAACGGTAAACTCCAAATCCTGGGACAGTACGCTGAACAAAAGTCCGGGAAATGCAAGAGCCCAGAAGGAGATCGAGGTATATATGGCACTGAAGAGTGCAGAAGCGATGACGGCACTCACGGCCCCAATGATCATGATCAGTCTGTTGGAGACTCGATGCATAATCATCGCTGCCAGCACGTTGACAAGGATTCCGCCAATACCTGCCGGGAGGAGATGAACGGCGACCATCAACGGCGACAGCTCGTCAATCCTTTGCCAGAGTAGAGTTAACCAAAATAGATTCCCCGCAAAGCCATAGAATCCAAGGCAGAGCACCGCCACCACCACGGTGAAGTTTCGGTCTTTCCAGACCCTCAATGGCATGAGGGGGTATCGGAAGACACTTTGCCAATAGATGAACCCAAGGATCAGGACAACCCCAACCACCAGCAGGGCAATCACATAGGGCGTTCCCCATCCACGTGGCGCGTCGCCCGCCAGAGTCAGGGAAGCAGTGAACATGGCAATCCCACCCACGGCCAGAAAGGCTCCAAGAAGGTCGAATTTCACAAAGGTGCTCATATTAAGTCCTCCGAGTGATTGTTCGGTGTCGGGCGGGGTGGTCCACAGGGCTGCAAAGAAGAAGAAGGCGAAGATGACCGACATGACCCAGAACGCCGCTCTCCAATTGGCAATTTGCATCGTCACGCCACTGATGAACGCCCCGAGCACGAAACCAACCGGATTGCCACCAGAGAAGCAGGCAAAGGCTCTATTCTTTCGTCGGCTTGGTCTGTCGTAAACCGCGCCTAGCTTGCCAATGGCCGGCGGGACGGACGCCGCCGAACTGAGACCGAGGAGACCACAGAAGACATCCAGAAAGTAGGCATTGGTGGCAAACCCCGTGATGAGCAGACAGATACTGAAAAAGGCCAGGCTGCACAGGAAGAGCAGTCTCCTCCCAAACAAATCGGCGACGCGGCCAAAGAAGAGCAAGAATGTCCCCGCCGCGAGGGTCTGGGCCGCGCTGATCCAGGTCACCTCGGCGGCCGTCATATTCAGATCCTTGCCGATATAGTTTGTCATGCAGAGGATGGCCCCGGTGAAGATGGAGCTCTGACCCACGGCGATGGTTGTGGTGAGAACAAAGAGACATTCCTGGAAGAGACTGTTGAAACATGCTGGACGACTGCCATAGGGGTCGGACTCTGCTGGGGCCAGCGACGCTCCGAGTGACGCTGTCGGTTCGATTATCTGAAAGTCGGCGACATGTGTGCTTGCTTCGACATCTTGGTTCTGCTGAGCATGGGTTTGAGAGGGTTGTTTCTCCATTGCCATCACATCCGCTTGCTGCCCCCCGCAGCACTGGAAAGAAGGGAGACCAAGCTCGAAGGGCGATACGGCGCAAGGACCAGGTAGAGATGGAAAGCAGCAAAAATCTAGCTTGAAGAATGGGTGAGTGTGCGTGTGTGTGTACTTGTGCGATTGAGTGTGCAAGTTTGTGAGTGGCGAAAAGAGGAGAAGCTCAGATACAAGTACTCGGTACCTCGTCCAAAGCCAGGACCCTACTTTGTACCTAGCTTGTGCTAGCACTAGCTGGCTGGCTAGCTAGCTATTATTGCGCAAAAGCTTGTCCAGAAGACCCCGGCCGAGCCCAAAGAATTGAGCGAACCCCGAGCAAAAAAAGGTAGATCAGTACCTTAGAAGTGAACAGCCTCATTGACGATCGAAACGTTGTCTGTTGACAGCCCCGACACGACACGACACGACACGAGTCGTCGACAACTCGGAAGGTGGTGCTAAGTACTCGGGAGTCCTATCATGCCCGATCTGGTGGGTGTTTTGTGGATGTTGTTCTACTTGCGTGCCGAATGCTTGTATAGTGGTCTGCAACGGGACACGCGGAGATAAATTTTGTTTATATAAGCACGTCCCCGCCTTTGACGGATCTTTTCCGCGTGGTCGGGTTCGGGGTCCCACCACCACCACCACGTCCGACCGATGGAAGATCTATTACTTGTACGAGGTACGAGGGACTCACAACGGGGACAAGGTCCAAGTATAAAGTGCAAAGTTCAAAAGCATGAGCACAAAGTACAAAGTACAAACTACGGGTGACGGGATATGACATGCTCGTAGGGGACTTACCGAGGACAAGTCGATCCATATTCACTCCAGGACAAGGACAAGGACAGGGACAAGTACTTGTATATGTACGTATGTAGTACAGTGCAGTGCAGTGCAGTGTAGTTGCATGTGCGTGCGCGGGCGAGCAAGCAAGCTAGAGGCTCTGCTCAAAGTCCGTTCATCGAGTTCATACCACAGATACATCCAAGTATCCATACTTCGTGTTCGCGAATACGGATAGTCTAGCATTCTGATATTCTGGTCGTCTGCCACCTGAGATAGCTTTGGATTGCGCCGGCCGGCAAAGGAGGCTTCATTGGCGGATGGCGGTTGGTGAGATTGTCACTCTCAATAGTCTGTCGAGTCTGGTCTAGTAGGCGGCTGTACCAGGTTGCGCATTCCCGTTCAAGGCGTATAGTATGATGTGATACCGCTGGTAAATGGAATAATGGTTTCAATTTTGTTAGGTTCTATATTTTGATTTTATTCCCTCGTCTTGTCGGTAGGTAGGCGTGCGGTATATGACACCCAACCATCCATCCCATTATACACTTTCGTCACTTCTTCAAAGTCCCTCTACGAAACAGTTTTCCCGTCGGTCGGGAGATTGTCCATGGTGGAAACTGCTCCCTCCACATGCCACATGCCACCGATTATTACCGGATCGAGCGAGTGACTTTGGAGGCCATGTCCTCGATCTGCACCTCACCATCTCAATCCACACCCTGTCCACTTCCTCGTGCTCTTTACATGTTCCGTCCGCCAGTCACTTCGATGGTCTGACCATTGACGTAGGAGAACAGCGGCGAGCACACGGCCAGAACGGCACTGGCGGCTTCGGTGGCGGTGCCCGGTCTGCCCAAGGGAATGTCCTTGAACGCCGCGCTGGGGTCAGTTCCTTTCCGCTCGGCAAGCTGCTTTCCGGGAATGCCCAGGGCGATGCGCTGGCCGTCGGCGGTCGTGATGAAGGCTCCTTGTTCCTTGGCTTGGGTCAATCGCGTGTTGATTTGGCCAAAGGCGATGGTGTTGGCGCGGACACCGAACTGTGGGCAAAGGTTAGTGAGAAAAAGGTCGAGGAGAAGAAAGGACGTCGAAAGTTGTCTGACTCAAGCAAGACGCAGTCGTCAAGTAGAGAGGGGGGAAAACGTACCTGCGGTCCCCATTCCTTTGCGATCGTCTTGCTCAAACCCGTAACACCAGCCTTTGCCAGACTGTAGTTGGCCTGACCAGCATTGCCGTGCGTGCCGGACGTGCTCGAGATGTTGACAATGACTCTCTTCTCGCCATCCTTGACCCGGAAGTACGGGGCGGCTTGTCTGATCAGCCGGAAGGGGGCGGTATTGTGCACGTTGATGATGGTGTCCCACTGTTTATCGGTGATCTTGTGGATCACGCCGTCCCAGGTGTACCCGGCGTTGTTGACGATGATGTGGATCTTGCCGTTGCCGAACTCTGCGGCCTTGGAGACCAGCACGGGGAAGTAGTTGGGGTCGGTCACGTCGCCGGGCACCGAGATGGCGCGCTTGTTGCCCGGGGTGGCATCGTTGATGGCCTTGGCCACGGCCTCGCCTTTGGCGGCGTCGACGTCGCACACGACCACTTTGGCGCCCTCGTTGGCGAACAGTCGCGCGCACTCGGCCCCAATACCCTGACCGCTACCTGTGATCTGGTTGGGATTGTGTCAGCCGACCATGTCAATAGGAACAGCCGGAGGTGCTGCTGGGAGCGAAGGACTTACGATAGCGACCTGCCCGGCCAACAGGCCCGAGGGGTAGTTGAGATGCGAAGCGATCTGCTGTGCTCTTTGCGCCATGGTTTTGGTATCTAGGGATGGTACGGGTAGGGTTCAAACCGACACTTTCTCAAGTCCGCGGTGTGTGAGGGAAACAAAATAAAAATGCAGAAATCCCCAAAAACAAACTTCGACTGGTCAAGTACAGTACTAAGCAAGGCGTAGCAGGTACGGCAAGTTGTAGATTCAATCGAGGGATTATGTTCTCGCTGGTTCGCCGAGTTCATTATCCGGGGCACCAACGACCAGCAGCGCAGTTTCCGACATGCCGAGGCAACTTGAGCCAAGAAAGCCGCCGAGGCGTTTTGCAGCATTGGTGCAAATGTCACCTCCAGAGCATAATTAAGGGCGCGCCACCAGCAGCGGCCGACTTCGCTCCGACTGACCCCGACTTGCTCACTCACTAACCCACCATCCGCCATCATCTTGACATCCGTCGTACCCATTGTATGGTCCTACCTACCACATATACCACACAACTAGTAAAATGAATCCGCACTGGGTACGACGCATACACCTTATATATACACGGACTGTCCCCGATCCGTGTAAGACGTCGAGGCATCCTCTTCGGGTACCATCGCAGTTTGAGATCCGAGCTCGATCTAGGATTCCCAGATTCAAATCCATATCATGGAGTCTAGGACCAAAAACCTACGGCGCCCAATGAGCACTGAGAAGAAACGCCCTTTTGATTTTTGTTTTGGGGAAACTACCAACCCCGATTTTTATTTTCCCCTCCCGAATTAGTAGGATAGAGATGACACCGTAGGATTATGGCAACTTTCGCACCGCAGATGTGAGTCAAAAGAAGCAAAAAGAAACTAAACACAGTATATTTTCCTCCGGAACCCAAGATAGCACTGGAAAGAGTCAGTTCATTGCCTCCTCGCAAAGTCTTGCTCGGTCGACACCTCTTCCACGGGGTTCTTGTTGAGACTTTCGTAGAGCTGGAGGTAGCTGCCAATCAAGAAAGCCCAGGAGCCCCTATTGACGAATCAAGGTTCGAGAGTCAGCGTTACAGAATTCTCGAAAGAAGCAAAAGGATCAATGCATGCACTTATGACTTGATTTCTCATCGCAGGAGAATGTGACGAAAGATCGTCTCGCTCGGTTGTGGGCACCGGGACAGAGAGGGCAGAAAGAACGTACCAAAAGGTGGCCAATCCAGCCTCGTACTGCGCCCCAGAGTTTTTATACGCCATACCCAAACATCCACAAAGCGTGAAGCCAAACGCTCCCACGAGGTTCCAAAACGCAATGTGCCACCCCAGCAGGTGCGGCGCCGGTTTGTACCACTTCTGCTGCGTCTCGAGCATGTACAGCGTGCTGCTGACGATGAAGCCACTGCCGCCAATCACCTGTGGAATCCAGTATGCCGCATTGAGCCGCCACTGGGGCGTCAAGTGATTGATGATGCCGGGCAAGGCGGTAATGCCAGAGATGCCAAAGACGGTGGCGCCAAAGAGTTGGGCAGAGCCGGCAAGGAAACCCAGCTCGTGAAAGTAATGCGTCCGCAGATCGTGCCACGACGGGAACCACTGCCAGGCCTTTTTGCCGCCCTTGTCAGGTGACTGCGCGTCGCCGACGGCCAGTTTCGACGGCTTCCCGACCATATTGCGCCGATTTTGGTGATGATGAAGACAGCGGTGACGATTGGCCACGACTCGGAGTCTTGCTGCCCCATGTTTCTGCGGCCCGTCGTCGTCTAACAGCTGCTCAACCGCCCAGCCGAAACAGCCAGTGTTGTTGGCATTGATTGCCTCAAATATCAAAAGGACAGAGCCCACTTCGAAGAAGAGGATGGCCCCGATGAATGCTGTGACACCTCCCCCGTAGTAAATTTCGCCGTCAAATTCAGTCGAGGGGGCCACAACCGGAAGCCAGACAAAGAATCCCTAGATGGCCAGCACAAAGCGGTTAGCGTTAGTTAGTTCAGTGCGCGGCTCGAACCCCTTGGACATCTCTAGGGGCCAAGCGTACATTCATAACCCAGACGACACTCCCCCAGGTGAAGATGAAAGCGACGAGCCACGAGATATCCCAGACTGGATAGTACGTAAAAGTTTTGACAATGTTTTTGAGGACCTCTCTTGGATCCGACGTTCGTCTCGGGGTGACAAAATATGCCTCTTCTCCAGGCTTGGGCCTTTGCACGAGCAAAGGGTGCCGACCTTTTCGGTTGTCTCGCGATCGCCATAGAAATCTGATGTTTTTTGCGGGGACGTCGGAACGGGCATTGCCCTGGTGGGTTTCATGTTCGACTTCATCATGCACGTTTTCCTGCGAAGTCTCAACGTCCTCGGTCGTCTTCTTGGAGAGAGCTCCGGAATGGTTGAAATGTGCCCGGGTAGGATTAAGGAAACCAAAGGGACCCTCGGCGCGTTGCAGTGTCAGTCTATTGTCATGCCGGAATGGCTCTCGCGTGCGGAAATGCCTGTTGCGAGGGGGCATTGTGGTGAAGTTGGAGGTGTAGCCAGGTGTAGGTGTAGGTGTTTTGTCGGAAGTCCGGGTGTTATTGGTAGCTTCGAGTGGCTGTCGCGCCGATGTATCCTTCCATTGCCCGCCGGGGACGATTAATGATGACAAGGACAAGGGGGATTAAGATGCATGGATACACGAACTCGAAATATTGGCCCTGTTTGGCCCCTTCCTACGTCACGGGGGTTGAAATTAAATAATAAATGCCAAAAAAAAACTGAAGTTGGTTGTGACGCCGCCGCAAATGTTTCTGGGCTGTTCAGCTTCCCCATTCGCGAGACAAAACAACAACCACCACAACCACCACCACAGCCACCAACATCAATCACCACCACCAAGAAGTCAACGACTCATCAGGCCAAGAACGTGGCTTGAATCCCCTTCAATGTCCTAAACGGCTCATCAAATGGGCGTCCAGACTCGCTTCACTCCTCTGTCACTTGTTGCTTGATTCGAACATTGCCATGGCTCCCTTTGCCACCCTGGGTGCCTGGGTTGCTTACTGAGCCACTCAAAGATGCTGACTGGGGACCGCCTATACTACTACTGTACATACTTGTTCTTTACCGTCCCATGCAGAGTTCCTGTCACAAAGAGGGGTTCGCGATCCTTAATTTCAGGGACGATGACCTCGAATCGAATTCCAACGCAGCTGACAGCGATGCGAGGTGCATGATCATCCGGATCTCGTGATTCTGGCCAAGAGTGTCCCTGCAAGAGCGAGATATCAATCAACACCATGTCGGGACGTATATAAAGCTACACAACCACAGCAAGGGTCTCCTGCGTCCGGGTTTGGAGCTTCGGCTGCAATTGGTGGCTGCATCTACCACATGGCGGCTGTTCGACATAGCCACCGGGGATACATCTCGCTGGTCAAGGGTTTGCTTGAGCATGCCTGACAATTCCCCCCCTCCTTCCCCTATACAATAGATATCGTGCTGATTGCTATCGGGAGCCCCTGGACATCGCATACAAGATGTTTCCAGTGAGCAACTCTCGTGCGCTCGATTGTCTGGTCTGTGCCTTTGTAGCTTTGACAGGTGAGAGTGTGTCTAAAAACCCCCGAATGGGCATGCGAAGGCTTCAAGTCCCTACTCTTCAATCATTCCGGCGTTTTCGTCATCTAGGGGCCTTCACGACGAATAAAGGATCCGCCATGATGCACCAAGCCTCCAGCATGACCACGTCGAGCGGCGTAAAGATGTTGAGACCAAGATGGCGACGATGGAGGTTCTAGAGCGACAAGCTTTGGCTACTCCTTCCAGTGTAGAGTTACCTGCTCCACCGTACTACGGGCGAGTATTGCGACTGGAGAACAATTCACGAAAGAACCGCTCTTCGAGTCTGAAATACTGCGAGCCGAAAAATCCGGCCTCGCTCAAAGTATGACAGTGCCAAAGTGCCCGACATTCACTTGTGTAGCGTAGAACTCGGGCCAACCCTTTGACCCCATGTATCCGGGCCTTTTCTTTGCTGGGAAGGAATACTTTTCTTGATCTTGCCCGAATTTGCCCCCATGCTCGGATTCGACCTTGAATACGACCGGTCATCTTCCAGGATGAGATTGGGAGTCTCTCAGCTCCTCCGCCGATGAAGCGGACGACAAGTTTCTTCCCTCACTGACCTGTTTCATGACTCTTTCAAGGGTTGGAAAGATTCCCATGGAAAACACGCCAATAGGAATGCAGAAGAAGATGGGGATCTCTCTATGCAGGGCAGGGATTTCTTTATTCCGTTTCCGGTCTAGGTCGATCAGCCTCAGAAACGAGTCCCCACCATGGCCTTCTATCTAGTCAGGAAGCGACAACAAGAGAGGCCATATCTCACCGACGGCAGCCTTCATGCTGGATTCAACGGGGCATAAACTTGAGACACGGTCCTTTGGCTTCGGACGAAGTAGTGGCTTTCGGTGGAACACAATGGGCCGAGTCCAGGAAACGTCGTCTATAAAAATGGGCTGTGGCCTGCAACAGTTACCATCTGCTCCCCAAGCCTTTGGTTCAAATCTCTCTCCTCTAGACAGAAGCAATCTTCGCCCTTTCCTATCCAGAGTCATCATCGGCCTCTTAGCTTGTATCTCATCGTCATGTCGCCAGACACGCTCTCCTTGACTGGCAAAGTAGCCATCATTACCGGATCAGGCAAAGAAAACGGTATCGGTGCAGGCATTGCTTCCACCCTGGCGCGCAACGGTGCCTCGGTAGTTATCAATTACGTCTCCGACACATCTGCGGCCCGCGCTGCTGAGGTGGCTCAGAAGATTGAAAATGCTGGAGGCAGGGCCACGGTTGTGCAGGCGGACGTGTCGACCCAAGAGGGTGCCAAAAAACTCGTCGAGGCATCGCTCAAGGCTTTCCAGTCGGGCAAAGTCGACATCCTGGGTGCGTGGCACTTTCGGGTTCCCTCTTCTCATTCCTTCCTGCACATCTCTTCGAGGGCTGACGTGGGAACGCATCATGGCTCGCAGTGAACAATGCAGGTGGAGGCCCTCTCGTCAAAGTCCTGGAAGCGACAAAAGAGGAAGTGGAAAAGACGTTTGCAATCAACACCTTCGCCTCGCTGTATATGACGCAAGCGGTGGTTCCCGTCATGCCTCGAGGGGGTCGCATCATCAACATTGGCTCCATTGCTTCGAAGCTGGGCGTGTCGCCGATTCCGTTGTATAGTGCATCCAAAGCAGCGGGGGATGCGCTGTCTTATGCTATGGCCATGGAGGTGTGTATGACCATCGCCGACTGCAATTGATGGCTTTCCCAATATTGCTGTCGCTTCGCAAACATCTTGGACAACGGTTAACGTGTATCATTTCAGCTCGGACGTGGATATGGAATCACCATCAACACAGTAGCGCCCGGACCTGTTCCAACAGGTAAGTAGCTTCTGGCAACAAATTGTTCATTCTTCCGGATCCGGCTTGGTTGGAGTTCGTGCCTGGATTGTTCTTGTCAGACACTAACTTTTTCGGGGCGACACAGATGGTCTGCCTAAAGGCCCGGTGGCCGACGCAGTGCACAACTCTCTCATACCCATGACAAGGGCCGAAGAGAGAATGGGGACCGTTGACGATATCGCCGATGCGGTGCTGCTTCTTGCCTCGGAAAAGAGTCGATGGATCACGGGCCAGTTCATCTCAGCGAGTGGTGGAATCACGGGTGGATAGGACTTGACGCTTGGACAAGTTTGAGCAACCTCGAAAATTGAGCGAGGTCGGTGGAGTTCACCGGCAAGTGTGCTGAGATCCTGGGTAGTCTTCCTGGTCTGCTTCGGAGCAACACAAAGCATCATCAATCTCGAAAATGACTTTTGCGACACTCATCTCCATCAATTTATCAATCCAGATGAAACTTTGCGCAATTTCAATGGCGGCCTTGCCACTTTTGACTCCCATGGCTCTCATCACATTGACAGTAGCCCTCGCATGCAGTAGATCAGATTGGTCTGGCTGCAATGTAGCGACCATGATGATAGCCCAAAAGCTGAGTTCCGGAAAGTAAGTGTCGATACGAGATGCCATGGGAACGAAGGCCGAGAATCGCTGTAGTAGTCCGGCGAGCTCATCAGCTGTGAGTGCAAAGGCCTGTTTCACGCTGGCCACCACGATGAGCAAGGCGAGTCTGACCATCTCCTGAAGCACTAACTTCGGCAGGGTATGGCCAGATGAAGCCGGATCAGTGAACCGTCGTAATGATAGAAGTAAATGGAGAACAGGTGTGATTCGGCTTGCTGCTGTGGCGCCGTCCTTCCAAAACAGAGGATTTCCTCCATTATTATTCACAAACATTGTCAGATGTGCAGTCTTCTCAAGTGCGGTCGCCATGTCGAAAAGTCCCTCGGAGGAGTCACGAATCCGCATGAGGAGATCCGTCACAGATGGAGACAATACGTTGTCTTGGGCGCTCGCAGAGGACAACCCAAAGGCAACCGGGAAGAGCGGCTTGCGGTCAAAAACAGAGGCGCCAAGAATATCAAACCTGTAGGGGGTCAGTTAAAGCGCACTTCAGTCATCTTTTTGCTCTTGCGGTTTGACCATACCAACAGGTGAACATGACAATGGTACTGTTCAGGGTGTGAAAGCCGCCACGAACTTGGATAATGTTATTGAGACCCTGCATATGGACACCGTATCGGTCCCATCTGCCGACATTGGACTATCGAAACAATTAGCGCCAGAGCTTGATTCGAAGTCCAAGGAACCGACATCGTGACAGAGAAATCCCAAGACTGTAGTTATGACACCGTCACTGATCTGATGGGATTCCCTTTCAAGCCTTTGAGCAACCCCATTGAGACACAGGCTGAGATACTTCGAGGACTCTTCAAAGTCACCGTACTCACAACCTTTGCGTTCAGTCATTTGATGGAAGAACAGCGCTGCGTTCGCCAAGGAGAGGTAGAATGCGGTACGGTCGATAACAGCCATCGCGAACCACTCATTCCGGAATGGTCGATAGAGGTAATCACCCTCGCTTTGCACTAATCCAATAAACAAGAGGACTAACTCAGATAGATCGGGGGAAGAGGCGTACTGAAGTGGATCAATTGGCGGGCTCTACCGTCTGTTTCCACGGGGAATAAAGCATAGGGATGAAGAGAATAAGCTACATTCTCGTAGCAGTGCTGGTCTTGATGTGCCCCGTGAGTACATATCTCCGCGTCGTCCTCAATGGCACCGCTGCCGAGCTCAGCTGGAGGAAGCCTCACGGCGAAAGTAATGGATCTTGGAGGCTTTTTTCGCGACTCTCCAACGCGAGCCATGACATGGTGCCGAACGACCTTTTGGGTGCTTCTTCGTCTAGAGTCATCAGGATTGGATATGTTGATAAATGTCAAGTCTGCTGACTTCTCGCTGCACTTCTTTTTCAACCCCATCACAGCTGGATTGGTCCATATTTATGGAATGAAACTGACATGTTCAGAGGCGAGAAGTTGTGGGAGCCTCGAGGCAGCGAGTTCTGTCTGACTAAAAGGCGTCGGCGTCAGCGCACCCTACCGTGCCTAATTAGAGGGAATATTATTGGGCGGTGTTCATAATTGCTTGTCAGACGAGATTATTTCCACTCGCAGAGACGCCAACCAATCGAAAACTTGACCCGACAAGTTATCCAAATCCTTCTTCGCGCGACTGAAAAAAGTGTCGGCATCATTGAATATTCTCCCTCCATGCCATCCGACTATCTTTCACGTGGCTCATATATGGCTCTTTTCCTTCGCTGCACCCAGTGTTAGCGCTTCCTCACATGTCTTCCCATTCACTCCGGTCTTCGGGTCATGCTCAGATGGTTTGAGCAGCTTCCATCCAGAAGTCGGTTGTGTAGCCATCCAATTACTCCGCGTCTGTCGTTCTTCAAAGCTGGATCGAGTCCAAAGTTCGTCACTCCGAAACCTACGACGCGAAAGGCACTGTCATACACCTCCTCCCTCCGAACCCGACGTCAAGATGCCTTGCGCCACCCATTCCGACCTCTATCCACTACAGCTCAGGTCAACAGGGCAAAGAAGAGCAAGGATGTGCGGAAAAACAACATCGATACGGCGATATCATCGCAAAGAAGTCCCGAGGACTGGGTGGCCGAGATGGAGAGATTCCTTCCGCCGCACTTGAGTTGGCCAGAAGATCTTGCATCTCCAACAATCATCCCACCAGAAGTGAATGTTGAGGATGTGCTTCGAACTCTTACTGTGGCTCGGGATCAGAGCGATGTGGACATTCTGGGCTTCATGGTGCTCAGTCAACGCCGACATAAAGCCGTTGTTCACCTCGTCGAGATCTTGCTGAAGGACGTAGCCCTAGCAGCTAATGAGCCTTTCAAAGATGAACTGCCATCCAACATAGACTGGCCGGCTGGCTCGTTTGAAAAGCTGGATGGTGCTCCCATTGAGCTAGAGCGTACGTTGCACGTTAGCCGACGACCGCTGGCTACTTCTCAGCAGTCCCTTGAGTGCTCTTTCTCAGAGAAAAGCCAGGGGATTACGATGGAGTTCACCTGGTCTCTTCTGGCCGACCTGGTCTTGGCCTCTACCAAGACACCCTCAGAGGAAGGAAAACAGATCATGGACACTGTGCATCAGATTTTGGCGCTCATTCACAAGCTGGGGCTCGTTCCAGCGACTATCTACACTTACAGCCTCCCACAGGGCACGACGACAATGCAACAATCGCCCATCCTTCATCTACTGCACTCGAGAATCCTGTCAACGCTGTCAGATGCTGTTTGGCTTTCCCATCGGGTCGAGGTTACGGCACGTTCTGGTAAATCGGAAAGCAGTCAATGGAATATCTTTCGAGAGCCACCACCTGGCCCCTTGCGGTCAAGGAAGCGAGAGCTTGGACCAGAGGTGTGGCTGGAGTTCATCCTCTGGTGCTGCGTTGAGGCTGGATTGGCGGCAACGGGAGCTCGAATCATCCAGTCATTGCAGACAGATACAACGGCTCCTTGGCAAGCCATTCACTGGCCTGATAATCAAGTGCCTTCAACAGACTGGGACCAACAGATCCATAGAGGAAAACTGCAGCGTGAAGCGGGAGGCTATTACGGGGAAGAACTTCAAGGCGACACTCCCCGAAAATTCATCAGCACTGAAGTTGTTTTGGCCGTTGCTGACTGCCTGATAAACACCCTCGATGGGTCTCTTACAAACGACAAAGCGTCTGTCATGAAAATCCAAGACGATATCAAAGACCTGATATCTTTTGCGGGTCCGCATGGTCTTGCGCCTGCGTATTTCGACTATGTGGCTGTTCGTCTTCTTCAGACGGAAAATTTATATGACATAAACAAAGTCGATTCTCTCCGAAAGTTGGCATCTACTATCTCTGTGCTTCGAGACCTGCATAATGTGGACCAGAACCACCGGCAGAGCCCTGCGCTTGACTTCGAGTCCATTCTGGACCGCTCCGAGCTGCATGCCGGGATCCTCCACCAAGCTCTGCAGGCCTGCGTTGAAGCGAATCTCGTCCGAAAGGCTGTCGACACCTTCACAGAAATTCAGAAGATGGTTGACGGTAACAAGCTTGAGGCCATTGGAGAATTTTTGTCACTTTCACTAAGTCCAGGCGATGGCTTCTTTACTTCCAGACATGGCAAAGGTCGCAGCGAATTCCTCAACACCTATGGACAGCTTCCTACCCACAAATTACCTCCATTCCTTGATCTGGTGACGAATGCGAAGCTGTTTGGCTTGGGAGACTGGCTCCTCTTCTCAGAAGACGTTGACGGGGCTCTCTTGCCTTCTTCCACCTGGGGGAAGCCGTCTGTTATGGCCGCCATAGTCCGCTATGCATCGGCCAAGAACGACCCTCTTCTGGCCAGACATGTCTACAATATCAGCAGACGATCGGACAGAAAATTGACCGTGAGCGTCTTGAGAGCTTTGGTGGTGTATCATATTAATGCGTGCGACTGGACAAATGCCGTTCTCGACCTTCGAGATCTACGACGTGCTGAAGGTGGTGGCTATAGCCCCAAGATTGTCGCGAGTCTCGCAGCTAAGATTCTAAACTTGGAAGTCGATCCGGTGGCCATGCAACAAGAAGAGGCTGAGTCCGATCTTTCCCAGGCTCTCGTGCTGCTTTGTAATATTCTCGACGGCACTTACGACTCCCCACCAGCGAGCTTCAGGATCGACCAAAAGAAAACCTTTCGACAACAAGTAGGATACCTCTTACGCCTTTTGGAAAATGTGACAGACAGCGAGCTTACAGACACTGCCACTCGGTTCAAATCAAGATTTCCTGTCAGCAACGAGCCAAACCTTCTCACAGATACGTTCAATGTTGTGTTTGGTGCAATCGTTGAGACCAAAGGTGTACTGGAAGGGCGCAATATGTGGCACTTGTTCTGCAAAGATCCGAGGGACTGTGCGACTTCGTCGCTTGTGGTCGATGGCCAAGACCTTGCATATGAGGACCACGCCAGAGACAACGACTATGATGAATACTTCGATGAGAGCCTGAGTGATGCGCCGAATGATTTGATCCACGTCGGCGAACATGTCGACGACAATTCTAGCTCGATGATGAGCACGGTCGAGCCGCTTTCGATCTCCAATGCCACACAGCATGCAGGAATTCAAGTTGCTGTTGTTTCTCCCGCCTCGCTCAACATTGATGCCGCATTATCAAGCAATGAGTCAGGTTGGGAGAGCAACCAATACTCCAGCGAGTCAGGCACAGGGAGCGGAGACACCGACATTCCTATCGAGATGTCGGATACGGGCGTGGATCCAACGCAGCTAAATCCAATTGTCGTTCCCAACATGCGCACCTTGCAAATCCTTGTCAGAGGAGCTTTGTCTGAAATACAGGCCAGAAAAGAGCGCAAAAGAGGTCATACGGACCTCGATGCAGTCCTCAGATGGGCGGAGCAGTTCTACGGAGCGTTTAGCCTGGCGCGTGAGGATATCGAAACAGAATTCCGGCTTTCCGAAGTCGTGCCGAGGAAATTGAAAATTGCTACGAAGCATCGCCGAGCAGCACACAGAATAACACGTGAGAAGTACAAACTGGGTGTTGGCAAGCACTTTACCAAGGGAGTCTTTGTATCTAGACGTCCTGGGTCTCAACGACCGGCCCAGGCACCAGCCCCGAGAGAGGCGTCTCACAATGTGACAAAACCTGCGGTGGACGAAATGGAGAAGGGCGAGACTCAAGATGAAGGCACACAGCTTGAGCCGGCGCCATTGCCGAACTTCAAGGTGCGGAAGTTTGCGACCTCCGTTCAACATACCTAGGGTTAAGAATCTTATATGGAGCGGAGGTTCGTGAAGTGTAATTTAAGAGTCTACGATCTCCCGTTGTACAATATATCTCACATGTCTACCATGTATAATACTTTCAAGGGAGATGGTCCCAGTCACCCTCTTCAACTTACCACGGCGTTGTAGCACTCGTGAATGTGTTGGAGTGAGCATGACGGAACTGGAAGAGATGATTGATGCTTGGCATCAACAAGGCTGGGAGGATAGGGGGTCCTTGTCTATCTCTTCGCCAGACAAACGATAATACCTAGTGAGCCAGGTAACCAAGGCATGTAACATGACATGGATAGACGAGAACAGGCTTGTAAAGGTGATCATTACATTGAGGGAAGTGAGATACTGTGGGAACCAAATTCTAGGGGAGGTCTGGCGAGGGGCCTAACAAACCGCACATTTTCTCCGCCTTCATGCTGTCCTTGGAAGTGAAAGATCGGGACCGCATCACCCCTCTCCTGTCCGTACCATTCTCCCCGCAAAAATTCCAAGGTTTACAAGATGACAAGCCATACATGCATGCATGCATGCACGCGGGACAAAGGACAACGTCAACTAGTAGCTAGTAGCTAGTGATGCCACCGATGCCACGCACGACGACACCATGGCAATTTTCCCCTCTTTTTGCGAGAATTCCTTGTTGCCCTCTCCTCGCACGTGCCGCGTGCACAAATCTAGGCTTTTCTCCGGCCTTGCGGATGTGTTAAAAGTGGGAGTCTTCTGTTCAAAGGACTTTGATGCGAAACCTTGATGCAAATTTCGAATCATGATGTTTCTAAAACAAGTTTACCATTCATTGTCACTGGGAGAGAGGGACAGAGGAGGGGAGAAGAAGATGGGAAAGGCATAAATGTCATATCTATCTAGGTTAGATACCCCTCGATTCGATGGCCGGGATGATAGCTATGTGTATATGGATACTCTAAATGCGGAAGAAGATGCTGGTGAGTAGATACATACTGTATGTAGGTTAAACAGACGGTCGAGCAGGGTATTCGCCTCATTTACCACTCCTTCTCCCCTCTCTGTACAGCAAGCAAGCAGGGCTACCTCCGCTACGCACCCGGTCAGCATTTCTCCTCTTTCCCTCGTTGGATAACCCCCCTGTCGTGGCCCAATCGGTCGTCCAAGGGGAACTACCGGGAGTAATAATATCTCCAGCATCTCGTTACGGAACGCGGGGAAGGGGGGACCTAAGGGGGAGAAAAAGAAGAATACAACAAAAAGCCGCCATGAAGATCTCGTCTGTTGTTCTCACCTCCCTCACCTCGATCGTACCGGCCGCCATGTCCCAACAAGTCAACCGCACCGCCACAAACGGCTGGGGTTCGACGCCTTCGCAGCGCCACTATATCAATCACACCCAAGCCTTGCAGGTCATCAATGCAGGTATTCAGCGGGCTGAGGCCATAGGGTAAGTGCTGTTGGCGATCGTTCACCCCGACCCGAAGGGCGAACAGTCGCGTGCAGACCTTTTGTTTTCCTTGACTGAGACATTGGCACAAAGCGTACCGCAGAACATTGCTGTGCTCGATCCGTCGTCATGGCTTGTGGCTTTTGTCCATATGGATAATTCCTTCCTGGGAAGCATCGTAAGTCATGCACACCCACACCACATGTGATAAGGGCCATTGCTTATGGAACTGTCAACCAGGACATTTCCCAGAAAAAGGCCAAAACCGTGGTGCTGTACAACGGCATCCCCAACAACGCCCTGCAGAACCGCAGCGAGCCAGGTGGCGATCTCTGGGGCATCCAGGAAACCAACGGTGGCACAGTCGTCTTTGGTGGGGGTCAACCGATATTTGACCCTGATGGGTACTTCATTGGCGCCGTCGGCGTGAGTGGAGGCACCGTGGATCAGGATATTGATGTGGCGGTGCATGCGGCGCAGAGTATTGGCACGACAGTCACGTCGTCCTGATTCTGATTCTAGAACAGGACGAGAGAGAGCCACCAGAGGGATTTGTGGTGCTGACGCGGAGGTTGCGGAAGTGACGCGTGTTGTAGTCCGGAGACGAGGTCAGCACCTGGAGTGAAAGCGCCGAGTTGGATCGGCAGATGGATCGGAACCAGCCAGATATGCACAAGTCCAGAGTGATACAGGGTGTCTTTACCAATCAAGAAACCTGGCCCTGTCGCTGTAGTCGTCATTGAGTACAATATCTGACATGGTATTCAGGCCGCCAAACAGTAATCATGTGTTTTCACTGGCGTCTCTGCCGTCATCCCGCAGCTGAGCTTGCATTGAAGCAGTCCTTATGTTGGTATATAGACAAGGACACAATGGACAATGCCCAGAGGGTTGTTCAGCTCTTTGCTGATGAGAACACCCATTGAAAACATGTACACTTGGACCTTGACCTGAGTAAACAAAGATATACTCCACCAATCACGAAAAGACCCTTATCAGAGCGTGCACAGTATTGTTTTTGATTATCATGACCTGGAATTCCGCATTCAGCCACCACAAGCCTGCACGTGGAGAGTCTCGACCGCAACGACATGAATACAACGTCTTGAGGAAGAGAAGAGGCAATCGACAGAAGGATATGCACCGGCCGAGCAGAGACACGTTGGTGAACGACGACCGGGACGACAGATCGTTAGACTCTTGGAAGCAGAGAACCCAGGTTCAGAAGGTATCGAGATGGAAGCGGATGTTCGGACGTCGGGCCGGGAGCTAGGGATTGTGATGATTTCGCAGGGACATCTGTTGCGAAGGCACAAGGCCGCATGAGTTTCTTTTTGGGGGCGCTGGTCTGGCGGTGAATGGCGTTGGCGAAGTACGGTGGCTTGTTTCAGTGACGAGACCAGCACGCAACTGGCAGTGCGCAAGCCACTTGGGTCGCTTCAGGAGACACGCACTCAACCGATTTCTCCCGGGCTGTGGCTCGATGCAAGGCTGTGGTATCGATCAGACAAGGATAAATAGCAGGGTTTCGCCGAGTCGCCTGAAGGATTGACCAACAATGACCGTCATGGCGCTTGTATTGAGAGGAAACGAACTCGTACAAGTCACTTCGCCAACCTAAGACCAGCCTAGCGATTCACAGTCAATGTCACTGGTCCATTGGGGGATTTGCTGGTACCATAGTATCCTCAACGCTAAATTTCGCATGAATCTTTTCTTTCATCCATGTGGGCTCCTCATGGCAATGTTGACACTTCCCCTATCCCAGGAAAAATGCTACAGCTGTAAATACCTGTATGGCGCAGCTTGACAATATACCATCATGCCACCCGCAATCCGTCATATCATCACGCGTTTGTCTAACAACCAGAGTCTCCAGCGGGTGCCACGTTCCGAAAATCTTAGCTCAACCACAAGATAACACAGCATTCATCCATGTGTCATCCTAACTCCTCCTTATTGTGCTGTCGACCCATCAGACCTTGTCCCAAGGACTTTGGCTGAAACATCTTGCGACCCGAGCTATTTTGCAGGGCTCCTCTCTTCACATGAGACCTTGACACGCTGGGCGCAGTCTGCTACTTATCGAGATGGACACCCACGACCTTGTTGACGACAGCGCCCTTCAACTACTATTGTCGACACTATGATGGATTCATCCGAACAATCAGAACAATCAGAAACGATGAAGGAGCCGCCGCCCTTTGTCGAGAGCAGCTCCCACCGTCTGAGGCATCTGACCTGGGTAGGGCTTGGTCACCATGAATATCACCAACAACAATAGGGCACTAGATAACTGACGAGCTTCATCTGCCAGGCATGGTTCACATTCCCAATGGCCACAGGCGGTTTAGCGATACTGCTGTCCCCGAAGAATCAACCACACACCTTCACGGGCCTCGAGACCATTGGCAAAGTCGTCTACATCTGCGACCTGTTGATCTTCACGCTCATCGCCTCGGCCATCACATACCGGTTTATTCGATGGCCCGGAACTCTCAAAGCGAGCCTGGTTCATCCGACCGAGTCTCTCTTCTTTGGCACGTCCTTCCTCTCGCTTGCTGGCATCATTGCCGGCATGGCTCTGTACGGCATCGAGCACACCGGCCTTTGGCTGGTGGTGACCTTCCGCGTTCTTTTCTGGCTGTATTTCGCCTGCACATTCATTGCTGCCGTCGGACTGTATTGCATGCTCTTCACCAACCCTCGACTAAAGATCCAAGACATGACCCCCGCTTGGGATCTACCCATGTTTCCCTTTATGCTTAGCGGCACCATAGCCGCGTCGGGCATCGAATTCCAGCCTCGCGCCGCCGCCATGCCGATGCTCTTCGCGGGGCTGACGGCTCAAGGCCTGGGCATGCTCATCTCCATGGGCATGTACGCCAGCTACGTCCGACGGATGATCAACTACGGATTTCCCTCGCCAGAGTCGCGCCCGGGGATGTTTATCGCTGTCGGTCCACCGAGCTTCACGGCGCTGGCCATCATCGGACTCGCGGACCACTGGCCGCGCGGGTACGACTACTTTGGGCCGGACGACATCACGGCGCAGGTGGTGCGGATCCTGGCGCTGATGACGGCCGTCTTCGTCTGGAGCCTGTCGCTGTGGTTCTGGGCCATCAGCGTGGTCAGCTGCCTGGCCGTCTACCGCACGTTCCGCTTCCACCTGAACTGGTGGGCCTTTGTCTTCCCCAACGTCGGCTTCACCCTCGCCACCATCAACATCGGTAAGACCCTGCGCAGCGACGCCATCACGTGGGTCGGCTCCGTCATGACCGTCCTCATGGTCTTCCTGTACTTTTTCGTCCTGTGCCACCACGTCCGCGCCGTCTGGCGCAAGGACGTCCTCTACGCCGGCAAGGACGAGGACCACTACCACAAGGAGCGCATGGCCAAGATTGAGCGCCTCGGCGGCGACCCGGAGAAATGTACCTGTGCCGTCACCGGTGGCAGGTGAAAAAAAAAAACCGCCACCTTTCTTTCCAATTTTTTTTTGGCATTCTTGAAATGAGATAGATTTCTAGAATTGGATGTATATTACATTTTGTATAGATATAGATATGGATCTGGATATACAGGGCTCTAGATAGGGAAGAGAAGAGCATGGCATTTAGGTTAGATCGATAAGACATACCTATCTACCTACTTACCTACTTACCTACCTGCTACTGTACTTTGTGGACACTTTTCTGTTTTGAGGCCTGTACACAACACAACTACACACAAAGAGAGGGGGAAAAGGTCCAAGCGTAGGGAGAAAAAATAAGGTATGTTACGACCAAATCCAATGCTTCTTCTCTCGTTACTAAGTTGTCCATCCAAGCAGGCTTGTTGCCCTCCAAAAAAAAAAAAATGATAGACTTCGACTGACTGATTGACTTGAGTGGACAAAAGTCCTCACTCACTCACTCACTCGGTATGTAATATACAATAAACAACTAACCTCCTACCTTCAACCTCCCTGGCCGTCCCGTCCACTTCATCAGCATCAGCTCATCCCTGCTTGTTTGGAACCAAACCCCCTAATATCCTCGATATATATATAGGCGGCACCCACAACACAGTAAAGACATCTCTCATTAATCCTTGCTCGTACCAGACCACTATCCCAAGTCAAGTCCTCTCCTGCTGGCAGCGTATCCGTCCTACCCGCATGTCGGCCCTCCAGATCCATTCATTCATAGACTTTCACCAGTCTTGTGGTACTCACTCGCTGGCTCGCTTGTGCAAACATCCTGTTCTCTGTCTGTTCAAGCCTTCTGCTGGCTCCTGGTGCGAGACCCGATCCCATCTGCGGCGCGAGGAGTCGGCTGTTTCTTCTGCTTGGATGGCGCACCCTCAGCCTTCTTGGGCCGACCGGCCTTCTTCTTAGTATCTTCTGCTGGCTTTGGTTCTTCTTTCTTCTTCTCTGGTTCCTCCTCTTCTTCCTCTTCCTTCTCCTCGGCCTTCTTCGGGGCCGCAGCTCCCTTCTTATTCTTCGCGGGCTCCTTCTTTTGCTTCTTAGCCGCGGGCTCCTTGGCTTTGACCGTCTTGCCCTCGGCGTTCTCTTCGAGGGGTTCCGCTTTGTCTTGCTTGTTGTCTTCTCCTTCATTCTCGTCCTTGTCTACGTCATCGTGCTTCCTCTTCTCGCCGTTCTGGGCCTCGCCATCCTCCTTAGATTCCTCCTTTTTGTCGTCGGCATCGGCGGCGCCAGCGTCGCCATTGGCTTTCTCCTCGACGTTGAGCTCGGAGGCTTTCTTGACCACGTCTTGGCCAGACCGCTCGACGCGGACGGCAGGATTGTTTGGCTCGGCGTTCTTCTTGACCTTGTTGCCGCGCTTGGAGGTGATGGCAACTTCGCCTTCGGTCTTCTTCTCGGCCACGGTACCTCCAGGCTGGCCTCCGCCCCAGTTCCATGTAACTGCGACAAGATATAGTCAGCGCCTTGTCCGGCCATCAGAGGCAGAGTGCAAGGAGATCATTTTTGGGGGGTTTCAAATTGCGCAGAAGCCCAGGAGGTCGCGCGCCGTAAGCGACCATGGCCTTGCCCATGCGCAGTTGCTCGGGCTTTAGGCTGATGGACCATGGTTCAGGTTATTCGTACCTTTGTCTCCTTTCTCAGGCTCTTCGCCAGGCATGGTGACGTCAGCGAAATGACGATTGGAGCAACTCAATGGGGAACGTGCTAGAATGCAAAGAAACGAGGGTAAATTGATCGCCAAAGCTTTGCGACCAGAATGCCAGGTGTTTAGAGATGAACACAGGGGATGGAGGAGTGAGAGAGAAATAAACAAGTTCAACGAAAGAGGAGGTGTCTGGGTCAGCTCGAGGGGGGGAGCAGGACGCATTATTGCCTGCGACACGGCCCATCAGCGCCCATGGCAGAGCCAGTGGTTTGGCTTTGGCTGCGGGTGAAGAGCTTGGTTTGACTTGGTTTTTTGCGGGCTGCCTGCGCTGCTGGGCTGCTGGGATGGTTAAGCGAGTGAGCCTAGTGAGGCCCCCTTCATGGTGACTCTGATCTCCCCCAGCCTCCCCCCCTCAAGCCCATTTTTAGAGGAGCTACAGCAGCCCGTACCCGGAGTAGGCGGGAGGAGAACTGGTTGTGTCTTGTTTCAAGGAGGCAATCTCCTAGCCAACACCTGCATGCGCCAAACTAGACGCCCAGGACCGCAAACCCTCAGCCGGAGGCTTCCATTTCGGTTCACCAGCAGCGACATCCGTTGCACGTCAGTACTGACAGTGGCTTGTTTTAGCTTGGAATGCACGGAGGAAATCAATTTGCATCTGAGATCCGCCCCATGCTGCTCCAGGTCCTGCTTGAACTCTGGTGTATTGAATCCCACCTGGATAACTGTGACGAGTAGGGATGCACCCCAGACAACCATTTTGCTTTGGGTGCGATAGTTGATTGTCATGATGTGAGTGATATATCACCATATATTGAGCACAATAATCAATGCTGCAGATAATACAAACTTACATGTGATTGTGCTCAACAGGGCGCAACCTTTGATGAGAAAAGTAAGTGCAAATCACAAAAGATTGGAAAACTGTTTCTCGTCCACAGTCGGTATAGCACATACCGACATCTGAGTCGTGACTGCCAACTTGCAGTATCTGCTTACATGCTCACCAGATACATCCCTGAAACTTCACCGAAAAAACCAAACCTCAATTTTAATCTCATAATTTCCGATAGATACACCTTGGATAAAAAGTCCACCAACACCGAGACATCTTTGATAGTAGATTCCAATCATATTCCCACCGCTTAATTGTTACCCCTCCGCCACAGGTCCCTGCTACAACTCACACATGCCTGTAAACTCGTCTATGGGTTGGGCCCTCCACGAACTTGGCTAGTACCATCCTCTGGACCTGGAAGACCTTCTTCGTCACCAGGCTCACGGTATTGGCCCGGCTTCGCCGCTCCACGTGTACGCTCGTCAATGATGTTGCTTTCGTCGATTGCATCGGCGTCATCACGAGCTGTGCACTAGAATCAGCTTCTGTTTCTATACCTCGCTCACAGACACTGGTTCCAAATGAAATACCAGTAACAGAGGTACTTACCCAGTTGCTCATCAGAGTCAGCCGTTTTGGCGTCAATGGGATCTTCAATTGCAGCGTCGTCGGTCTGTACTGGAATGTGGCTCTGGCCCGTGCGCGACTTGTAGTCGTTTTGCGTCGTGTCAGCAGTGGTGCCGCTTTCGAGGCCCTCGCCGGTGGGCTGGTATTCGTCTCCTGGAGCCGACATATCGCGATTTATCGAGTGGATTTGTCGTTGTTGGTTCAAATGTAGAGACAAAGTGGTTCTGTGCAGTCAAGTACCGGGGTCAGAAAATTGAGGTTGTCGCGGATCTTTGATCTGGGTTTATATGCTTCTGGAGGTGTCATTGAAGGCCCCTTCACGACATCAGTCTCACGATATCATCTTCATTTTGGTCATGTCCTTGTCGTCATGACCCCAGGACATTTCACGCTCCCTACGCTTACGTCCAGTAGTCTATCGACAAAGTCGTGAGGTCATGAACCCATGTCACTATCAGCTGTGTTGGGAACGGTGACGAAAGAATGAGCTAGGGAAGCTAGGAAGATGAGGATCTGACGAAACCAATCGTGATGATTCTATTGGGGGTTGATACGCAGCAATTCAATTCAGGTACGATCTCAACTCCAGGTGTGCTGGCGGAGACCATGGAGACCAAGGGAGAGAGGCAAGGCGCAAGACACGAGGCTGTCAATCGGTACCCAATCATATCATACCAGCTCCGGAACCAAGCAAAGTCGTCGACGTCAAGACTTCGGATGTCCCTGGGGCCCCTCGCCTTGACGATCTGGCAACCAGGTCCCAGAAAAGTCGATACACTTTACTAGAACCAATATCGAGATCTGGACATGTGCATCGCCAGGGGCAATGGCTGCGGAGGTGTGTCCCGCCCAGGCAATTACATACTTGTGAATGCCTACCACCTGCTCAAATATCGTGCAGGGGAGAAGGTAAACTCTGCCTACTCCTGGATAAGCACAACAAGGTAATGGCATGATGTTAGCTTTGTCCAGCATGGGCAGATTCTTACTCAGGTAACCATCTTCTTCGCAGGGTGATGACCTCAATGTCGAGATGCGGTTCAACCACAGAAGGGTTGAAAGACTGGAAAGCTTGTGTACTACTTTTTCACTTGCTGAGGCGATGAGAGGTACTCGTGTCCACCGTGACAAAGTGACTCAGCCTTTATACATGCAGTTGGTGAATGGCTAGAAAAGCAAGGCGCAACAGACGATGCATATGTATTCGCTCAATTTTGGTCTAGATGTCTGGGACTTGAACATGGGAGTCGTGGGGAAATACTCCCCAGGCCTGGGTTGCGCAGCGGTGTTTGTTAACCAACAAACAATACAGGATATAACCTCCGGGAGATATGGCCCCCCCGCCTTGTATCACTCTTTTGTGGAGAGCAGGCGGCGCTAGTGGCTCATCGGGCCAAAGGAGCAAGGGGAGTCAATAGATCGCAAGAGGAGAAAACTTTCTATCCGACTATTATTAACGGCCAGACTTGGACCCAAGACGGAGAACTTAAACAGTTCGCAAAGAGCAAACGGGTCTATCCACTCTTCAACCGACGCGACTGACTTCTCAAAATCGACGGACTTTTGGAAACAGACTCTCCAAGGCAACATCCCATGCCCGGCTCGTCCCTATGGCTCATCGCCCGCAAGGACGATGAACCCTTCAACAAGTCCCTAAAAGAACTGATCGGGAGTACCCTCCCATCGAACTTCCCCCACGCGCCCAAGCGCAATTTTATCCCGCATGTGACCATCACCTCGGACATTGACTCGTCAAGAACCTACGGGGATTCATCTCCCCAAGAGTGGCTCGATGGACTCAGCCTGCCCGAGTTCAAAAAGGAGTCGGACGAGGTGCACGTGGAGCTCGAGCAGCTCGAAGCGGGCGAGCCATTCTTTAAGAAGGTGACCATCCGCGCCGCAAGAGATGCCAACCTGCTCAAACTCGCCGCGGCGTGTCGACGGCAGGGTGTCTTGCTCAGTGAAGCCGACGCGCAGAACTGGGCGCAGACCGAATTTCGTCCGCACCTGAGCCTCTTCTACGGCGACGTGCCACAGAGCGAGGTGCAGAAGAAAATCGGCCTGATCGAGTTGCAGCTCGGCTTTGAGTTGGGCAGTCTCTTCGATTGTTGCGGTGGCACATTGGCCATGGGCGCGAAGCTCGTGCTGGTGGACACGAGCAAGGACATCGAGGACTGGACGCCCATCGCGGAGAGGGACTGTCCTTGGGTCATGTGGAAGATGGCCAGAGGTCTGTTGTGACGGATGGAAGAAGACCCCTTCTACTTCGCCTGGCGCTGCCTATATCCAATGTGCGTTTTCATGAGAGCCGATTTCACGCTCTCGGTTCACACTCTCCGGTTGTTCCATATATCTCAGCGTGGGATGGACTCAAGCGCAACTCAACACTTGGTTTGGTTGATTCATGGGTCAACTAACTTCACCATGATATTTATCGCTGGTACCTACACTACTTGGTCCTTTTGTGAGAGTGGGTTCCCTGCCAGGCGAGGAAAGGTAGACTCCTTGTTATGGAGAGATCTCTTTGGCGACGGTCATATACATATGTACCATCGTGTACCAACGGAGCAGGCATTTTTTCCCAGATTACACACCCCCTTTCACGAGCAAGGAGTTCTACATGATGTCTACTCTGTGCGTGAACCAGACTGGGCGAACAACACAGGCGACATTGCCGAGGTATGTATTGAACCTGTGTTCCATTTCTATGAAATCCAATGGCTTGGAAGACCTTGGCCATGCGGGGGACTGGCTGGAAACAACCACCCAGAAACATCCACAGCATAAACGCCGCATCTATTATCGTCCAGTGAGCTTTGGCTTATCAACAAGATGGTTCCCATGGGAGGCTCTCTAGCCTGGCGCTTCCCCATCACGCTGATGCCCAGATGGACAAGCCTTGTTTCCCCAGACTTTGCACTGTCAGATATATCCATGTCAGCACCACATCGCGCCAATCGTGCAGCAGGCCATCTTCGTTAGGATATCCGCATCATGCCTCCGAGAAGAGTTGTGCTTGTTCGGGATGATCGATTGCTGTATTCAACCTCGGGTTATTGTCCTATTGCTTCTGAGACTCGAGACGCGCTTCATCATGCCAATGCGGTCGTCGTTCCTCACAAATAGTAGGAAATACCCCGGGGGTGTACAGAATCAATCAGATCCCGGTGCAATCTTCGCACAAATTACTCATGGCATCCTCACAGGTCCATCAACTCGTCGTCAAACTCAGGGCATGTGTGCAAGCCACAAGGCCAGCCGATGTCGCTCTGGTCGGGCTGGCAGTTGTCGCTCTCACTTTCCTGACCACATGTATTTACCGGCTCTACTTCCACCCACTCGCACGCTACCCCGGGCCGTGGTACATGAAAGTCACTTCCCTGTATGATTTCTACATTGGTGTCGGGGAGCGCAGACATCTCCATATCCATCATTTGCATCAGAAATATGGTACAAACCCCAGAGGCTGAGCCTAACGAAACTTGCCGACTTTCTGACTTTGTCTGATGCCTGCAGGCCCCGTGGTTCGGTACAGCCCGAATGCTTTGGCCTTTAACGATCCCCAAGCCTTTCGAGGTGAGATTTAAACACTGTCATCACCCTGGGAAACTATAATAAGTTGAACCCGTGCAGATATCTACGGATTCAAACGCAATTTTCGGAAAGCAGACGCCACGACCGTCGGCGCCTCTGGCCACCCGGACGCACGAAATACATTCAGCGAGCCCCTGACAGAGAACGCCATGAAGAAGAGAAGGATCCTGTCACAGGGCTTCTCAGAGTCTGCTTTGAGAGATGCTGAAGGTTGGGGCGACTACCCCCTTCGCTGAAAGACATGGCGACTGATTTTCCCGCAGAATTCATGATTGAAAAGATCCAGATCCTGTGTAAACAGCTGATCAACCCCGAGACAGAAAAGGCCAAAGACATGTCGCTGTGGTTGAATTACCTGGCCTACGACATCATGGGCGAAGTCGTCTTTGGGAAGAGCTTCGACATGTTGACGAACCCCTCCTTGCGCTATGTGTTGGACTTGATCGATTCCATGGTGTTTTCCACTCTCTTGGTAAGATTCGTCTGACTGCTTTTTTCTTTTTTGGAGGCCATTTTGCTCATTCTCGGTCTAGGGAGGCATCGCACCCTGGATCTACAGGAGTGGTTTGATCAACGTCCTCTTTCCGCGACTCCTGCGTACCCGCACCAAATTTATCGCCTACGTGGCTGGTGTCGTGCAGAACAGAATCGCAGCCGAAGCCGACGCCGCCGCTGCAGGACGACGCAAGGACTTTTTCCATTATGTATGTTCCTCCCCTTCCCTCATGAAAGCTATCAAGCATCGGTCGTTCCATTTCAGAATAGTCCTTGAACTAACGCCCAGAAACAAAGCTGCTCAACGCCAAAGATGCAGACACGGGCAAGCCGTTGCCGATCGAGTTCCTCTTCTCCGAGGGCGTCTTGCTGGTCGTCGGCGGGAGCGACACTAGTTCTACAGGCAAGACTTGATACAACCTTACACCCGTGGCACGTGGTCTGACTAGGTACAATTGTTCCACGCAGGTCTGGCCGCCACCCTTTTCTACCTGCTCAAATACCCCCAGTGTATGGAGAGGCTGCGTCAAGAACTCGACGCCAAGTTCGACAGCGTCGATGAGATCAGATCCGGCGCGAAGCTGGCTCGCTGTTCTTACCTCCGAGCTTGTGTGGACGAGGCGCTGCGCATGGCACCCCCAGGTCCTGGCTTACTTCCCAGGGCGGCCTTGAAGGTGAGAAAAGAGACTGGATGTTATTGCGTCCTGGTTGCGCGTCAGTCTGTCGCCCTTTGAGGGTCGACTAACAGTGGTTCACCGACAGGGCGGAGAAACCGTGAATGGAGAGTTCATCCCAGAAGGTGTAAGTAGTAGTAGTGACTCTCATGGTCGCCGTGTGAAGCAGAAATTGACTCTGTGTCTATCTATACGTGTAGATTGACGTCGGCGTCGGCTGGTGGGCCCTTGCGTACAACGAAAAGTACTTTCCCGAACCAGACATGTTCCGACCAGAGCGATACCTCACGAGTGACGGGAGTACAAACGAAGACACCGCTACAGCAAAAGATTGCTATTGGGCGTTTTCCATGGGCCCGCGAAAGTGTCCCGGCATCAAGATGGCGTATCAGGAACTCTACATCACCATTGCGAGGCTGGTTTATCTCTTCGACATGCACCCCGAGCGGCCGGAAGAATTGCAGAAAAACTTTGAGCTTCTGGATCATTTCAGTAAGTGGGAAATCAGCCCGAGCATTTGATCTCTGGAGAGACATTGACAGTAGGGGCCAGATGTCAGGAAGTTTGGGCCCACGGTGTCGTTCACACTGCGTCCAGGGAGAGAACTCTGAGTTGGTGGGTCGGTTTACTATCGACATCTTCTATCAATATTGCGTTGTCAATGTTCAAGTCAGCGGCAGCTGCTGCTCTGCGGAATCGATGTGAAAACCATCAAACACCTGTTTTAGAATCGGGAATGACACACCATTATAAATAAGCACGCCATCACAATACCGTTGTGTGAACACCAAAGGAGATACAGAATAGAAATCAACCCCAGAATGTAACCGTGTTCCGAGACTGTTGGCTGGGGGATCTTAGCTGTCGGTGTTTTGACATCTCCTGGAAAGGCCTTCACTCGGCTATGATACGGTGTTGGCTGTTTCGAGAGTAATGGAAGGACTTCAAGCCAGAGGGACACGAAGCAGCGTAGAGTTGCTGGCCCAATCGAGACCCAGAAGTGCAGATTCTGCTGGGAGAGATCGACTCTCAGGCGTATACAGCACTAGTATATTGCAAGGCTTGATATTTGGAAGGATCTATGCTCTCATTAAAGGGCCACGAAGGGCGTCAAGTTCATGTTAGAGAGTAGAAGGGAGAAAAGAGGAAGTAGCCCTGGTGGACCCCTAGACAATCACATGATGGCGCGTTTAGAAGCCTCGGGACGCGATCGCGGGGAAACTCGTTTGTTGCATCTCCTCGTTGCCACTGCGGCTTCAATTGCGCCAGTCGAATCGATCCAACACAACAACGCAATGCTGGGCGGACACTAATGTCGCTACTGTGTATCCACAAGGGTGTGCAGCATGTCTGATTGACTTCTGCGCTGTGGTTTTCGCCCCGGGTAAGATGGCTGAAGACTGTGCAAACCCGCTGCTGGCGGGCTGGCTGAAGGAATGGATGGATGAAGCAAAAGAACGCAACAGTAAAGGCTACACTGTGTATTCCTACCCTCTCTTCCCATATCTCGTGTGTATGTTGTACTGACAATCCCAGTTACAAAAAAGCATATCAATCCATCAAAGCGTGCCCCCTGGCTTTCAGCCACCCCTCCGAAGCCCAACAACTGAACGGCCTAGGCCCTAAACTATGCGACCGACTTACGGAGAAGCTCAAACAGCATTGCGAGCGGAATGGGCTGGTTATGCCAAGCAAGAAAGGCCGGAGGAACAGGACATCAGAAGACTCGCCGCCAGATGAGGCCCGACCGGACGAAGCAGAACAGTCCTCGCCAGTCCGTAGGAAGCGGAAGGCTCAGCCATATGTTCCAAAATACAGGTCTGGTGCTTATGGTTTAATAGTCGCTCTCGGCACCTTGGACCATGAAAGCAATCAGGCCATCCCAAAACCCGACCTGATTGAACTGGCACAGCCTCACTGCGATGCGAGTTACACGGTCCCGAGTGACCCCACGAAATTCTTCACGGCGTGGAAGTCTATGCAAACATTGGAGTCAAAAGAGCTTGTCTGCACCAAGGGCCACCCGACGAAACGATATTACTTGTCCGATGAAGGATGGGAGGTCGCAGAAGGTATACAAGCGAGCGCCGGCGGTCGGCCTGGGGCGGCGAAGAAGAAAAAGAATCAGCGGGAAACTACATCAACTCGTCGCGAGAACGCTTCAAGATCCGTCACCCCAGAGTCTGAAAAGCGGCAAACAGCTTCGGCTGCCCCAGTACAACCCAACCGACTTGCCGGGGCTGCAGCTCGCCGAGCTTCTGATGACTTGGAAGTATTGTCGATTTCCGAGAACGACATGCCTGAATCAAATCCGGAGACGAGGTTTGTGCGCTCTGATGGCGGAAAACTTGGTCGAAGACCGACAGGTTCCAACTCCTCCCTTGAGGATACAATCATCTTGCCAGCAGGAAGCTTCGAGGTGAAAATGGTACTGGATATGCGTGAAGTTCGCACAACCACTGATCGAGATTACATCTCTGGAGAGCTGAAAAAACATGGTATCACTGCAACCATTCGCTCACTTCCATTAGGTGATGTCTTGTGGGTCGCAGAAGTAAATCCGCTCTACACTAATCGTCTCAAGGCAGCAAGTGTTGGCGACGAAGGCGACAACAAGGTAGAAATTGTTTTGGAACACATCCTGGAGCGCAAAAGGCTCGACGACCTGATCAGCAGTATCAAAGACGGACGTTTCCACGAACAGAAATTCCGACTGCACAGGTCCGGGATAAAGAATGTGACTTATCTTATTGAGGAGTACTCGATCTCTTCGGAGAGAAGTGAGAAATACGGGGATGCACTGGAAAGTGCCGTCGCCAGTATGCAAGTGGTCGACAACTTCTTTGTCAAGCAAACAACAAAGCTGGACGATACGATCCGTTATCTTGCCCGTATGACCAAAACCCTCAAGGGACTGTACGAGAGCAAGGACATCAACGTCATCCCTGCTCAAAGCTTCGAAGCCGAGGCTGTTTCGTTATTGCTGGAGCGGTTCAGAAAGAACTCTCCTGGGAGGGCGTTTGGCATGACATTCTCGGTATTTAGTGCCATGTGTGACAAGTCGGAGAGCATGACTCTTCGAGATGTCTATCTCAAGATGTTGATGTGTACCCGAGGCGTGACTGGGGAGAAGGCGATTGAGATACAGAAAATCTGGCCGACGCCGCGTGCTCTGGCCGAAGCTTTCGAGGCTCAAGAAAAGGGAAATGCGCGGGATGCGATGATCAGCGATCGTCTTGGGTCTACCATTCCTCGGAAGAAGGTTGGGAAGGCATTGAGCACGAAAATTGCAGAGATTTGGGGGTGAAATGTGTCGTCAAGTGGCCAATTGCTACGATGTTTATGACTTACGGCAAGTCGCAACTCCTTTGGTCCGTTTTGGGCTTTGCACCTGCAGGGGGAATCGAGGACATAACATACTGGGCAGTTGGGGGCGGTTCACCATAAGATCACCAAGTATACAACAAGGGAATAGTTGTTCGTATTCGCACCAGAACGGAAGCCGGCACCAGAACCGATCGAGCACGAGACCCGACGACGAAGCCTTGACCAAGCAACTGCAAGCCTTTCCTTGCGTTTGCTGGTCCGCACCGAATCAAGGCTTATGGTGGTGTCGATCAGGCCTTCTCCATGCATCCCATGTCTATCTCTACCCCACACACTCCCCTCTACACACACGGGACAATACCTGGCGAGTGAGCAATTGGGTTGGGGGCCATGAGGCGGGGTTAATTGATCGACATACTACTACCTCCTACGTACCTAGGTGTGCATGGTATGTCGGACACCTGGGTCACGCTACTATTAGCACTACGACATTGAGATCTTGTCTTACGAGTCCCGTTGGTGCCATGGTTCCTTTAAGGATCAAGGGTCCGCGGGAGACGCCACCACCATCACTACTAACCACCTTCTCGTATTCTCATCGTCCATCGCACTGTATTGTCCTGCTGCACCACGTCACTAAAGGTGATTTGAGGTCCAGATTTAATTCGAGTCGAGTCAGGCTCTTTCTTTTCTTTGTTGGGTCGGTTGACCCAGGGGGTATCTTTCGTCGTGTCGTAGATCTCTGTCACGCACAAGGTGGGAGACGAGTCAAGACCAGACAAGTGTCTTAGAGACCAAGCCAGGGCTGCGTGAAATGTGTATCTCGGCCTTGAAAAGGCAGAACACAGGATCACAGAGACTAGTCTCGATATTGTAGGAGTCCCCGGCCTCCCGAGTCGAGAAAGAGTCAAGGCGGCGTACACCCACCCGCGAAACCACCTGCTCTTCGCCGCAACTCCTGCCCCTCGAATCATTCAGCTACATATCTCTATCTCTTCGATAGAGCAACTCGCAGATATTCGAGCCCTCTCCAGAGACAGCAATGCTGGGTATTGAAGGGCTCTCGGACGCCTCCTTCCGTGGCGATGAGCGCTGGAGAAAGGCGTCCAAATGGACGGGCTATGCACCGTGGGTGGTGCTTGTGATCGGTATTCTAAGTATGGTCGAGATCGCACTCGGGGCGGTTTGGATTGCGTCGTTGACCACTGATCTGAACTTGTAAGTCACTCTGTCCTCGTTCCTCTCTGGGAGATGATGGCTAACCACAAGACTTCCTATTTAGCGGTCAAGTCATCCAGCCCATCCTCATCCCAGGCTTGGCCTTCTTCAACGCCATCCCCTCCCTTCACCTACACGTGCTTGCAAGGGTAAACCCACCTCGACTGGCGCTATGGTTCTCCGCGACGCTCTCGATCGTCCATTTCATCAGCTCCATCCTCTTCATGGGCGCCTGTGTCGGAAACCACTCGCACGGCTCGCTGCAGCGTAACGAATGCCCCGCCGCCACGGGCGGGAATGAAGACATCTGGGACGTCATGGTCGCGCTGCAGTTCGTCAGTGCGGTCCTCTACGGCGCGGTCGCGGCCATGGCTTGGAAAGTCAGGACAGTGGTCGAGGCGAGGGACGAGAGGATCGCCCAGGGGGTGGAGATGGTCAGCGAGGAGGAGAAACAGAGACGGGAGAGCGAGGCGCGCGAGAGGTGGAAGTATCTCTCTGCAGGTTAAGCATGATGAACAATCTCACAGTTGAGAGTTGAGACGGGAAGATGGGTTCCTTGTATGCTGGCGTCGTTCACGGGACGGGATACATGTGGCGCGTCAAAGAATCGGGGCATCTCGGATATGTATTGCACTCGTATTTTGTAACAAGATTTAATGTTGTTGGACATGGATAACAGCCATATGAAATGGGCATATTCACGGTCCAGTAATGTGACTGAACTGGACATGGCCACGCCGCTGTATGTGAGAGTGATGACGTCTGGCGGCGGGTATTCAAGCGGCGGGATATCCCCAAACAAGGTCCCCCGTCAAGCAAAGATGCGCATCAACCACCAGCCTCAGGCAAGACGTTTTTCTCCACTTGTATCTTGCAGCCGAAGTTCCATTCCACTTTGGGTGTTTTGTTTGCACCTTGGACCCAACTACTCGACTTGCAGTCTTTCGCGTGTGCTTTGCGCTGGGATTTCCGCGCCAGATGGGTTCACAACTAGGAATTTCTCAGAACTGGACCGGGTAGCATGCGCAGAGGGCAGCATGCAACTCCACGCGACATGTCTCGGAACAAAGAAAACAATCCTCTTTCGACGGCCCAGCAGCAGCAGCAGCAGCGCACAGCGGCGATCGCATCACTACACAGAACGTTACCCAGCGACGAGTTCTTCACCGACAGCTTGATCGACGACTCCCGCATCTCGAATAGCTCGTATATTCCGTCGCCGGTCAAGTCGGGCCCTGTCAAGCCTCGACGCGCCCTCGGCGCGAGCAAAGTGTTGCAGATAGGAAAAGACTCTGGCAACAGGACCAGTCGCACCTCGCTGTCCGATTATACTGCGGCGCGGACCAGTAAACAATTGAAGCCTTCGCCGAAGCTGACCAGGAGGAAAAGTCCCAGCCCGGCGCGAACAAATGGACTCTCGACTCCGCCGCATTCCAGACACGACCCCCGCCTCACCAGTCCCCCGCCTGAGTTCTCCAGCCCGCCGGGTGGTCTGCACGAGTCCTACCAGAGAATAGCCGACGAGGAGGATCTGGCGGCGACGGAGAGGGATGTGGATAGCGAAGAGGAGGAGATCAATGGCGGCGACCAGCAGGATACATTTGACACAAATCTGGACGTGAACCCTACGGCAGATGGAATGGCCACGGAACAATCAGAACCGGCACAATTTTCGCAACAGCTGACGCCGGTTCGCTCTCCCTCCCCAGCTCACGCAGAAATACAGAATCCCATGGATGACCGGGTCGAAAGTCTCTCAGAGCCGCCAACCTTGGATTTCCTCAAGAATGAGCTTTCCGATCGGATATTGGCTGCCAAATTGACACCTCACGTTGTCGATCGCGCAAAAGATCGCGCAAGACTTGAGAAGCTGAGACAGAGCCGAATCCCAATCAACTTTGGAGAGAAGGGCAAGGAAGATCCGGTTAATGGGGAGCCCCGACGGAGTGATCTCGCTAGCGTTACAAGCCGTGGTCCGATTTCCTTCGACAACGTCTTAGCTGTGGATGCAAACGCCTTGCACAGGACCTATTCAGATACAAGTGCCGATCTTGATTCTCAGAGAAAAGTCAAAGCGTTTAGGCGCGCAACGCGTCCTGGTGTCGCCCAAACCGCACCTGAAGATGATGATGGAAGCGACACACCTCCGGAATTGCGGGAAAGGGAGAGATTGGTCGCCTTCAGTAAATACAGTCGGAAGAAGAAGGAAGACAACGAACAAAGTGAAATACCGAGACCAGCATCGGTACCCAAAGTCTCGGCGTTTTCACGTGCGCACGCTCGTCCTCGTCCTCACGGGACGCCGTCCGAGATAATTGACGATCAAGTACAACCCGATGACCCTACAGTTGCGTCTATCGCCTCAACAGTGTCGGAGCCTCTTCCTGGGACGACTCAACAACCTGATAAGGATCGAGCTACGCGGACCTTTATTGCTAGATGGCGCAAAGAGGCTGCAGAGAGGCGCGCCGGGAAGACTCAAGACGATGCGGACCGTTCTGAGTCACAAATTGACTGGGCTGCTGCAGGTGCAGATGTCGCATTGCCTTCTATTGAGAAATCTTCGACGCCCCAGGACACCCCACCAAGAATCGTACCCTCTTCGATTCACAAGCAAACGTCCATGGATCGCATGCGGAGATTCGAAAACGACTTCACAGGCCTGTCATTCCAGGTGTCGGAAAGCCCACCCGTTCGTACTCGGCCGAACCTCAGTGATACGCTCAGAGAGAAAGAGATTGAGGATCTCGCCAAACAGGCCGTCACTACAAACAGGTTGGACGAGATCCGTGAAAAGGATCCGAATGTCATTGTCCGGAAGTCTTCTCGAAATTTCAGCCCTCTGGAGCGCAAGTCGACGCTGCCGGAGTCACAGGACAGTTCCCCCGTAGTTGACAAGGGGCAGCTGAAAAAGATGGGCGAAGCGGTACCAGACACGCCAGTCATCGTGTATAGGTCATCCAGCGGTGGGACCGACAAGTCGAAATCCTCTCAACGATCAATGCCAGATTCTTTGGATCAACTGCAGAGACTAGCTCGAGCCGTCAGCACAACCCCGAAACCAAGTCCGCCTGCGCAAGACTTGTCCATTGCTTTGCAAGATGTATCTGCAGTTCCCTTGCCATCTTCGGAAGATGACCTGAAATCTCAGTCTTCGCTCGCAGACCACGACGAGGTTCACAACAAGAAGAAAGTGGCAGAGACTCCAAGAGTTATGGGTGCATGGACTGATACCATTCTTCCGGATACTGTCAAGACAAGAAACCAAACACAAAGAACTACCAAGTATGCGCAAACACCTCATGTCAATGCTGGAGGCTGGATAGAAACACCGCTACCTATTGGAGAGCGGATGGCAAATGTCCAGATACCGAGGATCGTTGAAGAGGAGACGGAAGAATTAATGAATGAGGAAATTCCAAGCGACAATCCAGCAGCGGCTCACATTGAACATGACACAATTCCACAAACAATACCTGTGATTGAACAGCCCGAGCCAAAAGTTGAGCCAAAGAAAGAAGAGGTCGTGCTCCCCAAAAGCGCCCTAACAAACGTTCTCAACGAGGCCAAACAGAAGCGGCTCGTATCACAGGACATCCCTGATACTCATCGAGAGGATACTGACACGCTTAACCTCGGAGACGCGACTATCCAAAGCTTTGAAGACCTCCTCACCGACGCCGCAGACATAACGGCGGATCTCACCAGCCTTATCAAAGCTGGTGCTGAGGAGGAAGTCTTGGCTCTGAAGGAGAGAAATAAGTTGACTGCTTCTCTTGGCCTAGACGAAGACAACTCGACTGCATCCGAGGTTGCATTTATTGGTCACTTGACAAGCCGGATGGAAAGACTCATGTCAAATTTGCACGAAGCTAGGAAAGGTATCGCCAGGCTGGAGCAAAAGGTCTCTCATACACCACCCATCACCTTGGCAGAACTGGAACAAATGCGGACGCTAGGGGCCGTGGAGGATCCAAATCAAGCCTGCACGAGATGTGGTCGAAGCCATCATGACATCTCCCACGTTCACCCCTCAAAGGAGACTGTGATTATATCCTCCTTCATGGCAATACCCATCGCACACACGACAATCAGTCTCCCTATTCCGCTTCTGTTTCATCCGCGAACAGCATCTCAGAACAAGCACCGCAATCGCCTCACTGGTCTCCTTCCTGGTAGCCCAACGTGGCTAGGTTATCTCACCTTCTCCGTGTGGATATGGTATATTCTTGAATGTGTTCTCGCAGAGATCTACGCAAGACCACTCTATGCAGAACGATACGTGTGGCCCACACGACCAGAACCAGAGTTTCCTTTCGTTCTTCCCACGATGCTCTACAGGTGGTGCATCAGTGGCATCTTGGAAAATATCTTAATCATGCCTGTGGTGATGGTTTTAGGCGTCGTGTGGAGACTAATCATGGCTGTTTGCAAGATCATCGGGATGTGGTTGGGGTTGTGGGACGGATTTGTCGACGACGACAAGGCGACAAGCATCATGGCCACTGCTACAAAGTCTGCCGTTCACGCGGTTCAGAGTCTTGTTGCTGGGTCCGCTGCCGCCGATCCTGAGGGTCTGAGTATGATGAATGACGAAATTTTATGAACGATTCAGACGACACTGTTTGTGCAGAATACTGTGCAGGTATTGGTGTTGGCAAGGATTGGGGGTGACTTCAGTTCGTTTGGTGATTGGCGCCGCTTTTGTATGGGAGGGAGGGTGACAGGACGGATATAAAAATGGAATGGGGGAAAACAGGTCCGGGAATTCCAAGTGTGTGGCAAGGGCGTTGGCAAGTGGTGAGGTCTTTTTCTCTCCTTACTCTGTGTTATGGAGGTGTCTAGTCAGAGGAACCTGAACTCTCCAGGAGGCAGGCAATGGAATGTGCTTTGGTTTCGCAAATCGGAGGAACGGGGATGAAATGGATCACCAGACCAAGGAGTAGACAGGCAGAGTTACGCCATCTCGGTATCTCGGGCTCGGAGCTGAGCTGAACTGAACTGAACTGAACCGGATCTTGCTTGTATCCTTTTTTGTTTCCTGTGTCATGTCAGAGGGCTGGGGGGATTACTCCCTAGGTACTCCGTACGGCTAATGTACTCATACTCCCTAGTTAGCGGAAAGTGTACCAGACTGCCTCACTCCTCACTCCTCACTGCCCACTACCCACTGCTGTCTCACCGTAAGACCAACGAACAGTATTCACTTCCCTGGCCGCGACTCGCCCGGCATTATTTATTCGTTGCCGTCATCACCGTCATTATGCGAGTTCATACTACCTACAGGTAGGTGGAAAGAAAACCCTTCACTACGTTTTTTTGGTACCAGCCCCTCCTTGGTGCTCACTCGATACTACAACAGGCAGGAGGTACTGTAGCGCAGCAAGCAAGTACATCCTGCCCTTCGTATTTTCATCACCGTCACCCTTTGCACTTCTCTGTTTCCTTCCCTCTTTTCTCCCATCACCTGTCTGTCGTACCAGCGCGGCCAAGCTGCTGTTTGTTTACATCCTCGCAATCTCCTTCCCCCACACCCGATTCAAAACCCACGTGAAGACAATGACCACCCGGCTCCGCCAGTTGCGGTTCCACATCAGACTGCCGCTGCGCCAGGCCAGCCAGGCGCTCTTGCCCGTCCAGCCGTCGGAGTTGGGCCCCTTGCCCGCGATGACGCCGTCGTGCGCGCCAATGTACGAGACGAGCTGTTTCTGCGAGTACGCAAAGGGTTTGTCGAACGCGTCGTTGGCGCTGGAGAGGCCGGATTGTGCTGTGGCGAGGGATTTGGCGAGCTCGTTAAAGTTCTGTACCAGGTAGCGGGCTTTTTGCACGGCGACTTCGGCCGTGGTTGGCAGAGACGCCCCTTCAACGTCGGCGGCGTCGCCCAATGCGAATACGCCGTCGTGGACTTGGCCTGTTTCTCCACCCGCAAAGACGCGGAGGTGGTCGTCTGTCAAGATGCGTTTGAGTCCTCGCTGGGACAGTTTGACGTCGATCTTGTCCAGCAGCGGGACGTGCTTGTTGCCCGTCGCCCAGATCAGCATGCCGTAGGGGACTCTGCCTTTGTCCTTGATATACAGTGCCTGATCGTCGACCCTCTCGATCTTCGTGTTCGGTGCGACGTCGATGTGGCGCCTTTCCAGCTGACTTGTGGCGTATTCGTGCAGTTTGTTGTCGTACGCGCTCAAGATGTTCGGCGCCACGTCGTACACGGAGATACTAACGTACTGTGCCACAAGTGGGTACGTCAACCGCAGCTCGTCCTGGCACAAATCGTCCAGTTCAGCTGTGAGCTCGATGCCAGTGGGGCCGCCACCGACTATGGCGATGTGGAGTAGCTCGCGCGCACGTTCGGGTGTGACGTTGGGAAGAGAGGCCTTCTCGAGCAAGTCAAAGAGCGTCTTGCGCACCCTCATCGCATCCGACACGTTCTTGATGAAGATGGCGTTCTCAGCCACACCGGGCGTGTCGAACGTGTTGGGAATACACCCGGGCGCCATCAGGAGGTAATCATACTCGACGTCGAACTCATCGTTGGCGAGTTGGGGATCTTCATCAAAGGCCGGTGCACAGCGACAGGTCTTTGTCTGGAAATTGACGTCGAGAACATTGGCTTTGATGAAGCGCAACGCCGACCGCGCTTTGCTGCGTACCGGCTCTTCGGCCAGGTAGAAATTGAACAGACCTACCGCCGCAGAAGCGAGGAGTGGCGTGTATGCTGATGTGCGACGTGGGGAAATCAGGGTGATGGAGTAGGCATTGAGATCGATGTTTTCGGCCAAATAGAACCCTGCCCATCCGGAGCCAATGATGACGAGGCGAGGTTTGTTCTGAGCAGTCATTGTTTCTGTAAGGAGGCTCTGATACTATCTTGTTTCTTGGCGGGAGGTGAACTCTACTCTGGGTGATGTTCCAGACGAAGGTAGGGATATTATAGCTGCTCAAGTCGCGGACGGTTCGTCTTACCCAATGACTGAATGACAACTAAATCCCCGATCTCGTATAGCGTCACGCTGGCCTTCGGGCCTGGACAAACAATCAAAGCAAACGAGCTTACCTGATGGTCATGCTTGATTGGGGTGCTCGATCTTTCGACAAGTCTGCCTAGATTCTTGGGACGCAGTGCCTCACTCGCTCAAATCCAGGGTCTGGAGGAACGTTGCAGAGCAACCAATTGAATGACAGGGCTCTGAGGCCGAATCAAAAAACCACGGAGGGGAAACCTTCAGGCCGGATTGCCCGACTGGGCCGTCATGTTTCATCACCTCAGCAGGGTGCAGACACCCTGGTTCGGCGCTTCAAACATGGAACCTCATTTTGCGCCGTCGACAGATCGAGACAGGCATGAGCAGGACGTCGGAAAAAGCAAAGGAAAATGTACGCACCTCAATTCTGCCAAGCCGGAGTGTAATATCTTTCTTCCGATAGAGCACCGCCTGATCACATGATCACGTCGAAATATCACGCACGTGAGCACGACAACGCAAGGCTGAGGGCTGGCTCGACAAACAACAGGAAACGACATTTCAACGCACAATTCTCTTCTACTGTCGGAATTTCATTGATCCATTCAACTCAATCAGTGGCCTCCAGGGATTGTTGCTGCCACCATGCAGTACAAGCCCCCGTGGCCATCCCTTGGTACTATCACGTATCACTTTTTGCTCCCTTCCTATCCATGATGACAATTTCGACGAATGTGCATCCTCCCAGAGCCCTAACGCTGCTTCCATCCATCCTTCAATGCTATCAGCCTTTTGTCGGCAAGAATTCTTTGTGTACAAGTACAGTCGCAATTAATGAAGAAAAGACCGGGCAATTCAGAAAGCCCTTTCCCCGGCAATAGGTGCATGGTCTCCGTGCAATAACAGTTTCGACATTCTGTCCGTGCTTTTCGCCAATTTTCCTTTTGCACAAGAATCGAATTCCCGACTCCATGAGGTAAAATAGAGGAGAGATGATGTTGCTGGTGCCTGGTGTCGTTTTCAGTTCACCATGCACTAATGGCCAGAACCATAGCTGCCGTTCCAGCCGCGGCCGCCACCGTATCCGCCATATGTACCGAAGCCAGTATTCGAGCCGTACCCTCCGTATCCCGTGTTCTGATGAGTGTTTTGGTGGCCACTGCCCAATCCACCTGCGTACTGAGGATAGGCGCCGAAAGCCTGTTGGCCCGAATGCTGTGATGGAGGAGGCAGACCACCCTGCTGACCAGGGAAACTGTTCACGGCAGACCCAGGGCGGCCACCCTGCATCGAGGGACTTGGTCCGGACCCTTTAGCCGGATCCTCGGAATGAGCCCCATGCTGTTGAGCCAAGCCTTGAGCCTGTCCAAAACTCGAGGATGAGCGTCCGAAGGGGTCAGGCATCCCACCAAAGCCGGTGCTGCCCGCAGCACTCTGCTGAGCCTCAGAAGGTTGAGCCGACCCAGCTCGACCATAACCTCCCTCTCGCCCAAAGCCGCTGACATTCGCCGGGGACGACGAGTGCTCATAGGAGTAGCCTTGCTGAGGTTGTCCATACATGTTCGACTTGTACGTGTTGCCATAGTGATTTTGTCCATAGTTGTATTGACTACCATAGTATTCGGTCTCCTGACGTCGAACATCATCGAACATCGGCCGATTGGCTCCGTAACGGTGATTTATGGTGCCCATATAATTGGCACCATACTGGGGATACTGCTGATTGTATGCACTCGGGTAACCATAACCGGGGTATCCATGACCTTGATTTTGCTGCATGTGACCAGAGGGTTGTTGAGTGGGAGGACCGGGAATACCAGGCGCTGGCGTATTTTGACCACTGCCCTGCGCTTCCTGTTGACCCATTACGTGTTGGGGACGTGAGGTGGCATATTGCCCTTGGCTATCCGGAGCTGAAGTACCGAAAGTGCTGCCAGAACGCTGAGCATCTTGCCCATGACCATAGCCATAGTAATTGTAAGCTTCCCGATTGTAGTAAGATGAGTAGTCCGGTTGAGAGGTGGCAGTGCTGGGTTGGCTCGGAACTTGGTTGGAAAACGGTTCCTGGGTTTGGGCTTGGGTGGTTGGAGGTTGACCGAAAGGATCGAAAGTTTTCTGGCCTTGCCCGTATCTGTACTGCTCCGAATACGCCGAAGAGGTCTGGGGCGATGGTTCGTGGGCCGGTTGGGGAGCGGAAGGTAGACCAGATGCTTGTCGCTGAGCAGTCGATGGAGCCTCAGCCAACGGTTGGGTTGGAGCTTGCACGGGTGTTTGCTGGGCTTCAGGTACGGCTGGAGGCAAGGATGCACGAGGGGCAGCAGGGGAATCGTCCGGAAGTTGAGTACGTGTCTCTGGCTCTTCTCGATCTTCGTCGACATCCACGTCATCCGGTCCGTTCAGCCCCAGCTTGCCAAACTGTACAGCTGCCTTCTCAATAGCGTGATTTCCGGGCATAACTACTGCTTCCTGTTGTTCCATGACCTTTCTCGCGAAGCTTGCAGATCGACTCGTGCCTCCAGTGGCTTTCAAAGCGGTAGCAGCGTATCCAGATATTGGTCGAGCGGCGATCTTAGAGGGTTCCGGGGCGGCAAGTGGATCTTGGGTGCTTGCGACGGTGCTGGCAGCGGTGGCAGATTCGATAGGATGAGACGTGTCTGGCAGCTTCTCCAGATTCCGTTCTGTGAGTTCATCTTTAGGCGGTGTTAGATCTTTTCCTGTATCCGAATGCGGCGCGGATGGCAGCTCACTTGGTCCTTCTTCGTTGTAATCCACCGCTTCGATCGGGGGCGGGGCGATGGGCTCGGTAGGAGGTGCGGGCTCTTCGGTTGCTGGCTCCGGCTCAACCGGCACTTGTTCGTGTTGCGCAACAGCAGGAGGAGGGGGGGCAGGAGCCTTCTTGGGAGTGGGAGCAGGAGCAGGTTTAGCAAACAATCCAGCCCAGCCGCCGGGTTTGGCGGCAGCAGGTGCTGCAGCTGAAGCGGGTTTTGGCTCTTCGGTTTGCAAAGAAGCGAGTGAATCTTTTCCAGGCTCATTTGGCCAACTCTCTGTCGCCGTCGCAATCGCGTCGCCATTTGTAGGAGCATTGTCGAATGTCGCCGGAGCACGATCCGCTACAGCGGAAGTGACAGAGTCCAAGCCATCAGTTGTCTGCGGGGCCTTTGTACCATTCGTGTGTGTGGCAGAGACAGATTTTGCACCCCGGCCACCCCTAGCACCGCGTTCAGCACCGCGACCTCTTCCTCGACCCTCAAAGCTACCACGGCCACGACCCCGAGCAGAAGCATCGGTCGATGCAGGAGGAATTTCCTTGGGCTTTGGGTGTTTCTTCTTGACCTCACCCCATTGTGAGATGGTACCTGAGGCGAGATTGTTAGCACACTCGAGGATGGCAACGTAGCTGTTAGCTCTCTTACCACTTGAAATGCGGTCAACCGCAGCATTAACATCGCCGTCGGTCTCGTTCAAGGCATAGACCAGATCTTCATCGCTCCAACCAGGACAGATTTCTTTGAGAAGAGGGACTTTGTCACCGAACTTTTTGAGCAGTTCCCCGACCTCGCCTTGATCTTCTAGCGTTGCAGGAGGAATGTTCTCTTGCTCGTGATCTGGTTTGTGTTGTGATCTCGAAGGGTTGCGAGTGCCACGGAAACCACCTCTGCCACCTCTGAATCCGCCGCGACCTCTTGTGCCGCTTCCGCGGCTTTGGACTTCTGCCATTGTATTGTAGGTATGAGGGATGCGGAGGGATGTTGGGTATGAGGATGGATGGGAGGTGTGGATCGTTGGCAGTTGACCAAGGGAGACGGTGACAATAATGGGAAATTAATGGAAGTCGCAGCTACTAAAAGAGCAGCCGGCTCCGCGGTGAAGGGTGGTCACAGGGTGAGGCAAGTGACGAGTTGGTAAGTTGGATCTAAAAGCACAGTGATGTTGACATGAAGACAGGATTGTGGCCGGAACACATTCAAGAGGCTTGTTTGGTTTCGAAAAGGCAAAAGCAAAGGCGGCCACAGATTCTGGGGGAGGGAATTGCCAAGCACCTGATACTTGGACGGTGCGAACAAACCAGGGCTTCCAGGCACCACGCCTACCAGGACCTAGCTGACTAGTGGGTGCGAGCTAACTATCTAGGGCTATCTATGGCCACCTAGGGGTAGTTAGTGAGGCAACTCAGCCCCCCCACACAAGTCTCAAGCAGCGACACCACCAGAGTCCATGGGCCTCATGCCACTCCTCCTCCTCATCACTGCGATATTCCAAACACACTCGAGCGCACAATGATTGCGCCCTGATCGCGAGTCCAACATGAGACTTACCTCTTCGCTCGCCATTCGCAAGCTGCTCGCCTCGATCCACCCACCTCTTTCTCCCCAATCACCTCGAGAATCCAAGCAGCTCCTTAACGTCCTCGAGTCGGCCTTCCAGCGACGTCTTGACGAAACCCATCCCTCGCCCAAAGTAGCAGCAACCGCCGTTGAGAACCAGCACGGCTCTGAAACAATTCCAGATCCGGCTCAAAGAGTCACACATTCCACACATTCTCACCTAGACACTATCCTTGGTCATCCGCTTTTCAAGCAACAGTCGCTTACTTTTCTTCAAACCCACGGTCTAGCTGCCACGGCCGTTAAGACCTTTGACGATGCTCTATTGAAGCAAGGTCTTGATTCGGACCTTGTCCAGTCCTGCGCTTTACAGTATCTTCAGGGTCGTGAGAAACGAGGGAAATCTCCCAGGGATGAAGGACTTGGACCAAGATTGGCTCGCTGGTTCAACGCCATGACAGGCGCTGAGAAGAAAGATTTACTGCTTAATGAAAAATATATGGAGCCTCTGATCTCGGTCATGTATGCCGATGGCCTGGAACGTGAAGTCTGGCAATGGCTGCAAGTTCTTTACGAACGATCTTTTAACAACTTCATCTTCATCCCCACCGACGACTACGCTCCTGATGCCGTCGCTTACCTGCGTGCGGAAGATCGCCTCGTGTCTTTGATGATCAAGGAGACCGCTCGCCGCGGACGACTACAGGAAGCTGTACAGCTATATACGCAGGCATACGAGTACCGTCTGAACTCCGGAAGATCCGTTCTTTCAGAGGGGAAGTCTTCCCCCGAGCCTCTCCAGCGGTCATGGCGTCAAGTGGCCGGAGCAATACTCTTACAAAATAAACGCAGCAAAAGAGGTCTACCTGCAAGCCTCTATGACCTGGTATTAAAGTACAGCTTGACGATCGATCATTCTCCTTTCGACCCGACTATCCTTCATATCTACCATCCAACATCTCCAACCGCTCATCCGCTTTTCCAGAAACTCAAAGATCCGTCGTTCCTAGAACAATTTGCGAAGTGGCAAAAGAACCCCAACAGATTCGTTCGAAGGATCCTACTTGTCTCTGTGTTGGATGCGGCCGAGCTTTCCTTGAACCATGGTCATGCTAGTGAAGCGAGAGAGTTCCTCGATTTTGCCGAAAGGACCTATCCCGACTTTCTACGTTCCCATGAAGAAAAGACTGACACGGCGGAGAGACTACAATTGGCTCGCCAGGAGATTCTAGTGAGAAAAGAGTTCCGGTCGTCGGGCTATGCCACTGCTCCGGAGCTGCAAGTGCTGGTGTGAGCGACGTGGAGCGACGCCGCCTCTCCAGAACCGAGGAAATTCAACACAACTAATCAATGAAAAAGCGTCGTGCTCTTTTCCAAACACCTCTTAAACTACTGGCAAGTCTGTGCAACAACAGAACGGGTGATGATTGAAGAACCATCATGCCAGCACACCTCCGCCCCTCGCGCTGTCTAAGTTGGCATCAGTCGAATCGAGAAAGAGCACAGCGCGACCTGTCGGGCCGAAGGACCCGTCACCGAAGAGACGATCCATCGCGCTCGGGGTCGATTTGGAGAACAGCGAGCACTCCAATCGCGGGAGACAGGATGAGACAATGAGGAAGGCCTCCAGTCAGCCGCGCGACGCAACCGAGTTGTTCGAAAGAGTCGTGGTACACCTACCTATATGATGGCTCTGCCATTTACGGGTCCCGGCAAAGAGGGAAGAGAAGAGGTTGAGATCAAAAGATCTTGCCCTTTGGTGGTTATGTCAATGCGATATGATAATGCTCGGATTGAGCCCCTTTCCTATTCATAGCCGTGATATACGATGGGACTGGGACTTGGAAGATTCCGGCCATGCAGCAGGCAGCGCCCTTGTCGGATCCCAGGTCAATTTAATGTTGCCTGTATTCTCGTTGACAAGAGCTGTAGCGAAAATACAAGCAAACTTCACTATAGATGACCATGATATTGGTTTCTTGAGCGTAACTCCTCGTAGAGAGCGGGGATAGCTTTGGTGATGCTATAGAGATGGGATGCCATGATACACGGCTCTACCACTCGCACACATCTACATTTTATACACCGCATGCTATGCCGTGCCGTGCCGTGCTCGCGCTGTGTCGCCTGACGCGTGCTGATTCAAACCTTCGCCGATTCGTCCTTATCCGTGCCCTTCAACGAGTCCATGCGGGCCTTCATGTCCTTGATCAACTTGGCCATTTCCTCGTCCGTCCGGCCGGGACTGGGGACCTTTCTGGCCCTCTGCACGGCGGGCCGTTCCTCGATGCGCTTCAACCACTTCTCCACGCCGGGGAACTCGGTGATGTCGATGTCGAGGAAGAGCGGGCCCGCGCGCACCCACGAGTAGTTTGCAATGTCGGCGATGGTGTATTTGTCCCCGGCGAGCCAGTCGGCCTTGGAGAGGCGGATCTCCAGCACGCCGAACAGGCGCTTGGTCTCGTCGAGGTAGCGCTTGATGCCGTAGGCCGAATACACGGGCGCCATGGCGCGGAAGTGGTTGGCTTGTCCTGTTTTTTGGGGAGGAGGGGGGAATGTGTTTTAGCCCATCGCCTTCACTCAGTCTTTCCTTGGGAGAGGATTGTCTAAAGCAGAGAATCTCGAGAAAGCGGAGTCGTACCTTGCATGGGCCCGACGCCGCCCATCTGAAACATCAACCAGCTCATCATCTCGTAGTAGAGCGCACTGCCGTGCTCGTACGTGAACTTCTTCTCCTTGTCATACAGGTCCGCGAGGTACAGCATGATGGCACCGCTCTCGAAGACGCGGAGGTCACCATCCTTGAGCGCGGGGATACGGCCATTCGGGTTGATTTCAAGGAACCACGGCTCCTTTTGCTCGTTGGTCATGAGGTTGATGGCGCGGACCTCGTATTTGAGTCCCAGTTCCTCGAGGACGATGGCCGGCTTCAGCCCGTTGGGCGTCCCCGCCGTGTAGAGAGTGAGCGCATTGAACGGAGGAGCAGACATTGTGCCGGGGGTTTGCGTCGAGACAGTAGTCTTCTCTGGTGAAGGGTCAAGCCTGAGTCGTCTCTTCTGGTGCACCGCGTGGATGGTCCCAGGTTGAAATAGTGATGGACTGTTTTCTCTAAGCCTCGTACTCGGGTTCGCAAAGGTCGCAGTACGTGAGGTGGGACTGGCGACAGGGGAGAGGATTCCTAGACTTCTTATGGTTCGCGATCTGGTGGTCTTCTTTATAGGTTCCGTGAGACAGCCAGTCAGTCCAATGACGTGGCGAACTGCGCATGTTGTCCTCATGACTTGATTGGTTTTGCCCCTCGTTTATGCGACGAACCGAGGTGGGTGTGTGGTGGGTGCAGGGTCGTGTTTGCGGAAACCTATTCTCGTATCAGTAATGGCACTGGTGAACGTCTACTTAGACCCCAACCTTTACACGTCTTAAGTCCAGCAAGTGGCAGGTTTCCTCGACGTTGTAACAGTGATTGGGTAGTTCGGGAGTCGGCAGCGGTGGTCGCTAGGAACGACACCTTCTTCAACTAGAGTCAATGTCCCAAAATGGCTGCATATTTCCCCTGAGCTTAGAAAGCAGCAGACACCACTGGTGCCACCCAAATGCCACCAGACAGACGACGGACGGTATTGATCGGCGTTAACCTCATCTCGTCCGTCGCGTTGATCGTACCAACCGTCCTTGACGGACAAAATCTCCTCCGCAATCCGATAACTATATCAATTGAAGGCTTCTCGGCCGATACAGCTGCTGATACACGGAGAGACAAAGCGCCCGACAAAGGGTCTGAAATGTTTCGACTATCTTCTCAATCCTCTGACAAGTAGTCCAATGGAACATCTTGATACCAGATCATGGCTCACAGAAAGCTAGTAATACAGCCCAATCGGCCCAAATCGTCATGTTTCCTCGCCATTGTTGCCAGGGCTCCTGTTTTCGCTCCTGTAAACCGTCGCTGCCGTTCAATCGACTCAGGTCGCCGGGTTTGTGCTTTGGTTTGTCGGTACCCTGCTCACAGGTGCAGAGGTTCCATCAGCATTCTCCCCCAAAGCCAACAGTCCCTCCTTGTGGAAGGGCTTCTTTGCCTGGGCAGCTTTCTCCTCGCTATACCTCCATATCCCAGCTGTTTTGTCCGGCGCCACGCCTTCCCAACTGTTGACCCCAAAGTTGGTCACCATCTTTACCAGATCTTTGAACGTCTTTTCCAATCTATCCTCGGGATCTGCTTGAACGAAGAACACCCGTTCCCAGTCTCGCTTCTCTTCTTGCTCCTTCTTGCGTAACGCCCGTTGAGCATTCTCGATTCGGGACTTGAAATGTGACGCGGCCTCCATTTCGCCCTTCTCAATGCTCTGGGCAACTCGTGCCCACGCTTTCCGACTCTCAAAAACATCCTGCTCCTCGACGGGCGCAACGTTCAGCTTGGACAGCTTAATGTCTGATGGTTTGAAGGTTTCGATCTCTCTGCCCTTCTTGCTGTCGCCCTCTCTGATGGTGAATGAATCTGACCATTGTCCGTCCGCCGTGTACAGAGGGGTTTTCTCCGAACCCTCACCTTCCCTCCACAACGACGCGGTGAAACTGTTCTTCTTCCCTGACAACCAGCCTCTGCCAGTAAAATCGATCTTGGCAACGTATCCAGTGCTCGAGACGATGTGTATGAATTTGCTCAACTCGACAAAGGGTGCTCCGTAGATGAGATTCTCGATGTGCAGAGCAGGCAGAGTGATGAGGTATGCCTCTGCATGGTCGCTGCCCGGAGGGTGTAGGGTCAAAAGAGCGTGTCCAATCTGTTTAACTTGGATAGTTCTACTAAAACTGGCTTTCTGGCCGTTATAACCCTGGAGCCGTATGCGGTGTTTCTCGTTGGTGATGCAGTAGGCCGTGACTGGAGGATGGTGGCTGACTTGCTCCGAGACCAACGTTGTCTCGCCGAATTCGTCGTTCCATTTTCCCAAGAATAACTCGCCTAGGAATGGGTTGAGTGGCTTCTTCTCCGACCCAAGTTTTTCAGAGCGAGAGCTGTACTGTTGTTTCAGAGTGTTGAGCAACCACTTCAATACCAGCAGAGCGCGTCTGGCAGGGTCCTTCTCTTGGGTCGGCGCAATGAATAGCGACGTGTTTTCAGCCCAGTACGCAGAGAACTCGACTAATGATTGAGTGGAGAGGATGAAGGCCGGTGCGGTTAGCGAGGACAAGTCGCCATTGAAAGAGGCAATCGACTACGCGCATTTGTCAGCCGCGTCCAAAGTCACATCCCTCTCTTATGGACGCACCTTAAGGAAAGAAGACCACGATCCTTTGCTTTGGGTTGGCACCGCGCCACCTTCGACTTCGGGCATGGTGTGCTCGATTCGGCCACTTGCGCAGTGCTGATGAAGTGAATGGGCTGTCGTGTGCTCACAAACTTTGGCTTCGTCTTACGCTGAGGAAGCAGGAGGAACAGTGGAGAGACGGTTCGCAGAACGAAAAATAAGGGAAACGACGATCTTCATAAAACAAGCGAGCGAACACTCGTTGATCAAGGGAAATGGTTGACGAGGACATGTGTTCAACCGTGACAACAAGCGTCTCAATGTGGTTGGAGGGAGTGAAAATCCCCCTTCAATTTCGGTGACGTATGGTGGCTGAAGCCGAATGGAGCCACCACTTAGACATGGGCACGGCGTCACCGCCACGTGTGAAGATTTGAGGTTGCTATGGAATAGAACTATTCTCTTTTTGGCTGGATGTTGGAAGGCATGTAGGATAAAGCTAGGGTACAGGACCTTTTCCTCGCTTAAGAAGTTCTGTTTTCACTAATAATGGAGACGGACAACCGTCATCTCTCCAAAAAACAAGATATAAGAATGCGCAGCTGCCTTCATGCATTCCCAGTTCTTGACGTTGCAAAGTGGTCTCACAGAGTGTTGGCGGTGTTGAAGTCCTTCAATGCCTCGGCCACACGCGCGCTCATGGTCTTCTCACCTTCACGCACCCACACGCGGGGATCGAAGTACTTCTTGTTGGGTTTGTCCTCGCCGTCTGGGTTGCCGACTTGCTTCATGATGTAGTCCTTCTTGTTCAACACATAATCACGGATACCAGTTAGGTAGGCGTATTGCAGGTCAGTGTCGAGGTTGACTTTAACCACACCATAGCTGATGGCATCGGCGTATTCCTTCTTGGTCGAGCCGGAGCCACCATGGAACACAAGGAACACAGGCTTGTCTGACTTGGTAGACTCCTTCTCCTTGACGTATTTCTGGTGCTTGTCGAGCAACTCTGGGTGAAGACGGACATTGCCTGGCTTGTAAACACCGTGAACATTACCGAAGCCTGCGGCAATCGAGAAGTACGGGGAGATCTTCTTCAAAGTCGAATAAATCAAGTGGATATCCTCGGGTTGAGTGTAGAGGGCGTTGTTGTCGACATCCTCGTTGTTGACACCATCTTCCTCACCACCGGTGATGCCGATTTCCTGTTCTCGGGTTAGTGATCAACGGACCCGGAACGGAATCTAGATACTTACCATCTCCAGCCACTGCTTCATGGGGGCCGCCCGCTTCAGGTACTTGGCCGTGGTCTCAATGTTCCAGTCAACAGCTTCTTCGGACAAGTCAATCATGTGCGAAGAGAACAGAGGCTCGCCATGTTCCTTGAAATAGGCCTCATCCGCATCCAACATGCCATCAAGCCAAGGGAGAAGCTTCTTTGCGCAGTGGTCGGTGTGTAGAACAACAGGGACGCCGTATGCGGGAGCGACACAGCGGATGTAGTGAGCCGCAGCCACTGCACCAGCAATGGATGCTTGTTGCTTGTCATTCTTGACACCCTGTAAAATGCTTTCAGTTTGCCATTCTTTCTGCCCAAGCTCATATTCAAACGAACCTTGCCACAGAAGTACGCAGCACCTCCCTGAGAGGCCTGGAGGATGATGGGAGCATTTGCATCGCGAGCAGCTTCCAGAGCGGCCACGACGGTCGAGGAGGAGGTCACGTTCTAGGGACCGGAGGTTAGTGATAGAACCGTTGAGATGCAGCCGGGGAGCTTACAATGGCGGGGATAGCAAAGTTGTGCTCTTGGGCGTACTTGAAGAGATTCAAGACGTCGTCGCCGACAATAACACCCTCCTTTCGCGACAAGATATCCTTGACACCCATATTGATGACTGCTGGTGGGGCTCTTGGAAGTTGAATCGAGGAGGGGTGGAAGACACAAGATCAAGGTCTCTCTGATGAGTCTAAGCTATGGATATGCGGCGGCAGTATATACCACGGGAGAAGGTGAGAGCAAGGATGAATGAGAAATATGTGAGAAAAGAATAGAATCGAAGTAAAAGTGAGTTCGGCTTGTGGGAAAGGATCAAAACGAAAGGCCGCTGGCTGGTTTTCCGAAGCGGCGATGGGAGAAAAGTGGTGAGGGGCAGCGATTGCAGTGACTGGAGCAACCAGCAATGACATCGAGCTTCTTTTTGCCCACTGGTGCCACTGTCGTTATTCATTCCTCGGCCAGCGAGTTTTCATTCGCTTTCCTACCAAACCCCCACAGCCACGGCCCTCTCCCTCGTCCCGGTTCTCTCCTTTTGCTCTCGATGTCTCGGCCACGGAATTCCTACAAGTACCATTCGATCCTTTTGCCCTGCGGAACTTTACGGGATTCACTCTGGCCCAGAGCGCAATTCCTTTCCCCACGATGAACCAGTGGACCCGTTGGGGACGAAGTCTGGGCAGAAGCAATGAGCTGGTCGGACAGTATTGCCCGGCCTTGGGTTGACGGTACAATTCTCCCACTGACTGCCGACAGCCTTCGGAGTATCTCAGATCACTAGGACAACGGACCGGTACCCACAACGATCGTGAACTGAACTTCATAAGACGACCATTCGCTCCACTAAAGCTCAAACCCTTCGCCAGGCTTGCTTCCTCTGCCGCGAGCACTAAGGCTATCTAAACAATGCGTTGTGGAGTGGTCACCAAGGCCGAGGGAGCATCACTGAGGGTATAAGCGCAATGCATTCTCCGAACAACCCAAGGAACAACTGCGAACAGAACAAATGGACAGTATTGTTGCTGGTTCGACAGTTGAATTGGCCAAAGGGAGGTTAGGATCTACGAAAGAAACACCTGGGGCTGCTGGCTGCCCGGTTGCTCGAACGAGATCCCCATCTAACAACCGGGCGAGTGTGACGTTCATCCCTGAGCATTACACGGTCGCAAAGTGAGCTTCATGCAGTTTGAAAGACCATTTTGATGCTGAGATTATTCAGCTGCATGATTCCAGTCATTCATCCCTGGCTTAATAACATAACCACAAAAAGAAACCCTTGACCGAGAGCGACTTCTTCACTTTTGTTCTGCCCATTCATCCGCATACTTCTTCAGCCTAATGGTCTGAATCTTGATGAATCCCGTGGTGTCCTCGGGACTGAAGTTCTCCAACGAATCCATCGATGCCTCCTCCATGGAGTACAGCTTCTCGCTGCTGCTGGTACGTCCGAGGACGTACGCAGATCCCTTGTAGCAGCTCAAGCGGACCTCGCCGTTCACGTTCTGTTGGCTGTAGAGCAGAGAATTCTCCACAAACACACGCTCGGGGGAGAAGTCTAGAAGGGTAATGGTTAGTACAAACCGACAGTGGAAACAAAGTGCATTCCAGTGAAGCACGTGCAAGGTATTCTATACGTACACATTCCGTTGTAGACTATGGAGAGAGGATTAATATTCGTTCACACAAACAGACAGGCGTCATGACTTACGATAGTTGCTCCAGTTGTGAGTGACAAACTAAGGATCAAAGCGTTAGACACCGATCGCTAATATATCGGGAGCAAAGGTGCATGACTTACCTGATCCCGGAGAGCCCGGACTTGTCCATCGAGGACCAACCCCTCAAGATCAAGATGCGCGAGACGAAGAATGGTCATGGCAGGGGACTGCAGTTAGGTCAGTCAGAGGCACGAAATCGAACATTTGCCGTGCGACTCAGGGGACAACTAGCCGCCCGTGCACATCGGCTAGAAACAAGCTTACGTCGTAACATCCACGAGACTTCAACCCAATGAATCGATTCTCAACAATGTCGATTCTGCCGATACCGTGGACCTTTCCGATACGGTTAAGCTCCTTGAAGAGCTGCACGGAGTCGGTGAAGGTGCCCTGTGGCGTGACGACCTTGGTCGGAATGCCCTTTTCGAAGGTGATGGTGATGTTGGTCGGCTCGTTGGGAGCTTTCAGCGGGTCATCGGTCATGGTCCACATGTCGCTAGGAGGCTCCTGGTTTGGGTCTTCCAAGATTCCAGCCTCGTAGCTGCAGTGGGCAAGGTTGGCGTCCATCGACCACGGCTTTGCCTTGGTGGATGTGACCGGAAGGTTCGTTGCTGTGGCATAGTCGAGCAGATCGTTCCGACCCTGGAATCGGTTGAAGAACTTGGGATCTCTCCACGGAGCAATGATCTTGATGGAAGGCTGGATTGCGTAGAAGGCGAACTCGAAGCGGAGTTGGTCGTTACCCTTGGAGTACATTAGAAGATGACCAGGCATAGTGAAACTCAGAGCTCATTACCTTTGCGGTAGCACCGTGGCTCACGGAGTCGCAGCCTTCACGCTGTGCCACTCGCATGAGAGATCGTGCAATGACTGGACGCGCAAGAGATGTCCCAAGCAGGTAACGTCCCTCGTACTTTTAAGGGTCAGTTGAGTTTCTGCGAACCGGTCACCGGCCTCGTTTCACATCAGACTCACCTGGGCATTGCACTGCACGGCTCTGAAGCACAACTCTTCCACAAACTCCTTCTGGAGGTCTTCAATCACCATCTTCGTAGCACCAATCTTGAGGGCCTTCTTCTCGACGGCATCCCAGTCCTCCTCTTGCCCAACATTGGCAAGGAAGCATACGACCTCATAACCGTCGTCTGCAGTTCATTTATCAGTCATTGATGTCACAGTGCAAAAGAAACTCCATGGCTTGAGGAGTCTCACCGAGCAGCCATCGCAGAATGCAGCTGGTATCCAGACCACCTGTACGTCCATATCAGTACTTCATCCTCCAATGGTCCCTCTGACTCATATCTCACCGCTATAAGCCTGAATACCGTTAGAAAGACACATGTGGTCGTTGCTGGATTGTCACTTACCAAGCAGACTTTTCCCTTCGCCATGTTGTCAAGTGGGTTTCAGTATGGGGTGGGACTCTCGTGCAAATAGTTGACAGACTATCAAGGGGCTTCGTGCAGTTGATAACCGCTCAGAAAGATTTCACAAATTTTCCTTGTACCCCACGTGAGGTCGAGAAACTTTTTTAAAGTGTGGCGCATAGAGCAGGCGATAAGGCTCTGTTGGTCCACTAGTGACCTGACTAGGAACGGTACTAGGCCAAAAGCGGTCAGGAGTTTCGCGTCGCAAAACTACTGTAAACAGTCGTCCTCTCACATCAACTGCGGCAACTAAAAGAAATCCTTGATGCTCAAGAAAAACTCTGACTGCATTTTGGGTAAACTTGTCCGGCCTAACAGTAGATAGAATTAAAAATAGGCACGTGGAAACAAGGGCTACAATGGGAGACTTCAACCGCTTACCATGATTCGTGAACCCTCCCTCTCAGAGGAAAGGTTCACCAACCCACAACTCTAGCGACTGAACCGCATTTGTGTATCTGGTTTCATTCCCACGGAATGCTCCCCCTGCAGGAAAGTGGTTAAACGTTAGCCTTCTGGAGATCGACCCTCATATAAAACTGAATGGACCTCGAGTGTTTGCAGCATATCTCTCAGCACTGATCAGCATATATGCAGACGTTTTCCAGCTCCGTTCTATCCAAGATCTAGCATTATGGAAAGGGCCACAATCGGGTGACCCCAAGATCTATCAAATTCTGTTTTTGATATTGCACACCAGATGTCCGATATAACGAGGGTTTTAACGTAGTGCCTGGGCTAGTGGAAGTAGGTATGCCCTAGGTGCAGTGGCGACAAGATCTAAGCTGAAGGATCATCGCCTGGCCGCTCAAGCTCATAGAAGAGCAAGTAGACTTCGCGCTGCATGGAGAGCACGTCCGACAGGCGAGCCTCCTTGATTTTGTCGTCCGAAATGCGCCACCACCGATCATTGGACTTTTTCCGCCGCCGGAACTTGCCTGGTATTGGATCTTGTGTTCTAATCTGTTTCGATACTTGGGTATCTGTTCTCTGAACTGGCGACATAGCGTTGTCTTCCAGGGTAGGCGGGCGGGTATCCTTGCCATTTATCCCGTGAGAGTCTGATCTGCTATTCCCCGTTGATAGTGAATTTGTAGACAATGATGTAGTTGAGTTGCCGTTAAGAGGTGCGGCGGACTTATTTAGTCCGTCACCTCGCGTCGCTTCCATGGTTGGGCTGGGAGTGGCCGACGAAGTCATGCTCGTATATCGGCTGGCCATAGCGTACGCGCTGAACGGGTCAGGAGTAGCAAAGGGAGCGTACACATGATTTCGTCGGAAAGACTCGTAGTGTCCGCTGTGATGACTGCCTTTGTGACATACCACTCCCAACAATTTGTACCAATGTTCATTTAACAGGCCTCCTAGACGCAATCTCTGCGTGTATGATACCTTGGCCATGTTTTTGGTGGAATAGCTCCCCGGATCAAAGACCGATCGGGACAGATGAATTGCGATCACTTTGGGAAACACTGTGATGCGAGTTGACTTTTTGATCTTGCTTTTTGGTGCGAGACTCGTGTCGGGTAAAGCTACACCTTCAGGAGCCTTCTCTGGATCATCACGTACAGCCTGCTCGATTAAGGCAATGTCTTTTTCCAGCTCTTCGCGCTCCTTGTCCGTGGTGTTTGAGGATAGCTTAGAGTTCTTCCATTCGAGAGCATGCGTCAGCCGGCATTTGTCGCACTTAAAATCATCGATTTCTTCACTTTTCAGTAGGATGTCGAAGCAATTGTCCAAGGAAGTGGCGCTCTTCTGGGGAACGTTCAAGGTCAGGGAAACGAAAGTTGTGACTGTCGGCTTCGTCCTGAAACCACAGCGCTGGCATTGGATATGGGATTCAATGCGACCCTCGAAGGGAAATCCTTCGCGAGCTCCTATAGTGACCTCAGTCGATGCCGGACTCATGGAGGAAGGCTTTAAATCCGTAGTAGTGGAATCTTCGGTCTGATCTGGGTTGGCAAATCTAAGCCGCGCCCGCTGTGCTGCGTGGTATTCATCACAGAGCCGTTCGAGGACAATTTGTAGGAATTCCTGCGCATCTTGCTGATTTCGGCTTATACGTGTATTGAAAGCCCTCTCCAACGCCTCTATCATGGGTTTTGCACTGATGGTTTTCTTGTATATGGGACGCTCATTCAGAGCATCCAGCATCTCCTTCAGCGCCTTAGTGACCGGCCCCTTTTGCAATCCCACAATTCTATCAGCCTTTTCGCCCTTGCGCAGCACGGGAGGAGGGGAGTCATAAATCTCGGGTCCATCGAGCTGGCGCCTGTGTAGTTCTTTGATCAGGTAGAGCCGGAGGTCGCCGAGTCCAGCGAGTGCTTGAAGGACTGAATTAATGAAGCAGTCATTGGCCGGATTAGACAGACCAATAATTGTGCGTTTGCGGCCATCGTTGGTATTGTAGGAATTCTCGCCATCGATGAAGAAGGTCGGCGCAAAGACATAGAAGGCAGCAATCGCAGCAAGAGAGGCGCCAGCCGCATATGCGACGACCGTGGCGGGCTTGTCAGGCATCCGGATAGTGTTCTGTTGTCGGGGTCAGACCCATGGCGCTTATCACGAGCGGTCACGACATTGGGACGAAACAAGGTCGGTCGTGTTGACAGGAGATGTGATCGAAGGACTGCTGCGAGGAGCTGGTGGTGCTCGAGAGAAGATCGAATCGAGGAGAGGTAAATCCGGGGGACGGGACAACGGGGGGTTCCTCCGTATCGTTTTTTCTCTATGAGCTTCGGCTTGGGGCAGGTTACGAGCACAAATCAATTGTCCGGGTGCGGGTGGGGGGAGTCGGGATTGTTATTATTAGTGGAGGAGAGTCTACCTACGAGTACCGAGTACAGTCACTAGCCCGCTTCGGTGCCTATCAAATCATCGAGGATGCCTAAAGTAAGGGTGGGGGCCCCCGGAAGCCACCCGGGCTTTGAACTTTAAAGGAAGCCGGTCGGAAACTCTTGCCTCTTGCATGGTCGCCTGGCAGGTACCCGTAGCGCCGCCCTATTTAACCGGAACTTGTGCCATTGCACAAACTTATCCTTGCACGCCTCGTCTATCACAGTTGGTTCTAATTGGCCTCTCATGGCAACAGACTGCAGGGCTGGTGGCCTTTTCGTTTCGAGGTAGGTGAGTGTGACCATCATGCTGAGCGGCTATCGCTACTCGGTACGCGTCTGAGCCTCATTCCTGTTGTTGTGACTGTGAGGTTCTCACCTACAACATGAGCTGTACTTTGATCACACCCAAACCGTGCATCCTGTTTATGGCCATATCCTCTGAACTGACGATCGTATCTGTCAATGTCGATGACCGATGGATCCCTATATGTCCCACTACCACACATAGGTGATTTCATCAGGCTCCTCGAGTTACTCCCAGGGCGGCCCGCAGACGACCTTGTGGGGAGCTTCGTGGTACACGACCTCGAAGATGCGCAACCTGAGTACACGGCGACGTCGTATGTCTGTGGCGACGACAATCGCTCCTACCACTTCATCTCTATCTCTGGCTCCAGGGTTGGTATCTACAAGAACGCAGATGAAGTCCTGAGGAGATTCCGCTCCGAGGCGAATACTACATATCTGTGGATTGACGTCCTTTGTATAGATCAGGACAACGCGGTGGAGAAGGCGAGAGAGGTAAATTTGATGTACAAAGTGTATGAAAAGGCCAAACGGACTGTAATATGGTTAGGCCCAAGTGGCGACGATGTTGCAGTCGGGTTCCAGTATGCCAGGACACTGGATGCCAGGCGTTATCTCGACGAGTACACACCTACGGTAATGTATGCCGGGCATGAGACACAGTACTTGCAGAACAAGTCTCATATACTCGATGTCCTGCATACCCACCCAGAAAAAGAATCACTGGTCAACTCATGCGCAAAGCTCCTTCTGCGGCCTTGGTTTACACGTGTATGGACTAGACAAGAAGGGGCCCTAAGCTCTGATCCTGTGGTTGTCTGTGGTGAAGACGAGATACCCTGGCTTCAGATCTTTGCGCTGGCATGGCTGTTCCTCCCCAGGTCCACGATGCGGTGGCCCCAGTGGTTTCTCTCCGACGATCCCTCAAAGACGTATGCGAACCTCGAGCCCAACATTATGTTTATTCAGAGCATCCAGACATATCGGCTTCATCAGATGCAGGTTCTGAACCACGAACCAGAAACGCGAGAGGTCAGCTTAATAAACGCCATGCACGATGCGTCGCGGTTGAAATGCTACGACCCGCGGGACAAGATCTATGCCATTCGAAATATTGCCACAGACTTGACTCAAAATGACTGGGCACCTCAACCCGACTACGTCACTCCCTGGGAAGAGGTCTATGCCGACTTCGCGATGCGCATGGCGGAGAGAGGAAGACACGAGGTACTGGACTGGTCGGGAGTCTGTCAGCAGGAAGCACGTTCCGGTCTCGCTTCTTGGGTAGTTGACTGGAGGTCTCGCCCTCGGACCCAATACCTCGTTCCTGAAGAATGGTGTGCAGGGGGCAAGACCTTTCGGCCAAAGGTAGAGCGAATTCCCAAGAAAAGACAGCACTATCTGCTGAAATTGCTCGACGCAGCCAAGCAGCCGAGGAAATCGCTGCGATACACCTTGTCAATCACGGTCATGATGCAAGATAATATCGCCTTTCTCAGCGGTGTCCTCGAAGATGGGAAGGGATTTGGTAACTCCAGAAAGACCGCTCAAGAAGTGTTAGCATTGGATCAACAATCTCAAGAGTTTATCAAAACCTTGCCCTCCACATTCTACATCAACTCTGAACAAGTGATCGACGTCTACAACGCAACTCTCATTGCCAACACCACGGACCATGACACCGTCGCATCACCTTCCTATGTTGCCGCTGGTGTACAGGAATGGCGCTCGTGGCTGTCCTCTCAGACGCCTCTAACGACGAACACCGAGACTGACAGCGAAAGTATTGTCCCGAGATTCTACGAAGCAATTGATAGCATGGACACATTCCAGTACAAACAATTCTGTGTCTCCACCCTTGGCTACTTCTGCCTTGTCCCCGACATTACCGAAGCGACTGACGCCATTGCTATCGTCAAAGGAGTGGATATGCCGATCGTGCTTCGTCCTATCAATGACCTCTACGTATACCTCGGCCAATGCTATATCCACGGCATGATGGAGCTGCAAGCTGGCACACTAATCGAGGAGTTTCGCGTCAAATTCAACACTAAAGAGGGAAAGGTGGTTGTGGGCAGACCCGAGGGTGATATTAGGAAGAACGGCTTGAAGATGGATGCGGGTGAATATGTCAGAATCTTGGGAAGCCTCGGGGAGAGGAAGATTGTTTTGATATGAGGTCTATGGTTGTCAGTTTCTGGTATGGGGCATCGTAGGTTGGGTTAACGTTGTTGATGCTAGGAAATCTGCCAACACTAGATCGTGAATAGTTGTGGTTGGAAATATTAAGTAGGTATTTGCTGTGTAGACTTGAAGCAGTCGACGAACAAGTGTTTATCTATCACCAAATATGGGACGTTGCAAGACCAAGCCTCACCGCAGACCGAATACGAGATACGTGTAACAGGGTAACGGGAAACGGCCCGTGGGAACTCACGTCGTCAGCCGCATACAAACTTACTGCGTGTTTTGAACCATAACACCCCTCCATCCCTACCCCGCCCGACGGCCATGAAGGTCATCGTAGAGGAATACAACCCTGAATGGCCGCTCCAGTTCCAGCAAATCAAGAAAGAGTTGCAGGACGTCCTCGGAGGGGTCAAGTACATCGATGTCGAGCATGTGGGCAGCACAGCGGTGCCAGGATTGGCCGCCAAACCCGTCATCGACCTCTCTATCATCAGCGCCCGAGCCGACGTGGAGGCTGCCATCCACGCATTGACGTCAAGGGGAGGATACATCTACAAAGGGGAAATGGGCATCCCGGATCGCCATGCGTTGCGGAAACCTGGAGCTTCCCCAACAAGGCATCTCTATATCTCGGTGGACGGTTGTCAGTCGATCAGGAATCAATTGGGGGTGCGGGATATTTGTCGCAAGGACTCCACAGTTCGAGACGTCTATAGCCGGAAGAAGGTCGAGCTCTCGCAGCGAGACTGGAGAGATGCCGATCAATACTGTGAGGCTAAAAATGATATTCTCGCCTGGGTGCTGGAAAAGGCTGGGATGAGCAGCGAAGAGCGGGAGCAAGTCAGGCAACTGAACACGACGGCGACGGCGACCTCCTAGTGGGCAGATTTCTCAGTGTCCAGACTGGCGGGCCTCTTCCTTGCCACTGTAGTGGTGAGGGGTTCAGATGTCCATCTGTTTCGAGTAAAAAGAAACGACATGGGTCTTTGCAACACTGTGATTCTAGCCAGTGGAGGTGGACAAAATCTCTCGGGTTATATCCCAGCCAGCACGTCGTTGTGTCGATCGAACAGACGACAACACATCTTGACTCGCCATCTTATCAGTCCACCCACGATGCATTTTCAATGGAGGTCATGAGTGGAACTCGGTCTGCAGGACGGTATGGGAAGTACTCGCGCATGTTGAAGCGATGGTTCTCGAAGGATCAGTCTTTCTCGCAGGGTTTCTTTGCGCGTCATTGTGCGTACAGTGTGGAACAGCTCAAAACTTTCTAGGAGGTAGCCGCTTGGGGGAAGCAATGTTGGATCGCGATGAAATTGCTGAGTGAGATGCGAGGCGCTCGGATCACCCCACTGATGGTGGTTGACAGGGAGAAGGATGCATGAGACCTGGCGAATGAGTGAGATGTTTTTCCTCGGTAGGCGAAATGGATGGAAAATTCTGCGGGTGCAATGGGGAAAATGTACGAGCTTTAACTTTTGTGCCGCTTGAAGGGCTTTTTTTTTCTTCGTTTCTCATGCATGCATGTCGCAGTGCCGCAGGTGCGGTCCTTTTCTTTGGGGCGAGGGTTACAGGCACCCAAGCACTCTTGGGGCCGCCTAGTCAGGTCGCAATAGGCTAAAGGGTGGCTGATGCTGGGCATGGATGCAGCTAAGTAGCCGAAGGATTCGGCGGCCGCCAATAGGCAGACGGGCCGCCCATGTCGAATGTCCCAGGGGTACGTGTCTTGGCTCGCATCATAGGCCAACGACTTTGCTGGGGACATTCCCAATTGGGCGGTTGAAACACAACAGTCGCTCGTCTCTATGTATGGCACGGAGTAAATTACAATCTCGCAGTTTTCTGTCTGAAACAACGCAACGCAACCTCATCTTCTTGTACATTAGTATTCCTCTTATCTCTTACCAGAATTTAAACAGATTTTCATTCATATCGTCCATTTCTTTTAGACCATCGCTTTTGACACGCCTTTGTCATTCGCTAACCACTCCCCCGGATTCGAGATTCTACTCCGCCGAACCCTTTGTTCTTCGATCGGCAAACCTCGTTTGTTCAGAGGTACATAGATATCTTACGACCCCAGCTGCGCGGGTCGGCGAGGTTCCCTACAATTGCTTTCCATTGGCAACAGTATTATGCAGTTATCCGTGTAGAGTCTTGCTCTGCCAACACGCAAGACCACCAGCACACAATGTCGGCCGTTCACGCGCTTTTTCCCCGGCAGACCTCGTTCACCCCGGATGCCAGTCTATCAAAAGGAGAGCAGGTCCTCCAGTTGATTGCAAATCCATTTCAAGCTTCAGTAGGTATTCTGCCAGAATCCAAGTTGCGAAGATTGTGCTGACCCTTCTTAGCTTCAAACAGGTGCCTTTTGGGCCTCCCTTGCAACGTCTCTAGGACTCAGTGCCGGGCTCGCTCTCCTATTTTGCCTTATTCGACCTCGAAATAATGTTGTTTATGCTCCCAGACTGAAAAATGCGGATAAAGATCATGCTCCACCACCGTTGGGGAAGGGGTTGTTCAGTTGGGTTGCACCCGTCAGAAAAGCATCGGAACCCTACCTGATAGAGAGAATCGGGATGGATGCAGTCATCTTCCTGCGGTTCACTCGAATGCTGCGAAACATGTTCCTGGTACTGGGTCTGATTGGCATTGTTGTCATGATTCCCGTCAACGTTACACAAGGGAACAAGGCTATCACAAAGGGTTTGAGCGTCTTCGCCGTCATGACCCCCTTATTCACATTCGGACGAGGTCTGTGGGCTCAGGTTGTCGTGGCGTGGCTGATTGATTTGGTGGTGATATACTTTCTCTGGCACAATTACCGTCGAATCCATCACCTGCGACGACTCTACCTTGAAAGCCCCGAATATCAGAAGAGTCTACATGCCCGGACAATATTGATTCGAGACATCCCAGCCAATCTGCGAACCAAGGACGGTATTGTTCGAATTACTGAAGAGATCAATCCAACCGGCACTGTTCCGAAGACGTCCATTGGACGCAACGTCAAGGTGCTACCGGATTTGATCGAAGAACACGAAAAGGCTGTCAGGGAACTTGAGTCGATTCTGGCAAAGTATCTGAAGAACCCGGATAGGCTGCCACCAAACCGACCAACCATCAAAGCCCCCAGCAAGTACCGTGGTCAGACGACAAACGGCAAAGTCGATGCCATTGAGTATCTCACGGACCGTATCCGATCTCTCGAGATGGAAATTAATGATATTCGAGAGCGCGTGGACAATCGTGATGCCATGTCCTACGGTTTTGCTAGCTGGGAACAGATTTCGGAGGCGCACACAGTCGCATTCCAGGCACGGAACAAGCGACCTCATGGTACCAAGATTCGCTTAGCACCGAGACCCAACGACCTTATTTGGGACAATCTCAAACTGTCGCGATCTTCGCGGAGGAGCAAGCGGATAATGAATGGCATCTGGATCGCCGTCCTAACGATCATCTGGACTCCCATCAACGCCGGAATTGCGGTCTTCCTCTCCAATCTGTCAAACCTGGGTCTCGTCTGGCCAGCTTTCAGAACTCAACTGGAAGCACATCATACGGGCTGGGCCATCGTCCAGGGTATTGCTGCCCCGGCTCTTACTTCGCTCGTTTATCTCTTGCTCCCGAGCATCTTTCGGCGGCTTCAAGTCCGGGCCGGTGATGTGACCAAAACCGATCGGGACCGACACGTCTTTCGGAACTTGTACGCCTTTTTCACTCTGAACAACTTGGTTGTATTCTCCATCTTTTCGGCAGTTTGGCAGTATGTGACGATTGTGATCCAATACAACAAACAGAGTAACGACCTGTGGGACGCGCTGAGAAAAGGCCAATTCTTCCTGGTGATCACAACGACACTCTGTCAGATCTCGCCATTTTGGGTCACTTGGATCCTCCAGCGCAACCTGGGTGCCGCCACTGATCTGGCTCAACTGTGGCAGTTAACCTACACCTGGTTTGCAAGAACCTTCTTGGCTCCGACACCTCGACAGAATATCGAGTGGACTGCGCCTCCAACCTTTGATTATGCCAGCTACTACAACTATTTCCTATTCTACACCACGGTGGCACTTTGCTATTCTACACTTCAGCCGATAGTGCTGGTTGTTACCGCATTGTATTTTGTCATCGACGCATTTCTCAAGAAATATCTTCTCATGTATGTTTTTGTCACCAAAACCGAGTCTGGCGGTCAATTCTGGACGACGATGTTTAACCGAATGATATTCGCCACGATACTTTCCAATGTTGTTATCGGTGTGGTCGTCAAAGCCAGGGGGGAATGGACCCTCGTTGCCGCGATTGCACCATTGCTGGTCATCATGCTTGCCTTCAAATGGTACTGTATGAAGACTTTCGACTTGGACCTGAAGTACTACTCTCGGGGTGGAATGCACGATCAAGAACGCCTTGCGGTGGAGGCGAAGCCGAGGGAATCTGAGAAGGTTTCATTCAAATTCGGGCACCCGGCTCTATATCAACCCCTGATGACGCCAATGGTCCATGCTAAGGCCAGGCACGTCCTTGCTGAGATCTACCGTGGCCGACTACAGTCTGATGGAGGACAATCTATGCCCATTTCGGATATCGCCATGCAGCCAATGACTCAGACGAGCAAGCCACCTCAGGACGTCCCTTTCGAATTTGTCCCTGAGGCTCATCAAGACTTCAAATTCTATAAAAATCGCGAGGACTTCCGCCAAGAGGCGGGTGATATGCTCTCCTCCTCGCGAAGCCAGACCCCAGTCTCGTCATTTGGTGGTCAGAAGGAGTCTTCGCCATCAAGTTCCCGCGATGTGAGCCCAGCCCCTCCGGTGATAGCACCACAGCAAACACATATCCATCGCAAGGAATTCGACCAGTCTAATGTCCCAAGTCAATTCAGACACGGTCCTGCAGCTCCTTTTGTCGGGGCCAACAGTCTAGGACCGCATCAAGGTCCTCACGCGGATCCCTACGATGACAGGACAAACCTGCTAGGGAGTGCGGGCGATGTCAGAACACCGAACGGCGAGTTCATGTCTCTTGACCAGTGGCGGACCCCAGTGGCGAGTCGGGATGGAAGCGAAATGGATGGTTATCGGGACGTGACGCCTGGGGAAGAGTTGAATACGAATTACGACTATTTCAGAGGGAGACGGTGATCGAGATGGCGTTTGTCGGTTTTGTATCCTGTTGGAACCACTCTGGGTAGAATCTAAACCGTCTATATAGAGAAAAGCGTACTTATTGATGAAGTTATGAGTTGGCACATGGTCATCATGAGATGACTGTTGATTGGAAAATGAAGATTCCGTCTAAATCCCCGTTTTCAAGTGCGTGTCTCTTGTGCAGAAAGCCCACCCACATTTGTATCACGACAGGTCGAGCAGGCCATTGGAAGATGTGTCCAGTCTCGGAAACAGGGCCTGGTTAGTAACTTACTGTATCACCAGTCCTATCGAGCAATAACCACTGCAGTAAGTCCAGAGGGGCACATAGATCTCAAGTCAGGTCCAGACCCCGTAACGCGACTAAGTCGTCGGCGAACTACACGATTCGAAAGTGAACAGGACCTGGTCAATAAGGACTACCCACTACTGGTGCTCACGAATTCGACTTCGTACCTATACTAAATTGCCCATCCTTAGTTGTTTGATACTGATGTACGAAGAGTCGAGTATTCAGTCCTCCATATTCACTACCAGCACTACTAGTACTACTGTATTCAGTCGACGAAAATGGCCTTGTTTTCCTCTACCCACTCGTCAAACTTGGTCGGCTGTCGTCCCCCATACTTGGTGATGTTGGCAACTGCCTCCTCGTAACTTTCATACAACTCTTCACCGTTATTCCCGTCTTCTACTCTCTGTTTGAGCAGCGCGATCAGCTGTCGCGCTGCCGTCTCCGGCACATGGGCGGCTTTCACGAAGAACTCGACACCTTCTTCCTCGTCAAGCCGTGTGACTTTGAGCTCCTTCCCGAGGACCCTGCCAATGGTGTCTGCTGCTGCAGCCTGCGACATGATCTTCGGGCCGCAAAGTCGAATGACTTTTCTCCCAGCGGCGCTGTCAACAGCATGAGGTCCTTTGGCGACAACTGCTCCACACACCCTTCCCATGTCTCCCGGCGTGATCCAGTCGAACAGCGCCTCGGGATATGCGATTTTGATCTCGCCTTCCGAAACCATCTTCTTCCATCGCAGGGCGTTGGTAGCGAAAGACCCAGGTCGCACAGCCACGTACCCGTCTGTTCCAAAGACTTGGTCCAGGTTAAGCTCGACTTGGCCATGTCCCCAGGCGATGAAGTTGCTTGGTGAAATGGTCTCGTTGCTCAGGATGGTCGGGACGGTATAACTGCTCAAGAAGACGACGAATTCGATCCCTGCAGACTTGAGCGCAACAAGGGAGGACTTCATGTGATCAGCTGTCCTGAATACGTAGATGAAGGCGTGTTTGGCCCCGGTTTTGGCAACGGCGGCCTCGATCGTTTCGGGCTTGGTGAGATCAGCATAGACTCTCTCAAAGCCTGCCTCGCGCTCTTGTTCTGGGGTGTAGCCTGGGATCGCCTTTTCCAGATCCCGCATTGCAAGGAACACTTTTGCTCCTTGCGAATGGGCCGCCCGAACAGTCGCGGATCCAACATTGCCAGTTGGGCCGAAGATGATGACCTTGGGCGTGGCTTCGGAGGACATGCTGGCAGTCAACCCTACTAGTTAGTGGTAGTGCTCAGTATTTTGGACAGTACTACTAGTAGTGACACATGAAAAGATCGTACTTTTAGTATGAGTTCCTCGTAGTATGGTTCAGTACAAAATAACTCCGAGAGTTACCATCCCTTAACCCCGAGACAGCCAGGCACCTGCATACAGATAACTTAAAGTTCCAGTCTTTTCTGGACTGAACGTAAGGCTACCAACAGGGCTTCCCGCTCTAGTTAAGAGTGACGTGAACTCGGCTGCAAATTCGGTGGTAGTAAACAGGAGAGGGAGACGCTTGCGAAGAACTTGAAGATGCCCAAAACACTTGTAGTGCAGTCAACTGTTAATATTAGTCCCGATTCGGACTTGCGCACCAGGCCACCACTCTGGCTGCTTTCGAAGAGGATCAAAATCAGCTCAATCTTGATTCGGAATGAAGTGACTACTACATCTATTAGGGCCTGAGGTTGTCTTTCGAGCAGGTCACTATCAGGCTATCCTTCCACTTCGTGTAAGTACTCAGTAGTACTTGCAGTCCTGATGGAAATGTGCACTTTCAAACCTGTCCGTAGAAAGAAGGCAGAAGCCAACTAAAGCTGATTCTGACAACAATTCTTTCTGTCTCAGTCTCTCGAGAATACAATAGTATTACAGTGTTAACTTAGCCTCCTAGAGTTTAGAGAGTTTGAGATTAGAACAAGTCGACTCAGGACGGGCGTAGTAGTAACTACTTACTGGGTCGAGCCTTCCGCGGTCAAAGAAAACGGGGAGTGCATTTGAAACGAGTCACCTTTTTGTACGAATCGGGTAATACTGCAAATAATGTTGTTCGACCCTCCCACAGGTATCTCAGACCGCATACCGCATTAGGAAATCCTCCATGCTTCCATTCCTGGGCGCATTTCAAATGATCGAGTCTCTGGTTATGTAAATTACTATTGAATCATTGGGGTTCGTCGTCAAGGCACATCGCGAGTGAGCCTTACGAGCTTGCAGCTCCGAGCCTTAGTGGTGAGTGAGTTCTTTCAGCCCTAGCTAGGCCCAAAGCGATTCGGACGTTGTTGACTGACGTGGCCCGATCCCAACCAACCACTGTACACCTTCCCTGTCACTTTCAACTGGGAGTTTCCTATGCATAGATTTTGAACACGTGCCAGGCAGTGCCAGCCTCACTGTCGATAAAACCTCTCTTCTTCACCTCACTTACAATTCCGTTCATCACAAGGACTACTAGTAGTACTGCTAGTAGTGGTATTAATTTCGTTTGGGTCTCGACTGTCAATCACTCTCCCCAATGTCTGGCGCTGAAGCAATTTTTGGCATTGCCGCCAGTGGAGCAGGCCTGGTCTCATTGAGCATTCAGCTCGTGGAGAGCGCTGCAAAGCTGAAACGCATGTACCACGCGGCTCGTGACGCACCTCGAATAGTTGCCAGGCTCCAGCTCGGCCTGGAGACGATGGCTCTGGCACTACGGCAACTCGAGCAACGTCGACAGCAGGGAGGTGCCAGCGACGCTCTCCTCGCACGCTGCATCACCGAATGCGAGTTGCACACGGCGGATATACAGGAGCTTATTGACAAGATGGACGACCGCCTCTCAAGAGACGCCAAGATAGGCGGCAGAATATATACTGCGTTCAAACAGCGTGATGTCAAAGAGCTGCTCGATGGGCTGGAGAAGGCCAAAAGCTCACTCGAACTCGTATACATGATGTACCTGGGCGAGGAACAGAGGCGCCGGGATCAGGCGCACACTGACATGTTGGCCCTTCATGGCTGTTTGATCGGCAATCTGCAAGATCAGCTTTCCGCTGGGACCATCAGTCTCTCACAACAGTTGACAGTGCTGGCCCAATCTTCGGTGTTGTCACCAATTTCCATGGCACAAAAAGATACGGCTACAGCAAGCCGTCCTTTCACTGCCAATGATCGTGCCTTGGGACGCTCTCGTTGGTCCAAGCGAACAAAGAACAACAAGCAGCGCTTCCAAGTGACATTTCGACTTCCCCCTTTACTTACAGCTCGGATATTCCATTTTGCCGTCAGCCAGGCTCAATTCGGATGGTCCATACACTTGCGCACTTTCAATCATGTTTCATACAATTCCCTCATCTTCCGCTATTGCCGACGGGGGAACCTTGAAGGGGTCAGGAGACTCATTGAGAGAGGCGAGGCAACACCGCTGGATGCAATATACGATAAAGTGTCCACCGGTGTCAATGGCTGGTGGACGCTCGTTGAGGTAAGTAAGCACTTGCCCTTCGAGGCAGCAACGCACCCATAGTGATTACAAGAACATAGGCTGCTGCGGAATTGGGACAGCTCGAAGTTTGCAAATGGCTTCTCAGCCAGACAACATACCCGGACCATGGGACACGGTTGAGCAATGCTCTCGGTTGGTATAGCATAGTCGGGGATCATGTAAACGCAGAAATGTATCGATTGATCTTGGAGGACCCGGACGTCGATACTGATATGACTGCCGACGACGACACTCGAGTCGCTCGAAATTTATGGTTACGATGGTGTACGCGGGTAGAACCCTTGGAAGTCATACTGCAAACCCACTTCCCGGGATTTGATTCTCGCACCTTTGAGGAGAAGTTTGAGCTAGCCTCGCGGCTTACTCATTTGGATGCTACAGCCTTTCTGGAGTGTGTCGGAATGCAGGCAATGGATCCGAGACTTGCGTCGCTCAGGAACAGCAGTGGCAAAACTGTACTCCACTGCGTTGCATCGAGGAGCCCAGAGAGACACAAGGATTGGCTCGATATTGGACTCGGCGTTTTGAACAATGGCGCCGACCCTTCGAGTATTGCTACTCATCCTTTTAATCATGATAGCGAAGAGTGGCAAGCGACACCACTACTTGATTATCTACAGGTCCGTGGCTGGGAATCACCAACGGACTTCATACCTATGCTGCATCGAGTTCATACTTGGGCTGAGATGATACAGCAAGCAGGGCTGGACCTGTTTCAGTATGGTGTACGGGAGAGTGGTATCTGGAGAGATCTAGGTGTCCAGGCTCCTGAAAAGAGAGAGGGATGGAAATCACAGGTGACAGGACTTGTCTACGGACCAGCGCCAGCAGACTGGAGTTTGACAATCGTCCATCATTGGACAATTGATGTGTACAGACTCCATCTGCTTCCTGGTACATTTAGCGAAGAACCTCGCCTCCCAGATACAATTGCCTGGGTGCCCACAGAGGAGGAGAGAGACGAGGGCTGCTGGATAGGGGTCGAGAGGAAAAGACGAGTCACCGAAGCTGTGGACCTCAGACAGGTGCCATTTTACCAAAAACAACCCTTCATTAATATCGTGAACGATTCTCAGGATGACTCGGGGCCCGTCATGCTGATGGAATACAGGGCTTCGCGTGTGACTGGTTGGACTCGAACGAGGTCATGTAGCCAGCCGCCCTGCATAGGTCGAAGAGCACTTCTCGACTATGATGATAAAGTCTGGATCGACTACCATTTCTGTTTGCTTAAGTCGCGCTGGAGGATTGGTGGTACAGTCAGAAAAATAGAAGGGCCGCCTATCGCTGACTTTCCAGCTGCTACACGGGCCGTTGAGGTGAGGAGTTGCCTCAGAGGTGCGTGTTCCGATACGCCAACTTCGTCTCTGCAAGGATGGCGCTGGAAATACGAAAGCTTCCTGGCCGATATCGTGGACTGTCAAGATGAATCACGACCACACTGGCTCGGTGAGCAGAACCGCAAATCAGAAAGCCTGAGACACAAGTTCACTCGCGACTGTACTCAGGGGTGCGGAAATATTGACATTGGTCGGTTGAATGTACCACTATCCTTGCGCCCCTTCCACCCACGTCGACACTACGAGGATGAAGACGAAGACGACTAAGGGGAGAAGGACCTCAACCCATCGAAATAACGGGATATGACATCAAGTCCCGGCATCGTGTGGCCGTTTCATTCCTGTGTCCGATCATCGTCAGGAGAAGAGATATACGACTTATCTCCCCCGCACCACCCTAGGTCAGGATCCTAGATCGACCCTGAGAAGTCTCACGTGGCATTCTAGCTGGCTTCTTCAGCCGATGGTGGTGGTGAGGAAGGTGATTATGCACGTTGCGTATCAGTGCGGGCCTGACCACGGTTCTGTTGAGAAATCTCCTCGCGGAATGCCGCGATCCCTAGTTATGTCTCCTTCTATCGTCCTGTCCGATATTACCCAGATAGGAAGGGTTTTGGTGACTTTTCCGTGTCTGCACGACAGAAGGAGGCCTCGATTCACCTCTCCCAGGCCAAAGGTCTCTCTGGTTGATGTTCCTCTGGCCCAGGACCTGACTAGCACTATAGTTCATCCATACCTACGCGGCAAAGGGAGATGGGGCCAAGGTTATTTATCACAAAGGAAATCTTGTATTACATTTTCTGAGTGGTAATTCTCATCCAGCTCTGTCCAGATGATCTGTCAGACATGTCTCGCCCGTCCCCTGTCGTCTACTACTACTACTTCCCTTTCGCTCCTACACCCTGACAGCACCATTCCAAGCCCCGCAGAGTCTGGCTCCATGCACTCACTCACTACACCCTGTCATTTCTCATGCACGTCTTTTCTGCACCATGCATGCCCATTGCTCACTCGCGAGTCGCGACCTCATCACACTACGCTTCGTCTCTCTACTCCGCTCCAACTTTTCCCCCGGGACATGATGATCATGCTCAGCCCTCTCTCTCCGCTATTCATTGCCGTGTTAGATTGCGGATCGACGATTCCTTGCCGAGGTCGAGGTTGTGCTGGTCGCAATGGTGGCGAAAGGCGAACTCACCGCCGACGCGGATGCACGGCAAGCACAAGCCCCCGATGGCGGTGTAGGCCTCGAAGAGGATCTCGTTCTCGGCGACGTCGAGGTGTCGGAGGCGGAAGCGGCCACACTCGAATCTCGTGGGGTTGTCGACCTGGTCGAACTCGCGCAGGCGCTCGAGCTTGGTCATGTCGTGGACGTATTCCGCAAAGATGCTCTCGAGGCTCTGCTGCACCTCGCCGACCCGCTGCTCGGCCTGGGTGCACTCGGCCTTGCTGATGACCTCGCGGTGCCAGCGCTCGGCGTGCGAGACGAGGTTGCAGTCGTGGCATCCCCACTGGGCGTCGCCGTGCGGGTCCGGGTAGAACACGTGGGGGAGCTTGGAGATCAGGACGTCACGCACTCTCACCACCTCGGACTCGAAGCCCCGGATAAAGTCCCACGGCATCAACGCCTTCATGTGGTCCGGGAGGAGCTCGTCGACGTCGTAGGCCGTCATCTGCCACATCATGCGGCGCGAAGCGGTTGCGAAAAGAGCCGGGAGGTTCAGCAGATATGCCGAGTGGAGGATGGCTGGCAAGGCCGTGCACAACAAGATTCCTGTATCTCCATACACCATGCTGGAATTCTCGACGTCGTTGGGGAACGGGAAGTTCTTGGGGATGAAGGACGTGAGGATCCTCTCGAACCACGCGGGGAGTTTGCCCTCGAAGAGGTACTTGTCAAGCATCAGGGCCACGTCTCTCAGGAGGCAGGTATTCTCCGGTGGAAGAGGTTCGTCCTCACTAGCGACATGGAGAAACAACACGAACGGTTCCAAACGCTCCAGGAAATGCAAGGGATTCTCGGCTGTGAACTTACCGCCCTCTGGAGCCCAGCTTGCCTTGAATTGCTCTCTGAAGAACTTGGTGCTCCTGCTCAGCGCCTCCGTCGAGACACGTATCAAGACGTGCTCTTTTGTTTCCGTGAGGGCTCGAAAATAGGCATCACCGTCGGCGGCGACCTCGTACGTCTGAGGTTGAGTGGTGGTGACAAGACGATCGCTCAGATCCCAGTCGACAGGGGGAGTGCTGCTGGAAGCCATCGCACTATCTGGGACGTTGTCAGAATTCATCGTGTACGGAGTTGTGTAAAAGATCTGATGGTGGTATCGAGAGAAGATGTCGGTTGATGGGGAGAATCTCTGGAGAGCATGCTCTATGGGACTTTAAGTACCCGGCGACCCTGTCCCATGTTGTAAGGCAGTGGCAGAGGCAGTGAAGCAAGGCAATGTCGAGGCAGCACAGAGTCGAGTGGGGCGACATCAGCCTCATCAAGTCGTTACTACGATCATGTTACACCCCGACATCGACTCCTTGTCCGAGGACAAGCCACAGGACAGATGGTGCGTTTCTTTGTCGCGTAGAAAGGCGCACAAGGGCAGTTAGTTGTATGCAACCCATTCTTTTCTTTGTTCGTGGGCAGAGCACAATGAAGTGTTGGTTCGCCCTTTGTCCCGCACTTTCACTCTGTAGAGAGAGTGATTCCTCAGAGGATGTGCAGCTGGGTAGCGGGGGAAGCTGTGGACTATCGTGTGACGTGCCCATACCCCTGGGTGGTGAGGTTCCACGTTGGCGTGTTAAAGTGGAGGTCGAGATTAACTCGCCGCGCCCAGAGAAAGTCTTGGCTGCCAAGGCGTCAATTGAGATGCTAAACCGAACTCCTGGGCATCTGACTTTTCATATCTTTCCCCCCTGCAGTCAACTTGTTCGCTCCTGGGTTCTATCTGCCTAGTGTATCACTCTTCCCCCTTTCCTGTGTTGACTCCCTAGCTATCTGTCCGTCATTTCCACCATGTCGCCCAAGACACAGGAGCCAGAGATCGTCTCCATCACCGATCTAGATCCGGCCCAGGCGAGATGGGTCACGCTCAAGAAGGTCGATTTCATAGACCAAACAGGCACTCCCCGTACCTGGGAGATCGCTATCCGTAAGACAACCTCAAAGTCCGGCGTTGACGCCGTGGCCATGGGCAACATCTTCGTGCACCCTTCCAAACCACCCAGCACCATGTTGGTCCTCCAGTATCGTCCCCCGGTCGGGAAATACACCGTCGAGTGGCCGGCCGGGTTGGTCGACGAGGACGAGACGCCCGAGGAAGCGGCAGTTCGAGAGATGAAGGAAGAGACCGGCTATGACGGCAAGGTCTATGACGTGTCGCCGATTTTGTCGAGTGATCCTGGAATGACCAATGCCACGATCAAGTTGGTCATGGTCGAAGTCAAGCTGAATGCCGAGCAAGACTTTATGCCCGAGCAAAGACTGGATGACGGCGAGTTGATTGAAAGAGTCATGGTGCCGCTGAGCGAACTCTACGAGAAGTTGTTGGAGTGGGCCAACAAGGACAACTTCGTGGTCGCGGCAAAGTTGTTCTATTTCGCGGCAGGCATGCATTTTGCAAAACATGGAGGTTACGTTTGACAAGCCCTTTCGATTGCTGGTCGACTATGGCCATGGTGTTTGAGGGTTCTGTCAACGGCGACAACATGTCGGAGTGGCTGTCGCACGTGGGCAGATAATAGTTGGGGAAATCGGCTCAGACCGTTTCCTCTCAGGGCCAGGTTCTGTTCCGAGGTCAGAGTGAAGCTCCACACCTGCTAGCGATGCCGAAAGTTAGCCACACCATCCAAAGCGTTGACGAAGCCTCGAACACTATCTGGACAGTCGCCAGGTACATATTTACGTTATACAATGAGGTGAGACCAGTATGTGACCATGTGCCAAGAAGGATATGTTGACAGAGTGGCGTTAAGGCGATCTCAGAGAGGACTTGTTGCTGGACATGTTAGAGCGGCTGGAGGCTGAACAAGATGCGAAGAGCTCAAGACACGCACCATCACGACTCGACTAGATACAAGGAATTAGAAGAGTAGAATACTCCTAGGACTTCACAACGAAGAAGCAAGGGAAAGAGAAAATAGAGGCGCAGGATCGCTCTTTGTTACCCTCGGAGACCTCGTGACTGCATGTGATCACAGACGTCGAGGAGAGACCATCTGGAAAAGCATCCGGCGGGGTTGTGCACTGGTGCATTGCGAGTGGCCTTTGTTACATGTCCATCAATGAACGGAGGTCGAATCCACTCCACCGGGCACATGACCATGGGGCAGACTCTGGGGATAACCTGTGCCCCGGGTTCTCGCAAGGCGTCTGATCAGGATTTGCTGTACGCTGCTCCTGTCTGCAGGGAGCGTGTGTCGGTCAGCAACTCCCACAGGGCTAATATGCGTAAGCGACCACGGAGGCGACTCCGCAACCCCGTAATCCTCGTCGGTTGGGTCATACAAGTCGGTGTCGTGGCCGAGAGGAATGCAGATCAGTGCGATTTTCGCCGCTGGTTGTTTCAAGATGGCTCTCTGGACTCTGGACAGTTAGCATCCCAGGTATTCGACATCTTTTCTTCCACAATCGTGGCTTTGTCAATGGTGTTTCTACACCGGGACATAAAGACAAAGGACCCGTTCAGTTTCACAAAAGGACAATGTGGTCTCTGTGTTGAGTGATGCTGTAGGGTCCAAATTGCCGTAGAGCCGACTATGCGAGGGCGCTAGCTCCAATATGGTTAGTGCACGGATATAAGCTCCATGCACCAAGTTCAAAATCAAATCAAGTTGACGACACAGGACCAAACACCAGAAAGTCGCCGATCATGTCTGCCATCGACGGAAGCCAATGTCTGGTAAGCAGTTCAGCTCTTCAGGAGGTTCGTCGACCTCACCAGTGAGGCTCTACTTTTGTGTTGTTTCTGCCTCTTGCGGTGAGTCTCGTCCTCGTCGCGAGAACGGGCCGGGCAGAACGGATCAGAGCCAGTCTCGTTGGTAAGCTTTGACAGAGACGCCCTGTGAGTGCTGTCCAATGGCACGGCAATGCGACGCATTATACTTTGAAAGTCGACATCCCTGCGCCTAACCCCGAGGCAAGCTTTCTCGCTCCCGAGCACGGAGCTTTTCTCAACAACATAACTGAAGCAGGCAAGCAGGCCACCAACGAGGTAGAGCTAAGCTGGGTGGATCTCTCCCCGCCATATGATTCATGCTTGTTCTCCGCATCTACTCCCTCAAGGTATACATGTCGTCGCTGACGATGTCTGCGAAGCATTATCCGACAACCGACGTTGGGGATCTACCCTCCCTTCCCAGAGTTGGGAGAGGGCGTATGTTGAAGCGGGGAAGAGAACAGGAATTTGCCCGCACCGCTTCAATATATTCGCAGGCTGGATGTTATACAAGTGCGATGCCGAATAACTCAGAAGCTCGCTTCCTTGTCTCATATCCGTGGCCTCTTTGGCGGAAAGGATATTCGAAGCATTTCAGACAACGCCAACTAGGTTACTTGTCCCCCTTCTACAGCTCTAAAACTCGTTCTCATCACCATGAAACGCTTTTGGGGCCTTCGTGGGCGCGGGCTCAACGCTGCCATATGGGCCTTGGCCATGTTCGCGGTCATGATCTTTGGGTACAACCAGGCTGTGGCCGGCGGAGTCCTCACCACGCCGTCCTTCAACAGGCAATTTCCCAAGATGGACGTGATTGACACAACTGGCGCGCAGAAGCATTACAATTCCACGATCCAAGGTCAGACCCAACCCAGCAATTATCAGGCTATGGTGCGCTTTGGCGACTGACCGCTGCTCCAGGCACCGTTATCGCCCTGTATACCCTGTGTGGCACATTCGGAGCTCTAGCATGCACTTTTCTAGGCGACATCCTCGGACGACGAGGGACCATCTTTCTAGCCACCGCCGTGCAAATGGTCGGGGGCATCCTGATGGCATCCTCGTTCTCGTTTGCGCAATTCATCGTTTCCCGCATCGTCGTGGGCCTGGGGACAGGTGGCATCATCGCCACCGTCTCGGTGTGGCAGTCCGAACTTTCCAAGGCCGAGAGTCGCGGCGAACACGTCTCAGCCTTTGGCATCTTCTGCGGCTTAGGCCTGGTATTGGCTCTATGGATCGACTTCGGCTTCTCGTACTTTTCGGGCTCTGTGTCGTGGCGGTTCCCCTTTGCCTTTGAGATCGTCCTCTCCGTCATCGTCATGACCTTTATCTTCACCCTACCCGAGTCTCCTCGCTGGCTGATCAAGATGAACCGTGTCGAAGAGGCACGGGATATCATCGGTCTGCTCCACAACGTCGACGCACACGATGATGAGGTCCAGAAGGAGATTCGCGAGATCCAAGCCGCGCTCGAACTCGCTGGGACTTTCTCCCTCAAGGCCCTGTTCATAATGGGACCACAGAGGACATTCCATCGGGTCTTGCTAGCTGCGGTTGTGCAGATCTTCCTACAAATGACCGGTAAGTCGGCTCCCGCGGTCCGTATCCAGCTGGATTTTTCTTCGAGATTGGCATGCACGCCGCGTGAATAAATGACCTGGCTCACAAAATTCTACGCAAAGGTGTCAACGCCATCACGTATTACGCCTCGTCCATCTACGAATCCGACCTGCACTTTGACGCGACCGTGTCTCGAATCCTCGCGGCGGCGTCGCAGTTCGCCATCATCCTCGGATCGTGCCTGTGCTCGTGGACGGTGGACCGGTTCGGGCGACGGCCGCTGATGCTGTTCAGCTCGGCGGGGATGGCGGCGTGCATGGCGTGCCTGACAGGGCTGGTGTCGGACCCGGACAACAGCGCGGCGCTCAAGGCGGCCGTCTTCTTCCTGTACCTATACTACGTGGTCTACACGATCGGGTTCCTGGGGATCCCGTTCCTGTACGCGTCCGAGATCGCCCCCGCACACCTGCGCGCCGCCGTCTGCGGCATCTCGACGGCCGTGTCGTGGCTGTTCAACTTCCTCGTCGCCGAGGTCACCCCGGTGGCCTTCACCGACATCGGCTACCGCTACTTCATCGTCTACGCGGCCCTCAACGCCGCCTTCGTCCCCGTCATCTACTTTTTCTTCCCCGAGACCGCGGGCCGCTCCCTCGAGGAGCTCGACGAGATCTTTGCCGCCTCAAAGTCCTTCCTCGACCCCGTCCGCGTCGCAGGCAGACTGCCCCATCGTCGTCGTCTCGGCCACGTTCTCGACGAGTCCTCGGGCCAGGAAACCGCCGAGACAATCGTCCAGGTCGACCACAAAGGCTCGAGCAGTCAGGGAGATGCCGATCCCGAGGGTGTCCAGCATGTGGAGAATCCAGACAATATGGTTGTGGATCCCCGGTGGACGGAGAAGGGCGAGGTGTGATTTTTGAGAGTAGTCGTGTACCGCGTACGTAGCCTTTCCCTCTTGCCCCCCTGACCTGTCTCCAAACCCATGTTTCTACCGAACCAGGTAGACCAGGCAGACAAGGGAAGAGGGATACTAGGAGAGGGGAGGGCCACATGATTTGGCCGCGCGCTGCAGCAGTGGTGGGACCTTTTGAAACGCTGGGGGAAAAGAGGAGATGTACTCGGTACCTACGGAGTAGATTGGGGAAATTGGGGGAGGGATGACCCCCGTAAACTCTTGAGAACGACGATCCTGGGTGATCTGCGAGTTGGACAAGTGGACGAGCAGACGAGTCGACGACGACGAGTGAGCGAGTTACGGACAAACCAATACATGGCCATGGAGGGGAGGGCATTGCGTACTCGGTGCTCGGTAGACAATACATAACCTACGTATGTGGCGAGGTGGATACATAAAGCATCAGCCAGCCAGACACGTATGTAGGTCACAGAGGAAAGGGGGGTTTTTAGTACTCGAGTGCTTTTACGGAGTACTCGGTACATAGTTCTTACCCCCTTTTGGATCCCGGCTTCTTTATCCCGCAGTGATCGACATGCACATACATACACGTCCCCACATACGTACATACAAACCCAGCTTGCTAGGTATATTACGGCGTAGTCATTAGGACAAGTACCCTACGTACCTACGTGGTCTGTACCGCTTACTCTGTAGTACGGGATGGGACTACGACTGCGACTGCGACTGCGACTGCGAATGCCGGCACCGGCCGGTTATTGCTACAGAGCTCACTACCGGTACATAACCGGCACGAAGGCCCTTCGTGTGCTCTCCCAGAAAACTACAGTACAAAGTACAAAATCCATGTACCGACGTTCCGGCAGTAGATGCAGTCTGGTACATAGTGCACGCAGCCTCATAGCCGAGGAGTCACGGCGGCAGTTCGAATCATTCATTCCCTCCGATCCATTCCAACCCTGGAAAACACCACGGCGAATTCGGCGCCAAAAAAAAGTTTTCAATTCCATTCGGGGGTCACAAAGCACAAAGCACAAGGCAAGACCCTGGCGTGGTCTCTCGATATGTGTACACAGCTCTGGAAAGTTCGACCGTCCTCAATCCACCAGTTCCCGAAAAAAAGATGATCACAGCTCTCCTCTGTTCCTGTCTCCGTTTGACCCTTTCGTTGTTGAGTTCTGCGCTTTTTCTCGTCGTATTGCCCTCCCTTGGAGTAGTCCACGGGCTCGAGTCGCGCTTGGTACACCTCATGTTTCTCCCATTCTTCATTCATCTCTTGACATCGAGGGCGGATATGGCTCCAACCATCCTAGTCCTCCAAGGTCGTGTAATCTCGCGTGTCCCGGCGCCGGTCCACGAACGCGCCCCTGGCGAGTTGGGCGTCATGCTCTTCGCACTTGGTCAATATGTTCGATGCCGACAGATCCCCGCGCTTCAGGCAGACGAGACATAGCCCATGTAGGCGCATTTCAAACCAGTCGATCATTTCCTGGATCGCCTCTTCCCAAGGTAATCTGCACGTCTGGCAATCCTTGTTCTTGCATTGAGGTTGTTCGTCTTCCAAATGTGCTTGGGCAAGCTGCCGAACGACACAGATGGCTTCTTCCAGAGATGCAGGTGGTCCGTCGCCTCTTTGCGGAAGCCAAAGACCAAACTCAATCAATACTTGAATGTACTGCGCCACGATTCCTGCTCCTTTACGACAGACCTTGGGAATGTCTACATCCTCGTCCAAAGTGGAGATGGTTAAGTTGCCTGCTGGATTGCCCTTGTACCCATCACCGAAGATCTCGCTTATAACCACACGGTTGCTAGTAATTAGTTTTTCAAGATAAGTTTCAGCGGCTTGTTCGAGAAGCTCTGGGGCGTCTGTCAGTGCCAAACCACAGCATGAAAGAGACTTGCTCAGATGCGCTCACCAGAAACTTTGTGTGGAAGACTGCTTGAGATTTCAGAAACGAAAGCGTCGTTCTCGTCCTTTTTTGTGCGCCACCTCTTGTAGGCTTGAATGGAGAAGGAATAAAACGCTTCAACGTCGTCCAAGACATAAGATATGACAACGAGCTGAGCAAGGCCCAGTCTTGAGTAAGCGCCTCCTGTAGCCATCTTCCACAGGAACTGATGACGGAACCATGACCTTGTGATTGTGGCGCAACCGTATTTGTCCGCTGCGACTGCTGTTGCTAGAGCGCAGAAAGGGAATACATGAGTATCCCACTTGTGGTGAAGGATCTTGCACAGTTCTACCATAGCTACCGGCTCGTCGTCCGGCAGTTTCAGGATCGGTGGTTCGGCAGCATTCAGTGGAAGTCGGCCTTCACGAAAAGGTCCATTCAGCATGGCTTTGAACACGGGAGAACACATGGTCATGAGCTTGCTGCAGACGCGAATTCGGAGGACTTTTGGCTTGATTGTCTGCTGCTGGGTTGTGTCCGAGTCGCTCTCGTTGTTTTGCGAGCCTTTGACGTTATTTTCCGTGAGGTCGTGTTCCTTGCCAACTTCCAAAATCAGGTCGCCGTCTGGATCGACCAGGACGATTTCCGATTCTCCCGGGGAAGCCATGACGTGAGGGTGCTATGGTCTGTCGAACAGAAAGATAGAGCGCAAGGAAGAATTGTGACGGGACGGGGACGGAAGGGTATGAAGGAATTGACGGGAAAGTGAAAAGAAGGTGACGATCGGAAAAGTTGTCACAACTAAAGAGCCGATTGTCAAAATTGACGGCAGACTGGCCTAAAGATGACGATGAAATCGATGTTGACAGTCGCAGCTGAAGATGTCGGAGGCTAACAGAGGAATTCACATCCAAGGTGAGTCGCAGATACAGCTTCAAAGACGGACCCGAGATTCGTGTCCTCCCCATTCGATGTCCAGCTAATCATTTATTCCATTAACTCAATGTACCTCTCATCGCTGGAAGACCAAATCGTGGTTGAGGATTCATTCACCCCACGACACATGCCTTTGACAGCCTGAATTGTGGCTGTGAAGGAAGTCGGATATCGGCTCCGTGTCGTCCTTCACGCACCCCAGGCAAATGCCACGCGCTTTCTGCTTTGCCGCCTTGATCTTCTTGTCGAGCTCGAATTTGATGTCGAGATCGTGGCCACAACTGCAGCGCGCAGTCTTGGGACAGCACATCTTCCTGTCGCCGAAATCAACCTCGCCCAGACGTTGGAGTTTGCGCAGCATGGCCACCGGCGAGCGCTTGGAGTCGACCTCGGGATCGTTGGATGGCAAGAGTGACAGGGAGGCGAGTGTAGCGCCCAGGACGCCGATCCTGACGGTGTTCCCATAGCAAAGCCCGGTCACCTGGGAGTGATCGAGCTCGTCTTCCTCTTGTGCGGTCTCACAGGGAATCGGAGTGAAATAACCATACCATTTACGCTGCCGAGAGACATGCGCAATCAGTGCGGGGCCAATGCCGGCAAAGTCGTGGATATAGTGGCGTCCAAAAGAGCATAGGAGGTCAACCAGGCGCCCAGGCACTTCATCCTCATACACCGTCTCGAGTTTGGGACGGATCTCGGACGGGCTAATGTGGTTGTAGACCGTTTTGGATGCGAGCGCAAACATCTCGGCGTCGTTCATGAGAAAGCACAGCTTGAGCATCTGCTGTGCACTCATGCTCTCATTCAGAAGAGCGTCTATGTCGAAATAGTCATGGCCGGCTCCAACGAATCTGAACAGTTGACCGCGAAACCAAGACCGCAAAGAGCGGGTGCAGTCGTACTTGTCTGCAAAGATACCCAGTTCATGGAGAGTCTTGTACCCTTTGAAGTGGTGAATGCCGGGGCTGCAGTGGACGATCTCGCAGAAAAGCAGTGTCGTCCGGGGATTGTCCTCTGGCAGTGATAATGTTGGCGGATCTACCTGGCTGAAGTGAAGCTGCGCTTCTGCAAAGCTGCCATGCAGCATCTCCTTGAAAACAAGGGAGCCCATAGTCAGGACTTTGGACGACACAAGGATACGCAGAGGAATGTCTTTGATGGCGACACTGCTGTCCGGAGATGGAATTCTATCTTGTCTGAGACTCCGCTCCAGGGATTGTTCACTGTCGCTGTCGCTGTCTGATTGCTGCTCAAAGTCAACTTCGGAAAACTGCTCTCCGTCTCCTTCACTTGACAGGTCATCGCGCAGCGAAGCCCCAACCTCAAGGATAAGATCACCCCATTTGTCGACAACTTTGAGATCCATGTTCTGTGTGGTTGACATTCTGAAAGCCTTTCCTGAATGTCTGAGCTGGAAAGATGGGATAAAGGCTAGCTGATAGGATGGTGTCTTGGAGAATGCAGGTCGAAGCTGGAAGAGAATGGGTCTTGATATTAGTTCAAGAAGATCGAGAGCATGCCAGGGTGAGCAGATATCATATATATATAATAAGTGTGTGTCTGGGTGTCACTCTAGTGACTTGGAGTGGTGAAAATAGCGATAGAAGTATCGGGTGATATGATTCTGCTTCGCTTGTGACGCAGCCTCCGTGCCCTGCCCGGATAGTCAATCTGGTGACGATGGATTGAAAGGGATGGTAGGCAAGGCACTGATGTCGAGAATTCCGAGTGAAGTGCTCAAGCAGTGCCATTGTCGTCGTCGTCACTGTGACATTTGACAAGATCCGCGAGACCTCGTCAACAATAGCGCCTCCACATCACCTGGAGGAATGTCACCTGAGAGAGGCATTCATGACATGGAGGTTTTCGTGAATAGAAAGAGGCATCCCTCCATTTATTCAGCAGGTTCCTTCAATGCGCTGCTCCGTTTGCTAGACGGAGGGGTTATTGTCTCTGTGGCGATGTGTCTGCAGGTGCAGGATCAAACAAACTCCATGGAATGCCAAAGGTCATACGCTGTGACTCTACCATGACACTTGGTAGAGATGGACAATGTTGGCGGCAATCCCGCAAGGCCTGTGGCGACTACCCGAAGCTTTCAAAGGGGGTCGACAAAGAGTAGTGGCAGGGCAGCAAGGTAACCTCGACCCAGGCTGTTGATGCAGCTCTTTGCCTGTAAACGTATCAGCTCCATCTAGCCCCAAAGTCCGCTTTTAGCAAACAGAACCGGATGATAATTGCGCGCCCTGAAGGAGAAGAAGCTCAGATCCAATGGTGATGGATGTGTTTGCACATTTGTGAAAGTGTATCCTAGTCCCCATTCATGCATGACATTACCTACTTTTCCCAGTCCCCCAAGAACCCCTCAGCAAACATGTTTGACGCTCTGGTTTATGACCAAATGCTCTCCTCTGAGCCGTCCTCCTTCTTAGCCTCCAGCTCTTTGAGCTGTTTCCTCAGCACGTCCGCTCTAAAGGACCGAACTGCCCGCTGAATCCTCTCTTGGCAAGCTGGGTCTTGCGCAATGGCTCTCCTCGCGGACCACGTCCCGGTAAGCAAGCCAGCCTCCCCACCCAGAAATAGGCCCGCGATACCGAAGAACGTGTATGTCACGATATCTCCCAGAGGTGTGGGCTGCAACAGAGGAGTGATATCCGGAATAGCCTCTTCGCGACCGCTTGCGAATCGGACGTGTGTGGGCTTCTCGGCGGCGCGGAAGGCTTGAAACATGGCGTTGCGATTTGCTCGTAGGCGGAAGGCGAGGAAACCCCCTAGCGCAATACCTGCGAGGGAGCCGATGAGGGCGTGTCTGGAAGCCTTGGATGCGGCCGACCGCAGTAAGTCACGGTCTTCTTCTCGTAGACTATGTCATAGTCAGTCAGTTTGACTCCATAGGCATGAGATGAGGGCTGTATGTTTGCTCACTCATGCTTGAAATGCTCCTCTGCAAGTCTCCCAAGTTCCTCTCCTTGGGTTCTTCTGAGAGCTGCAAATGCATCCACAGACATTGTTGATGAGTGATTGAGTGTTTAGCTAGAGCTTCTTCTTCTGCACGGCTTTGAACAGCTATAGACCACCAAGCTATCCTGGGAAGAAAGAGTTAGTCTGTGGAATGAGTCGGACTCTTATAGCCATGGAGCGCGCCGGAAGTCGAACCATTTTGTTAACGATCGACGTCATTGAGCGAAGCTCATGGAGCTTTGCGCGGAGCTGGAAATATGGCTCCGGCTGGAGCTCCGGATGATGTAATGATCCTCCGTATAAATTAGTCCGGAGCAAAAATACTGAGACCGCAGTTTCTCCCTCAGAAGGGAAGCAACACAATCCACATCATCAAATCATCTGGTTGAAATGGACAACCCTTTATTTGTAACAATCATATGGGAAAGTGTCCAAGCCCCCAATAAACATCAACACTTGTAGGCTTGTCTATTTCAAGACCATAGCCTACCCGTTGCTGCGACTGCGTATGTCCCAACTCATCAATCCCTCGGTCTGTCCCGGCTAGAGAAGTTGACGGTCTCGAGCCCCTCATCCTCGACTGGCAAGATCCAATTGCCTGCGCCCTACCCAGCAGATGCCGGAGTGCTCCTACCACGGTCTTGATTTCTTGCGATGAATCCGAGCCGTCTAATTGCAGCCACACAATGTAAGATGAGCTGAGGGCATGAAACACAGCATCGCGCAAGTCTGTATCGCCACCGCCGTTCCAGCCAGCACTTGACGCCTGCACATCGACGGCAGCACTTGGACTAGCCAGAGAAATCTCTTCCCCGAGCTCGGCACAGAGTATGGCGGTTGCAAATAGGAAGTCTTGCACAAGTAGCGACAGGAATTTCCAACCATGACGACACAGCTGACCACCGATTCGAGTCTCAAGATACAAGGCCCACTGATGTCGAAGTATGGCGAGGGCAGCTTCGATGCATACCTTGCGTGAGTGTGCATATCGTTCCTGGTTTCTGCCCAGGGACATGTATTTGCGATGCAAAACAATCTGCGCTCTGTGGTAGATAAAGGAGAGAAAAGTGCAACGCACACTGACGGTGGCAGGGGCTTGTGAGAGCGATGGGAGGTCTTGTGCCTGTGGGTCAGATTTCCAAACGGGGATAATCGACTCGTAAGCACTGGTAAGCACCTTGTCCAGTCTTAAGACTTCGGTATACGGAGATGGCTTGACCGACATGGTAAGATCATTGACCATCCCGAAGATGTTGAGGAGCTGATTTTTGGCAACGTGGAACTGCCCTATGGTTCGTGAAGACTCTGGCCTAGAAGGGGGTAGTTCGAGCATATCCTCGTCAAGGTCATCCTCAAACAGATTCCTGGGATCCGCAGTGTCGCAGAGCGAAATATTAATCATGCGCGGCAATCCGAACTGGATAGAGAGATACATGTCCCACCCGACAAGCATGTTCCAGACTCTGCGGCGCCTCTCAGCTTCGAAGCAGGACATTGTCGGCCAATGGGATCCGTCACGATGATAGCCGGCTCGGAAAGCAATGCGAACAAGACTTCCCCATAGCACCCACGGGCCCTGCAGGCTCTTGGTCTCTCCTTCCCTCAATGTCTCGATGAATAAATAGAGCAACATGGTTTCCACTGCATATCGTGGACCTTGGCAGTATTTACCCTGAACCAGACACTGGATGGTTTTCTGACGATATAGTCGGACCAGGTGTTCCGGTTGAGCCTCTGCGATTTGCCGTCGCCGCTCCTCATTCGATGAGAATTGCTGATACTGCACGGCCAAACACATCAGTGCAAACAAGAGTCCAATCCACATGGTAGACACTGACGTCGGATTCTCCCAGAAGCTGTCGTACTGCAACCAATATTAGTAGTGGAGCGCGGAGAGTTGTATTTTGGGCGCCTACCTCTTTTTGAAACGTTGGGGGATGAACAAGCACTATCGGAATTAGCATAAAGACTCGATTGGAGGTGGATCAATTGACCGACTTGCTTCATTATCTGTGTTGACGAAGCACACGGCCATCAAAGCATCGACGAAGCCCTTTGAAGGAATGGCGCCGAGAATATCTTCTCTACTGGCTTTGCCACAATATCCGAGGAGGTCGGGCTCTTCTTCTGCTGCTCTACTGTTTAGGTCGTCCTCGTTGTTGGTGAGAAAGGTATTGTTTTGAGGAACATTTCTCAAGGCAGGAATCTGAGGTGGAAATCAGCTTTGCGCGACCGCAAGTTCTTGCAAAGCCAACATACGCCTTGCAGGATCGCCAGCCAATGAGCACTCCCAACATAGTCATCTCTGCCCTGAGAGTTCTGAAGCCACCCTGCTGAATCAACAATAGGCTCTGGATCCTGGCGATAGTCGTCTTGCTGGCGGGTTTGGTCTTGAATCAAGAGCACATTGGCCTCCAATGTCGGTGGAATAGGTTCATCCTGACTTAAGGCACCCATCAAGTATTCAACTTGGGACTCGAGCTGCTTAACTCGGTCCTTGACATCAGAGGGGACCGACTGATCCGGGATCCTTGTCGTTGTTGGCTCTAGTAGACTTGAATTGGGAAAGGTGCAAGATTCAGCCAATCCCCGGCGCGAGCAGTTGTGGCAGGGCTGGCAACGGTCACACTTCAACCTATTTTCGCCCCGGGTAAGTTCATCAATAGCTCCGAAGGTTAGGGCAGCATTCACTTTCTTTTCCTACACAGATTGCAGGACAATTGAGGCTTCTCTCGCCGGCGACGAGCAGCCTTGGCCTGTTGCTCTTCCGCGGACAGTGTCATGTTGCGGTTACTTGATGACCGCGAGAGACGCATTCTAGGTTAACTTTGAGTAGCAGCATTTATAAACAATCCTCGAAGAGTGGTCAAGGAGCAGGAGCAAGAGACGCGGTGACGATGTAGAATACCAAGTATATCGGGTCCGGACTGAAATTCCACCGAGCCCGACCGTCCGACCGTCCGCATTCCAAAAGAGGAAAAGCGTGGAATGTCACAGCCTTGCATGCCAGTCAGTTCATCTGGTTCTCCGACTGCGGTGATCATCTCCACCTCCCACTCACTACCATGCATGTGTTTGTTTCCAGTGTCTACATGGAGTCGCTGTCCTGGTAAAATATCACCTCACAGCCAAAGGTAGGAGTCATGGCAGACAGTCTCTACGGCATCAAGCAGGCCTCCAAGACCAAAGCCAAGGAAATTTCATCCTCCACTTCTCTCGCGTTCACTACCAACTTGGCGTCACTGATCTCCAGCTCGTCCTCTGCCAAAGCCAAGCACACGTCTGGCCGGTCGCGTCCTTCCAAGGAGAAGTCGGACATCTTCACCACCCACAACAAGAATGTCAAGAAGCGGTCCGCAGCCGACCTCGAGGATGACCAGCAGCAACGCCACAAGACCAGGGATGATATCGGTTCGGTCGACGATGCCGAGTTGTATAGATCCAAGAGGAGGATGCAGGACAAAGTCCGTCTGTACAATGCCATGAAGCGCGGCGAATACATCGGCAAAGAGGACTATGATAATCGTGGACTGGTCGATTTCGATCGCAAATGGGCGGAGGATCAAGCAAATGGTGAAGGAGGTGATTCTGACAGCTCCGACTCCGACGACGGCAGTCAAGTCGGAGAAGAAGAGATTGTGGAATATCTGGACGAGTTCGGCCGCCTCCGAAAAGGGACAAAAGCGCAGGCTGCGCGTGAAGAACGGAGGAAACGGATGCAGGCCAATGCCGCCGAAGAAGAGGAGCGACTCTCTGCGAGACCGTCAATGCCGGGTAACGTTCTCTACGGAGATACTATCCAACACCAGGCTTTCAACCCTGACCAAGCCATTGCCGAGCGCATGGCCGAGATCGCGAAGAAACGGGACAAATCCGCCACTCCCCCTCCGGATACACACTACGACGCTAGTGCCGAAATCAGGACCAAAGGCACCGGGTTCTACACGTTTAGTAAAGATTCGGAAGAGAGGAAGCGAGAAATGGACGCTCTTGAGAAGGAGAGACTCGAGACAGAGAGAGTACGAAAGGAGAGGGACGAGAAGAAAGAGCAAAGGAAGAAAGAAATCGAGGAGCGGCGCAAGGCGATTGCCGCACAGAGGGCGAAGGCGCAGGCTGACAAGTTTCTCAACGATCTTGATATTGAAGGCTTCTGAACAGAAGTGAAGGGCAGATCTTCAGTTGCTGATGACTGGCTGGCTGGGCCCGTCAACGTGACACGCGCTGGTCATGTTCTCAGAAGAATCACTCCTATATCGTGGATGTCCTCGCATCAATCGATCTCCACGCATCGGCTGCAGCACGTCTGAGATATCTCCATGTCTCCATACACCATGGCTGGCCGAGACAAGACGACCAGCGGTGTGCCTGATGGCTATCCAGATTTTCTGCTGCGCTTCTCAGCCCGACGGACCTGATCCAATGCGATATCTTGTCCCAACTATTCACTTGAATCTTTGGTGGCCTTGAGACAGAGACTCCAGTGCCCCGTGCTCACCGGAGATCTGGTGCTCTCCTCCTCGCCAAACCCCAAGCCAACTCAAGGGTCAGTACTTTCGGAAAGGATTCCTCTACTGGATCTCCCCCGGTCAAAACCCCGAATCGAACTGTGCCGAGTTGTCCATAGCCCATCCCGAGTCGTACACTGCGGTATTCTCCCCCATCGACCAGTCCATGCCCTGCGCCCCACTGGCATCTTGGGTTGTGTTAATCCCCATGGGATCTACAGCTGTTGTACTAGTGTCAAAATTTCCACCGTTTGCCGCACCCGTACCATCTGACCCGCCATATATCGCATTTGACTGCCCAGCCACCACTGCATTCGTGATGGACGCCACGGCGATGCTGGTGGCAAGCTCGTTGAAGAAGTTATGCTGCTGTGCCGGGCCACAAGGTCTCACCATCTGCCCGGGAACGTGGCTTTGAGGTCTTGACCACTGTGTATGGGGTGGAGCACTGCTGATTCTTTGTCCTGGAAGTGGCCTGACATGTCCAGCCGTGGGATGCGCATTGGCAGCGTGACCAGACCACTGGGACTGGGGAGCAGCAGTAGCACTGAAAGGACGCTGGGGTGGATAGGGCGACTGCGGTGACGGTAGAGATCCTGTCGAGACTGGACTCTGAAGTATCTGACCCGGTTGGGCTTGGTTGGTATCGTCGTTGAACCTGGGAATGGGGTGGACATGCAATTTGCTGGCATACTGGACGCAGTGAGTACACAGCTTGAGGACTTGGTTACACTGCTGACAATGCAAAGACGAGATGGGTGTGGTTTCTGAGCAAGTGGTGTTAGTGATTATCCAACCCGCAAGATTGAAAACATACTATGCAAGCAGAGACTGCACTGTTCGCCAACGTCGGTGACGAGCCCGTCGACCCGCATGACTTTTCTCTGGCACTCCCGATATGATCGCGCAATGACCTGATTCAGATTCTCTTCGGTGTAGACGTCAATAAAGTCTGTGTGGGCGTGTCCTTTGAGAGCCTCGACCGTCCGCATCGCTACGCACCACCCGCACCGCATCAGCAAATGGGCATTTTCCATGCTAATCGCCGTCCAGCTTGGGACTTACGTTGGGCACACTTCTGGCAGTAAATGCCGCTGGAGAGCCAGCCTGTCTTTGCGACCTGAAACGTCCACTGCCACGGCTCGTGGTGGCTCGGGTGGCCGTGGCCGAGTGAGTAGCAGCTCAGGCAGCGGTACATGGGCTCGTTGATGTCGACGAAGCACGTCTTGCAGAAGATGACGGACTGGCCGAGCGCGAAGCCCTTTGAGCAGGAGACGCAGTGATTGACGGCGGCGTCGTCACAGCACGAGTTTGTCGGGAGCGTGTCGGCCGTAGTGACCGTCCCCGTCGAGCATTTTGCCTCGAAGACCTTGAAGGACCGGTGTGGGTGGGTGTTGACGCCTCGCGAGAACCAGCAGCCCCGACACAGCGTGTAGTGGCATTCGAGGCACGCGTACCGACTCGACGAGCGTTTTCGACATGCCGAGCACGGTTGGGGGGCAGCTTTGTTGGTGGCGTCGTGGATGTCGCCGCGCACCATCGAGACCGAGGCCAGGGCATGGCTCGGCTGGTGTTGGAGCCAGCAGTGCTTGCAGAAGGGCAGTCTGCAGTAGGTACAGTCCGCAAAGGTGACGTCCCAGGGGATACCTGAGAAGAAGTCAGCACAGCGCGTCCCGGAGGGGGGTCTAGGCGAAAACGCTGTTTGTACCGGAATGGCAGAGGGCACATGTTCGTCCCGCGGTGGAGACGTGGGTGTTGACGAGTTGAGCAGCCATTTTTGGATGCTTCGTCTTTACACGGGAGATGGTCAACAGATCATTGGTATGAATGGTCTACCGGTTGTCGATCTGTTTGGAGGTTGGATGGTCTTGTCATAAGGTAGAGGGAGGGAAGAGCAGTCTGTGAAGATTTCACATGGAGAGGAAAGGGAGGGGCATGAGATGGGATGAGATGGGATGGGCATGGCCAGGGACTTCCACCCACCGCCCACTACGCACCACGCGCTTCCATCTACCCCGTACATGTCCCTTCATCCTCTGCGGTATCTTGCTTCCCTGCATCCCCATGGCCTGGACGCTGGTAAGGCCAGACCCAAGAATTGGGCTGTGGCTGTCACTGTCGTTGTCATAATTAGTGCTCTCGCCTCGCATGACGGACAGGGTTCTGGGGGGAAGTGGAAGTGCTCGCAGGAGGTGCTGTAGGCTGACCTAACCAGGTGCCAGACCAGATTCCGGGACTATCGATTGGGGCTTTTGCGGGTTCCCTGCACCACGTCCGTCCATCCCAGTCGGGCGAAGGGAGGCAGATGGCAGATGGGCATGTAGGCAGCCAGTCAGGTCGGTGAAACACTCACTCAACAAGGGTCAATAAAAAGGGGGCAAGGGGACGCCGTAATCCGTAGTAAGGCTGAAAAGCCACACTGTCCGTCTGCTCAGACCCCAGTTTCTGCTCGGGAGGCTCTCTATTTCCTAGCCGCATGCACATCCTTCCAAGATACATACTTATTCTAGTACATACCTCGATAAATACTGTACTTGTGTATAGCTATAGAAGAATTGTTCAAGGACACCGTTCTCCTTTTCGGATGGAGTCGAACTGCGTTGCGTTGGGACAAAGCAACCAAAAAAAGGGGGAGAATCAATCAATCAGGCTGAGTGGCGAGATCCAGCCACACACTCACCGAGACACAAACTCTTTCTCTTCCTCTTTACCTCACTCTCCCACACTCCTGTCTTTTTCTTACCCACTCTGCCTCTCTGCCTCCCAGCCTTCCAGTCTCGTAATCCCAGAATCAGAATCTTGGCCAACGACAAAATTAGACCAGAAACTCGTGTTTCTTCCAAAAAAACGCTCACACACCTCCATGCAGCCTGGCTTCGCATCGACCAATCAACTCACCACCCTTGAACCAATTAAATGAGAGGAGTCACCGGGGACATTTCCGTGGCTTGAAAGAGAGGGTCTTGGGACTTTAGCCAATACATACGGGTACGAGTCTGAGATCCAGCGAGAGTTTTCACTCGTTCGTCTGAGATTGCGTCTGTAACGTGGCCGAGCAGGGCAGGGCAGGGCATCTGCGAAGAGCATTTCTGGCACCTTTGGCACCTCTGCCCCCCTTTTCAGCCTTATGACTTACCTAGAGAACAGAGGATAACCACGTCGTTTCATCACAGTGGCAATTACTGTACTGTTCAATCAAGGTACAATATGTGCCTGTGTCCACCCGACCGACACGGGCTGCCGCCTTTCCCTCCTGACCATCGAAATCCCCAGTGGTAGTGGTCAAGCAACCCTCGAATACGAGTAGGTGAGAATGTGACAGGGAAGAAGCTGGCGTCTCTAGAAACATACGAATAGAAGCCACACCCCAGAGCCCAGAGCCTAGATGCCAAATGAGAAACGAGACACAGCCGTTTTAGAGGGTTACGAGTACAGACACCCGTATCCCCCGGTTCCCCCTGGTATCTGGTATTGAAGAGCCAGACTCACAAGAGTCACGACAGGGTTACACAACGGCGGAAATGGCTGATGTGTGAGAGTCTGAGAGTCCCAGAGCCTCGTTCCATCTCTCCTTCCCAGTCTCCTGTCTCTTGCCTCTTCCCTGTCACTCTTCCTGCCTGCCTCTCTATCCCTCTTCGTGTCTGGCTCGCTTGTTTGCTTGCTTACTTGCATCCTTGCCTGTCCAATGACTCCCACGCCAACCCTGTCCCTTACCGAATGGGTTCGACAGAAAGAGACACGAACGACAAGGCTAAATATGGGACTCGGTCTCGATCAAGCCTCCTCCCTCCTGGTCAGAACCCCCCAAAAGTCACTCGCGGCGCTTCGTGTTTCTGTATTACGAGGGTCATGAATTAGCACAGCCAGCGTCCAACGTCCAGAACACATGTACTTCGTAACGTCGTTGCCTTTGCCATCTCCCACCTCCCCGGCCTGGCCCTGACCCTGGCTCAGCCTGATCTGATCTGTCTCTCATCCAAAGCTGTTTCCAAGCCAAAGTCAAAGGCCAGGTCGACAGTTATCACTTATCACTTATATCCACCCTCGACCGCCTCTTACTTCTTCATCCACTCGTCCCTTCACCATTCCCTCGACTCAACTGTTCAGCACCTCTACCTTTCCTCGTACTAGCACTTTTATCCTTGTACTCCAACAACTATGAATCCCGCCTTTGAAAAGCCCTCTCATGGTGGTAAGTACATACCCCCGCTGTTGCCCGTGACATCCATATACAGGTATAGAACGCAGTCTAACAAGAAGCCCCCCAACAGTGGAGAGCCAGGCCACCGAAGTTTTGATGCCGGGGTAAGTACCTAATTCGGTCACACGGATCTGCTCGAAACTCATGCTGATGAATTATGTGCAGAGATCTTCGATTCCAACAGTCACCGCAGCCTACTGGCGCCGCCCAAGTAATGGCTCCGACTCCCGTGCTGCAACAGACGCCGCAGCAAGAGTACACCGAGAAGGTTTTCCCAGCGCCCCAGCAGCCCGGCTATCGCTCTGCATCAGGCCAGTTCCGCCAGGCCGTGGCCATCCCCAATCTTGGCATGTCGCCTGCGCCGGTCGACTGTCCGGCCTGCGGCCAACGGGCCATGACCAACGTCAGTTACCACACAGGCAACACCACGCAGTAAGTTTCTCGTACCCTCTACCTTTCATCTTCCAGCGGACACAATGTTCCTACACTTCCCTTATAAAGACAAAGCCAACAAGCTGAATCTTACACAGTGTCTGGGCCGGCGTCGCTTGCTGCCTGACCGGTCTCCTCTGCTTCATTCCCTACCTGATGAACTCGCTCAAGGACGTCCAACACCGCTGTGGGAGCTGCGGCGTGTTGTTGGCCACATGGCACAAGAGCGGCGTGGTCGAGGTCCACATGCACGGTTGAGGTGTCGGGGCGAACATTTGATCGGTGGTGATGGAGATACCCCGGGTGAATTCATGGACGGCCAGGTGGCCAGGCGGTCACAAGGACTGTGTACTCATTGACAAGGCAGGATAGGGCTCGACGGATGTATCCACGAAGGAGAGGGGGTACACGGACAACTATGTAACCAGTATTCAATCACTTAGTAGTGACACCTGTTTCTCAGGAAAGGAGTTTAGGCTTGACGAACCGATACCAAAAAAAATGGGAGGACAATTGAGTGGGTGTAGGGGAGTACAAGGCAAGCAAAGGATCTTCCATCTATCATCATGCTCGAGCTCTCATTGTAATATTGAAGTGCATGTGGTATTGACGTTGACATGGAGATTCGGCAGCATAGCAACACATACATTGCCGTGGTGATTGATACATCCATGAACTTTGTTCGTTATACAACTGAAAGGACAGAGAGTTACATTGAAGCCTTTAAACCACCCAGGGGCCGGGGTCGTTTGTGTTTGTTTCTATACATCGGACTTTTGATCAAATAATGTACAATCCTGGTGTGCGCAGCGTTGACAGTACTCGATTTCTGGCAGCGCTGGATGTGTGGGAGAGAGCGCGAACATATATATATATATATATATATATATATATCATCATCCCCGAACTATAATACTTCGTCCATTACCATTTTCGTTTAGGAAAGGGAGCGCGGCCGCTTTACTTAGGCACGTACTTCTAGCTATGTAGCACTACAGCCTCGATGCATATCAAAGTCGGCACAGTACTTTCTTCCTGCATTTTCATGGCGGTTTCATTTTTTTTGTGCCCTTCTGGGGTATTGGGTAATTCCGAGACATACCTACTTCGATATCTACACTTGCATATTCAAAATGTTACTGCAAACTGCCACCACCACTGCATCAAAACCAAGAGTGGAGAGGCCTTCATCCAAAGGAAAAAAAAAAACCAAAAGAAAGAATTTCGATATACACAGTCCTGAGCATGGTCACACTTTCCCCATGATTCCTTTTGAGGTTGCAGCCTTGCTGGCAAATGCAATGAAACCACCGACCAGACACATGACACCACTGAAGATTGACGCCTCCCAATATCCTCCATAGTGCTTGACAAGAGCACCGTTGACGGGAGGACCAATCAAAGATGCCAGTGATCCTATGGCCAAACCTTGACCCATGTAAGTTCCCGCCTCCTGAGGACTCCCCGTACAAAGGGTGAAGGCTGCCGCCGCTCCCGAAATGATGGTCCCCGAGGCGAAGCCGACGAAGACCGCATACACCACCAAACCTGCAGTAGTCTCAGCCTTTGTGAGGCAGAATATCAAGACACCTGTCGAGAGGGCGCCTGCTGCAAACACGTTCAGCCTTCCAAGTTTGTCTGCGAGTATGCCGGGAACGATCCGACCAAACGTTGAAGCTCCGTTGAGGATTGCCAGGAGGTAGGATGCCAAAGTTGGATCCATGCCTTGTGAAACAGCATATGATGGCAGGTAGAAAAGCGGCATCCACATGCCCATGAACACGAAGAAGAGGGCCGCTATCAGCAGCGCGAAATTAGCTTGTTTGAAAGCCTTCCAGATGAAGAAGGTCGTTGTCCGCGGAGGGAGGCGAGGTTTGACAAATATGCAAGCAAATGCCATCAATGGGAGCAGCACAAATGCCATGATGCGCACTGACCAGCCGAACCCGAGGGAAGAATTGTTGAGCATCTTGGACAAAGCAATCGGGAAAACGACGCCTCCAATTGATGACCCTGATATTGCCAGACCGAACGCCGCGCCTCGCTTTTTATCGAAGTACTGGGACAAGGCTCCCAATGGTGGGAAAGTGAGGAATCCCAAGGCAAATCCAAGGAGGATGCCTTGAGCCAGCATGAATTGCCAATATTCCTTGCAGATGCTGACCATCATCAAAGCAAACACGAATGTCACTATGGCTGGACGGAGGATCTACCTGCACGTTAGTCTGCTACTCGAGGTCAGAGCAGAAAGACCGAGAACATACCCAAATCCCATATCGATCGAACACAGGCCCAGCCACGGCTCCTACGGCAAATTGGAGGAAGGCTGCTATTGATCCAATCCAAGCAATGTCGTCTGGTGATTTTTCTGTCAATTGATGTGACAAATAGTATTCTTCGAAAACGCCGAAGGCGTTGGTGAATCCCAATGCTGAGAAAGTAATGCAGGCGGCGCCGACTGTCACAAGCCAGGCCCGAAGTCCACCGTCCGGCGGAGGGTCGAAGTCAGGTTTCGTCGAGTCACCACTCTGGGACTGTTCTTGTCCCAGCTCGGGATCAGGGGAGGGTGTTTTCTCCCCGACGGCCGGTGGTGTCTGGGTTGTTTCTTCTTCTCGAGACTCCATAGTGGGGGGTCTAGGTATATCGACACGAATCTTTCTTCGTGTGTTCGGTTCTGGAAACTGGACGGGTCAGCTGCAAAGAGAGGTATTGTTTACTTTGGATTGTGTTCACACCCGAAATGATTTCAGATGCAGGAGGGTTCAGTTATATACGAGAACTGCTAGCTTGCATTTTTCCGGCACCGTTGTCTTCGGAGTCTCCATGGACTGGATCCCTTTGATATCTCCGGAGAGAGACTTAGTCTTTGGGGACCTCGAATGAGACTGATGATTGGTACAACGGTGGACACAGACCAGACTGTGGCACCATGTCCAATCGACATCTCGGATTACGTCGAAGTACAAATACAGCCACCGCTAATTTGCCTCATTAGTATTTCTTGGCCAAGGAGTAGCCAGCCAGAAGCGCCATTGGAAGAGTCGGCATATGGTGAAGCACTCATACATAAAGCGCAGAATTATATCCGGACCGACTCGGATATCACTCTCTGCGACTCTTCCACTTCATTTTCCACTGCTCATATGAGATGCACGGCGAAGAACCCTTTGCTGCAATCTTGCCAGGGAAAATCCGCCATGGCCATTACCGCGCCTGGTCAGCCAACGTCCGAGCCCGAACGTCGCCGAAGAAGAAGACCAGCAGTCTCATGCGCAGTCTGCAGGAAACGCAAAATCCGATGCAACCGAGAACATCCATGCAACAACTGCACCCGTTCGAGAGATGCCGTCTGCATTTACGAAGATTTCCCTCCTCTGAGACAGCGTTCCAATACCGAGGAACACGCCGCCTCTGATGGACAAACATCTCCGGGATCAACGGGGAAACCCTCAAGCACCATAAGCAGCGCCGCCACAGCTCCACATTACACTGGGACTCCATTGTCGACAAACATCCCCATCGATACTTTGATGATAGAAGGTCCTCCTATGACCTCAGACCAGAGCCAGGACATTTCATCTGCTCCGTTAACTCTAGAACTGCCTGACCCTGCACAATGCAGACAGGACTTTTTCGGCGAACCTCGAATATTCGGACGCACAGTATTCCACAAGTCACGCCAATTCGGCCCGAGTCACTGGATGAATGGTCTTTCCATGGTATGTTACGTTGCGTTGCGTTGTATCTTTCTTTCCTGTTGCTATCTTTGTTCTTTCCTCTCTCTTTCTGACCGTCCCATACGCAGTTTCAAGACACTCTCCATCTCATCGAGTCCCGCATGCGCAAAGAACCCACCGTGATTCCAGCCGGTATGCGACGGTGTAAAGCGTTGGCGAAAGGGATCAAATTGGCACGAATGCCAGTATGGCCGACACCACTGAGTGACGATCTACCGGCCAGAGACGTCGTTGAACACCTCATCGACAATTACCTCCGCACCATCGAATCCGTGTATAGAATCATCCACATCCCCACGTTCAGAAAGCACGTCGAAGCACTCTGGACTCCGCCCCCGGGCGGGCGTCGCGACACCGCCTTCATGGTTCAATTGAAGTTGATCCTTGCCATTGGCGCCACGTACGACGAGACCTTTGGTCTTCGCACGTCCGCCATGCGATGGGTCTACGAGGCCCAGACGTGGCTGAACACCCCGAACTCCAAAATCAGGCTGAACGTGCAGTCTTTGCAAATCAACGTATTGCTGATCGTGGCACGAGAGCTCGTCGACGTCTGCGGAGACTTGACGTGGATCTCGGCGGGTGAGCTGTACAGACGAGCCATCTACATGGGCTTGAATCGCGACCACCCTAGCCCGGTCGGGTCGACGGTGTTCGCTACCGAGATGCGCCGACGGTTATGGAACACGGTCCTTGAGGTCTGTCTGCAAGCCAGCATGGCCTCTGGTGGTCCTGTGCTTGTGTCCATGGACGACTTCGACACCAAGCCACCGAGTAATCTCGACGATGTCCAGTTGGAGGAGAAATCTCCCGCGGTAAAACCCGAGAACGTGTATACCCAGGTGTCGACAGCGATTGCTCTTCGGAAATCGTTGGCGGTGCGTCTCGCCGTCGTGAAGTTCTTGAACGATCTCAGAGTCAACGGACGATATGAGCACATGCTCCAACTTGACGGGGAGATGAGAACGGCATACAAGACACTCACTCGAACGTTGCAAAACATGTTGTCGTCGTCGTCGTCGACCTCGTCAGATGGATTCGGGCGGCCAGGACCCAACACCTTTGGACTCATGACCACAGACCTCATGATGAACCGGTACCTATTGACCCTCCACATTCCGTTTTTTGAACTATCCATGCACGAAGCCACGTACGCATATACTCGGAAAGTCGTGCTCGAGTCGTCGTTGAAGATGTGGTACGTGGCGTACCGATCGTCTTCTGAGCAAGGAGGTACAGGTGCACGTGGCGTCACCGGTAACCTCAACGTCAACACACCCTCACCGGGTCCCATGGCCTGCGGTGGCCCCGGATACGGCTTCTACCCAGTCTGCCGCAGCGGACTTTTCCAAGCCTCCTGTCTCGTCGCCGCAGAACTTTGCGCACAACTTGAAGAGCAAGACGGCGTCGGGATGGGATTCAACCCTCTACGACCCGATCTGTTGCCTGTCGTGCAGGAAGCAAAGACCTGGTGTTATCACGGCATGCAGATCGGCGAGACGAACATCAAGGGATACCTATTTTCATGCTTGATCTCGGCACAAGTCGACGCGTTGATGCGTGGGATGGACATGGACGACATTCCGAGGTTTTTGCTGCAGCGTGCAGAAGAGGCCGTTAGGGAGTCTATCGCCATCTTGGAGGAGCAGGCTGGTGTTGGCAACACGAACACCAACACCAACACGAAGGCAAACGGGAACGGGAACGGCAACGGCGACGGACGTGATCTGACCTCCTCCCTGGGTATGTCGACCGTGGGATTCGAAGCTCTTGACGAGAGTGCGTTCATGGTAAGTCCCTGGTTTTTCTTTCTCTCCTCAATCTATCCGAGAGAAAATATAATCGCAAAAAGGCTAACACCTATGGTCCGCTTGTCGGTGTCAGACTCCAGATGGAATGTTTGATTTTGGAGACACGGGCGCTATGGAATGGGGGTTCAACGACAATAATATCAATGATGATGATGACGAGTTCCTTGCCGATGTTTCTTTTTGGTGATGATGACTTGGACACCCCCTTTTTTCTGGTATGGTGTGGTGAGATGGCTCAGGTTATGGACTCATAGGGGGGGGTTCCAAGTGTACTATTATGATGACCAAAAAGGCCCAAGGGGTACGAGTACGACTAACTACAAAGACAGTGAACGGTCAGTTGGACTCTTTTCGGGAGTGGTATCAAATACATCAAGTAGGTACTGTATATCTATCCGGTGTATAATGTCAATGATATGGCATTAAGGGCACCAGCCTCCCAAGCCTCCCCAACGAGGCTGGCGTTTCGCTAAACCTTTCTCACTCCTCCTCGCGGGGTGGTCGCCCAGTGGTCAATTCACAATGCTGCTCAGCCACCCGGTGCCTTGTTCGATGCCCGACATGATGAAAAACAAACAACTGGTGGGCTTTCCCCAATCGTCGTGCTCCAGTCTCAACTGTCTTTATCAACGGATTGCTGCCGATTCCAATGTCAAATCATGTCTTGTCTGCAGTCAGTCACAGTTGTCTTAGCTATGGCAATTGGAAGATGGTCAGAGTCTCAGTCTAGGCTTGCATCTACCTTGCAGTAGACCGTGCGGATGCAAACCCCCATAAGGCGAAGGTTGAGTCGATTGTTGGCTCTCCACTCTTCCTCCTGCGTGTTGATGTGCCTAGCACTGTGAGTACTGGGAGGTGTGAAGTCTTCGATCATAGTAGTCCCGAGCACATGGAGTTCGTTGTTGGGATCTGACCTGTCGATAGCTTCTCCTAGATCGGGAGAAGGTTCCGGGTTAATACCACCTCATTCTACCGCCAATTTGTCCTTCAGCCACGCGTCGTCTCTGGCTGTGAATGCACAGTCGTAGGCTCTGGGCACGGCAATCAGACCCATGACATCGGAGAAGTCGAGTCTGCCGATCGAGGGGAGTCTCGTGCCGGGCACCTCTTTGAGCCGGAATGCCAGGATCAGGCGGACGAGCATGGCGTAGATGATGCGGTTGGCGATCATGTAGGCTGGGCAGATGCGCGATCCCGTCCCGAAGGTGAGATGGGGCAGGTGGGACGTGTCGCCGAGGAATCTTTTCGGTTTGAACGCCAGGGCGTCCGGGCCGTAGTGGTCCGGGTCGTGGTTGACGCCGCGGATGTTCATCGTCACGCCCACGCCTTTGGGCAGCGTGGTGGTGTCTCCGACGGTCGCTTCTCGCGACGTGCGCCGCATGTTGAACGCCGACGTGGCGTAGAAGCGCAGCGTCTCCTTGTACAGCGAGACCAGTAAGGGCACTTTTTCTTCCTGGAAGGCCATGTCCCACGCCCGATCGCGGTCGCCGTCGTAGACCTCGAGAATGTTCTCTACGCACTCTTCCTGGAACACCTGTCCTGATGCACTCGACAGCCACGCCATGCATTGATACGTGCTCGACGAGACCGTGTCCGGCGCGGCTTGCAGGATCGACATGCAGGTGCCAAACAGCTCGTCCGGCGTCAACCTCTCGGATCTCATCGACGACACCAGACAGTCTGGGGCCTTTCCCTGTTCCACCTTGCGTCGATACTGCTCGTGCAGGACCTTGGCGCATCGATTTCGTTCCTGCGCCGCCGCGATGAGCTTGGATTTGGACCACGGCCACATTCGAAGCAGCGGCACGTAGTGTCGGTATTCGGCCGTCGACCCACGACATTCGGTGATGACGTTCAGACTGTTCAACAACTTCGTGGCCAATTCTTGATCAAAATCTCCGACGCGGATCCCATATGTCATGTGTAGAGCCAAATTGAACATAATCTTTCACGCCCCCCGGTTAGCTTGGGAGGGGAGATGCTTGGGTGGTTGACGAACCTGACGTAGCCACGGATATGTCTCGAGGGGAACCTGTCCGTTCTTCCCACTCTGGTAGATCTTTGTGATGAACTGGACCGAGTCGGGCTCAATCAGTTTGTAGTATCCCGGCCACATTGATTTTCCGAGAGCTCTCTACGACCCAAACAAGTCAGTACCACGGGGAATACAGAGAAGGTCGAAGAAACGTACAACCGCAGCTGCTCTGCACTTCTTGACCTCCGGAGTCAACGAAGACCCCGAGATGTCGAGACCAATGTAGTCGGAGAACCCGTGTTGGTGCACCCGGTCCAACATGGAACTGTTCTTGGAGACGAAGAGCTCCTCCATGACGGCCCAGGAGCTGACGATGACGGTCCGTTGATAACCCAGTTTGATCTGGTAGATCCCCGATGCCAGTTGTCGGCTCCATCGCGAGAAGATGTCGGCGTCGTTGACACCCAGACGACCACCCAGGAATGGCAGGTGGCCGACAAAGGGCAACGATCCTGGCGGTTCGGGGATGTTGGCGATGCGAGGATAGTTCGTTCGATATGCCGCCCACTGTAAGTCCTCCCGGTCAGCATGGCTTGATGATTAATAAGTGTGTCTGTGTCTTTGTGTATCGCTTACGATGAGAACGAGGACCGTCAGAGTGAGTCCGACAACGACAGCGGCAGGCCACCCCAATTCCAACGCCAATGTTGATACAGAGAGTGAGACTCCCGACAAAATGTCGTTTGCCTTTGCATGACTATAGGTGTTCATCCCGGATTGGCCCTCGGAGCCTCTGAGTCGATATGAGAAGGATGTTTCTGGTTGTTGCGGTGAGAATGAGCCACTCAAGGAGCCATGACGAGATCAACAGCGACGATGTAAAAAGAACCCTGGAAGCAATACCTGGTCCATCCAGCACTGTCGACACCCTTTTCTTTCGGAAATTTTGTCTCTTATCAGATCGACTACCATTGGGTGTTGTTCGGTTGTGGTCAAAGAAATCCCGCCTTATCTGCCTTTCTCGTCCGCCACGGGGTCCTCCGGGTGATCAAGGATATGGGATCGGCCGTCTCTTTGTTGGATTGACTTTGGTTTCTTCACGTCTCTTCACCCACCAGGAACTTGAAACCCAGCCGGTGGTCGGGGGATTTACGCAAGGCTGGTGTCAGGTAAAAAAGATACCGTATCGTCTTATCTCGTCTCGTCCCGTACGAAACGTATCGTCATTTCAGTCACACCGTCCCAGGGCTTCCCTCCCTTTACCAGGTGGTATTAGTGACGATGTCTCTATCCTCTATCTCGCTTCTTTCATCTGGCCCGTCAGTGAATACGCTCACGACTTTGCGGTCATGATAAGGCCCTCTTTTTCCTCCATGTGCGCGTTATCACTCAGCTTCACGGCCAAGACCAAAGTGCTGGAACTGTATCTGGAGGCTGTCATGGAGGTTTGATAACGACCAAAGCTGTCAGTTTACCCTTCTGTTACGAAGTTATATAAACTTGTCGTTGCTAACAGTTTCGTCAGGTGTCAGAACCTTGTCAACTGTGGTCTCTGCTTTCGTCTTCGATCTGCACGATCATCAAAAGTTTTGAACATTCCACAGCCTCGTACTTTCGTCGAAATGGCGGGTTTAGTCGAACAAGATGAAAAGGCTCCTCGCCCGGCCACAGCTTCAACCACCGAGCTGGGGGTACCGGGGTCCGACTATATCGAAACAGATCCGACGGCGGCATTGAAATACATCAAAGCTAGCCACGTTGACCATCCGATTCACTGGCCAGCTTGGAAAAAGTGGACGATTGTGACAGTCTACTGCCTCCTCCAAGTGTTTGTCACCATGTCCTCGACGACCTACGCATCGGCCAAGGGGGTGATCGAAGAGCGTTATGGTGGGACCGAACAGACCGTCACTCTGGGCCAGAGCATGTTCATCGTGGGGACTGCCATCGGACCCGTCTTTCTCGGACCTTTGAGCGACGTCGAAGGGCGAAAATGGGTCTATGTCGGGTCCATGGCACTCTTTGCTCTCCTCAACGTGGGCACCGCCCTGGCGCTCAATCTGCCCATGCTCATCATCTTTCAATTTCTGGCCGGTGCGGCCGGGAGCACGGCGCTCACCAATGTGGCTGGGACGGTTGCCGACTTGTACGGATCTCTAGATGGAGCAGGCCAGCCCATGGCTCTGTTCGTCATGAGTGCCAACATCGGCCCGGGCATCGGATCTCCCGTGGGCGAGTTGATTGTTGAAAACACCAGCATGGGTCGGCCGTGGATATTCTGGATCAAGTACGTCCACAGACAATCCTGAAGCACTACGGGGGATACTGACTTTTTGTTAGTGTCATCATTGGCGGTGCCTTTGCCGTCGGCATGTGCTTCGTCCCCGAAACGCTGCCCCGGGTGGTCATCAGGAACGCTGCCAGGCGCCAACAGAACCCAGACCCCGAGGAGACCGTGGTTGCTCACCAGCGCTTCGACCTTGTCCGCGAGACGGTGTTTGTGGTGACCATGGCCCTGCGGATCCTCGTCACCGAACCGATTGTGCTCTTTTTGGGCGTCTTCAACGGATTCGCCTATGGTCTGCTCTATCTCTACCTCGACGGGGTGTGGAATGTTTTTGTCGTCAACAACGGTCTTTCGTAAGTGATGGGGCAAAGGCTCGTCTTGCGTGTGACGAGCATACATACTAACTCGCGTGCTTAGTTACATGGCAGCCGACTTGACATATCTCAATTTCGTCGTTGGCGCCTTTATCGTGTTTCTCTTCTTGCCCGTCCAGACTCATTGGTTCACCAGAGATCGACTCAAGCACGGCCACGCTCGTCCCGAAGCACGATTCCTGACTTCGCTGGTCACCGTCTGGCTGTTCCCGGTGTCGCTACTGTGGTTCGCCTTCACCTGCGACGGCAACACCAACTACTGGTCGCCGATTGTCGCCGGCGCGGTCTTGGGATTCTGCGACCCTCTCCTCTGGTTGAGCATGCTCAATTACATCGCCGACAGCTACTCCAACTTTGCCGCTTCCGCCATTGCGGCATTCTGCATCCCATCTTTCGCCATTGCCGGAGCGTGCACACATATCGGTGAGTCTCTCCCTCCAAGTGACCAGGCAAAAAGACCCGAGATTGATTGTTTGATAGGAATAATCATGTTTGAGAATATGAGCGCCAAATGGGCAATGGCGGTGTTGGGCTTCATCTCGTTCGGATTGGTGGCCCTGGTCTATGTGCTCTACTTTTTTGGTCCCAAGATCAGGTCCATGTCGAAACTGGCAAAGTAATTCTAGACGGACCGTACTGCGGGAGGAAAACCTCGGGAGGATTGTTGGAGTCGACACTGTATATGCCTGTACTGTATATATACTTGTAGTGCTCAACCATTGCAATACATTGCCCTTCCCTTTCGGTATCGTATCTCTTAAAGTTTTGCCTTTATCTGCGTCTGTTAAGAGCCTTGACCAGTGTCCTAGCGCGAGAGGGCTCTATTCCGAGTGGATCTGGCCACGAATCGGCACACCCAAGACAGAGTGCGGGAACGTACCTCGTACTAGGACGAATATATATTTTCCCCAGAGCCATCGCCTTTTCCCAATTCTGCACCTCGTGTCTATCCCGCCCAATGGCAGCCACCTCGGTGCTGTAAAGCCAGGCATCCCTCCCGGGATTGACCCCATGTCGACACAACTCCGTGTTTCACAGCGCCAACCTCTGGCTTGTTGGGGTGAGTGCTTTGCTCGTCAACACCCGAAGTGTAACGGTACTGATACGAGACCAGAATGTACCAGGCGAAAACGAAAATGTGACAAAACCATACCCTGTTCAAGGTGCGAGCGGCTGGGACTCAATTGCAGCCGCGAGGTCGTCCACATCCGTCGCCAACTGGGTCAGAATGGCCTGGAGATTCAATTCTTGACCTCCATTAGGGAAGACCTGGAACGGGCTCAGCCGACCGAGATCGAAAGTATCGTCCAGAGACTGACGGATCACATCGAGTCACTCAGATTGGGGACAAGTTTGAATCCCAACGCCAGCCTTGACAAGATCCGACTCGAGTCGGGTCATGGCCACCTCGACGATGATGCGATGGCCTCCGTCCAAGGACAAGATTCAGCAATCGTGACGGCGGTCGAACATCTCGCTTGGGGTCGCAGTAACGGCGACTGCTACCCGCATCGACACTGCGGCTGTTTGTATCGACAACATTGGATAGCCACGTCTCCGATGAACAGCCAGTCGTTCGACTTTGCCGCGTCCCCCATGGCGGCCGTGGCCACCCTTCCAGACTGTGCCGACGCGGAGAGATTGGTATCCTTCCATCTCACACGCATCACCTGGCACCACAACTGCATCCACTCGCCGACCTTTTGGCGACAGTGCCAGGCGTTTTGGCAGACGGGGAAATGCGACCATCCCCAGTGGATCGCCCTGTACTACTCCGTCCTGAGTACGACGTTGTTCTGCGTCCAAAACAGTGCCCAGTTTCTCGAAGAATGCGACCTCGAATCCGGCCGAGAAACGGCACAGCAGCTGTTCAAGACGATGGTCGAGGTGCTCTACACGAGCAACTTTCTCCAAAACATATCCTTTTACGCCGTCCAGGCCATTGTCATTTCGACCGAGGTGGCGCACAATTTCGGGCTGAGCCAGCTCAACGCCACCCTCTTCAGCGCCGCCATCAGGATAGCAGAGTGTCTGGGGGTGCACAAGATTCAAGCCGGCGTGTCCCCCCATTTGACCACCGAAGAGGCCTGGCATGAGACGGTCGAAAAGGAGGTGGGCAGAAGGGTCTGGTGCCAGATGATCATCCAAGACTACTTTGCCATCCCGTTCACCGATTCATACACGATCAATCCCGCTCAATACTCGACCAGTCTCCCCACCAACGCCCATGACCATGACCTCGCTGCAAGACCAGACTCGGTCCCCACCATCAGTATATATACCCGGGTGCTGGCCACGATTGCCAAATTGATGCCCGAGGTTGTCGACGGATTGGGACCGTTGAACGCCCGAAAGTCACTGGCAGAACAATACCAACACATTTTGCGCATGGACCAAAAGATGCGCGACGTTGTGCAGACCATTCCCGACTTCCTCCTTCGTCATGACGCCCAAAAGGAGGCACTGGTGGGCTGGTTGGGAATCGCCCGTTGCAGTCTTGCCATCACTGCGGCGGAAAAGGTATGGCGACTTATCTCAGGGTGCATCTTATGCAGTCCGTGACTGACTCGAGTTAGATCATCATGATTCACAGGCCCTTCATCTTCCGGTCGTTTCTCTCCGACGCCTATGCCCGCACAAGACAGACGTGTGTGTTTGCAGCCGTGACGATTCTGCGAGAACACGAGAACATTGCCCGGTCGGGAGAATTGTGTCTGTGGACTCACACGGCATTCTGCATCACGGCTACTGTTATCCTCTGTTTTGAAATCGTCATGGGCCAAGCCACCCATTCCAAGGACCGACACGAAATGTTTAGGGGGTTGGTCCGCACGGCCACGAGTCGTCTCGAAGGCCGCAGGCACGACGTCTTGGCCAGGCGTGGGATCTTTTTGGTCGACGCCATCCTCGCAGAAGTCGAGGGAGACGAAGCCACGACGGGAATAGAAGCTACTGAGAAATACCCGAAGACGAAGACGATTGATTTTCACGACATTGTGAAGCGCTTCAGTGCCGATTGGGCTTTCTTGGGTGCAGCCGAGCTGGCCGCGCCGCTTCTCTACGAGGGGGGACAAGTCTATGAATATGAGCCACAGGGCGAGTCTGCGATACCTGCCACAGCGGTCGATGCACACAATCTGTCCGTGTCTGCCAACGAGGACTTTGAGGCTTGGTTCAGCGACGTCTTTGCAACGGCCGACCTGGTGCGGTGATCGCTACGGAGCAAACCAAGGCCTCGTCCGTCTAGGCTATCTGGAGCCTAATTCGAGTGTCTCTACGTCGCATGCGTGCGTCACAGCGCCTTGCGCCTTCCGTCCACTACCTCTGCCGACTATCTCATGCTATCATGCTATCATGCGGGTGAGTGAGTCGACTCGACCACCTTTTCTCATCTGGTCTACCGAGCACCCCAGACGGGCTGACGGGGTAATATATCGAGTGACGAGCCGGTGTGGGACAGATGAGAATGAAAAGACACGATGATGACGAGATACTTATTTCCTGTATTACGCGGTACCGGTAATAAAAGTATATTTTCCAGCCTGTACCCCTCAAAGGCTGGAAGTCTGGGAGCGAGGGGGCGGGCGAGCGTAAAGAATTTCCTCCGCTCTTTTGTTATCGTATCGCGGCGTCGGGGTGCGGGACAGTTCACAGAGCTCACCCGCCGAGCCGCCCACGCCGCCACGCTACGGCGCCTAAAAGGGACAATTACATTGTGGGCACCTTGGACCTTGTACTCTGTCCTTTTGGCGCGGGTCGGTCGGGAATCTCCTCCGCTTACGAGGTACTGTACAAGATCTACTGTACAAGACAAGTTTATCCACGTACCTAGTACGGAGTGGATATTGCCCAAGAGGCGGTCGGACCAGTTTTGTCGAACTGGCCCGTTTTCCAGGCCGACAGGGCGGATTACATGGGGATGATTGTCATTATCACTGTTCGGGCACTCGCTGGTGGTGGTGGTGGTGGTGGTGGTGGTAGGATAGGATAGGATAGGTAGGGGATGCACGATAATCTTTGTTAGAGATGCGGCTGGGATTGAGATTTTCCGCTTCAATGGAGAGGAAGAAAAGGAGAGAGAGAGAGAGAGAAGAGGAGGAAGGAGTCGGAAGGTACATACACAACACACACTGCATGACCAACATGATGAACCCGTCCCCCCCCCCCCCCTCCCCCGGGCCTGTTACCCATACCTAGGTACATTATAATCGTTGACCTACCTACCTACGTACCTACCTACGCACCTACAGTAGGTATGGACGTGGTCCGTCGTAGCAAAGTATCAAGTAGCAAAGTTCAGTGAAACAACAGATTAGTAGTAGGAAATTAAGATGGTTCATTATTTGGCCATGAGATCTTTATTTTGGTATCAAACTCCCGAGTCTCTCTCTTCACATCCACACGTCCCACACGTCCACACACAGAATGCGAATAAAAAAGTAAACCTGTCACAATTTCTGCAGACTCATGGCCTTGAGTTCCTGCAGCGGCGGAATGCGTTCCATCATGTTTGGCTGGAGGAGCGGCCACAGCACGCCGCAGGTGGGTTTCTGGACGTCGGGGACGTGCAGGACGCGGGTGGGCGTGACGACGACTTCGCAGATGGTGTCGAATTCCTCGGGGTGCAGCTCCTCCTCGAGGACCTGGCAGTCGTGGACGAGGGCGGCGGCGACGGTGGTGTGGTCGACGACGCCCAGGGTGTAGAGGATGGCCCACTCGAGGTCGAAGAAGCCGTGGCCCTTGCCGAAGCGGACGCCGCGCGTGTTGATGGCCCCCGTGCCCGTCACCATCAACGGGATGTGCCAGCCCCGCGCGAGGATGTCGGCCAGGCTGAGCGGCGTGCCCAGCCTCTCCATGCCATCCAGGATGGCCGCGTGGGCGTACTGGCCCGCGTCGATCTTGAGGGGGTCCAGCTCCCAGAACCCGCGACGGATGCCGTACGTCGTCATCAGCACGGTCTTGCCGTCCCGCAGCGCCCGCAGCCGGAGCTCCTCCAGGCAATTGTCGGGCGTGATGAAGACGACGCTCGCGTCCCTGTAGCACGACAGCTCGACCAGCCGCGCCGTCGCCCGGTCCGACCCCTCAAAGTCCGTGATGAAGCTGGTAAAGTCGAAGTGGAACCGCGAGTCTGGCCGGGCCACCGTGCGCAACGTCCTCCACACCCGTCTTCGCACGTCCGACTTTTCCTCGGCACGACTGGACATGCTGGAACCGGGTGTTGGCGCCTGCATCGTTTGATCTGGCGGTGCTTTTCTCCTGATGGCAGCGTCTGCTCGACTTCCGCCCTCGGGATTCGAATCTCGATTGAGTGACTTTTTTGAGTAGATGACCGACAATCCAATGAGGGTGTGTGGAGAGGAATCAAAGCCGAATGATATGATGTTGGTAGGACCTGATCATCGGATGCCTTTGAATATCAACCCGAGTGATCCAGGCTGTATGTTGGTGGGTTATGGTTTTATATATATCTCGGCTGCATCGGGGTGGGTGCTTGGGTGTCCACCCAAAGTGAGGGATGCGCCGCCAACGATAAGAACAAACTTTTTGGGTGCGGCCGAGATTCTGCTGTCTTTTTGGCATGGAATGGCCTGGTACGAAACCCGCCGAAAACCCGCACAGAGGAAGGTTATCCGACTAATGTTGCAGGCTTACCACAAAGGGCTAATCACGTGCGCTCTCTGAGTTACCGTATTCGGATGCAACCAAAGCGGTTTGGCTCCCTTTCCCAAATGGGTGTATGTACCTGACTTCCCTTTCCGTCGATGCCGAATATGTATGTATAATTACAGCACGTCGAGTATTTATCATCTGGTCTCCTGATCCTCGTCAATCCGCTAATACAATATTATTTCTTTTTGTCATGTATATGTATATACGTATGCCTGGATGCACATTACTACCGAGCACAGAAACACAGTCTCCGTGGTCAATTCACCAAAACTCCCATTTCCCATCCCAAAGGCCATGGGTCATGAACAGCCCACACTGATATACACCACACATATATTCCCTTCTCACCTCACCTTGACCTCTCCATGCTCCTCGTCTCACAATACAGTCTCTCCCGCCCAGTGTTTCCCAATCACACCACAAAGGCAACAAGACCCAATACCCCCGCAAGGACGCCCCAAGCAACGCTCTGCCTGGTTGCAGCCCCGGTGAAGATGTCCGGGGTGATTGAGGGTGTCCCCGCGCCAGTGCTCGAGCCCGTAGGCCCAGGCACGAAGCTCGTGGCTGTGGCCGCAGCTTCTGCCCCTCCGTTCCCAGACCCAGAGGCAGATCCGAATCCGGAACCACCCGCAAGAGGACCAGTGGGCATAGGTACCAAGCCAACTTCCCCCGAACCTCTGCCATTGCTGTTATCGCTATTACCGCCTGCAGGGGACTCAGCAGGCCCGGTAGGCTGGACAGTGACAAAGGTGACCTGTGGGACTGTAACCGCACTGGTAATGGTACTCCCCGAAGCAGTGCGTGTGAACGTCACGGTGGTGACAGGGAAGGCGACCGGCGGGGTCGGAGACGGTGCAGAGACACCTGACCCAGAAGCGGGAGGTCGCGGTCCACGGCCGTTGCCATTGGTGACCGTGCCCGTGTTGGTCACCGTCTGCACCTGCGTTCCTACTGTTTCTGTCACCGATACAGTAGGCGCAGGCGTAGCCACAAGAGTGATGGTGCTCGGTACACCAGTGCAGATGCCCGGATTTTGCGGGACAAAATCGGCGCAAATACCGGCCAGATATGACAACGCCGCAGTAATCTCGTCATTCGACGCCCCCCACGCAGAGACACACTGTTGGACGGAACTGATGAACTGCTGCGAGGGGCAGAAGCATGTCGTGTCCGAGTTCGAGGCACATTTGGGCACGAGCGAAAGCCACGTGTTCATGCACGAGGGAAGGACCGAGGGGCAGGGGGACGTTGGCTGTGCCGGAGGTGCAGCTGGTGGTGACGAGGCTGGGGATGAGGTGGGTGTGGAGACAGGCTGTGACGGCGTTGATGATTCAGATGGTGGAGTCGTAGCAGACGAGGAGGATGGCGGGGTTTGAGGTGGTGTGGTCGGGGACGAAGATGGCGGAGGCGATGCAGGTGGAGATGCTGGAGGTGTTTCTGTAGTGACCGGGGGAAGCGTAGCAGTAGAGAGTGTCGAGGGTGGAGGCCTGTTACAACGGGTACAGACCGTCGAGGTTGAGGTGATCGTGATTGTTGAGATGGTGTTGGTCGTCTCGGTCACAGTCTCGGTGCCACTCGTGCGGGTATTGGTTACAGGACAAGTAGTAAGCGTCGTCACCACAATTTCCGTCGTGATCACATCGGTCGTAGTCTCGGTCGAGCTTGTCGTGTCAGCCGTGGTTGTGGTGACGAAATCTGAGCTGCTAGTAGGCTGCTGACTCGGTGAGGTCGAAGGGCTTGTAGTCTGACCAGCAGAAGGTGTAGTTGTTGTGGTGGTGCCCAGAGTCTCTTGGGGTGTGGTCGTAGATATGAGAGAAGAACTCGAAGTTTGTTCGGTAGAGGGAGTGGTAGTGCTGGGAGTTTGCTCAGGTGTGGTTGTGGTTGAACCCGCAAGTGATGTAGTGCTCGTGGTAGTCTGTTCACCCGAGGTAGTCGTGGTAGTGGAGCTGCCCGGGATACTCTGCGAGGTGGTTGTCGTATCGACCTTTGGCGTAGTTGTAGTGGTTTCGACTGGCGAAGTTGTAGTTGTGGTCACAGGCGTGCTGGTGGTCGAAGTGGCTGGAGCTGTCGTCGTCGAAGAAGACGAGGGAGGAGGTGACGAGGAGCTGCAGTCAAAGCCAATCGAGTGAATACCGATATCACAACCGTTGCCATTGCTACTCGGAGGCATCTGGAACGACACGGATTTCGCTCCGCCGCACTGCGTGTTCTCCACGGTGGTGCCGCTCGCGCTGCAAGACGCAGTGTGTTTGCAGGTAGAGCCATCGGGCATGGAGAAGATAAAGTCCAGATCGGTGTCAAAGGAAACAGAAACTTGCATGTGCGTGATGGAGAACTGGTCATCCTGGCCGCAAGAGAACTTCGGGCCACTGTTGGAAGACTTGCTCACTTTGCCTTGGATGCATTTAGACTTAACACCGGTCAGTCAGCTGTCTCCAAAGCTCTGTAGACTCGTCTTCTTACCTGGAAGTCGTCACGGATGCGAAGCGATCTTTTCTTTGAATTGGGCTGGAAAGAGTTCTGGCAGGAAAAGCCACTGAAGCCGAATCCTCCATAGTTATTGAATGACCCAGTCGGCAGCCCAGACCAGTCAAACCCACTCTGCTGGTCAACTGAGCAATTGTTGTTGGTATTAGAAACGCTGGAAAAGGTTGGCGAATCGCCCCAGCCCGTCGCAACAGCCTGCTGTAGGAGCCAAACAGTGGCCACGAGACCAGCATTCAATGCAGATTTCATGACGGCGATTATGATGTAACAAAACAAAGAGATCTGAACGAGCGAACCTGGCCGTGTTGTAAACGATCGACTTCTCCTGGAAAGCGAATGTGGAAAGCGAAGGACTGCAAGGAAAGCAAAAGAGACGAGAGTTTGTGATGGACGATGATAGAGGGTGCTACATATCGACGAGGAATTGAAGCCTTTTGTATGCATGAGAGCGTGGGTCGAATGTCACTTCAACCTTGTTCCAGCATGGAGACCTTGTGGTGGCCATGCAGCGTGGTCGCCGTGGGCCAGAATACAAGACATTCTGAAGGCGAGTCCTCGCGCGCGCAACAGTCGAGCGGAGCCTTGAAGTGGTTTGTAAATCGAAGCAGACGGTAACCATGGGCATCCAACACCGGAATGGAGAAGGCTGAAACAGAGATTTGCCCTGGAGTCGCAGCCAGTAGAGACCAGGATCCACGCTCGTGACCCTCGAAATAGACAGTGCTGGCACACACGAAACCGATCAGGAGCATTTGTCTTAAACCCGGAAGATGAAAATGGCCAGTCGCTTCCCAAACCACTCAAGTTGACGGGAGAACTGGAGCCATTGTGTCCGCTATCGAGGCTGTGTCTGATATTACCCAGCTTCAGAGGTCGACCGCATACAGTGTCATAAATGGCCACGGGGCAAGTTGCACACACTGAGTCTCGTCTCCTCGCGCTTATCGGCGTAGATTGCATGGTTTGAAGATGCAGCGGCGGCGAACCCACGCATCAATACGATTGGCTGTGACCTCACCTCGCTTGGCGCACTAGTCTATTTTTGGCCTATACCAGCGAACGGCGGTTATTCTTCTTATTTTCACGTGGGCGAGCTACGAGGACAGATACTCTCGATGAGTTGACCAGGACAGGTCGTATGGACAGAAGGCTTCTCATTCCATGCAAAGGCAAAGGTTGGCTAACCAGTCCACACCTCTTCCCTGCTCCCAGCCAAATACCATATACTGTATGCCTGCATCAATGCTTTTCCACTCAAGTCCAACTGAGACAAAAAAACGCGTGACCTTAAGAGTCCCAGCCCTAACAGGGAGTACAACAATAACCCAATCAGCTCGTGCTGATTAATGCATCGATATTGCATGTCGCCGCCACCGCCTCCAGCTTGTCCCTCTCTATATTCATGACGCCATGAACCGTACGCTATCATATCATCATTCCAAAACCAAGATTCTAATCCGTGTTCTTCCCTATCTCCTCACGATGGTTCCGCCTTCGTATGATCAGTGTTTGCGGGTCGTTCCGTCAAGGTTAACAACGGCACTGCCTCGGTGTCATGCCCGGTGCCGTTCACCTCACCATTGACATGTCCATTGGTGGTTGATATACCAATTTCCAGAGCTGGTTTGGGAGTGACTTGGTCCGAGGTGATCTTCCCTAATTCATCTGTTGCTCTTTTGCCACTCGGAGGACTCGGGGTTGCAGCTTCACCATTCTCTGCCCCTGTGGTCTTGGATTCGTTGTTGGTCTCTCCGCTCACCTCGGCAACGCTGGCTTCGACTTTCTTCATAACCCTCTTGAATGGGCGTCGCAGTTTCGGTCTTTCTATCGGGCTCATCGGTGGGTCTTGACCATTCGGAGTCGAGCTGCCTGACTTGCTACCGCCTTCTGCAGCGCCATTGGCGCCACCGACAGTGGCTGCTTTGGACGCGGAACTCTTCATAAAGTTCTCGGCCGCTCCTTTGCTCTTGTGGAGGTATTCGTCCAGCATGGCTTTTAGAGCAGTTTGACGGACAGGTTTGGCAAGGTAGTCATTCATGCCGGCCTCGAGGCACTTCTCTCTGTCGCCACGAATTGCTGAAGCCGTCATGGCGATAATCAGGACTCGACTGACATTGGGGTCCGGATCGGCTCTAATCGCTTTGGTAGCTTCGTAGCCATCCAGTACAGGCATCTGGACATCCATCAGGACCAGGTGGAATGGCTTCCCTTCCCTACTCTTGGTCTGCAAAGCTTCGTAGGCTAGCTTCCCATCCTCATAAGCTTCACATTTCAAGCCAAGCCGGTTGACAAATGAAATGGCAATTTTCCTGTTGATCTGGTTATCCTCAGCGATACAAACACGCAATTCCTCGCGGGGAACCTTGCTCAGATCACAGAAACTGTAAGTCTTTTGCTCTGTCTCTGGACTGGCCGACTGTGACCAATTTGCCATGGGGTCTGGGTCCTTGGCCGAGATTTGAATCTCGTTGGGCACACTGCTGTTCTTGGGCGCCTTTTGGAATGTAAGGGTGAATGACACCGTCGTGCCGACGCCAGGCGTTGATTCAATCCAGATCTTCCCACCGAGTACATTTTCGATCATGGCCTTGCAAATGCTGAGACCAAGGCCGCTGCCTCCATATGAACGTGCCGTGGACGAGTCGGCTTGCGAAAAAGGTTGGAAAAGGCGCGTGAGCTGCTCCTGCGTGATACCGATACCTGTATCTGCAACGGAGCATGTAATCTTGACCTTGTCTCTCGTTTCGGCGTTCTTTCGAGCTCTGACCGTGACGGACCCCTTGGGAGTGAATTTGTAGGCATTGCTCAGGAGGTTCATAAATATCTGGTGAAGGCGAACAGGGTCACCGAGGACCAGGTTATCGTCGATCTGGAGATCTTCGACGGTTTTGAGCCCGTGCTCCTGGTTAGTGTAGGCTAGCGCCCGCACCACCTCGGTGATAGTCTCTTTCAAATTTAGAGGGACCGTGAACATCTGCATCTTGCCGGCCTCGAGCTTCGAAAAGTCCAGGATGTCGTTGATAACGGTAAGGAGAGTATCTGCACAGACCCGGATGCTGTCCGCATATTGTTCTTGCTCTTTACTCAAAGGAGTGCCCTTGAGCAATTCGGACATACCAATCACACCGTTGAGCGGAGTTCGGAGTTCGTGACTGACGTTGGCGAGGAAAATTGACTTTGCCTTCGCTGCCTCCTCCTTCAGTTTGACATTGTGCATGGCCTCGGCCTCGGCCTTCTTGGCTTTAGCTTCTGCCTCGCGAGCTGCCACGAGGGCGCGCTTCTGCGACTCGACCATGCTCGCATTTGATGCGCTAACCTTGCGAACCTTTCTGTAAAGGAGCGCATTGCCAAGGGAGATGGCGACCTGATTGGTGAGAAGGTTGAGGACGATCATGTTGCGCTGGGTAAAGGCGTTTGGCCGCCCCTCGAGATGGATGACACCCATCAAATGATCAGCTTGGATGATAGGAATGGCAATAATGGACCGGCCATGAGGATTCCTTGCCAAGTAGGCATCACCAACATTGGAAAATCGATCATCCTCGAGCACGTTGTGCACAAACACAGTCTCTTTCGTCCGAAGGAGGTAATGGGTGATTTGCTGGGCAGCTTGATCGTCGACCTCAGAGAAAGGAATCCCATCAGGGTAAGTCTTGACACCTGTTTCATGGTCTGCGCTGGCCGCGACACACCATCCTTGATCCTCAGAGTCGATAACGATTGCGCAGAATTCTGCTTGACCTCCAACAGATTCCAGAATGACTGAAATCATCTTGGATAGGAGATTGTTGATTTGAAGCTCTGAGCTAATGACGCGTGAGAATTCGAGGATAGACGTGAGATCTAGGATATCCAGGCCCAGCCCAGGCACATCCTGGGGCGTTTGGGTCGCCACTGCTGCCTTCGGTTGTACCCATTGGTTTGTATATTCGCGCTTGTTCTGGATCTGCGCATCTTCACCGACTGTTAATGCGTGCAAATCCTGGGTCTGGGTAGTGGCGTCCATGGTCCTCGAGGTAGTGGCGGTTTTGATCAGCCACTCATGCTTCTCTTGAAGTTGTCGAGCTTTCCCAGCGGCATTGATTCTGTTCCAAGCGGCAATGGCTTCTTGGATCATGACCTTGCCGGCTCTCTTTGCTCCTCGCATAAGCAGGAAATCCGCCTGCATTTCCATAGCCAGCGCCTCCTCCATTGCAAAGCCATGAACTTGACAGTGGTCAATGGCCATTTCGAGGTTGGAAGTGACGTGGTAGTACACTTGGGTTATGTCGGAAATCGCGGACTCAAGTATCCTGGACCAGGCAAAGTAGTTCACGTCATTGACTTTACCCCAGTCATCAATAAAGCGTTTCATCTCCCTCGCTTCTTCAATATAAGGTCCACGCTCCTCTTCGGGCTTCTCCTTTGCAAGCGCGATGAGCGACAAGCCTAGGTAGAAGCGAGTGCCACAGGTAGGTCTGTTAGACCAAAGTTCGTCAAGACTTCCGGCGAGCAGCTCCCTCCCCTTTTTGACGACGTACTCGTGATAGCCCATCAAATGGTACGCGACGAGCGACATCGCGTGGTATATGTCGCGAGAACGTTGTGCATTGGCGGCGTACTTCCCACACTCATCCAACCACAACTCGGTCTGATGATCTTCGTCGTCGAGAAGAGTGGCCGCATCCGCTGCGATCGTTTTGCCTTGCAGCGCCCGGGCGACCTGTCGGATAATAATCAGAAGTGTTCCCCCTCGTCGATCTTTGGCCCAATCATCAAACTCTTCTGGGCCATAATTGCAGAACGCCTCCACTTCACCGAGATCCTGTCCAGCCCAAAATCTTGAAAGAGCCATGGATCCAACGTTCAGGATGCTGACAAACTTGTCCCCGGATGAGAGGGAATATTCGAGTGCGCTATCGAGGATAGGGAGAAGATTTCGGACCGGAGTCTGGTAGTGGCCAATAAAGAGTGTGTACAGGGTCCAACCCCTGCCTCGCGTCCAAGCATCATCAAACATGGTGTAGAATTCTTGGGCAAGGTCGCCATAAGAGAGGCCCAACTCGATGTCCTTGAAGCGGCCGATCGCAGCAGCACCAAGCATGGTGAAGCCGACCCCTGCCTGAATGAAAACACCACGATCGAGAATTGTATTGACAAAAGCGATGACGAGTTGATACCAGAGCAGAGCGTTCGACCAGTAGAGAGCGCCGAGGGCTTCCGAGAGAACGGTACCAAGAGCGATTACGGTTTTGTCTTCGCTCAATGGGGCCGTCAGGAGTGCCTCCTTATCGAGTTGTTGAAGTCGGAGCTCTAGCTTCTTGAATTCGACGTCGCATTCCTCCCAGGTCACTTCTGGCAGGGGAAGGCCTAGCCCTGCCAGACATTCTCTTTGGCTCACGAATGCATCCATGAAATTGCCTTGAGAAGCCAGCACACGTCCTTTTAGGATGTATGACCTGGTTTTGTCTGCCGAGCACCGTGCATGGGAAAATGTCTCGTTGAGAAGTTCCAGAGCCGCTGCTTCCTCTCCCTGAAGATACATGATTTCAGCGGTATTAACGTGAAGTTGAAGAGTTTCATCGTAGAAGACATCTGGATTATCCGTGTTCCATTTGTCGTCTTGTAGCAACTGGAGCGCAGTCTTATAATACCAAAGGCCCGTAGGCTTCGCGCCAGTTTCAATTGCCTTTTGCGCTCCCCGCCAAAGAACATCGCGGTACCGCATGCGAGTTGGAATCCTCTCTTTCACAATATCTGCAGACAGACATATGTGACGTGCCAAAGGGTACAAATTATACTTGCACTGACTGAGGTACGTCATCATCGCTTGAGCAATAATGAAATGCATCTTGGTGGTGTTCTGACACTCGCGCATTTCGTTCGCCGCTTTCAAGTATCGCCCGTGCGCAAAGCGGAATTCGTCATCGGTCTCGCCTGGATTGATGATGTACATGTTGACGAGTTGTTGCAGTGCATTGATGCAATCGGTTTCCGATAGATTGATTAATTTGGCGCGTTTGGGACAAGTTGCGTCGTGGGTCTGATCTCTTCCGCTGCTGTAGAAGAAATCCCCGGTCACAATGGATTGGATTAGCTTGAAGGAGAAAGTTGTTCCGATCAAAGAGGCCCATGCGAGGATTGACCTTGCGGCGGGCGGTAATTCTTGTAGCCGACGTGTCAGATAGCCGTTGTCCGTGCAGCCTTCACTGCTGAACTCATTGAAAATCTTGTCTAGATCGAACTGCCAACCTGATTCTTTCCAATCATACCACAGACAGTTCCGTTGATAACATGTCTGGAGAATATCCTTGACGAGGAATGGATTCCCTTCAGATTTGGCGTAGACGACGGCAGCAAGGGGTAGAACGGTCTCCACAGGTTGAGACATTGTTGCTGCTACGTATTCAAAGACATGCTTTTCGCGCAGATTTGCCAATTCGATCTTGTTGGTAGAATCGAGATCGAGAAGTTTGACCATCGGTTCAGGAACGTTCCCATCCTCCACTCTGCTTGACAGCATAAGCACAACCGGCACCTTCGCTCTGATGATATGCATCAGCAGTTCGATTGATTCCCCATCAGCATATTGCAAGTCGTCCAAGCAGACGCAGATGAGCTTCCCAGTACAGATTGTGCGTAAGACGTCCATATACGTGTTGATTAGTCGAATAGACTTGGTGTTGGCTGGTCCCCGCAAAAAGTCATTGGCATCCCACGTGCCTTGGTGAGGCGGAATCACATGCGTTTTGGGACCATTGCTGTCAATTGTGGGAACTTCGGTGTTGATGCTTTGGTTTGCGGTATCTGTTTTGACCAAGAGCTTCTTGGAGAGGACCGTGACATCAAGTAGCGTCGAAGGAAGATCCAGCATCGAGTGGAGGATCGGCCAGAAGGGTGTAACGTGAGCGCGAAGGTGCTCGTGATACGGTGTATTGACATCTTTCTCGGAGAAGATCTGGCGGAAGAGGCTTGCCATGACCTTGATCAAGGGTTCAAAAGGAGAAGGTCGCGCCCTATCAAATCGGCCAAGGGCGAAATAGCCATGGCGACGGATAACAGGCTGCACTGCCTTGATCAAAGCAGTCTTACCAACTCCTGCTGGCCCCAGGATGCTTATGACCTCGGTCTTTGACCTTCGCTTGTACTTGTGACTGTTTCTCCTTCGACTCATCATCCCGGGTAGCATATCAGTTGCAGGCTGCAAACCACCCGAGAAATTGCTGTCCCGGTCGGACAAGACGTCCAATGGCGCGATCCTGGGGTCGGCGATGCCTCGAGTACGCTTTCCCAACAAATTGAGATTGGGTTTGCTGCTATAAGCCGGAGTGTAGGCGCCATCCAATCCAATAGTGGTAGAATTACTCCGAGACTCCCGGAAACCGAACGAGCTTGAATCGTCAGAGCCCGGGGCCTCTTCGGCTCCATCCACGCGACTGTCTGAAATGGAAGAGTTGGATCCAGCACTCAAAAGACCATGCTGTGAAGGGGACGGTCTCGCGCTCGAGGCGCTGTGCCGCTTCTGAGCCTTGTCGATGATCTTGGTGATACGTTCCGTTTCCGCATGTCGGCCAAATTGTTTGGTGGGTAGGATGAAGAAGGACGAGACGTCTCGTTGCCCGACCTTGTAGTTTTTGATCTTTTCCTGGTCTCCTTCACCTAGGTACTTTTGAATCTGTACCAAATCATACCTCAGACCACTCATTGAGTGATATCGCTCATCCATCTGCTTCTGAGTCATTTTGGCAATAATATGAGCAATGGCGTCAGGAACATCCATGCGAATTGCGGTGACCAAGGGAAGGCGATGTGTGAGAACACGCTGGACGATGTCGATAGGGGTCTCAGCATCGAAGGCGGGCTGTCCAGTGAGCAGTGTCCAGAAGAGAACCCCCAGGCTATATATATCTGTGCGACTATCGGGTTCGGCTGGTAACCTCCCAGTCTGCTCGGGAGCAATAAAATGTAGTTTATTCTTGACTCCAATCTCGCGGCTGAGGTTGGCCCACCCCTCACTCGACAGCAGATTTTCGAACGCTCGAGGCCCGTTTCCAACATTGGCCAGTTTGACCGCGCCTGTCTCGCGGTTCCAGTGAAAAGTGTCTGAGCGAACCTCGCCATGGACACTATTGGCACCGTGATGCAACAGCTCCAGTGTTTCCGCGGCGCCGACAGCAAAATCTAGAAATGCCTGGAGTGGTATTCGCTCTCCGGGAGTACCATCGGCGACACTCATCCTGTGGTTGTTGAGACCATAGAACGCCGGTCCCATGTCCAGAACCTCCCGAAGATAGTTTTTGCCCGGAGCTTCATATACACAGACGACTATGGGACGGGTATCGCCTGGTGTCGTAGGTAGTTTGAAGATCTCAAGGGGTCGGACGGTATGTTCACAATCCGGGTCGGCATCCTTAACGATCGCCTGGTTATAGTAGAACTCTCTTTCTAGACGCAATACGTGCGTGCTGATGCGCGCCACAACGGGCATCCATATTGGATCCGGGTCGCCTTTGGACGACAGATTCTCGCTGTCGGTCGAAGTACCGCTAATGCTACTCCAGTGATGGTGTCGGAGGGCGGGACGGTAAGGATCGAGTTTAGGAGAACTTCTGGTCGAACCGGAGGGAGCGGAATAGCTGTTTAAGGTACTTATTGACTCGCGCGGGTTGACAACGTCTGGATTATGTAGGACACCGTAGACATGCCTGTTTCGAGCACCCGTTAGTTATTATCCGCTAGATGCGATTTCTGGAGATCATTCACTCGAGGGAAACTCACCAGTGATCGTAGCTAGTGTGGAATGGCACGAACTGCAAGCAATCCAAAATCAGCATTCACCTCGTGTTTCAGTGCGATTGATAGAGATACCGAGCGATCCCATGTATAATTCGGTACTTGGGATAAACGTTCAAAGAGCCTAGCCGGCGCGATGGGTAGGTCCTCCCCCAAGATTTCTTCCATTTTCTCGTGCTGAGAGCGTGCCGAGTGCGGTCATGTCATATTGCAGGCTTGAGTGGTCTAGGCTCTCGATGTGGAGGCAGCCAATATCCACGGAGGGCGACAGCAACGACGACAACCTCAGTTGCAGCGCTGAGGATAACGGCGAAGCATGTGGTGATGGAAAGCGGAGGAGAAGGGATAGATTTCGGTTAGGGAGTCGAGACACTCAAGATTGGAAATGGATGCCGGGATCGTCTGCGCGATCTTCGAGCGAGAAGGCACCAAAGAGGTGAGAGAAGTGCGTGGTTGATGATGATTAAGCGTCAAGAAATGACTATTTGGGCAAAGCCGTGGAAGCGGGCGGTTTGGAGGGGGCTGGCCAGGCTACTAGGCTTGGGGAGGTAAGCAGCACAGACTGTAGAACAAATGAGCGGCTGTCACACCACATTGCAGACCCCTTATAGCCGCTTAAAGATGCGCACAGGTCGCGGATGCACAGCTGGACTTCAGTTAAGCCCGCAGTTGGTTGAGGTCAAGCTTCGAACACCGTTCGCGATACCATGAACAAGTAGAGGAGGAGAATAGCACCAACCAAAATTCAACAAAATGCCGTCGCGGAGCTGGGCAGGGTCCTCATGATGCCGTCCTCCTGCCCCACCAAACCGCCTGATGGACGGGGTGCCTGAGGGGTGTTGCGCATAATAAGAAATGCACGAGTCGGCGATTTTTTTTAGCACAAGTACGGAGTAGGTGGGATAAATGGACGGAGAAGAGAGGGCCCAATAATCTCGCCACAGATAAGGAGAGATTGCCTACTGATATACGGCGAAGTGAAACCTCACGAGGCACAAAAAAGAGATATTCCTGTTCAGCTACTGTGCGACACTTTTTGTCCTCTGACATTATTGCAATGGTTGTGATCCCCTTGTGCTCTGTCCACTATTTGTCCGTCCATGCGTGCCCCAGGTCCAAATGACTCCCACAGCCAGCATCCCGACTTGTACCTGCCAACCATCCATGTCCACATGATAGGATTTGATTCCAGATTCTTCTTTCCGGGTCATACAGATGCCGTTTGTCTCGCTCATTCGTGCGATACAAATTGTGTGACCGCCACAAAGGTCATCAGCATCGGCCACAGGTGCTTCAAGTTACGAAGAGATTGTGCGAAGGCATTGTTCGTGATTGGAGGCGTAATGCTGGGCTGTGGTGTTCTGGTTGGGATCGATGCCAGCGGTGTGCTACTTAAAGTCACGTTGTCCCCAAAGAGTGTCGTCATTGTGGCCAGGTCACTGCTGGCACTGACAGTCGAGCCGCTTGTGTGGGTGGGCAACAGCGGCATGCTTGAGAAATTGGTGGTTGGCCGAGCTCCTACCTCACTGGCGGGTATCGCTGAGCCAACTCCTTTACTGGTCCATGGCGTTGGCATCGGCAACGTGGAGGTGTTTGGTTCCTCAAGCGTGTCTCCCTGATAGATATTTCCCGTCTGCCCATCCGCCAGCCTATAGCTCCCTGTGATCAGGTTTGCAATGTCGCCATTGGGAGTGGTATAGTTTCCGGTGCTAATCGAACCATAAGAGCCATCAGGAAGGTAATAGTTCGTTGTGAACCTGTCCTAGAGAGAAACACCAAGCATGAGCCGGGGCTAGGGAAAAGGAGGCGAGAATAGTACCCAACACAATGGAACGTTATAGCTCAGCACCAAAAGGCACTGGGTTGTTTCAGCACCTGCTCCGGGTCAGTTCGTGATGTTGGGTGGTTGTTGTTGTCACAAAATAGGCCTTACAGCATAAACTCCCTGGAGTTTCGCTCGCTCGATGCGCAGGAACAGTTCCCTCGCCGGACGACACAAGGTGGACTGGCGCAGGTTGAGGATTGACCGTTTGAATCAGATCGAGGTACAGCCTAGCCAATCCAGGACCAATTTCGGGCACATCCCTGGTGGAACTTCCGTCAGGTGAGCAGAGATGATATCCCGAGCCACATGATTGACGAGTATTGAGGTCACCAAGGCAAAGGCACAAGTGCATAAGCACGAGCAAAGGTACAACCGAGAGTGAGAGGGAAACTGAGACCATTTTGGCGCAAGTGAACGTCTTGGCTGGCGATGAATCAAGAGAGGGTGAATGCTCAGTCTCACATGGCAAGGTCAAGGTTAACGCCACACGTCGAAGAGAAGAAGATTGCGTGAGTGTGGCAATCCGGAAGAGCTGAGAGATGATGTTGCCTGCGGTTGCGGTTGCGGTTGCAGTTTGAGGGAAACCGCTGCCCAGGTAGAATTCAAAGCGAGTGTCGCGGAAAGAGCGCAGCCACTCCCCTTTCCCTACCTTGATTCTGGTCTCTCTCAACATTTCGATATTGATGCTTTGAAATGAGTGCCGTCATCGTGCTCAACATCCTACACCATTAGGAGCAAGTGCTGCCTCCCTGCCCCTCTCTGTTCCCGAATCTCATGTGAGTCAACATTTGTCTCGCGCTCCAATTCCAGTGCTTCCAAGGCAGACTCTGGACATAGCAAGTTGTGAGATGGTGCTTCAAATCCCAGCTCCTCCGTCATCTGACACTTCTACATGTTCATGATAAACATGACAGAGAGGACATTTCAGCTGACGGGCACTTCAGCATCGATAAGTCGTAGCCTTTTCAGCCGATCCCTCTCTCTGTCGAGCCTCCCCGCCTGCCCCGCGGCCACGGATGGCTGGTGGATGTCTCGGTCATTTCACCAGCGACACGCGTGGAAGACCTGCCACTTACATATCTCGTCAAGGTGATCAACGAGTTGAAACAACAGACACTCGTGGACCCAAAGCTGAACCCGAGGTAATCAGCTGTGAGAGATTTGACTTCTTATCCAGTACTGTTGGTGATTCCGATTCTCCGACATCGTTGGACGGTGCTGCCAATGATCCTCCTGGGAAATCGCGATAGTGTATCTAATTGCCCGTCGAGGATTACAACCGCTCCTGATGTTTTGTTTCTCCTGACACACTCTCCACAAAGATGCGCGTTCCATGATTTTGCCAAGAAGCAACTCAATTCAATAGTGAAAGAGCTGGGAGAGGTTTGTTTATCAGTGCACGGCAGCAGGTGCTTGGAATGGGCGATCACCATTATAATCTTTGCTGAAGCAATCTTAAGCGCGAAAGAAGTTCAATATTGACGTCCCGTCAAGATCACCTTCAGATGCTCTTCGCGTCGGATTCGATGGAACTGGCAATTACTAGCAAGGTTCAGCCTCGTCGTTGATCACTCGACAGCCAATCGACAGCCGACACCATTGGCCCGTGCGCCTGTTTTTATCTTGACCAGCCCCTGGCAACTGGCGGCACGGTATCCACCACATTTAATCCCCGACGCGGGTAGTTCTATCGGATAAGGATTGTGCAATGAAAATCTGTCTCGATTCGGGAGGCTGATAATCAAGAGATCAAGCCTCATCTATCACACTAACCAAAACCACGAGGATCTACGGCTAATCCAGGTCGATCCACTAGTGCGAATCTCAATGTTGGATATCACAAGAGATTCGGATGAACGGTGCACGAGCGACGCGTCGTCGTCGTGCCCTATCCATACAGAGATCTCGATCATAACATGGTGTATACGAAGAACATCAATCAGTGTATATAAACATCTCGGTCCCCTCGACTTTGAAGGTACATTCTCATCCTCATCAACAAACAGCAATACAACAGTCGCTCATTTCTTCTCATCCTCACTCCAGTCTTTCGTGCAAGAATCTATTTCTTCTCTACCACTTCAACCCAAAACCAAGCCCTTCCAACCAAAACCAAACTCATCAAAATGCGCTGCTCTACCGTCTTCGCTGGCCTTCTCATGGCTGCCTCTACCATGGCTCTTCCTCTGGAGGGTGAGTTTCCCATCTAACCTTGACCAATTATCTAAGAGCAGTTACTAACCTGCCGCTCAGCCTCTTCCAACACCGCCCTCCAGCCAGTCGAGGCTGCTAAGGACATTGCTGCCAGAGCTCCTGCTCCTCAACTCGACCTCACCAACCTCCTTGGAGACGTTGGCACTACTGTTACGAACCTCCTCACCAACTTGGGGCTGGTCCTGGACCCCGTCCTCGACGCACTTACAAACGTCACCGCCGCCGTTGAGCAGCTGGTCATTGAGACCCAGCAGACCACCGACACTGGCGCCGCCGTCGGCAGCACCGTGTACACCCTGACGCTGACCAACGCCCTCAACACCCTTCTTGGGCTTGTTGACAGCATCAGCGGCCTCGGGACCACCACTGTTGTCACCACCGATGACGTGACTCTTGTCAACAGCCTCTCCACCGCCCTTGGACAGCTCTTTGATACCGTCCAGACTCTTCTCTCGGCTGACAGCACCAACGGCACCTTGATCAGCCTCTCGGACCTGCTCACCCAGCTCATCGCTGACGTCAACACCGTCCTTGAGAACATCAGCACGTAAGCGACAGTGGTTGATGGGAATGGCAATGGCATGGCATGCATGGTCTTGCAAACTATCTTTTTGGGCAGGCCTTTCGGACTTGTTCCGTCATGGGAGAGGATCTTTCCGATCCATGGCATTGGCATAGATGGCGATGGCGATGAAGGCTGCCACCGGGGTCGCGCCGCAGGGCCATTTACGGGAACTCGGCTTTTTCCTTCTCTAATTGGGTTGAAACTAGGGACTATGGCAGTTAATCATCTCTTTAATTCGGACACAGAGACATAACTTTTTTTGGGAGTTGCACAAATTTTTGGGGGGCGGGGGCAAGGAGAGGAGAGCGCGCATTCACATGGTTGAAAACAGCGGAAACGGTTTGAATGGCAAATAGACACGACAACAAACAAAACATTTGAAAAAAACCTTTTTTGCTTTGGCATCATGTGATTTCGTGACAATGATCGTCGCCTTCTAGTAAACCAACAAAGCTAGGCGCTCACTGGCACTCCAGGCTATCGTGCTTGGTATCCAGTAGAGGACCCCGCATTAGACTAACCCAGTCGTACAGGACCAATAGAGTCACAAGCATCAGCCTCTTTCTTGTTCCAGCGCCCAAACTTGCCTCAACAGACACATGACTAGCCAGGTTGAGCCATCCAGGTCGTGCTCTTGTCTTTTCACACAGGCAGTTGGACATGGTCGCTCATGGTGCTATTGCTTTCTCCACCCTCTCCGGATCCGTACCCAGGGTCCTACCACTGCTGGTTGTTGAGCCGAGTGATCTCGCTAACCTCTTCAGCCCAGTCACCGGCCCCGTTGATCCCATCCATCTCATGTAGAGGAGGCAAAGCAGCACTGTTCTTACCACCAAAAGCCACGTCGACGCCGGAGTCTTGGGTTGCGACTGAATTGGGCGGGCCAAGGGGTCCTTCGCTGCTGAAGGTGTCCCAGCCATTGGTACCTCCCGGAGTCACAGTTGCTGGTTCATCCCATCCACCTCCATCCCCTCCTCCACTGGCTCCGTCCAGGGCATGACCATTTCCGCCACAATAGCCATTTGCATAAACGCCGGACTTCTTGAGTTTGTCCTTCTCTTCCCACTTCTTTCTCACTTCAACCTCGTTTCTCTCACACCACTCATGCAGATCCTTGTCCAACTGGCCGATCTCCTGCCTCAAAACGCTCAACATCATCATGTCTTCAGGGGTCTCGTTCTCGTCAAGCTTGCCATTCCACCACGCCCAGAACACGGAAGCACCAGCAACTCCACGGACAGAATTTTCTTTCTCGTCGGGAAGTGTCGCTAGTAGAGGGGTCGTGTAGAACCATTCGACTTCAGCCCAACTCATGAGGTGTTTCCGAGCAACGGCAGACATGCGTTTGACAATATGGTCGGAGAGGTCCCGCGGCGGAATACCCAGGTAGTGAGCAGAGATGATGACATTGGCGTAGGTGGTGAATAAGTTGGGTGCGTTGTCATCGAACTGAAGAGGTGTATCAGTCTCCATGCTGGAGAAGAAACTGGAGGGACTCACATCTTTGAACTTGACGATGTTCTGCTCGGCAACGCACTGATTGATCCAAGCCAAAACCTCCTTGAGACCTTTCAAGCTACCACCAACAACAGTGAAGGATTTTCGGTTGTTGTCCATCAGGTCGTGACGAATCCGGTCGCAGAAGATCATGGCGGCATCTCGAGAGAATTTGCCATCAAGGAGGACCAAAGAGGAGTCTTTGGTTGGTTTGAAGAAGAGGGATATTGTTGGTTCGGGGTTGATCCTATGCGTGAGATTGTCAGTCCTACAGCTCTGTTCCCCAGTAAGTTCCCCGATGAGCAACATCCGCATACGATGAGAGTTTAGCAGGAGGAATGCGAGGTCCACGATCCTCGCGCGGTTCGGGTGGTTGGCCCGATAGATCGTCCATTGTGAGAGATATTCGAGTAGAGTTGTTGAAGATGTGATAGTGTTATGATGTTCTTAAGGCCTAGGGTAGAGTAAGGAGGTAGTAGAAGTCTTGCGATGAAGGAAGAGATCAAAGCAGAGGATGGAAAGAGCGATGAAAAGAGCGTGAGAAGTAAAGAAGGCCGATGGCAAATAACAAGGCCTGCCAATCAACCACAACTGCTTTGAGGAGATCTGTAGTCCAACTAGAGACGGTCAATGTGATGACTATCTGGTTGGCGGTTTAGCAAACACATTCAAATCTATACTGCCAAGCCTGTCGCTATCATCTTTGCATGGCAGCAATTGTCTTTGTCCACGGTTTTGGCAATGCAGAACTTGAACAAGCGCCCGATTCTCTCTATTCCTTCTTTGAGGGTGCAGAATTGTTCTGGACTGGATCCATGCTGGCTCCCGGCGGACTGTAAAGGGCTCCGTCCGTGCTGCTTTGCCGTAAGCTGCGAGGCTGGACGGACCGAAATCCATCCTTGATACGGAGAGGTCACACATGGAGGTTAGCCAGTTCATTTCGCACGCCAGTCAGGATGAAGGCAGATACACGGGGCAGGGGGTTCGATGGAGTGTTTCCTGGTCAATTCCATATTTGACTTCCGGCCACCATTCTAGTCAATCAACGAGCTCAACCCATCTTGCGCCTCGCTCCTGGATCATAAAATCGTTGTAGGCGTCAAAACAAGAAATCCATGCACTCCCGCCATCTATTTCTTCCCACTCTTCTTGATTCCTTGCTGGCCGGCGTTCAGCGGCCCTTTTCCCTTTGCCTTGTCGGCCATTTCTTTCCGGGCCTTTGCATCTGCGTGAACGATTTAGCTGCTGCTCAGAAAAAACCATGTACGGGACGTTCGAACCTGCAGCTTGCTTGGCCTTGAATGCAACGTCCTCCTCGTCCATGTCCTTCTTCTCCTTCTTGGGAGCCTTCAGTGGCTTGACTTTACCGCCTGAGAAGAAAATGTCAGGAAGCTCATCAGATCAATCGGTGCTTTGCTCGAACCTACCTTCTCTGCTTTGACCACCCATTTTTTATTGTTTCCTGTTCAATCTGCTATGTGTAGAAGGCTTTAGAGGTTTCGAGGTTGGGTTGTTGAAGTCTGGCAGTGTCAGGAAAGAGTGGCGCGAAGTTCTGAAGCAGAATAATCGCCGCAGTCTCGACCGGCAAGCGATCGCATGGAGACAAACTGCGTCAACCAGTGAATGGGCGCCTCGCTCACGTGATACCTTGGCACATTTGACTCGTTTTCAACTTGTTCATGCGCTTGGTGGACTTTGGTTTTTGTCGTCGAGCTCGATCGATGTATTGGGCCCTTATCAAAACAAAGACACAAGTCTTGAGGTAGGCTCGTGTGGGCAGAGGTCGCGATACCTTTGAGCGACGAATTTTCGTGTAGGTACGTTGAAAGACAGACACGGGGCTCACGAAACACATTCTTGGAGTATTCGAATACTTCGAATTTAATGTTTAATTTTGGCCGATTGCTACTGGGACTGTTGTACATGTACCAGCCCACGAGTTTCTCGATTCATCGCCATTCCACAACGACCTGTCCCTTGTACGCTCTAAAGTCCAACACAACTACGCAAGCCATTGGTAGACTTGCGGAGATCCACCGTACACCATGACCCCATCAGCCTCTTGTCGTGTCCTCTGATTGTCCCTCAGCCTCCGAAAGATGCCTGGCCCAGCAGAACCAATTTTCGCAACCTGCCGCAGAGACTTGAACACGGAGCTCGATAGATTGAAAGTGAGTCTGTGTTGACAACCAAGAATGTCGCTAATTCTTGGTATATGGGGGCGACGGTGGTGGACTGCCCTCTGGCGAGTTTGGAGGAGGATTGGTGCCCGACATTTCGCAAAGGAGGTTATCGGGTCGAGTCTTTGAGACAATTTGCGCCGTATCTGACAAAGGGTCAGCACAGATACAGATCTAGCGGGGGTCAAGCGATTACTTATTGTGATATTGTGTGTGAGTGTTCTTGCTTTAGTATTGGTTGACTATGAGGATATTGTTGAAACGAATGCCTGAATCGAGGAAAGAGATATTTATACACGGTCGACGGTGCTCGTTTGTGGATCTCGTTCACTCTTCTGTTTGTGCATGAGCTCGAGACAAACGTGAGGGGACAAGAGACGACGGATTGCTATGACTGTCGAGGCAAACATCATTCCGTTCCACGCTCACTATGTCACTTCTCGGTTGCTATCAGAGGGGGAGCCATCGGCAATCGCCTCTTCATATCTGGACTGGATATCGCCACTACCGTGCCTTTGGCATGAGTCATTCCCTCTGTATTCTGGTCAGATTACCGGGCTTGTTCGAGATGTAACTTGTACGTGGTTCCTAAGATAAAAGGCGTTGAGACGACTGCGAGTGACCGCGATATTCGCTGGGTTGAGGTTTCGATGGTGTAGACAATGGTCCTAGGTATTATCTGGAGTAGCCAGTGGTGACTTCAATCCGTCCACAGTTCAGTGTTTGATCTCCTATGCAGTGTCTCCTCGTGCAGGGCTTCGACCCGCATAAGGAACCTTTCTGATAATTAAGGAGACGGGGAAGACCGAGAAGGAGGCTACTGCACTCGAGGTATCCGCTTCGAAACTCCAACCACAGGGAGTAAGCCGAGGAAATGTGGGCTACGGGACGTGGGAAGTATGGATCGTTCCTCAAGAAGGCGGAAGCTGCTTGCTGAGGTTACTCAACCATCGGTCGCCGCAGAGACGCGAAGATAGGGATATGACAGATGTTGGGTATGGAGCATGTAGCACTAGTTAGCCTTCTTTTCCCTTGGTACTGTGTATGAGCCTGTCAGTACCGAGGGGATTGGCAATCAAAGAATGCTACCCTTATATATCCTGCTGGCAGCTGAAATTCAATCACTCCAGCTCGATGAACCACAACACCCAGGGAGTACCAACTTCCGCTTCTCCCAAGCTCTCGACAGTGATAAGTCTTGCGCAATGCATACTTACCATTTCAGTCCAAACCCCTGCATCCTCTCTTACAAGCCATTGAAAACCATACCAGTAAACTTGCAGAACGTCGATGCGTTGTATCTCTGTACTTTCTCAGCGGCAAATGACAGCGTTGAATCCCTTCGAGAGAGAGCAATTCTCCTACTTTTAGGCCTCAGTCGAGTGAATTACTCGGGTTTGCTCCCAGGAAGCACCTTGACAAACATCAGGCAACCTGATGCCGAAGCTTTGTATGGCCCGTGCTCCATGCCTGGATTGCGATATGCGTATGCACCTGTCGACCAAGCTTGCCCCAGTGTCACATCCTCGAGTTCTCCCTGAACAATACACACTTCTTCGATATAGGTATGGGTTATTGCCTGGTCAGTGGCAGATACCGCATTCGGCTCCCACCACTGTAGAACAGCCTTCTGTTCTGAATTCTTCTCACCATTTAGATGCAGTTCCCAGATTCCAGGTGCAACGGTGTACCAAGGCTTGGCCGTCTCTGAGTTCTCGGGTGTCCCGACTGGTGGATGTGGCGGCTGAGAGAATTCTTTCTGCTGGAAAGGCATCTTCAAGCTATGAAATGTGTCTTTCGGGGGATCTGGTAATTGCCACACTTCCCCAAGCTTGGAGAGTCCGTTGTTGCTGCCAACCTTGCAGGCTCGGTTAGCCTTTTGAAACTTGACTTCAAGTCCCTGAGCCTGGGACTTCAGCCACTCCCTGTAATCACAATTAGAGATCCTCAGACACATCAACCGGAAACACGTACGCTTGGTTCGCTGGGACGGCCGCCCTACCTCCAGCGACAGCAACTGCTCTCTCAATGAGTGCCTGTAGCTCACGACAACCAGCCTGTAGATTCACGGGGACCTATTGGGTTAGTATTCATTTGACTCTAACTTGATATACACTTACAGCAACGCAACCAGCACGAGGCCGTGCACGAGAACAAAACGTACACGCCTTGGACCAAGTCCAGTCGCAGGGTAGAGCAGACGGAGGAGACAGAGGATCCGCGAAACCACGGAAAGCACTTCTCTCTTTAGCACACTGTCATCGCCCTAGATTGCGGGAAGACTCACAATTCTGTCCAACAAGGCTGGCACTACAAGCCTACTGGAACTGGGTACCCCGACAGGCTCCCAGAAACATAAGCAGCTGCATGGGCGTTAGCGAACTCTCATGTGGAACAGGTGGGCTTACCGACACATCTTGCGATTAACCTGTGACCCTTCCTACCCTTGTAGAACAATATATCAGGAGCTCTTGCGCTTATTGACGATGCTCTTGATGTAGTGAGTTGCGTTGCATGGGGGGTGGGGGGTTGCCACTCGCTGCCAAGGACTTGAATCCCCCAGCGTTGTTTGGCGGCGAGGCGGCACTAGCACCCGCGCCGGTTTTAAGTACTCTATGGAGAATATGATGACTAGTGCTTCCGGTCACTTCTACCTCGTACACCTCCTGCTACAACGTCACTTCATCGTTCTCGGCCTTTCGCACCTCAGTCTTCATCTTGCGGTTCGGTCAAGTTGATTCACCAGTATCTTTTCTGTCCAGCGGAATGCTTTCGAAAGCGATTTGAGAAGGACTTCTTTGGGACGACACCGGTCGGGCTCTACAACTGCAAATTTTCCCATACCAGAATCTGCTGGCTAACGCTCTTGTCACAACTAAAGGCTAGGTCTCGTTCCCGGCCTGCAAGTCGACCACTCCACCATGGGTTCAAGATCACCCAGCCAGTCTGAGGGCGAAATCTTGACGTCAGACTCGGAAGCGAAGGCAAAGAATATACCATCTTTCCGCAATAACAGCAAGATTGACCGTCGTGCCAGACCATCTTCCATTCCCTACAGCGCTACGTCTAGATCGCATCGATCACGCTCGAGATCGCCTTACCGTGCTTCGAGAGGCGAGAAGCGCCCCCGCGACTATGACCATGCGAGAAACAGATCCCATCATGATACGCGCTCCTTCGCTGTGAGGTACGAAGATGATGCCTTCCGTCATCGACGCCACGAATCCTACGAACGACACTCAAAGCGGTCGCGAACCTCGCGAAGTCGGAGCAGGAGTCGGTCTCCATATAGGCACTCTCGTCGCAGAGAGGAAGGAATGGATGGCCCTACAAATACTCGAGATCCAGGTAGCAGGTTTGAGTCCAACTCCAGACACGCGGATGATCAGCCGGAAAAGGATGCGACCACGAGAACTTCACAATCCACACCCTCGCATGATCTTCCGACAGACGACGTCACCTCTAACTTGGTGCCTGCGCCAGGATCTGAAGCTACTGGACACAGACAGGACAGGAATCACACCGAAACCCACACGGCCGTCCCCGCTGGCGCCACCACCGCTGAGATCGAAGAGCCCAGAATGATAGATGAGGCTGCTCTGATTGAAGAACGGCGCAAACGTCGTGAAGCTATAAAGAACAAATATCGTGGTCAAGCTCCACCGCTATTGGTTCAAGCACTTCATCTTGGGGCCGAGTCGACGCCGGCAAGTCCTGCTCCGGAAAGCTATACTACAACGCCACGCCGATCCGGTATGTTCCCTGTTACCGTCCGTCCTGGTTCTATACTAATTTCACCAGAATCCCCTGGCTCGTCCTCACCTCGTACGCCAAGAGATCTGTCTGCTCCTCAGTCTCCAGCGGAGATCAAGTTCGATAATGATGCAGATCTGACTAACACTGATAGAAGATCTCCGGTCGAAGACGGCCCTTCAGCTGCCGACTATGACCCTACCGTGGACATGGAAGAGGAACGAGCGCGACATGAAAAACGTCTCTTTAAGGAAGACGAGAAATCTCTCGAGCAAGCAGACCAAGCAGTAACCGGAGCTGACGACAAGGCTGCCCCTCCCCCTCCCAAGGCGACTGGTGAGTTTGACATGTTTGCCGATGAGGATGAAGACGATATGTTTGCCGAAGCTCCTATGAAGCCCAAAGTCGAGATTAAGACTGCGCAAGCCCTGGATGTCAACCTCATGGACAATTGGGATGATCCCGAAGGGTATTACATAACAATCCTTGGTGAGCTGATTGAGGACCGTTACCATGTCACACAAAATCTGGGAAGAGGGATGTTCTCCTCTGTCGTTCGAGCGACTGATAGACGAACCGGCAAAGCGGTCGCGATCAAAATTGTTCGGAACAACGAAACCATGCGAAAAGCCGGAACCAAAGAAATTGACATTCTGAAAGACATTGCTGCCAATGACCCAGAAGACAAAAAGCACATCATTCGTCTTCAGCGATCGTTTGATCATAAAGGTCATCTTTGTATGGTTTTTGAAAACCTCTCCATGAACCTGCGGGAAGTGCTCAAAAAATTCGGCAGGGATGTGGGCATCAATCTCAAGGCTATCCGAGCATACGCACAGCAACTCTTTTGGGGATTGAGCTTGCTGAAGAAATGTCAATACATACACGCTGATCTGAAACCAGACAACATCCTTGTCAACGAAGCCAGGAGTACGCTGAAGATCTGCGATTTGGGATCTGCGTCTCCCATCACCGAGAATGCCACTGCGCCATATCTAGTGTCTCGTTTCTATCGGGCTCCTGAAGTCATCCTGGGCATCCCCTATGACTATGGCATTGATATGTGGTCAGTTGGATGTACCCTTTTCGAATTGTACACGGGAAAGATCTTGTTTACAGGCCGCAACAACAACGGCATGCTTCGCGCGATTATGGAGTGTCGTGGGAAATTTCCGCACAAGCTTCTCAGGCGTGGAACTCTGACGTATGAATACTTTGACGATCTCCTCAATTTTCGGGCTCAAGAGACAGACAAAGTCACAGGTCGGACGATAATCAAAGTGATGGACATCAAGCCAAAACCAGTCAGAGATTTGAGATCTCGGTTGGTCCCGAAGGACAAGCGCATGAACGAACAGGAGCGCAAAGAGCTGGATCTGTTTGTGGATCTGCTGGATAGGTGTTTGGATTTGCGGCCCGAGAAGCGCATCACGCCCAACGATGCGTTGAAGCATCCTTTCATCTCGAGGGTAAAGCCATGAGTGGGATAGATACGGAATATCTGGGCAGAGCATGCGTATGACCATTACCCCTAATAGAACTACCAAGCAAATTTTGGTTTCTTCAGTGCATTCCTCTTCTCTTTTGACCCTTTACTCTTCACTATGATCGCTAACACGAAGAGGCCGCATAGTATATCCATTGTGGTACGCAGCTTGGGATAAATGCCATGTGTGAGACCTCCCTGGCACCCCGCCAAAACAAACATACCGCGCTATGAGAAGCAAGCCCTGTGACAACGAGACAGGCATGCCATCTTCACATTTTATGGATCAAAAAGAGAAATGAGCCTGCAGTGTCGAGGATTGAACCCAAGATTTTCCCTTTCACCCACTCTTCTACTCCCTCCTCTCTCTGCCATCGACCTCCGATACAAATGGCAAAAAACTCAGAGTTGTGAGAAAACCCTCTCGAGTTTTTTTGCTTCTCATTCGGTTGGCTCAATGTTGCTGCTCCCACCCCCTAACACTTCAAGTTCTCACAGGACCCCCACACAACCCAGGCTACTAGATCCTGTACACGGAAATCGCTGGCTATGCATTAGGGGATACAGAGTAGAGCCCCTACTCAGCCATAACGCCGGTACAGTCACTTGGTAACCTGGATTGTGGAGAAGACCTGATCAACCAAGAAGGTTAGGGAGGTGTTCGCCATATCGCACGGTCGAATGTTGGAAGGAATTTGGATGTTGTAATGTATATGTATCCACAACTGGGAGGTGAGTGGGTATCAGGAACGTCCTGGAGGTGTTTTGAGGGCCGCTTGGTGAGTGAAGATGTTGTTGCCAGTGGTTGTCACAGCCAAGGATGTACAGTAGAACGGGCAAGGCTGGGCGAGGCTGGACGAGGCTGAGGATTGTTTTGAACGCGTTCACCAAAAGGCAAGTTTAGCGAGGTGTTTTCCACTGTTCATGACATTCCGTGCCAACCTTTCATCAGTTTCAGAGCTATCAACTGTTCCTTTGCCTACAACAACTTTCTGCTATTCCACAGCCTCACACCTCAGTCAAATCCTCCACTACGAACTCGCTGCGCGTCTCAGTCTCCCCCCTACAGAGCCTGAGCGGCATCACGGCCAGCAATCCGGCCAAAAGTGAGCGAGCGGAGAACACTCGTTGCGGGCGGATCTGTTACAGTGTTTAGCGTCCGTCGAACTATCAACCCGATCACAGTGATTGCAGGATTTCTATGCGTGGATTCTACGGATCGGTGACCGCGATGAAGGTGCATTGAAGAACTTACACTGCATCTGGATCAGCATCAAGTTGTGTACGTCGAAAGAAGGGACTCACCTCGTTATAGAACAAGCCGCTCAATTCCCCGGCACAGTACAGGCCTGTAGACGGTCAGCCAGGAAAGTCGATGCTGGACTCTATCTCTTACCTGGGATTGGCACCCCCGTCGTCGAAAGCACCCTCGAGTCAAGGTCGCACTTGAGCCCACCATAAGTGAAGGTAAGTTGTGCTAATACTTGATCAGCAAAGTGCCAACATTTTCTGCCGTGATGGACGGATGCTACCTTTCATTGGATATCTAAGAATCGTCAGCTTTTGCCTTACCCCGTCTGTTTGCAGAAAGATCACTCACCCGTAGTAAGGGGGTTTGGTGATAGGGTTGGCCCAGTTGGTCTTGTCGGGATTGAGACTTGCGAAAGTATCAGTTATCACAGTCATTACAATATTCGTTATGCTCATACCCGTGTGTCCTCTTGCCGTCAAGTGCCATCAGGTTGAACTCCTTGTCGTTGATGCTGCATCGGGGTCAGCGACATCCACTGATCTGTCCGCCTCAAAGACTTACGCCGCGTTATACTCATCCACTGTCTTTTTCAGCTCTTTCGGATCCAGTCCGAGCTTTTCGGCCAACCCTTCGATGGTATCACTTTTCTCAGGCTCTTGGTCAGTGGTGTCATAGACCCAGCCTGGGCGGAAGCGGTCCATGATCGGGCTGTCAGTGATGCTGAGACCAAGTCAGTAAGCAGTCGCCATGTAGCCGAGATGGGCCTACAAGTATGATTTCTGGTTGTGGTCTGCTCCGTGTTAGCAATTGCTCAACCTTTGGCTGCCATGACTTACCTCTCCAGGTCTCGAGGGCAATCATCTCGAACGTTGCAAAGAGGCTGTCCAGGTCAGCAGCTGTTTCGACCCGGGAATATTGGGAGTCTCACTGTCGTTTGCCTTCGTCATAGAAACGCTTGCAGTTCCTGTGTCAATCAGCAACAGTCGAACATAGCCTGAAAGAAGGCAATCGTACTCGTTCACAACGATACCATAATTGTGGCCCCAGATCACAGCATCGGGCTTTTTGGCTCGGGTGTCGACCAATTCGCACTTTCAGCAAAGATCAGTATGGACTGCATGAGGAATTGCACATATGAGGGCTGAGCCTACATGCATGCCGCTCATGGAACCTGCAACAGCAGCACCAACTTCCAACCCCATCCTCAAACCGAAGCCGGTGTTGTACTTGAGGCCCGGTGCGATAAGCTCGAGGTGTTCTGTTCTCGGTCCGACATATTTGGCTAACCTAGTCCTCGTTAGCTAATGTTCTTCTTAGAAGGTCTCTGTGCCCTACATTTCACGGTTTCCCTCGAACCCGCCGCAAGCCAACATGACTTTCTTACCGTGGACTTTTGTCATGTGTCCATCAGCCTTTCGAACTTTGACGCCGCAAACAGACCCGTCATCGTGGGTCAGCAACTGTTCTGCTTGCGTCTCCCACATTATTGTAACACCATCAAACTTGCGGATATGGTCGAAGAGGGCATTGATAATTGCATGACCACCACCCTGAACCTGCATTCAGAGCACGTTCACAGACTCAACTTGTGACGCAGCTTACCTCGGGGAACACGAAGTGTTGGTCTAACAGATTGTCAATATGGGGACGGACATTTCTGATATCTGCTCAACGACATACTGGTATTGAACTCCAGGAGCACATTCTTCTCGTCATGATGGTTGAGTTTCACCCCGTCTGAGTCCGTCAGTTCCTCGCACTACCAGTCCAGGGTTGATCAACTAACGGTCAAGCAGATACTGGGCAGTCACGGGGACTTCTTTCTCCATTTTGGCGCAATATTCCAGGTCTGCCAACCCCTCGCTGATGTTGTTAGTATCAGAGCCTTGCTGGTCACATCGGAAACTAACCTGACACGCTACAATCGTCAGCGAGAACCTTCATGGCAGGGACATGGCACCTACCTTCATTTCATGCTTCCAGTCCGAGTCAAAGTTGTTGTCTGCAACAGTTAGCACGCATGAAGGCACGTTGCTTCTGGCCGCTTGGCCCAAACCTTTGTCCAATCTCAGGTATGCCATTGTCCATCTAGAGACCATTCAGTCCATGGTTGACATTTGATAGATGACCATAGCAGACCTGCTTGCACCACATCGTTCTCCTTCTTTACCCGCTTCGATCAATGCAACTCTACCCCTTTTCCCGAGCTTTTTGCATTCTTCGAGAAAGTTCAATGTGGTCATAGAACCCTACATCGAGGTCAGCACCATTTACCCTGGAAGAATACTCCGGCGACTCACGGCAAATCCACTTCCAACTACGACGAGGTCATACTCATGGTGGGAGCCCGTAAGGCTGCTTACAACCTGACTGACGACCGACATGATGGTTTGGCAAGATTTGTGCTGGAAGAGGGGGATGCTGGCAAGTTCCCTTTATCTGGGTTCAGCAAGGTGTGAATTCGCACATGCAATCAACCCCCTTTTAAATCATTCCACCACCGACGCGTACCCCTCAACCCTTGCGGATTATCCTGCAAAACTGAGACCACCCCGCAAGCAAAGACGAATCGCGGATGACAGCACAAGAGAGCCGGCAGATTCTCGTATGCAGACCTTCCCCGCAGAACAGCAACCGGTCATCGGCAATGACGCTGCTCACACCCAGCATTTATTCAAGTACACTGAGCCAGAACAATCCCAAACAGCTTTGACAAACCTACATATACCCGCTTTCGGGCAAGGCCCCTCTCGCCTGTGGATGCTGAGCTCGGCTTCCCCTCAATAAGCTGAAGGCAGGGTCGGTATAACGTCATCTGTCCATCTCCGAGATCAGAGCATTCTGGCCCCTCTCGGAAACAAGGATCTCGACATTTGTGAGAGGTCTCGAAAGTGCTCATACGCTGGAAACTCATATCCCGAGTCTGGTGGGTGACTGCCATTGACGGTTTACGTGACAAATGACTTTCGGTTATGGTTGTCTAGAATGCAGGCCAAGGCCAATCACGGCTCTGGAGGCTGTCTACGACTACTCGAAAGTGATTCAAGGTTTGCCGCCTTTTTCGAGATTTGCACATCGCCCTCAAGCGGAACCGCAAACTCCTCAGGATCCTCTCGGCGATTCTTCAACGTTTGCCTTTGTAGCAACAGGGACACGGACGTATGAGTCGTCATTCTCAGGTGGAAGCCGAGCTACAGCAGCCTCCTTGGCTGTGGAGTGACAGCTGTTGGAGGTTGTATATCCAGGCCCTGGCCCAGAGGTCGACAGACGGCATCATTTGTGATCGTCGAGAATTAAGCTACCGGTTTCCAGCCTGCTGTCCGACATAGCGAGAAGATCTAGAGTTGGTGTTTCCTGTTCGTCACCATCAGTGGAGCTGTTTCCGCCTTCAACCCTTTGACGGGCGGGTGGACCTCGCTGAGTAAATGGATCGTTGCATACCGTCTTGCGAGTTATGCAGGACGTTATCCTGAATGTGCCCGTCTTCACGAAAGCATTCTTGCACATATCTCTTCGCGCTATCCTTTCGACTCTATATGTCTAGCTGCTAACCTAGACTGCCTCAGCTACCCAGAGAACGACCAGACAGCTGCCCAATGCCATGTTCCATTTCCCCGATACTTGGCACCGAGGCCGCAAGTGAGTTGAAGAGGTGTGATCAGGCTGGCACAAGAGGTCAGGTTGTCAACCTGTGCCATCAAGCTGTGAACGGATTTTGAGCCAGAAACATGGGTCTTGAGCTCTCCACACTGGATATTACCGCATTATTATTGCAACCCCGCCTCTGTACCCGCTTCGCTGCCTATTACCGAATCTAGGTGTTTGGGAGGTATTCTCCCCGCATCACAGCGATTGGAAGGGGAAGGACCAGGCAAGCCAGGGTTCAGAATTATGAGATGCAATCCCCAACCGAATGTTTCACATTCCGCATCTCCGACGAAAGATCACTTGAGGACCTTTACAGCAAGCAAGCAACAAACTGACCCCAGAGATTTCCGACGAGAAGATGGAAGGAGAATGCCTCTGCAAAGGTATGTACGTCACTTGCGGCTTGCCATGACACGTGCTACGGACATATTTGGCGCGAGATTTCTTGTATGTATGGCTCGCTAATACTTGATACTTTGCTGGTCAGCTGTCGCCGTCAAGGTCAACGATGACAACCTCTTTGGCGAACAGCGCCGGGGTCACTTTTGTCACTGTGCCAATTGCCGCAAGGTCGCTGGTGGCATGTAAGTGGGCGATAACCCAGGTTCTATCTGACCCCCTACGTCATGAACTATCCATATCTCTTTATGACATTCATGTGTCTACACCAACTCGAGGGGACGTACCATGTCACTGACCGAGTCCTGGGGTATGGAATCACAGCTTCGGCGCCAACCTGACCATCGAGGAAGAAAAGGTCGAGTTCCCCAAGGGCAAAGGCAATCTCAAGCAGTACACTGTTCGTCGTCCTTTCCACGATCTTCACCATCCCCGCTCTCCAGATGTTTGTTCACTCTGCTCTAACAGGGACAATTTCCCGACGACAGGATCCCGACACACTCAGCGGGACCCCATTGCAACGGTAAGGTCCGACAGCAGCATTCAGGCTGGGACGAGATCCAGAAAAAGTCCTGGGCAGAACTAACGCCCCACCGTCCGCTGGAAATAGGTATTTCTGCCAGACGTGCGGCGTGCCCATCATGAGTGTCACGCCGCTGTACAAGGGCAAGGTGGTTCTGAAATTAGGACTGGTAACCTATCACTGTCTCTCCGCTATCCCTCTCACGAGGGCTGACATGATCGCGCGTGTGTGTGCGCGTGCGCAGTACCCCAAGCTCCCCGTCCCTGAGTGGGAATCATTCGCCTCTCAGCGGCAGAGCTGGGAGAAGCCGCTCGAGGGCACGATCCAATACAAGACCAAGGTACGTATCATTATGTTAGACATTCCTTCTTCATGTAGTATAGTACGATCACACGAGTTGATTTACTGCATCGGATTGCATTGGATTGCATTGAGTTAGATCGCTGAAGCTAATCTCTACCCGCGCGCGCGTGTTTGTGTGAATCTCTAGAGCTTTGGAGAAAAGATGCCCGGGTCGATTTAAATATCCTATCCTCAAACCGTCGGGACTGGTACACCCACATACCTTTCTTGCGCGGGGTGGAGGGACGATGTTGGTTGGTTGGTCGGTTGGTTTTCGAAAAGGAGACGAATTCCCTGGGGGGGTCCGTTTCACGCATCATGCATCAGACTCGACTCGACTCGACTCGACTCGACCCGACCCGACTCAAGTCGTTCAGAGTGGTCAGGCAACGCAAGGCAACGCAAGGCAGGCAACGCCAGGAAAGGCGCGATACGAGACAAAAACAATAGAGAGGGCTTTCTCGAGACCTTCAAACTTTCATACTAGCCATATTTCCCTCCTCATTCCCTTGGTCATGCTTGAATCATCCATTCACTTACTCACCCACTCACTCACTCTCAATCTTGATTCTTATTCTTGCTCCCTTACCCATTACCTGCCCACTACCCACCCATTACCCATTCACTCCCCCCGCGTGATTCTCCAGACCAAGACACGCACTCTCGGCCCCGACATACGTCCACCGGAGCGCCTCCTCTTTTAGGCGTTCTGCACCAGAAACCTCGACCACCACCTCCTCACCCGGCACGAGGTCGAAGCCATTGTCGCTAAAGGTCGGGCCGTCGCGGGATTCGCGGAACACGAAGCCGTGGACCGGGCGGGAGGCCGTGATGGTGATGGTCACGGTGGCGATTGTCTTGGTCGTGCTGGCGCTGGTGCTGGTGCTGGTGTTGATATCACTGCGTGAGGAGGGATTGGTGGTGACGCTGACAGCGACGGTGACGTCTCGTGGCGTGGTTGTGAAATCGAGGTATTTGATCGGGTGGGGCCAGGCGGTGTCGGTGCTCACGACGTGGTCGTCCACGAGGAGTGAGGCGTGGATGATGTACGGGTCCCATGTATCCGTGTCGAATGAGGAGGCCGCCGAAGACTCGGTGGTTGTGGTTGACAGGGTAGAATCAACAGGACCAACCCTGTCGCTGCTAGACAGGTTTATCCCCTGAAGGATCTCGGTCGTACTGTTCGCCTTGACCACGACGCCTCTCTTCACGACCGGCTCGACCACGTCTCGCCCCGTCTTGATGGAAACGACCCGCACGACCACGTCCGCCGTGACGTCCTCGGCCCGCGAACTGCACACCCACACGTCACATGTCCCGTCCGTGGCTGCGCGTGTCGGATCCACGTGTCCCGACGTCCACTCGTGGAACGGCCTGCTCACGCCCACGGCCAGCGGCGACAGGGAGCGCTTGATGGCGTAGAAGGCGGGTTTTTTCACGCGGAAGTAGTCGACCACCGCCCACGACATGGTCGGCCAGGTATCGTTGAACTGCCACACGAGGACGCCGCCGCACTTTCTCAGTTTCTTTGCATTTGAGGACGACGAGACCCCCCACTCGCGACGCCAGGAGCGGTACGCGAACCCCACGGCGTCCGACTGCATGACCTGCGTCAGGTGCGTGAACGCCCCCAAGTCATAATTGATCCGAAAGTTCTCGGCCACGTACGTCAGGAGGCGGCGTTCGTGGTCAATCGCCCGGTTGTGGTAGTCCATGGTCATGCTGCCGGGGTACTGTTGCTGGGGATCCGTGGCGATGGCCGAGACGATGGTCGACATGTGCGGGTAAGCTTCCATGCCGAATTCGCTCACGAAGCGCCCGCCCATGCTGGGGAGTTCTTGATATCGGCGCATGGAGCCGTGCCAGACTAAATCGATTCAGAGGACGATGAGTCGATATTAGCATACATTCGTTTAGGGTGTGACGGATGATATCCCAGAGATGGAAGATGGAGTCGCTGCTGGAGAGGTATGAAAAGATATACTGACCATTCCACTGATGAATGTCTCCCACGGTCGGGTCCCACGTCTTCTTGCCGTCGCCCCACGGACTGCTCGGGTGATACACAGCGCCTGGACTCTCCTCCTGCACGATCTTTGGCAGGAGATACTCGTAGATGTACCGGGCGGGGAAACTGGTCTTGAGCCACGACTGCGGGTCCTTGTCGCCATCATAGTCGTACTCCAGGTTGTGCTTCTCCTGGACCTGGTAGTCTTCGTTGTTCCCGGCCCAGATGGCCAGCGACGGGTGCGTGCGGAGACGTCGGACGTTGGCTCGCGCTTCCTCTTCGACTTGGGCCAGGAAGGACGGGTAGGTCGGGTAGCTGGCGCAGGCGAAGCAAAAGTCTTGCCAGACGAGTATGCCCAGCGTGTCGCAGATCTCGTAGAACGAGTCGTCTTCGTAGATTCCTCCGCCCCAGATTCTGGGACGTGGTTATTTGGTTAGAAGTAACTCGGGCAAATGCAGTATGAGGAGATCCGGGAGCATGTCACGGAGACAAACAAATAATTGGGCAACAGAAAGCAGAACTGGGTCAGCATCGAACATACCTTGTCATGATCTGGTTGCCCTCAATCATCAGCTCCATCCACTTCTTATACCCGTCCGCACCGATCCTCGGGAGGAAGCAATCCGCAGGAATCCAGCAGGACCCGCCCGCGAAGACGTCGACATTGTTGACGCGGAAATAGAACGACTTGCCAAACTCGTCCGGCTCCTGGATGAGTTGACAACGTCGAAAGCCGATCGATCTGGATTTGGAGACAAGACTGCCCTCCTTTGTGGATATTGTCGCTCGGAGCTCGTAGAGGCACTGGCTCCCATAACCATGAGGGTACCAGAGAGCCGGGTCTTCGAGTCGAAACTCGGCCGTGGCAATGCCATCCTTGTCAACGTGTGCGTCTACCTCATACACGGCCTTGTTGTCGCGAGATACTGACAGCTTGACGACGCTGTCTTCTCCCATGTTCCCTTTGCCGCTACCGATACTGGCGAACAACTTCCCCTGCACCACCTTCAGGTTCTCACTCACCTCTCCCTGAAACCAGACGTCATCGATTCTAACAACATATGTTTCCAGAAAAACACGCTTCCACGGCCCGGAAGTGATCAGGATAGGACCCCAGTCCCATCCCCAATGACACTGTGCTTTGCGCACAGGGAGCCTGCTCGACTCTGTCTGATGAGCGATGAAATCGTGTTCATGTGAGTGCTGTTTGACGAGCTCGCGGCCACGGAGGAGAGCCGAGTCAAAGACGATTTCCAAGACATTTAGGTCGGTAAGACCGTCCTCGGAAGAAGGCTGTGAAAGAAAATGTGTCACGTCGACGCGGTATCCGATAAACATGTTGTCGGCCTCGAGGATTTTGTGGCCGTTGAGAGATACCGTGGCAAAGGTGTCGAGGCCTTCGAACACCAAGTCCGTCCTTGCATCGGACTGTCTATCTGTCGGGGTGCTAAAACTTGTCTTGTAGGTCCAGGACTTCTCTGCGAGCCATCGTACAGCCAGTTCATTCATGTTGATAAAGGGGTCCGGAATCCTAGGGAGAGTTGTGAGTTTGAGAAACATGTATTGACTTCGTGGCCCGATTATCTTCAGACGTACTTCCCATTTTCTTGGAGAACGAGATGTGTTGTGGTTGGTACCTTCGATACCGGGAGCCATGCGTTCTCAGAGGTATCATCAGACTGTCTGCACTGCCAACCCGAGTGCAGTTCGGTGTTGACGGTGGCCATTGTATTTTAGGGGCAACAAAGTGTCGCGTCGCGCAGAGAGACCGAACTTGCCGCTGTCAGGAGGCGACGTCTTCTGTTCACAGTACCTATCCACAGCTATCCTCAGTCTGCTCTGAAAGGCGCCGAGGACAGCGACGAAGTCTGCGAAATCTCCATTTGCTGAGCTGGGATTCGTGCAATGGCCATCGCACACGTTGCGCCCAACAGACAAAGCCTATGCGGCCTATGCGGGGATCCCTTCATCTTTGCCGATCCTGCCGCAATGGCTCCCTTGAATCCTACCTTGCGGGAAACAGCTCGTGTCCAATGTAACGGGATCCTGTCGACTTGGCCGGAGATCTATGGTTGGTTGGTGGCTTGTGAGCGTGGTCCTGAGCCTCGCTGCGTCAACCTGAGATGCGCCTGCACGTGACTGAGCATGGTGGTAGTCGGCCGGTCCCAGCACCCGCCCATAGTTGCCAATTTATCGCCCTCTGCCCTAGCCTACCGCGTACAGTACCCATAAACTTGGCACCCGATTCAAGTTGACGGAATAATAATAGTCACAAAAGTTCCCTTTCTCTAAATTGGTTAGAGCTTTTCCATCACCGACAAGTCTTGCGAATGTTTGACCATTCTCAAGTTCAGTGCGGTTCAACGGGGGGAGCGGGGAGTGTTTCAGCTCCCCTTCTTCCACACCGCTAAGGCCGTACCAGGTACACATGGTGCAAGTCTTGAAGCGACCTCTTGCATCTTCGAGAAGATATTATAGCCCGCGGCGGCCTTTATCCCCAACGTGTGGCTCAGCTGAGGTGCTGCAAGGCGCCTTTTCCCTTGCCCGTTTAGGGTTGTCGTGACGCGTCGGGGAACGTATCGCAGCCTCGTCACGGACGTTGAGGTGGAACCTACACCGTCCTGCTTCAACATAATACCAGGTTAGCTATGCACGGCTCCCTCTCCTCTAAATGCAGACCCACAGACACCTCATTGGGAAGAAAGCTGGATACAAACACCACATCTATTGCAATTGGGCACCAAACTTGTCCTTTGCGCAGCCGTGCTCCACCACACCTTGTCTCACCCTTTCCTATTTTGGCTCCTTACCTGTACATCGTCACCGAGCCTGAAAACGACAGCAGGGACTACAGCGAGGTGGGCTGCTAAGTCTAGAGGAGGGAGAATTGCTGCGTCCGACAGTGACCAAATCAGAATTGGCGCTCTGTTGATCAGTCGAATGTCCAAAATTGGCAGGGCTCGGCAAGATGCCAGATACCGCACATGTAATGCTTGGGCACTGATACGATGCGAAGCTGAACGTTTCGGTCAATTGGCTGGCTGTCGCGTTATTGTGGCTGGCTGATTGAGATGCACCGCCGTGGCTTGGAACGTGGAGATTTTATCAAACACGGTACATTTATCGCCCGTGGTTCCCTCATAGTCTTGTTGAACTTGGTCGTCAAGCTCGACTTCTGCTGCTGTTCTTCTTCTTCTTCTTCTTCTTCTTCTTCTTCTTCTTCTTCTTCTTCTTCTTCTTCTTCTTCTTCTTCTTCTTCTTCTTCTTCTTCTTCTTCCCCCCTCCTGAAGCGATTCATTGAAAGCTTCCTCCACTGTGTATTGACATCTACCCTCGTTCATGATGGCACAACAGACCATCTACACAAACACCTTTTTCCTCCGGGAGTGGAAAGTCTCGGGCCTATGGAACTCAATCCTGAGGGAAGCCATGGAAGCCAACAAGACACAAAACCCCGGCGTGAACAATGGACCTTGGCAAATTTCCCCGGAAGCCTATCCGAATGATTTTGACACTCAGTCGAACCGCTCTGATCTCCTGGTGTCGCAGCTGCGCCAGAATGGGAACCAATGCGACACGGTGGATCATCCGTTGATCTACTTCGAGGCAAAACGAGGTGCGTCCAACAACTACACTTCGAACGCGCGATGGAGAGCGGTGCGGATGCAGATTGAAGCATGGTGCGATCTCGCAGACGGTGTCGAGAAGGGTCGTCCCTGCTGGGCCATCGGAGCCATTGGCAAGGAAGTCAAATTCTGGATTTTCACCGGCTCCATTTTGTACAATGGTTCGAATAGCAAGATGGTCCCCGTCTGGTGCGACAACAATCAGGCGGTTGTCGGTTGGTCGCAGCCTCATTGGCAGAATGGAGACAATGCGGACGACAGGGCGCCCTACGAATATCACGAAGGGTCGGTGCCCATCATCATCGACCACATGCTCAGTCACCCCTGGGCAGAGAACCTCCCGCACCCTTCGGGTCAAGGCCAGGATGCATGGTGATCCTGTCAAATACAGGAGGTTGGGAGTACATTCCCGGCCCTCAACTCAGCTTATGGGTCAACTAGTTGTATATGGTCTACGTTGTCGTACATCCTCCAGATAAAGAAGGGGGGGGGGTTGGAACCTCTCTCATTTCACGACAAATCTCATGTCACGTATTACACAAAAATGGCACATGCATGAGAAGGACCAGCGAGCTGGTGAGCGCTCTTACAAAAGGACGTTTTTCAATTCTCGAAGACGTATGCTACTTTGTTTCCAGCCAGCCACCACATAGGTTGCTCTCCGCTAATCACCATGCCCTTCCTAGGGCTCTCTCCAGCTAGCCACCAGACGGAAGCTTAAGCACTTGAGTTGTTGCGTCTCCATAGAATAACCAATCAAAGATACAGCTCCTCGTACTAGTGATCAGGGGGGAAGCGGGGAGAATGTGGCACCCGCACAAGCTCTAGAAAGCGCAAAACCTTGAAACGGCTGCGTTGGTTTGAAAAGGGAGCTAGATTATGGACGTTGGAAGGCAGCACAGAAAGGCTCAAGTTGGGAGGCCCCTCAGCACGTAATTACACGAGAAGAAACAACGTTGGGATACTGCACCGTTGCACTTGTAGGCATGCTTTAACAAATAGAAAGTGTGTAAAGAGCTGACGAAGCAGCAGCCGTCTGTCCCCATGGCCGCGACAACAATGCCTAAAATCTTCAGGTCGGAGTCCGTGTCTTCGGAGTGCGAATCAGGTCGGCATCATACGTAGGCCCTGGCGTGGCATTGAACAGGGGGCATGGAGGTTGCCTCGGCGCCATAGTCCACAGAGGTATGAGACTTGTGCAGTTACGGCACGGGTAACGGTACCTGATGGAAATTCACGTCAGAAAAATGTAGCACACCTTTGCAGACTCCATCCAGGGCGCGGGTTGACTTACGGGCTGCGATTTGTGGTGCCGGGCGCAATGTCAAGCTGAGCGGAATTGAAATGCGCTTCAAGCTGCAGTGACGCACCAACCTCCCTGTTCTCGATGGCGAAGCCACGAATCCGTGCCATCTCGATATCTGGAAAATAGTTGGGCAGCACCACCCCGAAAGGATATGTCTCGGCGCACCTTCCAAAGGGGGTCCAACGCAACTCTGATGGGCCATAGAATCCTCGATCGTTGAAGAAGGCAGTCAGCCTTGTGACCGCAGCAGTGCCGAAAGCTGTCCAAATGGTGGCCATTTGAGTCTGAATCAAAGGTTGTACTGACGCAGGCACTATGGTGATCTCCGGGAGGATCAAACTTGGCCGAGTTGGAGGAATCCCAGGTGGAAACATGTGAGGTACCAGGAAATGGTGTAAGAAGTCCTGCAGGCTCTGCAAGAATGCCGGCGATGCTGGGTTGAAAGCTGGTGACCACCTCTGTTGAACCAAATTCGAAGCTAGTGTCAACAGAGTTGACCGGGTAGGCGTCGCGCTCAAAACATGTCCAGCACGAAGGGGCACGCACACCCCACTTCCTTGGGCTGCGTAGGCAGCGACAAAGGCACCCGAGATCGTCGTAAACATCAGGTTCGATGTGTCGGCCGGGATCAGCGCGGTGCGATGTCGAAGTCCTCGTCCGACAAAGTCTTTGTACAATTCCTCTGCCAGTGCAGGCAATGCGATGGGCTCCACGGGAAGATGATCAGGCAAGGGCGGATGATTGTTGGCCAGAGCTGTTTCCAGCAACTGTTGCCGCCGCCACCCATCAATCATTGGCTCACGGGCCGCACGAGACACCATCTGTTGTTCCCGCCACGTTATTAGCGTTCTTTGAACCGAAACGGAGACGAAAGGTCTTGACAGAACGCTCTTTCAGGGACAAAGGGGCAACCAGAACGACAAGAATTGGGCGAGAACAGACTCACTCCACTACCGACGCTCGAGCTGAGGGCCCAGGTACTGCCGAGCATGTAAGAAGGGTGCGGCGCAGATGCAGCATCATACATGATACAACTCATAAAGGGCACATCTGAAATCTGATGTACCGGCCCGGTCCCTCCAGTTGGCGAAGGCGATACATATGCCAGGTACAAAAACCTGCTGAAGAAGACCAGCAATGGGAGAAAATAAGTGTCCCACTGGGGGTTTGCAGTAGTGGGCTGCACGACGCTGAAGACGTAGGCCAGTGCTGACGGCCCGTCAATGATCTGGAGGGCGAGGTCCTGGGGACCAAGGTGGACCGTCATCGGCTGCGCTGTCCGAGAGCCGTCCGGATTAGGGGTATCAAGGACACGGACTGGTTCTGCGCGGCCTGCGGGGGTACCGTGCCTGCTCGACGTTAGTCTCTTGATCAGAGAAGAGAAGCCAGGCAGGCATTTCAAAATATAGCAAAGCCCCCGTGGGAGCCGTTGCTAGAGTCCACTGAAATGACCAGAGGATACGCTGCATAGTTGAGACGTTCGCGTGGCGTTGGCAAGACCTACCCAGTTGGAAAGAATCTGTCCAAGAGGTCGCGAACAGCTTGTTGTCGATTCTCAGGGACACCGCAGGCATCTGCGTCTGGGAGCCCAGTCCGGCGCACGATGTCCAGCCACTGGTAGAATCCTAGAACATCTTGCTCTAGATTCAGAGTCCCGTCTGCGTTCCGAGAGGGCCGCAATATGGTTGACCGTAAGAGTCCTGCTCCCGCAAATGCTGTGAAATTGTCCCAGTCGATGCTGGCCATGTTGGATAGTATTCCTGCTGGATGTCAGCCGGATCGGCCGTGTTACCCAGTGGAAGTCTCTTGTGCGCGAGACCTAAAGCTCGATCTTGCTCCAGCAGTGCAGCAGGTAACAATGTTTAAAAGCTTGATGCTCAATTTTAGGAAGCATCTTCATGCGAACAGACGATAGTCCTCCGTTGAGGCAGATAAGGCTTGGGGGTTCCAACAGCCAAAGCCCCCGGGGAATGGCAGTTGGTCAAGCGAGTGTACCCACTTTCGTTCGAGTGGCTACCTGTGATAGCGCAAGCCTCGGACTGTCTGTCCATGGCACAGTGAGTATAGAAGTTCAGCTTATAGTCACTTGCTGAGCAAGTGATCCGAAGGGAAGGCCCGGCACATTAGCAGGCAGTGTGAAGTGGGTGGGGGCGCCCATGCACGGTAACGGTCACCGGCGTCATTATCATTCATGCAGTCTTCAGCTCCAGCCACAGCGAGTACGGATAGAGTTCATTTGCATATGGCTAGCTGAGCCTTACGAGGGCTCACGCGTCTCATCCTTCTGGGAACACTTGCCTGCATCGGAAGCATACGAGGATGTATCTTAGCTACGAGCGGTAAAGGCCTTGGCTTCGTACTCCGGGAGATACCGCAAGAAACGCTCGAAAGAATCCGCAATGTAGAAGAGCTGGGCTGGCTTGTGTAACAATCTCACAAGGCATGCATGGTATGAGGAGGGCCTACAGATGCTGAACATGTCACACGTAGGAGGTGCTTTTTAGGTAGCTGTCTTGGCAAAGTTTGCGGGGGAACACCCTGGTGCAGATGCTTAGACACCCGCTAGCACGGGTGCTAAGGCCGGATGCTAAGGTCAACGGCGTAATATGTAGAATGTTTTCTCTGCCAAACCTGCTGCAAGTCGAAACTCACCAATTGACCTTGGTGACCTACACCGTATTATCTAATTCTGCAGCAACAACCGGTCCACATCTTTTGCTTACAGTGATATTAGCCGATCTCAGACGCACACCAACCTGGCACCTGATGCACACACCCATGTCATCTGCTGGCAGGTACAGCCAGCCTCAAGATCTCGGTCAAGCCACCCAAACACGAAGCAGCTGAGCGTGTTGTGAAATTCCCGCATGTGTTTCATCGCCAAGGGGGCATCATCACCAAACGAGTTGCAGTGAACTTTTCCTGAACCTACTGCGCATCGTCAACCATCTTTCGCGGTCACCGGTCAGGGACTGCTCTCCTGGTACGGCAATAATCGTTTTTGCTTCAAAAGCTGCTGCCACCAGGGTCTGGAAACTGTCAAGCAAGTTTGCAGAGGATCACTTGTGACGGTCGAATCGCGTTGAAAACCTATCTGAAGATGGCTGTACGTATCTTGTGATTTGATCCATTCCACCCGTCGTTCACAAGCTGCAGGAAAGTTCTCCCCCTCCAGGCGCCATGTCAAAACCTCCGGCCCTTTCTGAGCTCAGTGTGAGTTGCTGCCCATCCAACACTGGCTACCTAAAACTGATGATTTCAGGAGCAAAGCGTCCAAGCGGCAAGAGACCAGAACAAGGCACCTCAGCCTCTGCCAGGCAATCCAGTGTTTGTCGATCTAGGCCAAAACTACCCCGCCGGCTATACCTGGAGCAATGATCCGAAGGATATGAGCCTCGACACTTATTTCGACCCTGGCAAAGCCAACCTGGCAGATGAATTTGCCATCGATGGTTTGAGACCAATCTTGAAAGATACGAACAGCGAGATGTATCTCCTCACAGCGAACAATGCCAAGTTCTACTTGTGGGCTGCGGACGACGGACGCTTGTTCGTGTTCAAGGATGATTTGAAACTGACTCTGGATACGGCCATCGATGAGGTCCTCAGTGGAATCAAATGGAGTAACCTGTTGCAGCAGTTTAATAAGAACTATGATTGAAGGTGGCTGCTGCCCACCCCGGCTATCACTATGAGACTCGCACCTTTTCTTTCACTCAGCCTAGGTCTGGACCGGGCTTCTGAATTGTGAGATTGTTGTTGTCATCGTGAACAACCACGACAGCATCGACTCCCAGTTTAGCAAAATCGATCTCGAGCGCGGCCGCAGCTTTTTGGGCATCGGTGAGAACAGCCTTGGGCAGAAGATCAGCAACAAGGATCTTGAATTTGGCCTGTGGGGTGATTTGGTATGTCTGAACCGGCGCCGGCACGAATATAGCAAATGGGCCGACGTCTTTGTTCATGGATGATCCGAATCCAACGAAGTAATGCACTATGAAGATGTCAGATACCATCGGGGAATGAGAGTGTCAGGCTGCTCACTGCTCTTAGCGTCTTGGCTGGTAAAGTCATTGCCTGTCTGGACTGCAAAAGCCCCAGCCTTGCCTCCTGTCAACGACGGGGTTTTGAATGTTGGCGTTTCATTGTTGGTGACTTGGATAACACATTTCGTGCCAGGACTATCCGTCCCATCGGCAAGGGTCTTGCCGAGTGTAATTGAGCACCTGTCAACGACCTCGACGATCGACACCACATCCGGCGGATTGGGGCTCTTCTCGCCGAACAGGGTCGAATTGTCGCCACCGGATAGAACAAGCCTCCCGCATGTGGCTTGAAGCTGCTTCCTGATTTCAAAGACCCCCAGGCCACTGTGTGCAGAGACGTTGTCGGCCACTGCAATCACATTGTTGTACACCTTGTCAGGCTTGGTCGAGCTGTCAATCAGTGGCACCTCGGAAAATATTGCGTAGTTTTGACTCTGGCTGGACTGATTGTTGATGGTTATGATCCATGTTGGCGGTAGAACAGCGGTAAAGTCGTCTGGGATATCGCGCGTCATGTTTTCCGCCTTTTGAAAGACCCGCGTTTGACCCTGCACGAATATGGCAAGAGTTGAGCAGCGATCAATGCGGTACAAGAAGGGAAGGTCGAGTGTCTCCCCCTTTTGTTTCCCGGGACGACTCGAGATCCAGACCGGCAAGATCGTAAGAGACGTTCAATCAGATCAAGAAGGCGCAGTCGACGCCTAAACTCTCATGCGAAGGTGGTCTAGATTTGGCAACCCGATCTCGCCTCAGTTGTAGCTGGAGCACAAAGCGAGCTGAACCCCCTTCGTGATTGTCCTTCTGTACAAGGAGAACGGAGCTTTGTGGAGACATGTCCGGTTCAGCTAGGCACATGACAGGAGTGTACTGAAGTCGATCATCATACCTTGTAGCCCGTGTCGTTGAACACATGGCGGATGGCGCAAGCTGAGATATGCGGGTGTCAGAGGTCTGGGCTTTCAAAGACGGGCGAGATGCTCATATCCTGTTGATCCCGGAGCTGCAAATAGCATGATCCAGTTCGAAAGCAAGTACGCCACTTCGCAGCATGGTCATGTCCCCGCATACAGGCGAAACGGGGTCCAGTTCAGCTGCACAAACAGGGTAGAGGATTGTTTCTGTCTCATGCTAGATCAGATGTAATTCCCATCGGCCAACGCCTACCGGTTATTGCCTGTCCGCGAAGTTGGTTCCACCTCGAGAGCATACTTACAATGGCTGGCTGTGGTAGGATGTGGAAGAGGGTGACCACGACCGTTGACAAGACGCAGGAGCATCCAGCATGAGAACATGTCATGCCCGTCCTCTCTTTCTTGATTCTTGATTGGTGATCTTCGTGTAAACTCACTGTCTCGGTTGTGGATCGTACACCATGCTGGCCATGTTGGATGTGGCCTGGTCAACGGTGAATTCAGCTACGCCATCGACACAAACACAATGTGTGCTTGGAGTGCTCGATGCTGGACTTTTCAGCTCGCCCTGGAACACCTCACTTTCGACAGTGTTCAGCGCTTGAAGGGTATATAAATTTGGCTGCCTTCCCTGTGTCAACGCTTTTCTGCTCCGTCAACAACAGCAATCACTACTTCCACTTGACTACTAGCCCTCGATCCGACAAGATGGTTAATCAATTCACAATCAACGTGGTGAACAACTCTGGCAGCCAGCAGAACTATGCCTTCTTCACCGAGATCCCCAAAATCACAGGCAAAGTCCAAAATAAGATCTGGCAAAATGTCTTCGTCAACAAAGGTGCAGCCGACAGCCAGACGGTCTCTGTCAACATATTCGAGCGCAAGTCTCTTCATTTTCCAGTGTCGCGGTCACTCTCCTGTACATGAACTAACAGCGACGCACAGAATACTTTGCCATGTGTGGTTCAGCTCAGGGTACACCTGCCGATGGAGTAACCGTTTCCGTAGCAGGCATGGCCCCGGTCACCCTAGGCATCCAGAACGCGGACGGAACGCAGGTTCCGGGAACGACATTGCCGTTCACTGTTGTCGACCAGGTTCCTCAATTCGGCCCGAAGACGGCTGACAGTTCATTCGTCAATGCCTTCGAGATCGACACTGATGGAAGCTTTACTACCAAAGATGCGCAAAACAGTAAGCCGAACTCGACAGCATATTCCTTCCACTCTCAAGCTAATTTCTTTCCTTCTCGTGGTCAGACCATTACGTGGTTGGCTTGGGCGGCTCCGCCGGCGGGGGAAAGACTGGACCGACAGTGACCTTCGTTCCAGAGCCCCATGTTCAATATCAAATCCAGCCAACCAACACCTATTGGGTCACATTCGGTGACTACACGCCAGGCAACATCATCGATGTCACCAAGATCGGCATGAAGGTCTCCGTTGACTTCACCAAACTCCCGAACAACGTGACCATCAAGCACGACGAGCATGGCAACCTTACCGTTCAGAAGAGTTCTTGAGACCTCGTTTCCTAGACGTCCGTGGGGCTCCTCACCGGAGATGGGGGAGGTGGCTCTTTCAGAGCCTGGCAGACCAGCACATGTGAGCAGAGTCGGGCTAAGTAGTAGTTAGTCGTATTGAATGATCCCAGGTGTTTTCTCTTCCACAATCTCTTGAACTTTTTGTTACGAGCAGGTTTCTCAGAAGCCAAATGCTTCCCACACCTGACAAGACGATCTACATCTGTCTGGAGTGGGCGACATAAATTGTTGCGACTCCTGATTGGAGAACGTAAAGCTACTCGGTGTTGCAAGTGAAGCGTTCCCGCTCGCCGCCACCCCTTGGTTGTTGACATGCAATATCAATCTCATGAACCTACATCTAATCTGTAGGTAGGCATCCGTAAGAAAGAACGTCGCACGAGTTGTATCTCTTGAGTAGCAAAACGAAACCAGCGCAAGGATGAGGAGTTGCAAGAAGGAATCCTAGCAAGTGTGCCCAGCCAGACAAGGCGAAAAGAATTATGGGGAAAGATTAAACCAAACGACGAAGGTATATTGAGAAGTATAGGAGAGAGGAGAGAGCGGACGACCCTGAGCCCGACATTGAGCGGGACGCGAGCCAGCCTGAGCAAAAGCGGCGCGAGGTCACCTGGAATGGAAGGTGAACGGGCGTCGAGATTCTGACGAATAAACAGATGCTTCTGATGCTCAGGGTCAGGCCTAGTGAGCCTCAAGTTTAACCACGGCTATCCGCGTGAACACGGTCCAATAAGGTATCTGTCGGCCCGCTTTTCTGACAGTCAGAAACAAGGCCAGCAGTCCAGAATCGGCCAAGAAAGCATAGATATAGGTCAGAAGTTAGACCAGCAATTTCAAATCAAGGTAAGTTCCAAGGTCTATTGTCCGTCCGTTCGGGTGAAGAGTTGGGAGATGGCAAGGTATAAATGAAGGAATCGTCGCACCGCTACCATAGGCTTCAACAAGACTCTCACAACAAAAAACCGATCAAGGACACAGTATCTCACACCAGACCTTCAATCTCAAGCGGAATGTCGAAGCCATCAATTCTCCTTGTCCCGGGTTCCTTCGCCCTACCCGAGTTCTATGACACAGTCATCAACCCCATAGCCGCAAAAGGGTACGAAATAAAAGGCCTCCACAAGCCAAGTGTGGGCATTGCAAGCGGAAAACCTCGGGAAGGAGCACCACCAACCATGTACGACGACGCCAGCTTCATCGCCAAGGAGGTCGAGAAGCTCGCCGACCAAGGAAAGGACGTGATCCTCGTTAGTCATTCGTATGGAGGCGTCCCTGTGACAGAGAGCACCAAGGGATTGAGTAAGGAAGAAAGGCAGAAACAGGGAAAGAAGGGCGGGATTGTGAATTTGGCGTACATGACTGCTCTGGTGCCAGCTATTGGGCAGACAGCAAAGGACGTTCTGGGAGACGTTCCCAAAGAGCAGCAATTGGACTTGAAGGTTGATGTAAGTTTCCACCATTCTGATTTCTGTTGTCTTGAAGCTCCCTCTGCTGATATGCACCATGAAAATAGGAGAATGGCTGGATGTATCATGATCCGGCCGAAGCATCAGCAGCTATCGTATTTTCCGATCTTCCCCTTGAAGAAGGTGCCGCCTGGATAAGGAAGTTCCCCAGGCATTCCGCTCTTAGTTTCGTTGGCGAAGTGACCCATGCTGGGTACAAAGACATCCCAGTGTCGTATTTGCTCTGCGAGAAGGACCTGTGCATCCCAGCAAACGTTCAGAGAGAGGGGATCGACCGGATTGAGAAGGAGAGCGGGAGGAAGGTTGATGTGACGAGTATCAAGGCCGATCACTGCCCCATGGCTGGCCAGCCCGAGGTAGTGGCCAACTGGATTCTGAGCGTTGCGGAAAAGTATTAAGATAGTGGAAAACTGAGGTCGAAGAACTAAGAAAATGATACATTTGACCAGTCCGGACATTAACTTACACAAGATGTACCGGTATCAAACTTGAGCTTCACGTGTCGGCCAGAAAATGGATCCTCAATAGAACAGGAAGCCCCATTTGACGGCAAAATATCTCTCAATCTTCCAGGCTTTAGGATCCCACGAGGCGAGGCCAGGCGCGATGTTGAAGCTTGGCATAGTGAATAGGTCCCGGGTGAATTCTTCTTCGTCAATGACGGCACACATGTTGATGAGGTTATCACGCATTTTGGAAAAGGGAAATCTGTCTATCCCCGGTTGATGAATCGTGAGCAGTTGAGTCGGCGTGGGTTGTAATGATAGTGGCACGGTGGAAGAAGCAGGGGGGGATAATGCCGGAACAGCCGAGCAAGCTTTCAAGCCTAGAATCATGCCGTTGATAAACAAGGCGCTGAACACGGTGGGTGAGGGACGAATCTCATAGCTGAGGTTGGTAGTATGTGCAGCTATTGAGGATTGAGGTGACGGACTCCTGTGCCCCGTCGAGGAAGCTGTAAAATTCTCGAAGCATGCCATGGTGGCAACACTGATTTGAGATCCAACCTGAGCAAGGACGTCGATGCTGGAGGAGGTACGGTCTTCTGTTTGCGTGGCACGACTTGTATGATGCATCTCGTGTGTATCCTGTTTGGCCGCTCGAATTCGTTTGCCTGAAACAGGAATTAGCATGAGTTCTGCGCATCAAGCGATAGACAAAGCAGAAGCAGAAGCTTGGGATAACTTGAGCAAGTACATCGAGTTCCAGGTTATTGCATAACGGGCCACAAGCAAGAGACAAAGACGAACAGCTCGATTCGAGGGAAAACGTAAAGCGGTGCGACACTACAGGTTCCTGGAGAACCCAGGAGGTTGAAGGATACCCACGTCTTGCACGCTGAGCCAGCTTGTCTTGTATACGCTTTCTCGTCTTTGCGTCCGCGACACCGTGCCAATTGTCTTGATCACCCACAGGTGGCTGGAGATCTGCGGGTGGGGTCTCCATGATCAGGGTGATCAGAAGGTGTGGAGACTAGCTTCTCTTCCGCTAGTGGAAAGAAACCTTTGTAAGTACTACAAGTAGATGGGCAGCAAGGTAGTTGAATGTGCTGGATTTTGTATGGAAAGAGGACGGAGTCGTTGCAGCAAAACCCTGACTGCCTGATCACGAGTCACGTGTATTGAAAAGCTGACAAATAATTGCATATTTGTACCTTACAATCGACCCTACTAATACGGCGGACCAGAGGTCACCACCAGTACCAATATCAGCTGATGGCCATCTCTGGTGGCATCCTCCAATCCCTCGTGCCCTCCTACCTGGGTGCCCTCCATGATCACTTTTGCTGACGGTCCCATGGTTGCGTCAGCACCCTATGTACCGGTCAGTATTCAATGCGCACAGCCCAAAAAGAGACCGGCTCACCCACTCTTAATCCCCTTGAGACACTGTGTTCTGTATCTGGAATCTGCAACGCCGATCATGGCTCGCTCTGTAGCGTCACAACTGGAGCGGCTGCCCCAAACAACAAATTGCCTCAAAACAGTTCCATACGAGTGGACACAGAGGTGTAAGGCCGCACCACCAGAGGAAAGACAGCGGCTGCGAGTATTCCATAAGATACAAGTGCACATAAAGCTCTGGATTGTCGAGACACGATGAAAAATCTCAACTTCCCACGAGTCATCACGCTCGTCTCATTTATATCTATTGTCTAACTACTAGCCAGTAGTCAAGTTCTTTGGTAAGAAATGCCGCTGGTCGAATTGGCGACGGTGCGCCTACACCCGTCGTTGACTTCCGACCTACCCGACTCCTTCACGGCAACGTGGACTCGAGCCTGCGCCCTCGCTACGTCTGCAGCAAACGGAATTCCTTTCCAAATTTACCACTCCACAGCCCCGTCAAGCAAGGACGTGTACTATCTTGTCGGCGGCTGGCAGAGCGGAGACGATCACATTGCCTTCCTCTCGACCCCCGACGCGGTCATTCTTGCCAAGAGTATTGGCGAATACATGACCGCGGAGCTTGTGCAGCATATTGATGGAGACATTAGGGTCTTGAACGGGGGGGATGGAGAGAGGCCTAAGAGACTGACGGTCACAACATATAAAGTTCCAGAATCAATGGCCGATAATTGGGCATTGAAGTGGAACAACAGCCGACTTGCAGGTGCTGGAGCTGGCGGATGGGATATGAGTGTTTCGGTGCAGAAACAACACAAAGCCTTCAAACAGATGGGTGAGGCGACGAATAGTGTTGCTGCATTCGGCGGGAAAGAAGAGGGTGGCAGCAAAACCTGGGTATGGCTCGAGGGCAGTGGCAAGGGGTTTGGACAAACTGAAAGACCTGAGCTCCCTTTCGAGGGATTTGACGCAGTTCATGCCGAAGCGTTTGAGATGGAGCATGTATTGGGATAGTCGCCAAATTGTTAGCTGAGAGGTACAACAACCCAGTATACGAGCCCATCATGTTGGTGATGTTTCCACCTGTTCTTGGCTCTGAAGCTTGTCATAATCAACATTCAAAAGTCTCAGCGCCAGAGAGCGTCGGTATATAAGATTGTCCATATAGGCGGTAGGACAAATAAAAATTGTCTTCCGCGGCAGATGGAAATGCTCTATGCACCAAAGGTAACGAGTCTGGCGCTGACACACTGCAGGGTGAGGTGAATCTTTATGCATCAACCAGGTTCCTGGATGTCAACCAGTAAGCTGAGTGCATAAATGGCCTAGCCCTTTCACAGCTGCGCTTGACAAAACTTGTAACGTTTGCAGTCTTTTCTCATCGAATCTCCGACGAGGTTGGCCTTGTCATTTGCTGGTTGGAGTCGTTTGCAACGTGCAAATTCATTTAGTTGGCAACGGGCTTAACCCGGCCTGTCAAGCGGCTGATTCTGATGATTCAGCGCTGATTACATTCCAAGTTGGTTCCCGGGCGCAAATATTGAGTGCCCGATCATTTTTGACGTCAGACTGGGGTTTTTATCGGAACAGAGAAACCTCGATGGGCAATATTTCAGTCGAGATCCATACCGCCGCCGGGGACAACGACTGGTGGGGTTTGATTCAGCCGATGATAGTCTGCCCAGTTCTGCATCTGCACCGTCTCAGACGACTGCGGCTGAACACTCTCCGGGCCTGGTGTACTTTCGGCTCGCAATACCTCATCCCCTTCAAAAACCATAGGTTGGCATTTGAGATTGTGCAGGCACGTATCCCACGTTCTGCCGACCAGTTTGCCTTCCAACAGGCTTTCACTGAAGAGGAAGAAACCTTCCTGGCAGCCGACAAGGTAGGCGTCGAGTCCTGCATTCTTGAGGAGAATTTGTGCGCCGTGAATATACCTAGAATAGTGGTTGTCCAGATACTTTGCCCAGCCTCTGGCAGCGGCCTGCATTGATTCGCTTTCCGACTCCATCTTGGTCCACCCGACACCGAGCGCAATGGTCGCCTCGTCAAACTCAGGTCGATCTGCGGCAGTCTTTGGTGGACTAGCCGGCGCAGAGGCGATGTTGGTCTCGATTGGTAGGCGCAGCGAGGTCTGAGACAGCCTGACTGATTTGCGGCTGGTCGGCAACTTGGGCCGAGTGTACGCCGCAACAATCTCTTCCTTGAGTGCCTTTTCATCTGCCTTCTCTTCGTACCATGTGCCCGTCTGGCTCTCCGCCGACACCGACAAGCCTGTCTTTGGATTGAGTAAGACCATTCCCTCCCCATAAATCGGTTCTTCTTCGGGGATCGGAGCCGGGGTGTCGACCGACGCGAAATAAGAGCCGTCCGCTTCGACGTCGAACGCAGTCTCGTCACGAGAACGCTTTCTCGACGGATTGGTTGAGATTGGAGTCACGCCATCGACCGGGGTCCAGGTGGTCGAATGGTGGGGGTACGAAACTGGCAAAGGTTCGTCTTGCTCCATTGCCTTGGGTGTATCAGAGGGAGTAGGAAGCTGATGCTGTTCCTGAGAGGCAAATGACATATTTTGAGAGGCGCAAAGACAAAAGTCCCCAAGAATATGTAGTTTTTCCCTTTCCTTTTCTTTCCAAGTGACGGAATGAGGCTGGCAAAGATAGCAAACAGTGGGCAATTAGATCCGAACCATGCGCCGAAGGAATCCCAGAGGTCAATATGAGACAGCGACGGGATGGATATTAGAAGATGTCGATATATGATATGGTAGAGGAGGGTATGTTCCGGAAGTAAGAGGCAGAAGTGAAAGTAAACAAGAGAAGAGGGTGGGAAGCGGGAGGAGCTGATGTATTTGAATGGGGCGCGCAAGAGGCGAAGAGGAAAGAGGCAGGGTCGCAATGCGAATCTCGTGGGAAGGGAGCTGGAAGCTGGAAGCTGGGAGAAGGCGAGAAGGCGAGAAGCGAAGGAAAAGCGAGAAATCTGGGGGAACTTTGCGGTCTGCAAGATTCGTATGAGAGAAAGTGGTAACGGCGTGCTGTCAGTGGTCCAAGGTCCCAGCAGCAGATGTGAGGTCTGAGGCGGCGGGCTTGACGGCAACGGGCAACGATGCTCAAAATTCGGGATGCCTTTATTGCGAGTTGCGATCAAGACGCCCACAAGCAGTAAAGCTCGCAGGGATTGCCAGGAACGCCGCACTGATCGGGCAATGGCCATTGGGTGAAGGCGTGAGCTGCAAGCCATCCGCATCCTGTAAGCAAAAGACTGACTTTTGTTGCGCAGTTTATCGGATCCACCGAGCCACCAAGCCAGCAAGTAGAGGCCAAACCCAACCGGCAAATAATGGATCTGTAAGGCAAGAATGGTGATCAGGCATTGGAAAGAAAGGGCAAAGGGAACAGGGTGCGCCGCCCCTCCCATCACCCCCACCGGCACCAACTATTGACCCTGGAACCCCAGGCAGCCAGTGAGAGGCTAGGCGCCTTGAGAACTTTCTGATGGATCACCTTTTTTTCCTTTGCGATGCTCGGCGGGAAAGCGTGGATACGTGATGCAGTAACCGAGGAGCAATACGGTAAGAGGCAGTGTGGGGAAAACCACGCCAGTCCCTAAAGCCCGCAACAAACTACTACTGGGCGCCTTTTAGTGGTCACCACGCTTGGCTTGACCCCCGGAGCTTCCCCCAATCCCTTCCAACGCCACCCGCTTTAGAGGCCCGCAAGTCATTGTCTTCGTCCCTACTTTTGAGTGGTTGGACATAGTCCCGCTAACCCGTGGCCTTCCTTGCCTGCTCGCTCTGGCCACTCTGTCACATGCCTGCCAGTAGGGACTAGGATGCAGAGTGGTACGCATCTGCACCTTTCAAGCCATCCCTCGCCAGCCTCTTACGAGTACATCTCGTCATGGGTTTATGTCAAAATGCTCAATGGCCTTCTCGTTATTAGGTAGATGGATGGCTAGCTAGACAAAGTGCCTGCAAAAAAAAAAACCCAGCATCGTCCCCAAGCACCTCCTGCATTTGTTTGGCAGAGACCTCCGTGATTCATGCATGTGGTATTCTCTGCCATTTTGCCCCTGTATATCCAAACGCCCTAACCGTGTCGCAGCAATATCATACAAGGATACAATGTCTATGTGCTCCAAGTTGGCGAGAACAATGAGATGCTCTCTGGATTGTCGCTTCAGTTGCAATACTCCAATCAACCAGTAATCCAGCCGGTGTATGGAGGAGCTCTTTTTGAATGCTCTTTTTTCTCTTCTCTTTTCTTCCCAGGATCCCGCACCAATTTGTATCTCATGATCCAAGACCGTTGCTGAACATGTCTTTCAAGTTCTTGGTCTGTGAAGGCGCATATGTGGGAGCCAATCCGCCGAGCAAAAGGAAGATGGTGAGGAGGACGAGCGCAAAGATCAGTGCTTTTCGCATTGCTGGCTTCTGGACACCAAACTCTGACCACGATCGACCAGCATGGGCAACGTACTGCTTGAGCTGCTCTGCTCCCAGTCTGTAGTACAGAAGACCACCGAGCGCAATTGAGTAACCGAAGAACTGGGTTTTGGTCACGGGGGTACCCCAAATCATCATGGATGCTGCCACGAGCAGGATATCTTTCAGAATGCCACAGAGAGTGAGGACCAATGAGGATGTCTTTCCAATCTGCATCATTGTTAGAGACTGGGCGACTCGGTCATGAAAGGCTGTATGGAACTCACGAGGAAAACAACCGAGACGTTCAGGAGGAACGCAACCATTGCATTAGCCACCAGCATGAAAATCCCGACATCGTAGACATTTTGCATGCTCATTTTGGGTATCTCGAAGAATAGAGCGGTCACGCCGTTCATGACGGCGCACACAGGCGCAAAGTAGTACAGGGACACCAAGGGATCCATCTTGAACTCGGCCGAACTAAGGAGACGCTGGACCAGGACCAAGCGAGTGGCTTCGAAGGTGATTCCACCAGCCTGGTACATGAAGCCGGTCAAGTTGAATTCAATCGCGCCGTATGAGGCAATGACCACGCCGATGACGATGAAGGAGACATTGCCCAAGGTCTTCAAACTCGGGGGGGAAACGCCCATGGCCCAGGTGGTCAACAGCACCGCCACAGGCATGCAAGCCTTGTCAAAAGTTTAGCGCGCTGACCCAATCTCTTGACATGTGCTCAACTCACTTTCAGCATCTGAATGAAGGCAACGCTCAGGTAGAGATATGCTTGATTTCCACAAATCAAGCTCAAGCTAAAGAAGAAACCGATTGGCAGAATAGCACGGAGGTAGACTTTGCCGGTCATTTTGACGGTTTTGCGGCCATCAAGGAGTGTCGTCGTTTTCGCGAGGAGCTGTGTCATGATAGTTGCAAAGAGCATATGCCTGGCGACAGGAGTCAGCCGTAGCCTCGATATTCGGAAGATATCATTAAACATACCATGCTGTCAATGTGATGGGAAATTCTGAAGAGAAGTCAGCCCGTTTTGCGTCAACTCTGCAATCCTGGAATACATACTGAAGCCAAGTGTATCCAACAGCCATTTATTGAACAGAATCACACCCCCGCTGAACCCAATCCATGTTCTGTAATACCATCAGTCGACCGAAGCCTATCTGGGCGAGGGACTACACCTACATCACATAGAGAGATGGGTGCAATGAGGGTTTAGGAGGTTGAGGCTTTTCTGTCGTAGGGAGGATGCTCGCCGAGGAAGCAGGGGCCGCTGGCTCATTGACTCTGGTCTGTTCACCTGACAAGCGGGCTTTCTTCTCACCGTCGGCCATTGCAAGTTGCGGTGATTGAGAGCGAGCGAGGAAGTCTCGAAAGGAGAAAGGTGAGGGTGACCCCGAAAAGGTCTTGGGGCGCAGCACTTTGGCAAGGATTCAAGTCGACATAAGAGGACGTGACGATTTTGCAGCAGCCCGAGTTGATGCTGCAAAGGCAGAGCGAAGAGGACAGCGATTGCAAGATGCGCGTCGCGACAGGATGGGGGATTTCTGAATAGAAATTTGAGATGGAGGCTGGTGCCAGATTGAGATTATTGGGAGCCAGGAGAGTATCGCCGCAGCCACAGCCACGGCGAAAACTCTCTCCCTCCCTGACATTTAGAGCCCACTATGATGAGACTTTCTATAGAAACTTAGCCGAATGTTATCGGCAACCAGCCAATCAAGGCATGTGGTGCAATCTTGACGAATCGGGCAGTGGGCAGCCAAAAGAGTCAGTCCGTCATTGCTAGAGGCAGGGTAGACACGGTTGTTCATCGTCCTGAGTGACATCGGATATCCGTTATGGTGTGCAAATCAGCTGTCTCCGAGCTATGTTGTCTATCAAAACACATCTCGCTTGTCCGATGGTAAGACAACATTCATATAAAATGCTTGGACATTGATGGTGATGCGGATCTAACGTCCGGCGCTGGTGACGCGTGCATTTATCAAAGGTCGTTATCCACCTGACAGTCAAGCTCCGTTCTTGGTGGGCCAGGATCGCTCACATGTCAGTGCCCGTGGTCTCTATCAGTTAAACTATAGGTATATACGTTGATATGTCAGGGATGCTGGGTAGTGTTTCGACATGATAGACCATCCTACACCCCTTTATACCCCTGAACGTAAGGCTGCAGGATCCACGCCCCCTTTACCACGTCCATATTCCCGTTACCCACGGTACTGAGGATGTCCGGAGGATTGCCGGAGAAATAAGGAGTTCACTGTTACACCAGTGAGAGGGGTCAATGCCATCCCCGTCAAGTACTGGGGGACTGTGGCTGAACAAGAGATACAACTTCGCAATCTGAAATCTGTCTATCCATCCCCTGCCAAGCCTGTGACGGTCGCTCCAACTGGTCCACTTGCCGAACCGCAGCGTATCTGCGCCTGCGCCCCCAACTTTTTTTCTGCCCAGAGACGCATTGTACTCGAGACACGGAGGGTGTCCGATGCAAAACCGTTGCTTCTCTGCTGCCACAGTTTTCTGTATTGGTTCAGTGTAAACAGTCGTTGCTGAACAAAATCTGCAGCATATAGACCTGTCCTGTCTTTTGACTTTCTTTTGACTTTCCTTTGGCTACATTCCCACTCTGCCCTCCAAATGCCTGACATGTATGTCACTCTCTGCTACCTCAGTCACCGCTTTCTAACATGTCTAACGCAGTTCCGTCGACGTTCTGGTCATAGGTGCTGGCCCAACCGGCTTGGGCGCTGCCAAAAGACTCAATCAGATTGTATGTGCAGGTTTCGCGCACGAGAGGCTCCCACTGACAGGTCCACCAGAATGGCCCATCATGGATGATTGTCGATTCAAACGAGACTCCTGGCGGTCTGGCTTCCACCGACGTGACCAAAGAAGGATTTGTATGTGCTTTGGAATACCCTAAACAAGAGCAATTCAGGCGCTGACTTGTCGACCAGCTCTATGATGTCGGTGGCCATGTCATCTTCTCCCACTACAAATACTTCGACGACTGCATTGACGAGGCGCTGCCGAACGAAGACGATTGGTATACCCACCAGAGAATATCCTATGTTCGATGCAAAGGTCTATGGGTGCCATATCCATTTCAAAATAATATCTCGATGTTGCCCAAGGAAGATCAGGTGGTGTGCATGGACGGACTGATTGACGCCGCTTTGGCAGCAAGAGTCGCAAATACCAAACCCCAGAATTTTGACGAATGGATCCTGCGTAACACGGGTGTTGGCATCGCAGATATTTTCATGAGACCTTACAACTTCAAAGTGTGGGCTGTTCCCACCACCAAGGTGGGTTTAACGGTGAAAGTACTTCCTGACTCGCGCTAATACCCGCGCAGATGCAGTGTCAATGGCTAGGCGAGCGCGTGGCAGCTCCAGATCTCAAGGCTGTCACCAAAAACGTCATACTCCAGAAAACCGCAGGCAACTGGGGCCCGAACGCCACCTTCAGATTTCCAGCGCGAGATGGCACGGGCGGCATCTGGATTGCCGTTGCTAAGACTCTCCCGGAAGAGAAGAAGCGCTTTGGAAAGAAAGGCACTGTCAAGAAGGTCAACGCCGACAAGAAACAAGTCCTCTTGGCCGATGGCACCACCGTCCACTATGAGAGACTCATCAGCACCATGTCTATTGACTACTTGGCAGAGGCCATGGAGGACGAGAAACTGATCAGCTTGTCCAAGGGCTTGTTCTATAGTAGCACTCATGTCATCGGTGTGGGCATCCGAGGTACACGTCCCGAACGAATTGGCGACAAGTGCTGGCTTTATTTCCCCGAGGACAACTGCCCTTTCTATCGTGCGACCATATTTTCCAACTATTCCCCCTACAACCAGCCGCAAAAGAATGTCAAGCTGCCCACGTTACAACTTGCCAACGGATCTCGGCGCCAGAGTATGCAGGCGAAAGAGGGGCCCTACTGGTCAATCATGCTGGAGGTGTCTGAGTCCAGTATGAAACCAGTCGACCAAGACACCCTTCTCAAAGACTGCATCCAGGGTTTGGTGAACACCGAGATGCTGAAGCCCGACGACGAAATTGTCTCGACCTATCATCGCCGCTTCGATCATGGTTATCCTACACCAACTTTGGAGCGAGAAGGAGTGCTCAAGCAGATGCTACCGGCTCTTTTGGAGAAAGGTATCTACAGCCGCGGACGGTTCGGGTCCTGGAGATACGAGGTGGGCAACCAAGACCATTCCTTCATGCTTGGTGTCGAAGCCGCCGACAACATCATCAACGGAGCGGTAGAGTTGACACTCAACTACCCCGACTTTGTCAATGGGCGGCAGAACACAGAACGAAGACTGGTGGAGGGGGCAGCACTGTTTGGCAAGAAGGCAGGGAATGGCAAAGTTGTGGTTGGTCGTCGTATGACTGGCGGCAAGACGGAGCTGGGTGGGCGAATGGAGACCAGCGGGAAAGAGGCATTGAATGCCAGCGGCGGGACAGCGACTGCAATGAAGGACGGTAACTCGAGGGTTCTGAACCGCAACTGGTAAATGTGAGATGTGAGCTGGTCATGAGGTTTGAGCGTTTCTTTTCGGTCTTTCGCATTGGACACATCCCTTTCGCTACGCGGCATAGAGCGAATTATCCACGTGGGCCAAGAAGACGCGGGTCACTGCGCATGCTACACAGGATCATGGGACAACAATAATGGAGGGTTTAGAGCGGCTTGCCTTTTACGCAGATACTAGAAGAGGACGGTTTGAAAAGACAGCATAGCGACTTCTAGAACACATTTGGTCATTGGTCGGTTCTCCGTTCCATGATGCTCCAAACCCGATTGAAATGAGGGTTGATGCCGTCTTAGCGAGGGCGCGCCAGGGATACTCTGTCTCGTGCGGAGGAAGTGTAATTGCTACCGATGTATCGACTACTCGGTCTCTCGGTAACTCGTCCTCCCCCAGACTTTTGTCCCCTCCAACGCTTTCTTGCCCCGGATGTCCGGTAAATCAAGAAATGCGGGGGATGGGTGAGCCGCTAGATGCATACACCAAATATTCGGGACTCTTATGAGGACTTCTCCTGTTTGGGGAAGCCGGGGCCCCAGAAAATTTTCGACATGATCACCTGAGACGGGGTGTGGCGAATCGGGTTTGGCCTTTGCGAGTGTGATTGCGACGGGTTACATGGTATGTACCTCGTATAGGTACTTGTACTCGTGAGTAAGTAAGTGGCTCTTCTCTTCTGCCGAGTTACCAAGTTGGGCAATGTCGGGATGGAGACGGATGAGGTAATAATGACTTTCTGCCGTCATCGCCGTTGGAATGAAAAGACGAAGGCGCGATTACGAGCAGGTTAGGGAGAGCTGTGGAGAATGGCCTGGCGTATCTACTAGCTACCTACTGTTTGTAACTGACAAGGAGGTATTTACCGAGTACCGGGTAGGTAGGTAGGTACTTTACGAGGTATGTACCTATATACGGCTGGATGATTTAAATTCTGGGAGGATGTCAGGACAGGATAGAGCACAAAAGTACAAAGGGAGACATACACGCACACATATATGGACGGCCATTGCTCAGTCTAGGTCCTGAGGAACAGGATCTCATAGTAGGTCTTGGGTACAATCACAATACAGGTACAGGTACAAGTACTCGGTACCTAAATACATGACTACCAGCTACATACCTCATAGGTAGCGTGTACCGAGAACCTCGTGGTCTCGTACAAGTACACAAATCAAGAAGCTCGAAGCAAGGCACCCACAAGGAGTTCCCCCGCTGTGGAGCCATGAGAAATGCCTCATGGTGTCATTGAGGAATCCGAGGCAGACAACATCATCATCATCATCATCATCATCATCATCATCATCATCGTGATCCCCAATTCCAGCCATGCCGGACTGCGCCTCTGCGTGGTATACGAGTAGCGTTACCACTATGTACGTGTACTCTGGAGTCGGTTACTTTCCAATCCTTTGTAAAGACCCGGGATTGCCTTTAAATAATCCCCCGCTGTTCTCGAGCCAAAATCCGACTGTTGATCATCGCAAGACTACGAGTACGTCTCTATATCGATTGACAGGTATTTTCCCCATACGAAGCCTCCACGATAAAGCCCTTGGGAAATGGGCCCTGATTGTAGGAACCCCTCCAACGCCGGCGCCGACGTCGTTTGAACATTTGAACACGGCAAAATCTCGTAGTGGCGTCTGAATTTGATAGACCGGCTTATCGCTGTAGTCTCGTGTGCCATTTGGTCACTGTACCTCCTCCTGTGCAGATCTTGGTCACCGATCGTTGGATCACCCTGGATCCACCTGCCGCGTTATTGATGTCGAGGGCACTCGTGCGCCAGAAGAGAATTCCAGGATAGCCCCAGACTCAAGGTGGTTTGCACCAAAATAAAACAAGTGACCAGTACATAACCTGGCTGTAGCTGGAAACCGGTCGGAGTTCGACGTGTCATTACGAAGGCTCGTATCGTAGGATGACAAACACGATGAGAGATGCTATGGATAATCTGTCATCGTCAACGACCGTTGGCCAAGCCCAATCGTGTCGCATTTAGCCATGGGAGGTAAGGAGCATCTAGTTCTCAGCTGTAAACTCTTATACATTATAGGCACAGCTAAATGATCAGCAATACCGGAACTGGACGAGCGAGGCTTCATCTACCGACGTTGGGGTAATCCAGCCGGTTACCGACTTGTAGCGACGTCGTGATCCTCGACGGTTGTTCGTCCTGCTTGTTCCAGTCCTAATTCGTCTCTATTTATTCTCCAGCGTCATATTTGTCCATTTCGATCATCTTAATACTCCGGTATCACGAAACGAACTTTCTCGTATCATAGAGAACTCGGAGTAGGGGGACTAGTACGTCCGCGCATAAAAGTGGAGAGCGGATTGGAGTCTGCGGTGTTCAAGGTTTCAGTTGATTCTCACTGGTGTCGCGTCATCGTCATATGATGTCGTGGCAGAACCGGCGGGTGATAAAGAATACGGAGTCAATGGAGCGTAATCGAAGCAGAAAGTCAGATTGGATGGTGCAATCGATCGAAACGAGTTCGTGACGATCGAGACGTGCAAGCCGAGGACGAGGCACACATCACGTCAGTTGCCTGCGGAGAAGACAAAGAATTGGATGTGTTCCTGAATTTTTGCCCACCGCCCCCGCCAACCCGCTAAACCGCCCAAATACTACGGGTCAAATGTGTCCAATCGCCGCCACCACAATTGGGATTCAATTGTGCTCACAGTCATTCCGAGCCTAACCGCATGCGACGACATCCGGGTGCTGGCATCAGATGTGCCAGTTATTTCTGTTGAATGTCTTCTGACTCGGCAAAACACGTCCCCAAACAGATCGTGCAGACCTTGGCTGAGGAATGAGGACATCAAAATCACCCCAAAGGCACCTATAAGAACGTGCCCTGAGTGTTGAACAGGCAAGACAGGCCTCCGCTGGGCTGGCACTGTAGGGGCAGGGGGGAAGCCCCGTGGTGCATCACTTTGGGCTACTTGGCCACCCATGGCCGGGGCCACTATTCCTACGTAAGCCTAGCCATGTTCTCACCCGCAGGGGCGGTGACGGGCTGCTCGCTCGCTGGACCAGTAGCCACAGGCCTGGAATCATCCCCTCTGCACGAGCACCAACAAAAGACTTTTCCTGCGCTTGTGACCCGTGACTTTTTTTCTTTTGGCCTGGTGAGCCCTTTGTCCTCTGCCCATTTGCCCTGGGAGGGGCCCCCTTGCCCCCCCTAGCCGTGCCCATAATAACTGGACCTTTCGGTGGTGGCAGCCCGCTGCAGGTGTTTGGTGGTGGCAGTGACCCAAAAAAACCAACCAGACAACGACTAATTCTTGTCAACCTGCTGCTTCTCCACGATTTACTAGTAAAGTCGCAAGAAGTCCCTCGATATCCATCATACAAGAAAAACACCGCATTACCTCTACCCTCAAACCTGCATCATCTTCTGTTTTGCTTTTTCTGACATTCTTCCCGTATGCTCTCCCCCCAATTGACCTCAACCAAATCTCGACCTATCTTCTGAACCCGTCATCTTACGAGTTTCCTTTCTTTTCTTTGTATCTTCTCCAAAACGGTACGTAGGTGGCTTCTCCAATTTCAACCCTTTCGAGTCCTTATCGTCAAAGGGAGTCAAAACATCCCACTCGCAAAACCTTAGCATCTGCCAGGGCGGTGAGTGAGATATGCCTCCGGGCGAGTAGCTCTTTATACTTTGCGCCCTGTCCGACCTCGATAGCTTCTCATCGCATGCTGACGTTGTCCCTGTTACAGTCGGCATCAAGCATTAGTTTGCCCATCATGTCGGCCGCTCAAGTCGCTCCCACCATTCCTCCTCGTCCTAGTCGAGCTCAGCAAGCTGCTGCCCATGGCGCAGGAAAGCTGCCCGACATTCCTCCTCGTCCCATAAACAAGCGTCTTGAACGCTCCATGTCACCCTCCAACTTCCCTCGCTCTCCTCTGAACGAACCATGGTCCGCCAATCTCACCCGTCACAAGGCCAATGAGCAATCCTCTGCGGAGGGAATGCCTCGCCGTCCCAGCGTCCAGCACCTGCCATCCCTCGGTCAAGAAGGCATGGAGTATGGCGAGATCATGGACATGGGCTTGGAAATGCAGACGGATACGCAAACGAATCAGCAACCGCCAATCTCGACTCTCGGTTCGGATGCGGCGGCTCAGACCAGAAATATCGCACAAGACCTCAAGTTGTACGCACCAAAGCCCTCGCTCCCCAAGTCAAGTGCGACTGCGCAGGTCCAGGCTGTCACCCGGACCGACTCCCAGCAAGCTGCTTCCCACGGCATCGGGAAGCCGTCGACTCCGTCACAAGATGAGGGTGAAGGGTTACAGCAAGTGAGGACCCGGTCAAGTTTCTCTCGGCCCTCATCTACAATTGGCGGCGAGCGCCGTCCCTCTGTCTTTGGAGATGACGAGTCTGGCCCTGCAGAACTCGGCATCCGAGTCCCCATCAACCCTTTGTTGGGAGATGTGCAGGCCCCTTCCCCTGCGCCAGGTCTGACTCCGGCTCATACAGGCACAAATGGCGACAAGAGGCGGCCCACCCACTCGCGGGCAAAGGCGAGCAGGGAGATCTTTACTCCTCCTGGGTCCTATGGTCTCCATGGTCATGGTGTTGCTCCTGAAAACAAGTTCGAAAAGGACTGGTATGCAAAACACCCCGAGGCTGCCCAAATCGAGGAAACTCATGGCCATGGAGTGTATGAAAGCATCGGCAGTGGCCGCGGCGCTTTCGCTTTGAGTAGTGATGATTTGAACAAAATTGTGCGGGAGACAGCTAGTCGCGGATCAGGACTCGGTATGTTGTTTGCTTTAAGGAAACATGGCATACTCTAACTCACTTGTCCAGGAACCTCAGGGTCAACTTATTCCTACCCTGATGAACAAATCGGCTATCTGGCCTCGGATATCTACATCTCCAGGTCTCAACAAAATACTCCCAACAGTCTCGCAAAGACTCTTACCAACACCTCCCAACCTGCCCTCGAATCCCCACTGAGGAAAGCCAGTTTCCCAGCGGATGATACCATTCCAGCTGAAGTCCGACGTGGCCGACTTTCGATTTCCAGTAGGCATGACGATCACGATGCCATCGAAAGTGAACAGGAGGGAGAGGTCCATGTTCCGGTGGGTCGACGGTATAATAAGATTTCAGGCGGCGAGGAAAGCATGAACGAAACACTGGACACTCGGCCGCTGGTCTCGCAGCCCAGTCAGGACGATGACCATCTTCAGGAATATGGCTATTCGGTGCCGATCCTCGCGGCGGATGAGGTCGCGAAGGAACCCGGTTTGGAACTCCTACAGCCCGCCGTTTCTCCCAAACAGGAGCGCCGTGGAAGCCTTGACCCTGCAAGCGGTGATGTTACCCCAGGATCACGTCCACCAAGCAGACCCACCAGCATGTACAGTCTCCACAGCGCTAACCACTCCTTGGCTCGATTTATCTCCCATACTGAGGAACGAGACGCCATACACACTCCGCTGGAGGATGTACATGAATATGAACCACTATTCCCTGAGGACGATGACAAGAAGCCGATCAATCACGCCGAACGATTCAAGCAGAGACCCGATGCTCTCAAGCAGCGATTCCCCAGCCAAGACATCTGGGAAGATACACCAAGTAGTGCCCATCACTCCGCTACCGTCTCCACACCAGATATTCCCACCAAGGCTGAGGAGGATCTTTCTGCTTCTAAGACGTTTGAACCTCCGGAACAGGAAGCTGCCCGAAAGGAAGAGCCATCTGAAAAGGAAAAGGCCAAGTTGATCCCAAAGGAACAAAGACTGGCACAATCCCGCTTTGCGCCTCACCTTCGTGATGACATGCCTACTAGACCTGGCATGGTACCTAGATTTCCGAGCCAAGATATATGGGAGGACAGCCCAGACAGCCACCACCTAGTTACAACCATCTCAAATCTACCAAAAGAACAGCAAGCAGAAGAGGAGACCTCACCGGAAGCTACAGCGAAGCCAAGCATACCTCCACGTCCCGCTAAGAACAGGTTAGGTGAAGGGGCTTCCTCTGCTCAGGTTGCACCGAGTGTGCCGCCCCGGCCACAGAAAGCACTCGGCGCTGTGCCACCACTAGGTGTTTCCCCGACTGACGCCGCAAAACCGAAGGATGTCTCACCCACAGAGCTCAAGAAAGTTCCCAGTATTCCCGATCGACCGAAACCTCAGATTCCGGCTCGTCCAGCAAAGAAACCTGCTGGAGAGGGGCTGGCGAAGACCGTTTCTGGCGGTTCGGCAGGATCGGTCGAGCAGGAGAAGGTTTCCCCTCCCATCACCAAAGCTAAGCCACAAATCCCTGCCAGGCCTGTTCCAGGCAGTAAAATTGCCAATCTGAGGGGGAACTTTATGAACGATCTCAACCAGAAACTTGGCCTGGGACCGCCCAAAGAGAAGGAGCCAGAGCCAGTGGCTGAAGAGGTGAAACCTTTGGAAGATGCACGCAAAGGTAGAGCCCGGGGTCCACAGAGGCGAGCACCGGCCAAGTCTCCGGCCGCTGTGGTGAGACCAATGGGGTTCTCCATGTTTTCACCGCGGGCTTTGTGGACTATTGATGACGTTGACGAATTGAACGTCTCTTCCACTGGACCCTCTGCGCCTGCCCCGACACTGCAGCAGGAGGGATCTGCAAACCTGGACATTCCGGAGAAGCAGGCTGAGCAGTCCGGACAAACCGCTCCGGCACAAGTCTCTCCGCCAGCTCCTACAGATGTGACCGATGATGGCGATGCTGAGCCCAAGACAGAGGCTGAGGTTGAGAGTCAACCGATACCAATGGCGACTAATATAGCGACAAACACCGCTGGGGAACTCGCAGACCCGGAGCCCACACTTGGGACGCCTATAAGGGAGAAGTCTGACCCTCTCAGTCGAACTGATTCAGCCGAGAAAGTGGACAAGGAGGGTGAAGAGGTTGGGCTCTCTCAACGGACGACGGCAAGCAGTGCTCAGGAGACAGGTTTGGAACTGGAAAGAGAAGAGCCTGATCCAAGTACGGATGCGATTCCTGCTAGCAAGCTCACAACCGCAAGCACGCTGGGGGACACAGTGCCGCTGGAGAAGAGCCCAACCCCCGACGAACCACGGACATTGAGAAACACGCTACCAGAAGGAGAGCCGGGGAAGGCGAGCATGGAGGAGGTGTAGGCGCATTCGTGGGCCTGAGATGTAGTCTCTGTGTGTGTGTGTGTGTGTGTGTGTGTGTGTGTGTGTGTGTGTGT